CAGAAGCCGGAAAATGTCTCGTGAACCAACAGAAGTGGAGCAACAGTCGGGAAGGCGCCGGTGGCCCCAGTACCCCCGTCCCACAGGGTCGCCTGGACCCAGTCCCTTGGCCCCGCCCACGATGCCTCCTCCTTCGGGTGCTCTCCCTGCCATTCCCGCTCCCACTGCAGCCCCTGCTGCGACGCCTGTTGAGTCTACCACTCAGGACAGCACTCCCGTCCAAACGCAGTAGGCCATGACCGCACATGTCATATATGGTGCGATTAGTTCATGTATGAGGGGAAGCAATTGATTGTCATTGCCGCTGGACGGAACGAGCTTGCTATGATATTGTGCGTCTGTGACGAATGCTCCCCCTGCTCGCCATACATATACCAACTCCCCCCATCTTTTCCTTTCTCTTCCTTTCTCTTCCGCTCGACTTTAGTTCTATCTTGTCTGGATTTTGCGATTTTTTCTTACTTCTCAAGACTTGATTTTCTCCGTCCTACTCATCAGCAGCAAGATCTGAAAGAAGAAATAACTGGCTTCTCAACATCTGTTTAGCCTGCTGAATGTACTTATAACATGGCTGATATGACGGATATACCCATTTTCCTTTCTTTTTGTTTCTAGTGAGCTGTTGACATGGACGTCCTCGGATGCTTTCTGTGCCCATCAGTGTTCACCTTTTCTTACAATATACTTATTATACCACTTAATTGATGGTTGTATCTCATTATCGCGTATTAATGGCTCGAAAGCTCCCGCCATTTTCGATGGGAAGAGCCCTTGAGCTTATGCTTGCACTTAAGAATGGCAATAGTTAAGAATGGCAATAAACGACTCTTTCATCTCTCTAGACGCTCGATGCACCGAATGGTGAAAACTGACAGATCCGCTATCTCAGTATATAACACGAGTCTTTGGTATATAATGAAAATATACTCAAGCATCGTAAGCTCTATTCTATATCTAAAGATGAGGAACGCTCCCACTAGCCAGAAGAAGATTAACAATGCTGATGATGCCCTCGCCCAGTATAAGTCCCGAGGCTAAAACAACCACGGTTGACGACGCATCATCAGCATCCGTGGTGGGCGCGGGCCCGGATCTCTCCCGTCCTGTGCTCTCAGCCGCAGTAGTCACGGCTCCATCACTCCCTGCAATCTGTGTTGGCGCCGCAACTTCGTCCCTGGCATGCTTTCGGGCCCACCACCAGGCGATCACGCCTCCGATGGCTCTTGCCAGCGTAAAGGATGGTTCGTTGAAGATTCCCACGGCAACGGCAATGCCGCCGGGGATCCATGCCTTCCACGGTGCGGTGGCATCGCGTCGACCGCCGTTCGCGCATGGAGACGCAGCAACGATGCGGAGCACCGTCACAGCCACGAAGACGACGCCAGCGACCATCGACGCCTGCCATGCCATCGGGGGCAAACCCTGGCCCGTGACCAGGCGGGCCGTGAAGATCCACACATATGCCGTCGGGGTCTGGAACATCGGCCCCGGCACTTCGTACACATTCACGTACATTTTGTACACGGCGGTGGAGAGCACGGCGCCGACTAGGCTGCCGATCATCTGGCCATAGAACTGGGCCTTGGGACTTGCGCCCAAAATGTGGCCCGTCTTCAGGTCCTGCATCATGTCGCCGGCTTGGAGGGCGCCCGACTCGGAGACGGCGCCGGCGAGGAGGTTGGTGACGAGCGCTGTGCGGCGAGAGAAGAGAGAGGCCGGCGTCGCGAGGGAGAAGAGAAGCTGTGTCAGCTTGCTGATTCCCGAGACCGGGTTGAGATCGGTCTCTCCTAATGCGCGTACGCCCATGACGGACAGCAGAACTGCTAACAGGGTGGCAAGGCAGGACAGGAATGGAGATATCACGTCCCCGAAGACGATCTGCATGCAGATGACGTTCAGAAGAAGAGTCAGAGGAAGCAAGATGATCACGGTCTTGGTTGAGATAAGTTGCGACGGGGGCGCGTCTTGTTCTTCGTCCTCGCCTGCGCTGTCCCTCGTTGCAGGTGTAGTGAGGCGGCTTGGGATAGAGGATTCCTCGGAGATAGGGCTCAACGCAGAATAGCCGGTATATGAGCGGCGATTATATGAAGCTGGGGTTTTGGAGGCAAACCAGCGTCCGGCCGGGCTGGATGCTGCCGCACTCACAAGTTTGGGGGCATGGCGGATTGTCGGCTTGAGTACTAGCCAACCGAGACTGACGAGGGAGTCTGCGAGCATGATAGCTAGAGACACCCACACAATCCAGGCCTTGCTTCCATCTTCCCAGCTGTTCACAGGGCCGGGAGCCCAGCCGCGAGCCTTGGCCAGGGGAGACAAGATACCCCAGCCCAACACGGCGCCAAACAACATATGCATACATGTGGCGGGGCCCATGATGATGCCCTGGCCGACATATGCCGGCGACGGGTTAAGGGTCCATAGCCAGTTTTTGGCGAGCGCCACGCCAAAAATGGGGATCCCGCGGACTTGGGGCACAAAGTAGGAGAACAAGGTCTGCAGATATATGAGTAAACCCTTCAGGCAGTAAAAAGCGAAAGAGCTGCGACTCACGTAAACACCAGAGACGGCGAATGCGCCAACCAAGAGACGCATCTTTGACCGCCAATCCTTCTTTTCGTCGCTTGAAGCTTCAGGAGTATCCTTCTGGAGTAGAGTACCACTCTCCTCAGACTCCGAAGATGGTACACCGGCTTCCTCCTCTTCATCGCGACGTACTCGTCCCTGACCTGACTTGGTCTTCTCTTCGCCCCCGCTTCCATGCAACACTCTCAACATCAAAGCTGATGCAGTTCCACTTGGGAACTTCAGTTTCTCCCGAATAAGAACCTCCTTCCTCAATGGCACGGCAAACACAACCCCGAAGAGGCACACGCCCAGACTCCAGATGACCAGCTTGAAGAAATTCAACTTCAGTGGTCCGCCTTCGCCAGCACCTCCATCACCTGAAGGCCCATCATCACCATCTCTAATGAGAAACTCCAGTGCCGGGATCACACCGACGAACCCACATCCTAGCGGCATTGTTCCCACGGCTCCCGCGACGGTCTGGATGAGGACGTTTTCAATTGGGGTAAACGGATACGAGAGGTATTTTGACATGACTTTGAAAACGGAAAAGCCTATCAAGGCCGATGGCATGGCCATTGTGCTAATCCAGCCGGTTTGCAGGCCGAAATAAGTATTTGAGAAAGTGATTAGGGCGCCGATAAGAAGGCCGACCAGGAGCGAGCGGGATGTGAAGCTTTGAGGCGACGTCTCCACATGCCTCTTTGGCCGAGAGCCCGAGACACGCGTTGGGTCAGGATAACGGTCATCGTGAACATTGTGGCCATCGTATCCGTCGGAGGATCTGGACTGGGATTCCTCCGCAGCCGTCCTGCTCCCGGGACCGCCACTTGAGGCATTGCCCGCCATGATGGTTCGATAGTTCATCGGTTAGAGGCACTGCGCTGGGTGAGTCGACATGCCCGATCAGACTATAGTGACAGTTAATCTGAAGAAGTCTGACAGGCCATGATCAGGAAGGGATGAAGTGAGTGATGTCGAAAGGGAGAATGAAGATGCGGAGAAGACGAACGGATGATTCGCGCCGCATCAATTACTCAGCATGATAGGATAAGCTGCGCCAATTTCCTAATCGGGTAATATTATACACAGTCTATTGATGCTGACAGTTGGATAAGAATGGCTACGAGTTCCTCGGATGCAGATCTATAATAACATGGAAATGTATCCTCCCCAGGCTACTAAGGGTATCGTCAACACACAACATTAATTGGCTCCCCTTTAGCCCACCCTTCAACCGCATTTTTCAGCAATTGGGAGTAGGTATTGACTGTCCTCAGTGACAGCCATGCCAGGTGAGGAGTCACCACCAGGTTCAGATCGTCTGTACCGTCCGCCAGCAAGGGAGAGCTTTCAGGGCCAGCAGGCTCTTTGTGGAATACGTCGGTAGCGGCTCCAGAAATCCTCCCTTCACGCAAAGCCTTCACTAGGGCTGCTTCATCCACAATCCCCCCACGCGACACATTGACCAGCACTGTATGAGGGGACATCACTTCCAGCTCTGGCGTTGAAATCAGGTTGCGCGTCGATTCCATCAAAGGAACAGCAATAAACAGCACCGTACTTTGGCGGATGACCGTATCAAAGGGGACTCTCGTCTCGTCGGTGGACCTGTTCAATGAACTGGAGTTGTCGGCGTTCTTGCGACCCGATACGAGTACTTTCATTCCAAGGCTCCGTGCCATGTTGGCTATCATTTTCCCTGGGAACAAGTTAGATCTGATCATACGCTTCAATGTGAGCACTGTACAGACCTAGACTTCCATTCCCGATGATTCCCGCCACTTCCTCCTGGCAGGTCAGAGGGGGCGTGCCGTCTTTCTCCAGCATCTGATACATCAGGGTCTTCCGCCGAGGCCACTCTCCAGCTCGCGTCAACGTATTCAGACTGGCCATCCTCCTTCGTGTCATAAAGTACAGCCCCATCGCATGCTCTGCCACGGTGGACGTATTTGCTGCAGGGCAATTGCTGACCACGATGCCGCGCTTCCTGCAGGCGTCCAGGTCAATGCAGTCGGTTCCTGCCGCGACGGCTACAATGAGCTTGAGGTACGGCGTTTTCTCGGGAGAGAGCGTTGTGGCATCGATCTGCAAGGCCGACAAGACGATGATCGACGCATTGCGGACGCGATCATGGATGTCTGCAAGTGATGTTTGCGGGTAGATGGTCTTGGTATAAGTTTGCGGCGGGGGGAGCTCCAAGTCCAACGCTTGAACAAAATCCCCCTGCAGGAAGACAATATGGTGACGCTTTTCTGACGGTTGAGGATCCATTTGAATCTAGATAAAATATGTCCAGTCGACAGTCTATGGTGTGGAATCTGGACGTGCATAGTGAGCGGCTTTGCTGCTTATGAACCCCGCACGCCTTGTAGATGACACTCAGTGGGTCACTACTACCAGGATTCATCCGTTATCTATAAGACACCCATCAGCGACTGTTCACATGTTTTACCGGGATGAAAGACCTATAGGTTGCATATCCTGAGGATCTATGCAGAGGATCCGTGCATTGAGGAGAACATGCAGTCCGAGGGTCTGCTGCAATAGATACAAACCGGGTCAAGTGCACCATAGACATCTCTTATGGAAAACACAATGGATCATTCAAACATACTCCAATGGCCTGGTACGTTCAAATCCGTCATGCAATGGATGGCCTCATAGAGCCAATCCGGCATAACCGATGCCATATCCGCCGGAACGGCACTTGCGCATTATCAATGTGGTGAGTACTCTCTGCACCCTCATAAGGGCCGCGCTAATATTATGAAAGGACACTGGAGACTCTGTTTGACCTATGGAGGGCAATTCCTAAAGATAAACCATATTGATCTCCCTTGCCCCAAAGTTGAATAATGCAGCCACGGCCTGATCGCCTTTGCCGAACTAAGTCAAGGAAGATCAGCAAGAAAGCAGTTCCTACTGAGTATACAGGGAGAACTGATGATCCAGTTAATTTCATGAAGAATCCAAGTTGGTGGCCCTTGCATACAAACGTCCATCCCTTGGTTCGGCTCTTAGAGAAAACACCACGCAGAGAACGAATGATCTACATGCACAGGACACCAAACCAATTCTCCTGCCTCTTCTCCTGGTTTTCTAGCTAGGGTGCTACATTCCAAGGCCGCCTCCTATCCTCCATCCAGTACAACAGCTCCCAGAGAGAGCACATAACTCGCACCTGTTCCTACATTCCACATCCACGGTCTTTGGCCAAGGGGCAACAACAAGTATGTGACGGAGAACGCGGACAAGGGGAGTCGTGTTTTGCCGGGCTCGAGAATGGAATACATACATAAAGGCGTCCCAGTGGATAGCACCCGGGCATCCTCCTCGCTCTCTTTCACCTTCTCCGATCATCCCACCGCGCGACCCCGACAAGCGAAAGTGTCTTTCTGACCCCGAACCGAATCTCATCTCCCGAGTCTCATATCACTTACCAAAATGCGCTTCGCTGTGAGTCTCCTCTCCTACACCCCTCCCCATTCACTGACTGACTGGCCATAGATCGCTGCTGCTGCCCTGACTCTGGCGGGCACCGCTCTGGCCGCCGAGCCCGTCGCCCAGGTCTTCCTGAGTACCCACGACGTGTGCCACGAGGGCGACATGCCCAAGAAGGAGTACAAGTCGGACAAGATGGCCCATGCCTCGGCCACCCGGGACGGCTGTGCCAAGATGAAGATCAACCACTCCAAGGACCTTCAGACCACCGGCTTCAGTGTCACGATCCAATCCATCACCCACCCGACGACCCTGGACTGCACCAGCGTCGGCATCTACGCCAACGACCGGTGTGTCGGTGAAGCCGACGTCGTCATCCCCTGGTCCTACGACGAGGTTATCACTCAGAGCCAGTGCTTCAGCAGCCTGCCGTTCCAGGACACGAAGTACCTCTCCGTCAAGCTCTTCTGCCAGGACGAGCCTACTGGACGTGACGGCGACGAGGACGCTACGACCATCGCGGATCTGGCCAAGGCCCGGGCCGCGCAGGCTAAGGCTGACGGCATGGCTGACTCTGATTAAATTTGAAGGGGTCTTGAAAGGATGAGTGCGGAGCTCGTCGCACCCAAGGGATAGAAGTCCTGCATCTCCGGCGGCGAAAGCTGTTGCGTGACCGGAGGCGATTCATGTATTAGTGAATATCTTCAATATTTCGCCATGTTATTTAATAATTCATTTCAATATGGCTTTTACTATCCTGATGTTCGTAGATCATTCGCGTCTTGTACTCAGTTGTACGCATCTAAGAATGGTAGCTCATTGCAGAGATTGTACCATGAATTGTGCTTGAGACACGATGTCCGTGAAATTGTTCATACATCTTGGGCTTGAAAAAATGGGAGTGCACGCAGTTGCGAATCGAGAATTGCTACGCAGTAACGGAGTCGCCCAAGAGTACCTAATACCACGACACGCGAGACCAGTTCGAAAGGTCACTTAGGAAAAGGAGAATGAACAGCGTCGCGAAGAACAATGTTCAGCAAAGAATGTGTTTGTCCCAGACCTCTTGCTCCGTCCATCAATAACACATCCTGGAATGTATGTAAGTATGCTGTCTGCCACACCGCATCACTGAGGCTGGAATGTTCTATATGAAGGCGTTAAGAAAGTCTAACGCGGTCATCGTTTTCCTGCCATCTAATGCTATTCAGAGGTGGCAATTCATGTACGAGAGAGGCATATAAAGAGCAGCAAGATGAGGGAGACAAGATATCATTTCTACCACATTTCACCCCATCATTTCCTCTGTCTATATCTGTGTTGGTAAATACATTCCACCTCCTCTATCACCATGCAGTGGATCAACGTGAGTCGCACAAACTTCTTCAATTCAACGTACAAAGATCGACGGCACTAACAATCCCAGCTCCTCCCTCTCGCCATCCTCCTCAATCCCTCCTCCGTCTTTGCTCTCAGCGCCGCCCGCATCTGGACCAACTTCTACCCCTCCTGTCCGGCCGACCACGACGACGGCGGTTCCACGCTGCACCTGAATGAACAGTTCACAACCGCCGTCGACATCAAAGCCAACGTCTGCCAGGAGATCCCCGTGCCGCTCTCGTTCGCTGCAGAAGTGGACCACGTCTCTATCGACGCTGACCTGTTCTGGAGAGATCCCTTGGATCAATGCAGGATCAAGGTCCACGAGCTCGCGGGATGTGGTCAGGCGCCTCTGATAGATGAGGAGCTGAAACATGGCCAGACTGTTAGCAGCTGCCGCGCGAGACAGTTCGCTTTCACCCAGATCTGGTTGGAGCTGACGTGCACGAATATATGGGGAGTCCGAGCTCCAGTCCCCTTGGAAACCGTCGCTCACGGCCCAAATGTCCCCGGGAACTCTACCGTGCCTCATAACGGTACTGTGACCTCGAAGAGGATGCTGCTGAGTCGTCGCGCCTGGCGCCCGATTCTGTAAAGATGTCGAGGACTGGTATGGCTGTTACGTTGTTGATGATTTGTTGATAGATAGCAATGTTCTCATGTTCAATATGCGTGTTGTTATGTATGCTGCGGGATCGTTTGGCGGTGTTGCCCTAGAAGTCATGTACATGTCGTTGGAAACATAGTCCATCAATTCAGTAATAATTCCAAGTAAGCGCAGATTAGGTATCAAAGAACATGATTAGCAGACATGACAGCGTTTGTATATCTATATTACAGAAGATGTACGAGAATAGCCCACCCTAAATGTTTGAAACGGTTGAAAGATGACACAGCTTAGCACAAACATCCCCCCACCTCTCATTGTAGGAAAACAATCATGTGGCCTAGAATCCAAAACTGTCCAGCAATGACTTGGCATCCGGCTCGTGAAACATAGTTGGCGGAGGCTTGGATTTCTGCGGTGAAGCAGGGGTCTCGGGGGGCTGTAGGACACCGGTCTTGATCGGCATATCGGCCACCACGAGACTGCTCCGTCTTCGAAGCATCTTCCTATAATCGACGCCATTCTCGTGTAGATCGATCTTTGCATCATGCACTGCATGTGGAGAGGAAAGGCCAACCAGAAACTCCCAGTGGCGGACCAAGTCCAGGGCGAGAAGGTCACAACCCATCCGGTCGTACAGTCGAGCGTTGCGCACGATGAACTCCCATTCTGATCGGGCCGATACTTGAGACGCACCCTTGAGCGTCTGTAGAGTCTTCTCGCGCAGCTGCTTGTACAACACTACCAACGCTGGGTCATTGGACAGATACGACTTAGCATGGAGCGAAACCATTCCTGGGCTTGCCGGGGAAGATGGAGTCGACGCAACAAGTGCCTCAACTGGAGACTGTTTCCATACGTCAATTTTGTGACCGTGATAGTGTCAACTGGGTGAGAAACTTACAATCAATGAACGCACGGCCATGTCACGACGACCAAGCATCCAAAAGGCCCATGAAGCCATCCATCGGTTTCCATCCGCAGCAGCTTCAGGCAGGACTCTCTCTTCAAGGATTTCCTTCAGAACAGGACCATCATCGCCTTCATAGGCGCGTGTGATGGCAATTGCAAGCTGAATATCACCGACCTGGTTCAAACAAACCATAGCAGCATCGTGCAGCCGATCCGCAAGGAGGAAAAACGCTGCCGCATATTCTAGAAGAATGTCAGCAAATTTTCATTCCAACAATCAGGTCAACCGATAGTTACCAAATCTCCGCTTTCCAAGCAAAGCATACGCATTTTTCATAGCAGATGTTTTCCATCGCGCTTCTGTGAAGTCATTTGCCAGTAACCGCTGGGTAGCTCCTTGTTCGCGATGCCAATGCGCCATACGCCACAGTCCCTGGAGGACGTTCTTCTTTTTAAGGGCGAGGTAATACAAAGTGCAGTCGATTGGGTTCTTCTCTTCTGTCTTCGTATACTCGTTCCGTGCAACCACTTCCAGTTGAGCTCGCTAGGGAGACGTCAGTAAAAGAATGGGGAGGAAAAGGTACAGTATCGGCTTACTATGGCTGTAGCATCGGATAACCACATGAATATCCCACTCTCCCGGGCTGATTCCCAAAGCATCTTACCCCCAAATTGCCTCGACACGAGATCGATAAGAATGTCTTGGCTTGCGCTATGGAAAGCCCATACGATCTCTCTCCAAGAGACAGTATCCTTGTTCGCAATACCCTGGCTTCTCCGTAACATGTGTTGACGGAAGAAGAGAAGATATCGAGCAGCATTATCATCCATCGAGCGCCGATGCTTCTCGACGGTAGCAACGCACTCAATGGTATCAGCTAGGCGAAACTGTTCATGGCTAGAAAGTTGCGGTAAAGTAAACCGAGCCAGGTTTTCATTCAGCGCAGCCGCCGTATTCTCATCCACGACGAACGTTTCATCTTCCAGGCTGAGATCCGCGTATGAAGAATGTAGCTCCTTGTTGGTTGCTTTTTGAGGTATCTTCCAAATGTTAGTCAGGTACCAGACTTGGCAATGATGCTCACTCACGTCATGGTCAATATAAAAGTCCTCCAGCGGCATGTCCAAGAAACCATCAATATCGTCGCCTTCTGTATGAAACTTGAGTTTGCGGTGCAGGTTCATCAGGACCGAATGCACCACGTTCGTCTTGCCACTGAGAATGCACTGGGCCAAGAATTGGGGATGGAAAACTGGCAAGGGTCCATTCAACCGCATGACGACCTCGTAAAGGCTTACAGTAGTATGACCGCGAGACGGAATGCGAAGCTGGGACACTAAACGATCAGTGGTCTCGATCTCATTGTCGTATACAAACAGCTGATTGCCGGCGCCGATGACGAGATTTCCGTCGCTAAGCCAGCAGGAGTCCCCGATCGGATGAGGCGTGAGGTCTCGGATCCAAATTTCTCGAATCTGCGTCCACGACGGTCTCGAGTCAAGATAGTCATATCGAAGCTGTGAGAGGAGAATGACTTTATGTGGGAATCCCACGGCCAGAATTGACTGGTTATCAGGAGTGGAAGTCCAGTCCAGGTCGCGAATAACATCTTGTTGAGAGAAATGCTCTTCAAATTCGAGCTGAGCACCGCTGGTGTCCCAAATTGTCAAGCGAGTACGATCTTCATCAACGAGGGCAGCTTTCCTGATGGAGCTGCCACTAGCAAGAGAAGGGTTCTCAATGCCAGTCTCGACGGTAGAGGTTAATAACCATTCAACGTGGCTGTTCTCCCTGTCAACCTTGGCTGTCCAAGTATGGATGATACCATTTCCCGTATAAGACAGCGCTATATCTGGGGAAAACTGATCGAAAAATCCGGACATCTCTGCTTTAGGCCCCGCAGGGTCAACAGGCAAGATATAAGACATGTCCTCCTTGATTCCCAGATCGAAAGTGCAGAACTTTCGAATTGAGCATTGCGGTTCATCGGTCGCCCCGTTGGTTTGGGTTTTCACAGTTGGCAATCGGATCTCCCAGGCAATTCCGTTCCTGCCAGCCCCAATTGTTGCTACATATACCATTTCTGGGGTAATGTCAGGGGTTGGTATAGGCAGAACACAAAGCGGTTTGCTCGAGAGCTGAAAAGTCGTGGAAGCAAGCTTTCTGGCGTGAAAGTAGCGAAGGTCCCAGACGGATATCCCATTATGATGCAGATTGACCAAAAAGTCCCCACCTTCAATAACACAGCTACGGTGGATATGTTCGTCTGAATACAATGAACTCTTGCGGACGAGTGCAGACCCAACACTTTTCCGTCGCTGGCTCCAGATCAGCGCTTGGTTGTCATCTGTGCGCGAAACAAGGGTATTTCCAATGGCGTTGCGAACAATCTTCTTGATGGGAGCAGTGTGTCCAGTCCATGATGCCTTTCTTACTATCCGATGTTTTCGGGGAGCTGGGTCGAATAAGACATCAACCTGGGAGTCAAACCATTCAATCCGGCCATCAAAGTGGTGCACAAGGATAGAAAGCGAGTCACTGTTGTCAGCACTCTGGAATGCGCACATTTGAGCATAATCTTCCTTCGTGGAGACGCCAGGCATGAAGGAGAAAGTAAGACCTTCGACGTGGAGGATGTTAAAGACGTTCAAATCTGACTTGGCCCTGGAGCCAACGTCTTCCAACGCCCAGGCAGACATGTGACCCTGGTCATCGATCATAACACAGATTTCAGGAGTCTTGTTTGCGACTTCGATAATGTGCTCCAGAGCATGATTTCCCTTGTTCCCAGTACTTCGTTGCACAGCTCGTTCAGTAGCGAAGCAGAAATCCCGGCTGTCGACCACAAATCCGTAACGGCGCGACATATCCTTTCCGCCCGATGTATGTCGGGGCTGAACAGAGGCAGACATATCGAGCTGCGTCCACAGTTGCAAGGCAGATGGCGCATGATGATCCACCGTCGCCCATACTCTGATCTTGTTGTCCGCGCACCAAGTGTAGAACGCATTGTCCATTGATTGCTCGCGGTGGTGCGGTTTGCGCCAATGCATCCCAGTCACAATGGATGGATGAGGGAGATACGACACCTCGAACCGCACATCATCGGCACCGAACGACAACCGCCGCCACACCTTGACCATGCGATCGTAGTGTCCCGTCGTAACCACCAACGTGGCGTCTGGAGAGAACTGCGCAAATTTCGCGGGGTTCGCGAGCTTCTGTTTCCATATGCGACGCGGGGTGTCGTTCAAAAACCAAAGGCTGAGGGATGAATTGCCCAGAAGCAACTCGTCGGGGGAACCCCACGACAGCGTCCGCACCGTCTCCTTGTCATCTTCGTTGCGAAAGGTATGGACCAAGGACCACTGTAGGAATCAACACCGTCAGCTTTATCGCACGCCAAAAGCGCATTCGCAGCTCGCACTCTTTCGCTGGACATGTGGGATTATTGCCTCCAGCCACTCTGCAGGGGATACGGACCTTGAGCGTTTCGTGTTGTATCCCGTACGGTTGGTAGATGAAAACATCGGGGCCTCCACACACAGCGATCTTGCCTGAAGCTTCATCGACAGTCACTGCTTCTAGCGTATCGGTGTCGTCAACGTAAATGGTTTGTAGGAGCTTATGCGGACCGCCGAGAATAACTAGAGCATTGCCGGAGATGTACACCTAACGCGATAGACACGCGCGGGAACTCGATTAGCTAGGTCCACGAGACGATAAAAAAAAGGAAGCATATCATAAGATCGGGAAGTATGGTTCCTTACAACAACGCGGAGACCATCCCACAGCGCCGTGCTGAATGACTGGAGCTTCGCTGGGGGTCTCCCCGGCAATACCGCTCGCATAGAGGCGGTGGTGGCTGAGGTTGGACGCTTCTTGCGCAGGAAGACGAGGTTACACCATTGCTAGGCAGAAGAGAGTTGGTCGGCAATTTTGAGCCTATCGCCGCAGACAGGCGGAAGAGTAAACGTGGCCCGAGAGCTCTAGAAAGAAGTGTAGTTGGAGGAGAGAGGGGAGACTGCGGAGGAGCGAAGTTCAGTTGATGACGGAGTTTCCGCCTTCCCGCCGTGTGACTTCAGCATGGGATCTCCTGAACTTTGCCCGTGCCAATCATTCCACCCGGACAGCATTCCAGAAATTTTATATATATTCTATTCTTTCCTGGTCGAATGGTACACTACATAACTCGAATGGGTATCGTAAACACATCCAGCTCAAAATAACCGCTGTACAAAGAACGCGATATCCACAAGCAGTATACGGAAACGCCTGCTATGCCAAGATACAAGAAAACAACAGAAACCTTTACGGCCGCCGATTGCCCGATCTTCTACCCTCTGTAGGGGATTCGGGCTCCTCATCCACAAATCGAACACTCGTGGCCATCGAGCTCCCTCGTCCAGTGGGCGCGCGTCGGCTGGAGTTAGTCCGAGGCGCTGTGATTCCCGCTCGCAAAAGCCGGCTGGCAAACGGCGTGTGCAATGGAGTTGCTGGAGTAGTCGACACTTGGGCTAATGTTCGAGCCCGTGCGGCTCGTTTGGACGGTGAAGTCATGTAGTTGGGGGTCATCAGAGGGGTAGTGCCTCGAGGCTGAGAGTCCGGTACAAAGTCGGTGGCTTTGAACGGAGTCTCGATCTGATGATCCCAAGGGTCGAAGATTGATGGGCCAGTTCTCATTCCCGACGGTCCATCGAAGTTCTTGACAGGACTTCTCAAGGGTCCTGGGGAATCACGGGCTTCCAGGCGCATTCGTGTCTTTTCCACCCAATGACGGAACATGCTGCGCGAATGTCTTCTTAAATTCCGCTCAAGCATAGCATGTGCGGTCTCCGCGGTGCTCTTGATCTGGAATACGCGAAGACTGAGCTTTCGGAGTTGAGAATTTGCCTGACCCAGCATATGCACATGATATACCCGATCCGCCTGTTGTTCCAAGGTTTGGCACTGGACAAGTGCCTCGGCCAGGCGGATCAACTGTCTATAAGCAGCTTGCCGGAAGTGGTACATATCAGCATCGTGATAATCTTGAATTTGCTTTGCGGTCTTCTCATGCCACTGCGCAAGAAGGTCAAAAGAAATATCCAACAGCTTCCTTCGTCGAAATTGCAAGGCTTGTTGCTCCAAGTCAGCAACATGGCTGGCTCGTTCATGTAATGCGGTCAGCGCCTTGGCTGCGAGGTTTATCTTGATCATTCTTCGAGTCTTCGCATAGGCCTCCTGGCGACGTCGCTTAGCAGATTCTAACATTGCCGTGTGCCATCGTTTGATCGACCTTGTTGCGAGAAAATAGAACTGCGCATTGCGAGCCCATGCCTCAAGCTTGATAACCTGTTGGTTCTTCGACCGCCAGGCCACAAGAGATTCTTGCAGGAGGCGTGGTGCATAGAATTCAAACGCAATGAATTCTCTCTCCCGCTGAAGCGCGGTCTGGTCTCGCCATCGTAATAGCCGAGAACGAAGGATTTCTTCGTTTTGATGTTCCTCATGCATCTCCGCATTGTCGAGCAGACGAGAATAAGTCCTGCGGACATTCGTCACAAAGTTTGAGAAAACATCGCGGGAGATGCGTTGGTCGCGAATCCGCTGCATCAGACGGAACCTCTCGGCTAGAATCCATTTATACATCGACTCCATCTTCAGGCGTTCGTCAATACGCGCAGTGAGGGCCTGGCATCGAAGAAGGTCATTCCACGTGGTCCAAGATCTGCGGATAAGCCTTTGCCGGTCAAATTCTTCTGCTTGCTTGAGCATCTGAAGTCGCTCCGCCCACTGGGTAAACGATGCTTGGAGAAGGTGTGTGTCGACCATGCCCGTGACACGGGATGCAGCAGGAGCAAGCTGAGATTGGATTCTCCATTCGTGAAAATTGGTGTCTAGAAGTTTCCGGCGCTGCATCGACACCGCTTGCTGGTCACTCGACGCAATCGCCTTGGATTTTTCAGCCAGCATCTGCAAGGCTGAGCCCAGTGCGAGTCGTCTGTTCTTCACATCAATCTCATGAATGCGTTCTCTGTTCGTTCGAAACTTCCGTAGCCAGTACAGCAGAGCGCGTCTCTTTAGACAAAAGTCATACCACTGAGGAGCCCGGCGTTCGCAAAAAGACCAAAACAATTTCCAGTAAGCATCATGTCTCGTTTTTTCGTCATAAAAGGTAACCGCTTTCTCCTCTATTTGTCGCACCTCGTGGGTCTTCTTTTTCCAGATTTTGAACGGTCGCTTCAATGCAAAGCGTTGGGCTTTTAGCTCATTGACGGCGGTTATTTCCCGCCAAGCATTGAAGTACTTCACGCTGAGGATATGCCTTCGGGCAGCCGAAGTCTTCGCAACTTCATCCGAGGCAACCTGTGCCCAGTGAGTAAACGCTTTGGTGACTAGAAATAAATCTCGAGCACGTCCAGCACGCTCCTCTAGGTGTTTGAAAAACCGCTCTGTCTGCGCAGCCCGTCGCTTTTCCTTTATGATCGACAGCCATGTTTGGAAAGCCTGGCGAAGGAGGGTGAAACTGTCACGGTTCACAGCAACAACCTCCATATCTCGATGGCTTTGCCGCGCTTGAATGGCTTTTTTGAGCCATTGTGTAAGGATGCGGCGGTTAATTGCTCGCTGGCGATACATATTGAAGGTCGATGCATCACGCAACAGGTCTGACAATGAGGGCCGATACAGCATCTCCAGTGGGAGCTGCGGTCGCTCGACGGGTTCACTATCCTCTTGGGAGCTTGCCGACGAGTCATCTACATCTTCGTCGGACGCTTTCGAGCTCCTGGAAGGGGGTTTGCGAGATCTGGAAGCTTCGGCGATTCGCTGAGATCGGTCTCTGTCAACTGCAGATCTAGCCTCCACTCCATTAGACACAGGCTGGTCTTCTGAGTCCTTATTTTTCTTCAAAGAGTCCATGCCATCAATCAGACGGCGGCCAACATCGAGAAACTGCGCAATCAATTGAGTCCTGTCAAACGGCTCGGATTCTCTCGTGGCTGGCGTCGCAGGCTGAGGCGTCCGTCGCGGTTCGAGAAACTCTGATTTACCCGTCTCCAGTCGTGACAAGGAGGAGCGTGAGCTCGGACGATTCACAAAGCTTCGTTGCGTTGGGTCATCGCCGATGTCGTACACCGAATTGAATGACGCCCGTCTTCGTCGAGTCGTATGCGACGTATCTTCTCTTGGCCGGGAATGGTCGGCTCGAGTCCTCAGACGGGGCTCAACTGAGGGTACATTCTCCGTGTACGTTTCATTGCCTTCGTTGTATTCGCCTATCTCAAGGACGATCCCCATTTGCTCCAGTAGGGTCTCAAACTTCTCGAACAGAGTATCGCCTACGACATTTTTGTTTCCCATCTTGAGCAAGAAGCGCATACAGGCATATCCTGGATCCGCATCGACGCCATGCTCTGCAATGACCTCGTCGTATGCTCTGAACAGTACTCTATACGGTAGGCGCGCGACCTCGGGATCCTCCTCGGCGCGGGAGATGATCTGGTAGAGAAGGCCGACATCTGACGGACAAGCGATTTGTCAGTGCGATGGACTGAAATTGAAAGTGAGATACGAACCTTCATCTGAAAGCGACGGGTCTTCGGAGGACAGACGTCTCTGAGAGGATACGGGAGGCATCGAAGTGTCCGCGACCTAAGGCGCGTTTTTCGCAGATTGATCATGGAGGCGGAACACGAGATCAACCATCGCTTGCGAGGCCAAGGGTTGGGAGCAAAGCAGCCGCGTGTTCTGGGATCGGCCAAATCAGTAAAAATGAGCCGTTAGAAAACAATGATCCACCGAATTGGAACAACAATTGGCGCCTTTCTTCGGATTGCGATTATTATTGTCTGTTATGTTTGGGTCGCGCTGGCCCCGAAACGGAATGGCGCCGGTGACGGTCAGCTGATCTGGTATTATATAAGCAGTCGAGGAGAGAGCCTCATCTCCGACAAGCCAATTCGAATTGCATCATCACAGGAAGAACTCACCAAGACAAAATGCCAGCAACGCGGACACGACCCGTCGAAAAGTTTGCAAAGGCCACCGCCAAGTGCTCTGCGGAGGTATGGCCATGCCGAGTCCAACCACCAGTGGGAATGCAGGCTGACCCCTTCCATAGGCTGCGGCGTACGGCAAATGCATTGTTGCCGACTACAATGCAGTGCACAAAGATATGTGCGCAAAGGAATTCATGCGGCTGAAAGACTGCTTTTTGGTATGAGAATGCACGTGCACTTCTGAACCGAATGATCTGACCGAGTATCGTGTATGCAGGCGGCATCGAAGAAAGTGTAAAGGCTACTTCCCCAGTACCTATTGTCTGGAGGTTGGAGGGTATTGCATATCTAGGCGTTTCCACTGGCTCTGATCTTTATGGTTACATGATTATAATGAATCGACATATAAAATAAAGAGTGTTCTGTAGATTTTATGACGAACAGCTAGCGCTACGTCTACTTTATCAACAATGAGGTCTTTATACCGTTGTTCTCGTGTCTTCAGACATAACCATCGTCAAAGAAAAGCCAAAAAGAAAATCAAATCTAAAGCTTCAGCAAACGCAACAGGAAAGTCGCCTTCTGCACTTCCTGTTCCTCCTGCATGATGAGGCCTTCCTGCTCGCCGCTAGGGGTCTTCCCATCAGCCACCTCATACCGTTCAACCGGCCGGCGCACCGCCTTCTCAATGAGTTTGGATTGCGTCTCGAAAGCTTCACTGATACCGATGTTGTCTGGGTCAGAAAGGACAACATACTCCATCTTCACGTCATCAGTGGGCACCAGGCCAGCCTTCTTACGAAGACGCTGCAGGCGGTTGACGATCTCACGACCCAGTCCTTGCTGGGCCAGTTCCGGATGGATGCTCGCATCCAAGATAGTCAGGACATCGGCATCAGTGTTGGGCTCCAAGTCCTTCGATGACTCGTCCTCCTTCAGACCCCGCTTCACTACGAGGTCGCCTTCGACGAGCTCGATACCATCAACAAGCATCTTCTTGTCGGCCACGAACTTCTTCACATCCTCGCTGGTCAGGGAAGGCAGGGCCTTCTTAACCTTCTGCGCATCCTTCTTAAGCTTCTTGCCCAGAGTGGGCCAGTCAGCAGAAACGCTGTACTGGACATTGTACTTCTCCTCATCCGTGGACAGGACAAGCTCCTGGATGTTGATCTCCTCGAGGATGTAGCCCTCCAGCGACTTCACGTCGTCCAGGTATTGCTGGTCTTTGTGGATGACAACGAGAGTCTTCAGAGGAGTCTTCAATCCAAGCGAACGACGTTCACGAGAGATACGAGCCATCTCAATGACCTTCTGCATCCGGGCCACTCTTCGCTCAACAACCTCGTCAAAAAGCTCCTCCCGCACCTCAGGGAAGGGAAGGAAATGAACGCTGCGGCTGTCTTCCGAACGCAACGACTCAGGAATATGGGGGAGAAGGCGGAGGTAGATGGTGTCGGTAATGAAGGGCGTGAAGGGGGCAAGGCCACGAACCAGGGTAAAGAGAACTTCGAAGAGGGTGTTGAGGGCATGCTGGGTGTCATCGACGCCGTTCTCGCCCTTCAGACGCTTGCGGTTGAATCTGATATACCAGTTGGTAGTGTTATCGATCAACTCAAGCAGCCTGGGCACGACGGTGTACAGGCGGTAACCTGCCATCTCCTCGTTGACGAACTTAAGCAGACTCTGGCAGCTAGCCAAGATCCAGCGATCCATGACGTTGGTGTTGGTAGCTTCCGCCTTGGGGTCGAACACATAGTCGATGCCATTGTTCTTCTTGAAGAGAGCTGCCTGGCCCTCAAAGAACTTGTAGCTGTTCCAGAGAGGGAGGAGCACCTTGGCAACGATCTCCTTGACGCCCGATTCCTTGAATCTGAGTGGCTCCGCGCGGACAACAGGGGAGTTGATCAAGTAGAGACGGAGAGCGTCGGAACCATACTTCTGCATGATCAAAGCAGGGTCAGGATAGTTCTTCAGTCTCTTAGACATCTTCTTTCCATCCTCGGCGAGAACAATTCCGTTCACGACACAGTTCTTGAAGGGCAAACGGCCGAACAGGTGAGTACCCAGGACAGTCAAAGTGTAGAACCAACCGCGGGTCTGGTCCAATCCCTCGGCGATGAAGTCACCTGGGAAGCCCTTTTCGAACTGCTCCTTGTTCTCGAACGGATAGTGCTGAGAAGCGTAGGGCATACTACCAGACTCAAACCAGCAGTCGAAAACTTCGCTCACGCGACGGAGGACGCCGTTGCCTTGTTTGCTGGGGATGGTGATCTTATCGACCTTGTCACGGTGGAGATCAGTGATCTCTCCCTCATAGCCGCTGAGTTGTTTGAGTTCCTCGACACTGCCAACAGCCACAATTTCCTTGAAGTCGTCACTGGCCCACAACGGAAGAGGAGTACCCCAGAAACGGTTTCGGGAGATGTTCCAGTCGCGAGCGTTCTGGATCCAGCTGGCAAACCGTCTGTCTTTGACAAATGAAGGCACCCAGTGCGACTCTTCAATGCCCTCGAGCATCTTGGGGATGATAGGTCCAATCTTGACGAACCAAGCTGGGACAGCACGGTAGATCAGAGGAGTGTCGGAACGCCAGCAGAAGGGATAGCTGTGAGTAATCTGGCTGTCGACAATCAGACGGCCAGTGCCCTTGAGATGCTTGATAATCGCTTTATCCGCAGCCTTAACATGCTGGCCTACGAAGTCCGAAACTTCGGCGGTATAGCAACCCGTGTCATCAACGGGGTTAGGCGGTGGGCGTGTTTCAGAGATAACGCCTCCTTCGAGCCCAACCTTGTAATCGTCCTCACCAAAAGCAGGTGCCTGATGGACAATACCGGTACCGTCTTCAGCCGTGACATACTCGGCGTTCAGCACACGGTAGCCATAGTCCTTGAACTCCTCGTAAAAGTACTTGAAAAGAGGCTCGTACTTCCAGTCTTTCATGGCAGATCCTTTGAGTCTATCGACAATCTTGAACTTGGCCTTCTTGGGGTCCTTGTAAAGGGTGCGAAGAAGGGACTCGAGGATGATGTAGTGTTTGCCGGAGGCTTCGTCGAGAATCTTGATGTACTCGAAGTTGGGGTTGACCGCAAGTGCAGTGTTCATAGGCAGGGTCCAAGGAGTGGTGGTCCATGCCAGCAAACACGTCTCGGGATCATTCACCAGAGGGAATGTGACGACAACGGCAGGATCCTGAACGTCCTTGTAGTTTTGTTGGGCTTCAAAGTTACTCAGGGGAGTGTTGAGAGCGGTCGAATAAGGCATCACGCGGTAACCTCTGTAGACAAGGCCTTTGTCAAACAGCTGCTTGAAGACCCACCAGACCGACTCCATGAAAGATGGGTTCATAGTCTGTGTAGAAAGGCGCGTTAGTAGAAGTCCTCTATAGTGCACACCTGCTATACCACACACTCCAGGACGGAGGTGCGGGCAAAGACACAGCGAAGAAATCGAACTCAAGATGAACAGACCTTATAGTCATTGTCGAAATCGATCCAGCGACCAAGACGCTCAATAGTTTCACGCCATTCGGAAGCGAATCTCATGACAATGGCACGGCACTCTTCGTTATACTTCTCAATTCCCAATTTCTCCACGGCCTCCAGACCCGACATGCCCAACTTCTTGTCGATCTCGTACTCAATGGGCACACCGTGCGTGTCCCAGCCGAAACGTCTCTCGACATAGTGGCCCTTCATAGACCAATACCGAGGAATGATATCCTTGATAGTCGAGGCCAACAAGTGACCGTAATGGGGGAGACCGGTAGCGAAAGGCGGACCGTCGAAGAAGGTGTATGGTTCACGGCCTTTGGAGAGCTCAACTTGCCTCTTGAAGGCGTCGATTTCCCTCCATCTCTGGAGGATAACCTCCTCCTCGGCAGGGAAATCAATGGACGACATGACGGGCGTGCGGTGCAGTCGAGAGTCGTTGCGATTGAGGCTCGGAGGGGTGGCCGCGGGGTCAATTTAAAAAAAGATGCGGCCGAAGTGAGTCACCCCAGACCCGAGTTTGTGCCAAGCCTTGCAGCCTGAGGCATCGCAGCGTTACTAGTTCTACTACTGTACATGAGCCAACTAGAATCTCCATTGAGTGAGATGGGTATAGATCCCAGGCTGAAACCACTATATACCTATCTATCTAGGGCGCGCCATATTGCGTTAGTCCTCATCCTCCTCCTCGTCATCATCGTCGTCATCGTCATCATCTTCAGCCTCGGATACTTCCTGTCCAAGGTCCTTGAGGCGTTTCTACAAAATAATTGATTAGCCTCTTTTCATCAGCAATTTTGAGGGTGCATTTACCTTGTCCTCGTTTCTCTTGGCCTCCAAGTCTCCAAATACAATGAGGAGATCCTCGAGTTCGGATTGAGCTGCCTTGCGAGCCTCTTCCTTCTCCTTGGCTTCGGATTTGGCCTTCTCCAGCTCTTTTCGCAACTCTTCAAGAGCCTGAAGGTTGGATTGGGCTGCTTTATCAGCCTCTTGCTTCTCCTTGGCTTTCGATTTTGCCTTCTCCAACTCTTGTCGTGTTTCTTCAAGGGCCTTTTGGGTATCCTCCCTCTCCTTAGCTCCAGACCGAGCCTTCTCCAGTTCCTGTCGGGTTTCTTCGAGTGCCTTGCGAGTCTCCTCCTTCTCCTTGGCTGCAGACCTGGCTTTCTCCAGTTCTTTTCGCATCTCCTCAAGGGCCTTGCTCGACTTCTCCGTATCGTCTTTGGTCGTATTTGCTTTGCTCTCTGCTTCTTGGACTTTCTTCTCCAGCGCAGAGCATTTTGTAGAGTACTCTTCGCGCACAGCTTCAATATCTTGTACAGATTTCTCCTGAATCGAGGTGACTTCTTTTTGAAGACTCTCGTTTTCGGACTTCAGCTCTGCAAGCTCCGCCTCATGTTTCGCTTTGCCAGCATCGACTTCGGACTGGAGCTTCTGGACCGTCTCATTGAGACTGGAAACTTCGGTGGTACGCTTTCCTTCCACACTGTTTATCTCGGACTGTAATTTCTGGACGTTCTTGTTGAGGTCCGAAACCTCTGCAGCGTGACGTTCTTTGCTCGCGTTCAGCTCGGATTGGAGTTCCTGGATGGTACCCTGCAAGTCCAAGATCTCGGCCACGTGCTGTTGCTTGGCTTTATCTGCATCTGCTTTCAGCGTCTGGATCGTGGCATTCAAACTCGCAACTTCGCTTGTATTCTGATCCTTGATGCGAGCAATTTCTGACTCAAGCGATCGAATCTTCTTCTGGAAGTCAGCTACTTCGGCCTCATGGTGCTCCCTCACTTTTTGGCTCTTTCGTTCATAGTCGGATGAAGTTTCTTTCAGCTGTCTGTCAATGGCGCGAAGCTGTTCGCCATGCTGCTTGAGGAGCTCGTTTCTCGCAAATTGGTGCTGTTCTTCCAAAGCAGACAGCTCCTGCTCATGGCTCCTCTGGAGCGCCTCGTAGGCCTGTTGGACCTTAGAAGCCTCCATGGTAGTCGATTCTTTTGTCTTTCTGTGCTCAAGTTGTTCATGTTCAAACTTGTTTTGCAAGATCAGAATATCGGACTCCATTTTTTGAAGTAACTGCAATTTCTCCTCCAGATCAGCCTTGAGTGAATCAACCAGTTCACGCGAAACGCCTCGCTCAACACCATTCGTGATGACCGAAATTTCCAACCCGGGCTCGCGATCAATCGCACGGATCAAGCGGCCAAAGTTGTCCTTCAGGAAATCAACGAACATCCGGTCAAAGAAGATATCGGGAAGCCCTCCTTCATACTGTCCTCCCACCGTTTGAGGAAGTACTTCGAAATCTCGAACAGGGGGGGCCTCTCGGAGCCGGGTGATTTTGTCTATGTACTGTTCGCGGCCCAATTGCTCTATCAGCAGTTTGTGGAGTGTCTTGCGAGGAATCGGTGAGTCCTTGGAGGAGAACTCATAGACAATTCCCAGTAGGACTGTGCTAAGCCCGGACAGGAGTACATTGGAGACATTCCGGTGCTTGATCTCCTGCAATAGACTCTGAATGCTACTTCCTTCCTGGAGGAAATCATTCACGGCATCGGGTTCTTCGAACAGCCAGCCGCATAGCAGCATCAGGTATCCCAAGGAGATGCGTTCGTCATCGCCCCGCTGCATGCCAGTGATCAGGTTGCCTACGATCGTTTGGATGCAGGTGATGACTTCTTCGCCATTCTCCGCGTCCCCCTCTGTCACACCCATGGCAATTGACTTGGCTTCCGCATTCTCGAAAAGAAGGTGAAACAAGAGAACGGAAGCCATCCATGTTTGATACGGGTCGGCATTTCCTCGAGACTCCGGAGGAGTAAGCAAGACGGTAAGGATGTTTGGAATCTGATCCTGCCCACTGATGTGCCCATCGATGGCTCGTCGTAAAACATGAATGCGTATACCGGAATGATTCGTAAAGAACGCCTTGACACACTCGCAAGCAGCCAGACGTGCATCTAGGAATTGGATGGGGGCAGGCTCTAGGGAGAGTTTGAGCAGCGCCTCGATGACATTGATTCTTTGGACGCCATTTGCAGCTCCTTCCGCAGGCTGAGAGCCCCAAACAACCTCAACGTCTCCGAACTGCTCCTGTAGAGGTTGATTGCCGCGAATCAAGTCGGCGCACGTCGCAAGCGCCTAGGCCCGTTAGTCCCAAAGCATGGTGAAGCGAGACGGGGCTTCACAAACCTTAGACGTGACATTCACGCTGAACTTCTGTCCAAAGGCCACGCTGAGAGCCTGCACCATGATACCATTGTTCCAAAAAGCCAATTGGTTAGCGGCGGTGTTTACCGCACCCCTGACCAAAAATAACTGAACGATAACCAGTAAACCCCAGATGTTTTTATCCCGAGCGGCTAAAGTCCACTGCGGTGTGGGTTCTTCCGATTCTTGCTCCTGATTAGCGTCGGCAAGCAGCTTTGTGAGGTTCTTTACGCATCCCGTTTCCCGGAAGTACGACTGGTTGGAGATATTCAACCGCAGAAGGTTGGCGAGTAGGGATAGGCAATCTTCGACGACTTCAGAGCCATGCGACAAAGCACCCTCCGCCTCGATGAGAGCAAATATGAGTTCGAACGCGTTCTCGAAGGCGACAAGTTTCTGAAATTCTTCGGAGGCCGGCGTGAGGGCAATCAGGAGCAGCAGTGCCTCTAGAGAACACGAACCGTCAGTACAAGATCATGGGAGTTTCTAGGGCGACTGATGGAAAGCGAACCATTTCTCACTGGCTCCCTGACATCCCCGAGAGCAGTGACTAGCCTGGGAATTCCCAATGGCGCTGTTAAGATACACTCCTGTGTCCTCTCGGGGCGTGCGCTTGAGATTTGGAACATCAATTGTAAGGAGTAGAGGCGAGAATAGAAGTCGCGGGTATCGAGGAGGTCGAGAAGGGCGGTAATATTATCTTGTCGCTTTCACTCCGTTAGAAACATGACAATGGATGGCGCGGAGGACATCTGTACCTGGGTGAACTCATCCGAGAGCCAGAGTGCGATTTCATCCGACGCTTCAGGCTACACAACAAGTCAGTATACACCGACGTCTTCAGTTCTCCGGAAGATCCCTCACACTGGTCTCATCGGGAGAAAATAGCATCAACAGGGTCTCCAGGACCACTTTGAGTGTGTCCACATCTTCTCGGTCATCGCGCAGGCTGTTGATCAGGGGCCGCAGCGCACCCGATGCGACGGATGCAGGATAGGTCTTTGCAAAACTTCTCAGGCCTTGGATTGCCGCGCGTCGGTCCTCGAGTAATGTAGCACTTTGGAGTCTATTGGTAAGGGTGTTGATTGTATCCGTGGCCGTTTGTTTGGCCGGCGCCTGCGATTCGAGGATTCGGAACATCGCAAATGGTGGCTCGTAATCTCATGGTCACCGCCAGCCGAGGGCGTAGCAATTGATTAGCATCGAACAGGTTGAGACCGAGCTCCAACCGTGGTGGGTGGGGACAGGCGTGTTGTACAGCGGGTTAAGCGGCTGAGCTGTTCTCTTCGGAGCTGCGATGATGCTGCCCAGATAGGCAATTAATGGACCTGGTTTTCTGCCGTTCAAGCAGCGCGGGCGCATTTCCTCTTGCGGATGTCGCCGCTTTAGGTGATCAGGTGACTGCCCTTGTAGAACTATTTGCCGCTCTGAAAATGGTTGTTTGGGTGATACAATGGTGTTTGCTATTTGTTCTTGTTATGGTATTCGCGTAGATATTCTATATTAACTTATTTACTCCTTGTTGGTACTTACTAACTGCTGAATGTGGTTTGGGGTGGAACGATAGGCAGGGTTTGCCCGATATATATATAGCTTGAAATGCGTATCATCTACTACTACCTGCTTGCTACTTTAGAGGTCCTGCGATGTGCCTAGAATTAGCTTATGACTATAGACCCGACAACTGACTGACCATCTAATCCTTCTTTGAATAAAAGACAAAGAATCGCGAGTTCAAGGACAGTTCATTGTACAGGCCAAGCAGCAAGCCAAAAACCCCGGAACCGCGATAAGAGAAGCCCCGAACAGCCGAAATTCATTGGGTCATCCATTCCGCGCGCCGCATCGCAGAGACTTACAAGTCTTATTCCCATCGCCCTTTCACCTCTCACCGAGGGCATCTCTTGTTTGTTTTTTCCCTTTTAATCTTAAATCCTGTATCTGCGCAAGCGCTTTGTGCAGTAGATCTTGCTGTACGGGGAGGAAGATTTCAACCGTTGCGACCTCCGAAAGCTCTTCCGAGACCAGGTTGCGCCCGCCGCTCATGAAGCGCAACAGTTAACTGGATTAATTCTCATTTCTGAATCCCCCATCCCCTACCACCTCCTTCCTCGCGACCAGTCGCACCCGTCGCCATGGGTGTTCCAGCTCTGTTCCGATGGCTCTCCAACAAATACCCGAAGATCATCTCGTCGGTGATCGAGGAGCGCCCCTACGAAGTCAACGGCGAAGAAGTTCCCGTGGATACAACGCGCCCCAACCCCAACGGAGAGGAGATGGATAATCTGTACCTGGACATGAATGGTATTGTCCATCCGTGTACCCATCCCGAGGGAAAGCCTCCGCCAGTCAACGAGCAGGAAATGATGCTGGAGATCTTCAAATATACCGACCGCGTGGTGAATATGGTGCGCCCGAGGAAGCTCCTGATGATCGCTGTTGGTGCGTATAATTTGCAACGTATTGACTATTCGGGAGACTGTTTGGCTAATTGATAATGTTTCTACCAGACGGTGTCGCACCACGTGCAAAGATGAACCAGCAGCGCGCCCGTCGTTTCCGCTCTGCGCAGGAGGCGAAGGAAGCCGACGAGAAGAAGGAGGAGTTTCGTAAACTCCAAGCGAAGCAGAATGGCAACAAGGCGGACCAGGATCTCCAGGAAGAGGTGATCCAAAAGACGTGGGATAGCAACGTTATCACGCCAGGAACACCATTCATGGACATTCTCGCTGCGTCTTTGCGTTACTGGATTGCCTACAAGCTCAATACCGACCCAGCTTGGGAGAAGGTAAGCTCGTTCTCGCTTTCCCCGTCCTTCTGATTATGGTGCTGACTTGAGACTAGCTGAAAATCATCATCTCCGATGCGACCGTCCCTGGAGAAGGAGAACACAAGATTATGGAATTTGTTCGTTCTCAGCGGGCAGATCCCGAGCATGACCCCAATACCCGTCACGTTATTTATGGATTGGTATGTTGATTGAATGAGTATTGACTCCTCATATCAGAGAAGGCTGACGAATTGAACGATTTTAGGACGCTGACCTGATCATGTTGGGTCTTGCGACACATGAGCCCTATTTCCGGGTTTTGCGAGAAGACGTCTTCTTCCAAGAGTCCAAGGCCCGCACCTGTCATCTCTGTGGCCAAGTCGGACACAAGGCCGAAGAATGTAGAGGTCGGGCGAAGGAGAAGAGTGGAGAATTCGATGAGAAGCAGAATGGGACGTCGCTGAAGCCATTCATCTGGCTGAATGTCTCTATTCTCCGCGAGTATCTGGCCGTCGAGCTGCACGTGCCAAACCAGCCCTTCCCCTTCGACCTCGAGCGGGCGTTGGATGATTGGGTCTTCATGTGCTTCTTCGTGGGGAATGACTTCCTTCCGCACTTGCCATCATTAGACATTCGTGAGAATGGTATTGATACTCTGATAGCTATCTGGCGCGATAACATTCCTGTCATGGGCGGCTACTTGACCAAGGACGGCCACGTGGATTTCAAAAAGGCCCAGCTTATTTTGCAGGGTCTTGCCAAGCAAGAAGACGCAATCTTCCGCCGTCGTAGACAAGTTGAAGAGAGGAAAGCCGCAAACGAGAAGAGGCGCAAGCAGGAGGCGCAAGATCGAGAGGAACGCTCCAAACGGCAGAGACGTGGCTCGCCATCTTATGATGCGTATGAGCCTCCCGCCAACAACCGATCGCGTGGCGGTGGAAGCGGTGGTCCGGCGCCACCCAGTGGACTCGAGCTGATTACCCCTGCCCGGGGTGAACTGTCGCGCCAGACGAGAGAGCTCACCCAGAGCATGGTTGTCAACCGAGGAGCGGTCTACCGAGCAAACATGGCCAACAAGAGTGCCGCCGCTGTTCTGAAAAGCAAGCTGATGAAAGGCTCCCAGGAGGATACCTCCGAGGACGTGGAAGAGCCCTCTACGGATGAGCCGGCCGAGCAGACGTCTCCATCCGTCCTCGGTAAACGAAAGGCCGATGAACCCAATGGTGGAGAGGAAACTCCCGGTAGCGAGACGCCTAAGCCGAACAAAGATGACGAGATGCCGCCCGACACAGTTCGCCTGTGGGAAGAAGGCTACGCGGACCGCTATTACGAGCAGAAATTTGGCGTTGACCCCGAGGACAAGGAATTCCGGCACAAGGTTGCGCGGGCCTACGCGGAGGGTCTTGCCTGGGTGCTGCTGTATTATTTTCAGGGGTGTCCGTCATGGACTTGGTACTATCCTTACCATTATGCGCCCTTTGCGGCCGACTTTGTGGACATTGCCGACATGATCCCGTCCTTTGAGAAAGGAACGCCGTTCAAGCCGTTCGAGCAGTTGATGGGCGTTCTTCCGGCGTCGTCCAACCATGCCATTCCGGAGGTCTTCCACGACCTCATGAAGGATCCCGACAGCGAGATCATCGATTTTTACCCCGAAGATTTTGCCGTGGACCTGAACGGGAAGAAATTCGCCTGGCAAGGAGTTGTTCTGCTCCCATTTATAGACGAGAAACGACTTCTGAACGCCATGGAGAAGAAGTATCCGTTACTCTCGGACGAGGAGAGACTCCGTAACTGTGTGGGACGGGATGTGTTATTGATCTCCGACAGACACCCGCTCTACCAGGACCTGGTGGGCAATTTCTATTCCAAGAAGCAAGGTGCTCCCAAGTACAAGCTGAACATGCGCGTGAGTGAAGGATTGGCGGGTAAGGTTGAAAAGGACGAGTCCTACATCCCCCACAGCTCGCTGGTGTCGTCGCTGGAAGAATACGGCATGCCCACTTTGGAGGAAGATCGGTCTTTGACGTGAGTATTACCATCCACTCCATTCCCTTCTCCGATTTTCCTCCTTTTTTTCTGAACATTCGCTCATGCTTTCTAGGGTCAATTACGAGATCCCCAAATCGTCCCATATCCACAAGTCGATGTTGCTCCGGGGAGTCAAATTCCCTCCCCCTGCCCTGGACCAAGGCGACATCCAAGCCGTGAAGTCGAAGGCGAATCACTCGGGCCGCTCCTTTGGAGGAGCCCCATTCCGAAACAATGGGAACCGCGGTGGACGAATCAACTATGCTCCCGACCGACCGAACCCCTTTGCGGCGCATCTCGATCCGAACTTTGTGCCTGGAGCTAATGCCGCTGCTGGGGCCCCTCCCATGATGCCGGCTGGCTGGGCTCCTCCGGCATCAGGCTCCACAGGGTACTCCCGAGGACCACCGCCTCCTCCACGTGGTGGAAGCCGAGGAGGAGGAGGATATCCTCCTCGCGGAGGCTATGGCGGTGGTGGAGACTACTATGGACGGAGTCAGGGATCTTATTATGGCGGTGGTGGTAACCCCGGCAATCAATATGGATATCGGCCAAACCCACCCGGACGAGGAGGACAAGACTATCGCGGTGGAGGGTATCAGCGAGGAGGATATTCCAACCGGGACCACTATTCCTCGAGGAACTCGGGTGGATATGGTCGGTACTAAGACCATCACCGAGAAAAAGTGGATTCAATTTGTCCGGCTGGGACATGTCGATCTTGGATCTAGTCATGCAGTCGGGATGATGGAGACTATTTTGAGTTTTTCATCTTTTTATTTTTCTTTTTTTTTTATGTGTATACATAGCTGTTCTATGGGTCTTGCCCCTTTTCCCATCCACTGGGAGACAGCAGTCACATACATACTACTATGTCCCGGGGAGGAGGATTGGGCTGTGGATGGCGTTTGGAAAGATCATCATGAAAAGAGACATGCATTCTAGCCAGTGAAATTGGAGTCGACCTTGTTTGTCTGCAGTCTTTCATTATTCGTTCCGTAGTAGATGAAGTAGAAGAAATCGTGTACTCGTATATCTACTGCAGTGAATACTATACGTACGGAGTACTTATGATAGTTCGTGTCCAACACCCGCCGATCGCTTGCCGAGCGCCGCGACATCGGAACCCAAATGAGTCAATCGGGCCATCGACGGGCGGTGTGGAGCATGAATTGAACATCTCTCGCGCGCTCGCTCGCTCTCCAATTTGATTTCTTCTCGCTTTGTCTCTTGGATGGGTTCCACCTTGCCAATCCTCTCTTGATTCAATCCCTCGCAGGTGATTGCTCACCCTCATTCCTTTTCCGGGCGGAGCTGAAGACCTTACCTCCCCCCGCTTGCTAAATTTCTCCCGCGTCCCTGTCGCTTCAGTTTATTTTCCCCTTCCTGTCCCACCAGACAGCCTTGATCTTTCTACCCTTCACCATCGTGTGCAATTGGTTCGGTGGACGAACCCTGAGGGTGTGAACAAGATCAGAATCGCGTTCTGGTCAACAGCATGCTCTAAACGTACGTATGACTCAGTTCCCCCGCCGTCCGAGCCTCGTGCATCACAGGTGGCACACCGGGTTTTAACCAGGAATATTGAAAATAGAGGGAATAAGAGAACATCAAATCACAAACACATCATCTACGATGCCCGAACCTACGAAAATTAGCATCTTGGGGAAGGAGAGCATCGTCGCCGATTTCGGTCTCTGGCGCAATTATGTCGCCAAAGACCTGATCAGTGGCTGCCCCTCCACCACCTACGTCCTCATCACCGATACCAACATCGGCTCCATTTACACCCCCAGCTTCCAAAAGACCTTCGAAGAAGCCGCCGCTGCCATCTCCCCGTCCCCGCGTCTATTGGTCTACCATGCGCCCCCCGGAGAGGTGTCCAAGTCCCGCCAGACCAAAGCCGACATTGAAGATTGGATGTTGAGTCAGAGTCCCCCATGTGGTAGGGATACGGTGGTCATTGCTCTGGGTGGAGGCGTCATCGGTGACCTGACCGGCTTCATCGCCGCTACTTACATGCGTGGTGTCCGTTATGTCCAGGTTCCGACTACTCTCCTGGCCATGGTCGACTCCTCCATCGGAGGAAAGACTGCCATCGATACCCCGCTTGGTAAGAACCTGATCGGCGCCATCTGGCAACCCACGCGCATCTACATCGACCTCGAGTTCCTGGAGACTCTCCCCGTGCGGGAGTTTATCAACGGAATGGCCGAGGTGATCAAGACCGCCGCCATCTCCAGTGAGGAAGAGTTCACCGCATTGGAGGAAAACGCCGAGACGATTCTGTCCGCCGTGCGCCGTGAAGTCAAGCCCGGTCAGCACCGATTCGCCGGTCTCGAAGACATTCTCAAGGCTCGCATTCTCGCGTCCGCGCGTCACAAGGCCTATGTCGTCTCCGAGGACGAGCGAGAGGGTGGCCTTCGGAATCTCCTAAACTGGGGTCACTCCATTGGCCACGCGATTGAGGCCATTCTCACCCCCCAGATCCTACACGGTGAGTGCGTTGCCATTGGTATGGTGAAGGAAGCCGAGTTGGCGCGCCACCTGGGTATCCTGAAGAATGTCGCCGTAGCTCGCATTGTCAAGTGCATCGCCGCCTACGGTCTGCCTACCTCCCTGAAGGATTCCCGCATTCGCAAGCTCACCGCCGGCAAACATTGCTCTGTCGACCAGCTGCTTTTCAACATGGCCCTGGACAAGAAGAACGACGGCCCCAAGAAGAAGATTGTGCTCCTCTCGGCCATCGGTCAGCCGTACGAACCCAAGGCTAGCGTTGTGCCCAATGAGGACATCAGCGTGGTTTTGGCCCCCAGTGTTGAGGTACACCCCGGTGTTCCCAAGGAATCCAATGTTGTCTGTGCTCCCCCGGGCTCGAAGAGTATTTCCAACCGTGCTCTGGTTCTGGCTGCGTTGGGCTCTGGCACGTGTCGGATCAAGAACTTGCTGTATTCCGACGATACTGAGGTTATGATGAATGCGTTGGAGAGAATCGGCGCCGCCACCTTCTCCTGGGAAGAGGAGGGTGAAGTGCTTGTCGTGAACGGAAAGGGAGGAGACATTAAAGCCAGCCCTACTCCCCTCTATCTTGGAAACGCGGGCACCGCCTCGCGGTTCCTGACCACGGTCGTCACCCTTGCGACCGCCAGCACTGTCGATCACAGCGTCTTGACCGGCAACAACCGCATGAAGCAACGTCCAATTGGCGACTTGGTTGACGCCTTGACTGCGAACGGCGCCTCGGTCGAATACTTGGAGAAGAAGGGCAGTCTTCCTCTGAAGATCGGTGCCGGTGGTGGATTTGCCGGAGGACGTATCAACCTGGCTGCTAAGGTTTCCTCTCAGTTCGTGTCCTCGCTCCTCATGTGCGCTCCCTACGCCAAGGAGCCTGTCACCCTGAAGCTGGTTGGTGGCAAGCCCATCTCCGAACCGTATATCGAGATGACCACCGCCATGATGCGCTCTTTTGGCATTGAGGTGCAAAAATCGACCACCGAGGAGTTCACCTACCATATCCCGCAGGGTCGTTATGTCAACCCCGCCGAGTACGTGGTGGAGAGCGATGCTAGCTCTGCTACCTATCCTCTTGCCATTGCTGCCGTCTCGGGCACGACCTGCACAATCCCCAACATCGGCTCCAAGTCTCTCCAGGGCGACGCCCGCTTTGCCGTGGATGTCTTGCGGCCCATGGGCTGCACGGTCACTCAGACTGAGACCTCGACCACAGTTACTGGACCGGCCGATGGCATCCTGCGGCCGCTCCCTAACGTGGACATGGAGCCCATGACTGACGCTTTTCTGGGAGCCTCCGTGCTTGCCGCCATTGCTCGCGGGGAGGGCTCTAACCACACCACCCGGATCTACGGTATCGCGAACCAGCGAGTGAAGGAATGCAACCGGATCAAGGCCATGAAGGACGAGCTCGCTAAGTTCGGAGTGGTCTGTCGCGAACACGACGACGGTCTCGAGATCGACGGCATCGACCGCTCCACCCTGAGACAGCCCGCGGGTGGCGTTTTCTGCTACGATGACCACCGTGTGGCGTTCAGTTTCAGCGTTCTTTCCCTCGTGACTCCCCAGCCCACCTTGATCCTGGAAAAGGAGTGTGTCGGTAAGACGTGGCCTGGTTGGTGGGACACCCTCAGACAGTTGTTCTCCGTGAAGCTCGAGGGAAGAGAGCTCAAGGAGGAAGAAACTCCCGTACTGACTGGTGCGGAGAAGGCCAGTGCTTCTGTGTTCATCATCGGTATGCGGGGTGCTGGCAAGACGACGAGCGGAAAATGGGTCGCAAAGGCCTTGAACCGTCCGTTCGTTGACCTCGACACTGAGTTGGAAACCAACGAGGGCATGGCAATCCCCGAAATCATCAAGCAACGTGGCTGGCAGGGATTCCGGGATGCCGAACTGAGCCTTCTGCAGCGCACGTTGAAGGAACGCGCGACTGGCTACGTGTTTGCATGTGGCGGCGGTATTGTTGAGATCCCGGAGGCGCGCAAGCTGCTTATCGACTATCACAAGAACAAGGGCAATGTCCTTCTGATCATGCGCGATATTAAGCAAGTGATGGACTTCCTCTCCATTGATCAGACTCGTCCGGCCTATGTGGAAGACATGATGGGCGTGTGGCTACGCAGAAAGCCCTGGTTCAACGAGTGCAGCAACATCCAGTATTACAGCCAACACGCAAGCTCCAGCGGCCTTACTCGGGCGTCTGAGGATTTTGAGCGGTTCTTGAAGGTCGTCACGGGCCAGGTGGACAACCTCAGCCTGATCAAGCAGAAGAAGCATTCCTTCTTCGTGTCCCTTACTCTGCCGGATCTGCGCTCTGCCAGTGACATCCTCGATGAGGTCTGCGTGGGCTCTGACGCCGTCGAGCTCCGCGTCGATCTGTTGAAGGACCCCGCGTCGGATAGCGACATTCCTTCGGTCGACTACGTGGCCGAGCAGATGTCCTTCCTCCGCAGTCGCACGGCCCTTCCCCTCATCTTCACCATCCGCACCAAGAGCCAAGGTGGCCGTTTCCCTGACGATGCTCATGACGCTGCGATGGACCTGTACCGTCTCGCTATGCGTTCTGGCAGCGAGTTCGTGGATCTCGAGATCGCTTTCCCCGACGAGATGCTCCGTGCGGTCACGGAGATGAAGGGTTACTCGAAGATCATCGCATCGCACCATGATCCCAAGGGCGAGCTGTCGTGGTCCAACATGTCTTGGATCAAGTATTACAACCGAGCCCTCGAGTACGGTGACGTGATCAAGCTCGTCGGTGTGGCGAAGAACCTCGACGACAACACCGCCCTTCGGAAGTTCAAGACGTGGGCAGAGGAGGCTCACGATGTGCCGATGATTGCCATCAACATGGGTGACAACGGACAACTGAGCCGCATCCTGAACGGCTTCATGACCCCTGTGTCCCACCCCAGCCTTCCGTTCAAGGCCGCTCCTGGCCAGCTGTCGGCCACTGAAATTCGCAGAGGACTGTCTCTGATGGGTGAGATCAAGAAGAAGCGGTTCGCCATCTTTGGCAACCCTGTGTCAGTTTCCCGTTCCCCGGCCCTCCACAACACCCTCTTCCAGCAGTCGGGACTCCCCCACGAGTACACGCGGCTGGAGACCTCCAACGCCGAAGACGTTAAGGACTTTATCCGCTCCCCTGACTTTGGCGGTGCGTCTGTGACGATTCCGTTGAAGCTGGATATCATGCCTCTGTTGGATGAGATCGCGCGGGAGGCTGAAATCATCGGTGCGGTGAACACCATCGTGCCCGTGAACAACGGTTCTGACAAGACTCGGCTGGTGGGCTACAACACCGACTGGCAGGGCATGATCCTGTCTCTGCGCAACGCCGGTGTGTACGGCGCCAACAAGGACGCCAGCGCGGTGGTGGTTGGTGGCGGCGGCACTGCTCGGGCCGCGATCTTTGCTCTCCATAACATGGGCTACTCTCCGATCTACGTCATCGGACGTTCGGCGAGCAAGCTGCAGAGCATGGTTGAAACCTTCCCGACTGGCTACAACATCCGGGTGGTGGACAGCAGCGAGCAGATTGACACAGTGCCGCAGGTCGCCATTGGCACGATCCCGGCGGACCGGCCGATCGACCCCGGCATGCGGGAGACCCTGTGCCACATGTTTGAGCGGGCTCAGGAGCTCGACGCCGACATCGTCAAGACCGGCGAGAAGGCGCCGCGTGTGCTCCTGGAGATGGCCTACAAGCCCGCCGTGACGGCTCTGATGCAGTTGGCGTCGGATGCCGGCTGGCTCACTATTCCGGGGCTGGAGGTCCTGGTGGGGCAGGGCTGGTATCAGGTGAGTTGTCTCTTCCCGTATAGAGAGGGTTCACTTTATGCTGACATGATTCTAGTTTAAACACTGGACGGGAATTTCCCCGCTCTACAAGGACGCGCGGACGGCGGTGCTTGGAGACTCGGCATGAGCATGATATGATCAAGCGGATGGTTATGTAGTGCAGCTTTAGGATATTCTTTCGATTCGGTTGATGATGATAATCATAAAAGTCTAGAAATTATTTCGGATTACATATGAGCGGTCGTTGGAGCAATATTCATATACAATCTAAAGTAATGAAGTTGTAGGAAGGGACCGAGAATCCAGAATCTGGTGTTGGTGTAGAGACGCGAGCTGCGACCGGACAGTCGCAGTCCACCATTCTACCCTGCACGGCCAATGCCGCACTGAGTATATTCCAAATATTCCCGAATTCCTACAGTATCAATTAACCGGCCGAGGTCTAGACGAAGATCAGTCAGTACTCCGTAAAGTACAAAGTAGAAGGTGGATAGAATTAAGCGAGGTCGACTGGAAGGTCTGGACCGCGACCGGCCGAAAAGGTGCGACGGTCCAGACCGGAGGCGGTGCAGAGGGAAGACGTTGAGTGCTGACGCTGCAAGACATGCATGCGACGATTGTGCAAATTCTCACCCTGTCTTTGATTGTTACTATTTATTATTCTCGTTGAGACGATGGATGGTCAGATGAGCATCAGTCTGTCTAGATGGACGGTTGAGTATGCAACTACTGTCTGCACCTTCAGGTCACGATGCCTCGAGCCGATAACAGGGACTATTTTTATCTCACCCAAGCGATCGATAATGGAACCGGTTATCAGAGACAGTCATTATCGCATGGGTGAGACCTGCCGTATCTATCTACTCCGTATCTACATACTGTACTGTGTCTCACAACGGTCGTGCCCGAGGCTGCACGGACGGACGCTAGACCAGGAGGGAGGAACCACGGTGCCATGTTGCCGACCAGGATGGATTGATCTGCCGGGCCGAAGGATGACCCAGTTGTATACAGCGTATTCTATCCGGACCCCATCGCTATCGGTCTCGTATTCGGGTTGTAGAAATAATAATACTGTAGTTGTCTTGTCGAGGATGTTTCGTTATCTTTCTAGAATGTCCGAGTCTATCTACAGCAGTATCCAAATGTATATATAGTATGTAGTCGGATACGCTCATCCGATTGACCAACGGTCGGAAGTCTGTTCCTGCGCTGACAGCCGATCGAATCCCGAAAGTGAAAAGTATCAGAGAACAACAAACAGGAATGCTAGATTCCTGCCACGACGCAGAATTTTCACCGTTGAGTCATTCCTCCTGGCATCCGTCCGTCTCGTGTTAGGCATCATCCGGACAACCGAGTATGCACTAAAGTAGGTACTCTGTCCGGGGCTGCATGGAAGCCAGGAAGAAGCCATGGAAGCCCGTCCTCCGTAAGCGATGGGAAAATTTTTCTCTAGCTGCATGCCGCTGCACAGGCTAAGGAAGTTAGTTTGCACGTAGAGGCCATAATTAGAAGGTTTCCAGAATCTCCATGGAAGAAAATTCTGCGCCCGCGGAGACGCCGATTGGTTACGCTGGTGGGGCCCTCGGCAAGCGGTGGTATCGTTGTTACCGGGCTGGTATTCTCCCGGCCGTCCTGCAGCCTTGCTTCCCCCGCGAACACGTCGTTGTGGCTGTGCGCCGACTTTCTGCATTGCGCTTCCTCCCCCTCTGATTGATCAGCCTGCGCTCAACTCGAGGGAAAAATTTTTCCTTCTCTGCATTAGCGTCTTCCTGTTCCACGACGCCCTCCCGTGCGAATGGTTAAAGTGCTGACCGGTCGGGTTGATCCCTGCTAGGGTGATAGTTCGGATACCACAGCTCCGTCCGGGTTCAAAGTATTGATGGACAACGTCCTATTCGGGTAAGCCTTACGAAGGGCCGTCGAGCAGACTGACGCCCGCGGAGTCGTGTTGGACTGCCCAGCCCGAGTCATCGCGTCACCAAGAAGTAGACAGATATCAGACTATTGCGGCTTCGCCCACAGCTCCCTGATCTGGCAGGCGTCCTCCGATGGGTCGGGTGCAAGATTCCACGTGCGAATGAAGTCAGATTAACCCTCAACCAGGCCGTCGGTACAAGCCTGCTTGCCTCCCCCCTCCTTTGCACGGAGTAGGGCCCATCCCTCGTAGGGCAGTCTAGACGCTCGGACTGGAGATGCCAGATTCCACACCCACTCATCCACCCACCCACTACGGAGTACACAGCCCAATCACCCAATCCGACAGCTCGTAGAGTTTGCTTACTTGTCCTTTGATGACCTCGACCGATGTCGCAGGACGTATGTATGTATCTGGTGGAACGTCGCCCTGTAAGCCGCTTACCGGGTCCCAACCCCTGGTCTCCGTTAAGTCCATGTCTTTCGGACGAGGGGAGGACCAGCTGTTCTAGATAGGAGATTGGCCGATCGATCATCTCATTCCTGGCTGGTGCGCTGGGGTAGACGGTCGTTGCCACCGGTTTCAGCTGTCGTCTGTCCAGTGCGCGGTGGGGATGGGTCGTCCGGGCCTTCCCCATTGTCCATGACAGGTTGTCGACAGGCTGTCGAGAGGGCGGGTGGAATAACCCGATAGCGTAGTTGGTCGCATATACTACGGTGATTGGCGCACAGCACACGCCCATCGACCGGGTGTCTTACCAGTTGCGGGCGTTGGCGGACCAGGCTGCCACGAGCTGAGGAGTTTAATTTCACCTGGCCTTTGCTGCGGTGTCGACAGGTCGAATTCACATGTGAAAGGTAAGTCTATCTGTCTACTGCACTGTACCTAGTATCTACGAGGCATACTATGCGAACGAGATAGGATTGGAGATAGGATTGGTCACGGGACCTCCCAACACATTGTCGAGGTAATGGAAGCCGACGTGGTCTCACCTGATGCAGGTCAGGTGGTCTCTGTCGCGCTATCGTTGCGCGGTCGATGAGGCTCAGCATGAGTGGTGATGCTGTCCACCTCCAAGCGAGGTGTAGAACCATGGGGAGACCCGGGGATATTGCCTGTCATGTTGGGCGTGGCCTGAGATGCCCGGTCAGCTGACCAACTCCCATGTATGACTGGTGCGCTGCACTGCTGCGCAAGGTCGTGCTCCAGCCGGCACGCGAGACGGGCTTAGGTTACATGCATGGCCTGGTCGAGATCGAGTAGCGAGCGTAGGAGCCTGCTTCGCCAGCATATGGGGGTTGGTGCCGGCCGAAAGCCCGAAAGGGTTCGGATGAGTGGTGCCGTCGGTGAGCATCCTCGGTACGGTACGACCAACACCCCGGTCCATACGTTGGTTGGCACGCTAGACCGGGGAGGGGCTTGGCAGTAGCTCTCGACTCCGAGACTTTCCCGCAGAAGCACCTAACGTCTGCAGTAGGAATGGGGGCTATCGCGATCTGCACGTATCTGCACACTACAAGGGATAGCAACGTGGAACAGACGACGATGATGCGTTGTGGCTGGGCCCCGGACAACTCCGTTGATACCTCAAGCACCGATGACAAATCCGACATAACTAGCATACTCCGTGCTCCGTATAACTAGTATCAGCCACAGACGATGTGGCTTTGGCAGGGCTAGTGGACCCCGATTGATCGACATAAGGGCTGCGTTTGCAGACCACGATCCACCTGTGATCACCAATCATGGAACATGTCATCTGTAAGGGTTAGTGGGTTTCGTTATTTTTTTTTAGGCTTTTTGTTTCTGACTTCTGAGACCAGCCTCGGTATCGCGGCCCAACAAAGACACGAGAGTGATCGGATCTCCATCCCCAGGGGTGGATTTGTGGCGCAGCATTATTTTCAGGTGTCTGATTGGCTGCCTTAAGAGGCAGCCCAAACAGTACCCTATAGTAGTCATGATCTTCTTTTACCTAGGTAGCTTAGATACTCAATAGTAACGAATAGTACATCTAGCTCATTCTGGGGCATTCTGGTTGTGGATTGAGTCAGAGTATGACAGCAATAGAATGTCATGACAAATAATCAAGGCTATTAATCAGGATTCGGATGTCGGACTTAACAGGAATGCCAAAGAAGCCACACGAAGATGATCGGAGGGTGCCGATTGTGGCTGATCTTGATCAGGTAATAATTAGGAATACTCTGACCCCGGATCCTGTGGGCGATCGGTGTAAGATTGGCTGGTATCGGTATTGTCACCCGGCCGTAAGGACCACTGCATGGTCGGCCATACCGCCAGTGCAGGAAGGATTAATTATTATTATTATTATTTTGATAATTATTATTTTATTTTTGGTCAACGTGAGGTCATTCCCGTCCCAATCGGTTAAAAAGATCAACCTCCCCTCCCTTTGCACTCGTTTCTCTTCCTCCATCAAGTCAATCAGTCAGTCATCATCGTGATATTCGCCATCATATTTATCTTTTTCGGTCTTCCTATCACTCTGACCTCCTACATTGCATTATCAATCACCCTTGACTCATCCGTCTGTCATCTTGCCGGCTCCACTGCCGTATAGTCACCCGCCCTTCTATAGTACGTTGGTTCGACCCAAACCTTCCGCCACTTTTATACTTCCCCCCGACTTCCTTTACACTCTGTTCACTTTGTCTCCCTCGTCACCACTGGAAATCTTCCCCCTTCCCAACTAACCGGTCATTCCCATCCCTTAGAGCCACTACCCACGGGTCTCCCTCGCTCATCCTCTGGACGATTCCAGTCTCTTCCATCGTCCTGATTCGTTCTATCGCCTCGACGCACCAGACGATTACTTGGAACGACCCCGACGCCTGTCTTCCCGGGGGCCTTGGTGCCATCCTATTATAAATTCTCCCGCCTCCCTCGGTGGCAAACTCCCAACTATGTTCATGTCTCCCTCGTCACGCAAAGACCTCGTCACCTCCACTCCTTTCGTCAACTACCAAGATCCCGTTTGCATCCAAGGCGATCAGTTTCTTCCAGACTTTTCGCCGCTGGTCTATCTCGACCAACAACAGCAACAACCGCGATTGCAGTCGCCGTTCCAGTATCATCCGGACCTGCACTTCGTCTCTCCGCCGTCTTCCGCGCCCTCTTCGCCTACCTCATCCCCCTCCTCCTACTCCTCCTACTCCCAGCCTCCCGTGACAACGGCGCTTGCCACGGACTACTCCTCGGCCGTCTTTGACGGCACCACCTCTTTCGAAGCTCCTTCCATGACTCCCGCGTCCTCCTACAACCCTTCGATACACATCTCCCATCCAACCTCTCCGCCATCGTCGCAACCCTACATCCAACAGCAGTATCCCCAGCAGTACATCTTCAACAACTCTCCCATGTTGGCGCAACAACGGGTCGCAAACAACCACGGTTGGGACGCCAACCTCCAGCTCCTGAGCCCCGCGCGCATTCAGCAGAACAACGTCTCGCAATACAGCCCAGAGTTCCAGCAGCCGCAGCAACAGCAGAAAGCCTCTCCGAGTCGCTCCTCGAGCAAATCCGCCCCGGCAGGAAGCTCCTACCAGCGTTCCAACGGTGCGGGCTTCTCGCGGCCACTGCCTACTCCCGAGCACACGCCTGTCCAGCACTCCTTCATGGGAACTCAATACCACGGCTTTGATGATGCTAGCCAAGCTGATGCTGATCTCGCCATCCGCCGAGCTGTGATGGAACAGAAGCAGCAACAGCAACAGCAGCAGCCTCACCACCAACACCAATCCAGCGAACACTCGCTGGCGCCTTCGGTATCCAGCGTGAGCCACAACTCTCCCGTGACTCCGCATGCGAGCTTCGAGGAGCTCGACGATACCTCCAAGGCGATCGTCAATGGTGAGCAGCGAATTTCTGACATAGACAAATGGATGGATGATTACTTACAATTCGATCCGCCAGAATACAATAATCAAACCGGCAACACCAACACCAATATGTCCGTGGGCGTTCCCAGGCTCAACCGCACCATCTCCGATGTCTATCAAGACGAACTCTACAATCCCGCCATGATGTCCGCTTCGCAGGTGCCGAAGCCCCCGACCAACCAGCAGCAGCAGCAGAACATGATGCCCTTCCGTAATGTCTTTGCGGACCGGCTTCAGGCTGCTAACCAGGGTCACCTGTCGGCCCGGTCGCAATCTCCAGCGGTGGCGATGAGCCGTGATCGCTCGCCCTTCCGCCAGGGTTCCCCTCTAGCCGGCGAATTCGACACGGCTACGCTGCAGAACCCCCCTATGACCACGAGTGTCCCCGGGCAGCAAGCGGGTATGGGCCAAGCCGCCTCGGGTGAGCCCAAGACCATGTCTCCCAAGGACGCTCTGCTGGACTTCAACGAAGGGGAAGATGCGACGATGCCCATGTTCTCCTCGAACCAGGCCGACTTCAACCTGGGCGATGCCATGGGTCTCCGACGGGAAAGCTCATCGTCCTTCCAGCCGTCTCAGAACTTTACGTCGATGGACTCATTCCCAGCTCAGTACGCTCCGCAGGGAGTGCCCCAGCAATACCATTTTGCCCAGCCACAACAGGGCCGTCAGCACCCGTCCGCGCAGCAGAACAACCTTCTGCACCAGACTCCGGACTTTCCCGCGTCGCTTCCGAACTTTGAGTCTACGGGTAGTGATATTCTCCCCTCTACGGAGCTCCCCTCCCAACCGATGAACATGCCGATCCAGCCGGTGCACGAAGAGATTATGCGTCCGGAGAATACTTCCTCTGACAGTGGCACCTACACCTGCACCTATCACGGCTGCACCCTTCGGTTTGAAACTCCCGCCAAGCTGCAGAAGCACAAGCGTGAGGCACACCGTCAAACCACCCCTGGCGGCCACCTGGTGGGGCGTGACAGTGCGTCGCGCAATTCTCAGGCTGGTCCCCACAAGTGTGAGCGGATCAATCCCTCGACAGGCAAGCCGTGCAATTCGATCTTCTCTCGCCCCTACGACCTGACGCGGCACGAGGACACGATCCACAATGCTCGCAAGCAGAAGGTTCGCTGCCATCTGTGCACAGAGGAGAAGACGTTCTCGCGCAACGATGCGCTCACCCGACACATGCGGGTGGTGCACCCGGAGGTCGATTGGCCTGGCAAGCAGCGGCGCCGGGGTCGGGAGTGAATCCGCTCGAAGGATGGTTGCGCAACATACCTCCCTACCCATTGACTCCTTTCGCAAAGGTGACAGCCTCCAGCCCTCGCGCGACGGCGCTGGGTGATTCGAGGGGGAGCGTCCCACCAATGCGACAGGCCCCATGGCTCCAGATGAGGAGCGGCAGCCTCCGACGTCATCGTGCCTCCTTATCGGGTAAGGACGCGCTAACGGTCCCCGATCGCCGGTCGAACCTGCCAGATCGGGATGCGGGTCGCACACCCCAAAGCAATCTCGATGACATCATCAGGATCCTTCGGGGAATGACGTCAGCACCTATCCCTTCTTTTCTTTCGTCTCTCTCTCTCTCTCACGGTTTAGATGTTTGATGACGCATATGTTATTCTTACATTGATCACTTGGCAAAGGCGTCTCCTCTTTGACAGCAAGCTCTTCGTTTCCCTTGTGCGATTTGATTTCATGGACATTGTCGTGGGTCTTAGACTTTCTTTGTTTCCCATTGGGTGGTTTAAATGACTGCATTTTCTACACGATAAAAGAAGCCAGATGACGAATGTTTGGTGATGATGTACTATACTACGTGTCTTGTATTATGATTGTTACGCCATGATGTCTGCACTGTCGGTTCCGTTATTTGGATTTGCATGGGCTGGTGGGTTTGGGTGTGGTGTACAGATTGCTTTCCCTCAAGGGCTGTATAGTATGACTTGTACCATAGCTATCTTAATCACATACGCATGAACTGGAGTCTTCTGTGTCCTGTGTCTACTATTGAATCCCCGAGAATAGAAATAAGCATTGGGCGCAGATGTCACATTCGCTCTAGAGACCTCTGATATTAAGCTGCGGCCGTGCGCGATGACATGTCCGACATTCACAAGGGCCACGCACGCAAAGGTACGGTCATCATTACTTCAACGAGAGCTGCGTAGCTACCTGGTACCCTCTAAGGGGGGTGGAGAGCTGGCATGCTGTCACTGGGCCAGGATGATTCGCCAATGGCTGGGGCCCCATGCGGGAGCGGGTGGAAAGTTAAGGGTCTCCCGGGTCCTTGGGTAGGCACTCTGTCGTAGAGTGGGCCTAGCATAATCCGTTTGTTCGTCGTGGAGTTTCGAAGGATCGGTGGGTTGGGTAGTTCGTTTCAGTTGCATTATTCTTAATTTTCCTCTACTGCTTAAGTATTACACACTCCAGTTGCTGAAGACGGACATCAAGTATTACAGTATGTAAGCTGGTTGTAAGAGTACCTATACTTTATCGATTATACTCTACCGGAAAGCATATCCTCCGTATGCATGCAACAAACAACGCGCCTGACCGGTCCATCAAAGCAGATTAGGTACAAAGAAAGCCCTGGGCGTACGGGGTATAGTACTCTGCGGTAATACTGCGATCGGCAGCGGTATGGTATTACCGTCCCCGTCGAGCATGACACCATCATGCAGCCCGCCGGCTCCACCCTCTCGCTGCTAATTAGTCTGAGTAGTCGCGGTGGAGATCGGTCGATCACTGTTTTGATTCATGCAGATGATCGATCATACATGTCCTTGTGTGTAATTGTGGCTGGTGCTGTGGATAATATTCAAGTCGTCTCTATCGATGTCTATATCGGTCTATTCTACTTGTCTGTCGATACCCGCACGTGGTTGGCGTCGATTTCCTGCAGCGCTCGAGGTTCGTGTACATGCACCCTCTGTGGCTCAGGTTCGTCGTCCTTGTGAGACACCGCGCCCACGTACGCAAAGTCCTTGCTGCCCACACAGGCAAAGTCCTTACTCTCCACGCAGGCGATGTCCTTTTCTTCCGTCCACGGCGCACTCTCGGCGTCCGCGTCGCTGGACTCGCGTCTCTTCTTGTGTCGGAGCCAGAAAAACACACCGCCGACGATCAGCCCAACTGCGCCCACCGAGCCGATCACAATCCCCGAGATGTCTCTCGGGTCGAGAGCCCCGTCCTCCAGAATGTCGTCGTCGACGTCGTCGCCTGCGGGCTCGCGGAAGAAGTGCGCTATCTGCCGTGTGCTGAAGCCATGTGGAGGTGCTATTATGCGCGCGTTGCCGTCCGCACTGCGTGGGTGTGAGCCATACATCTCCCTGTCAACAAAGCGGGCAGGGCTGCACTTACTTGCCGCCGATGGTCTGGACGATCGGCCCGGGCACTTGGTACGCCGGCGCCGAGGGGCTGTAGACGCTGCGCCATTCCAGGTCGGTCATGTCGAAGACCGCAACGCCCGCGCGTTCCCGGTCACAGCTCGACGTGGGCTCGTCCGAGGCCATGCCCCCCACCGTCAGCATCTGCCGGTGCCCGGTCAGGTGGCAGGTATGGCCGTAGCGGGGCGAGTCGCCGCGGTAGACTCGCTTCCACGTGAAGGACGGGATGGACAGGACGTACACGTCGTCGTAGGCCTCGCGGGCTCCCTTCCCGCCGTAGAGGTAGATGTTGTGGCTGGAATTGTCCTTCGCGGACGCGGTGACGAGGCAGAAATCCGTCCGTGGCGGGGGAATCTCGCCCGCGGCTCGCTGCACGAACCACGTCGCGTTCCTGCTGTCGTCGGCGATGGAGGAGACGTCGAGGAAATCGATCTCGTCAAAGGTCACCTATCGCCGCGGCGGTTAACTGGCGATCTATGATGAACGGTACGCCGCCCACTTACGTAGGTCCCGTCTTTCGACGCGCTGCTGTCGCTCGTCGGCTTCGTGACTCCCCCCATGTCGACCAGCATGCCCTGCGGGCCCACGCCCGGAACATACACCATGCCGCCCTTTGCCCGCGGCGCCCGCCGCAGCCAGGTCGTCGACACGTTCGTTACAACGAGGGAGTCCGTGTTGATCACGACGAGCCCGTCGAGGTATCGCCGGAAGTTCGACATATGCTCCAGGTCGTCGGATGTCCCGTTATCGATAAAGCCGTTCAGATAGAACGCAAGCCCCAGATCCGGGGCCTCGGCGTAGCTTCCTCCGGCGGGGCGGTACGGCGCGTCCTCAGTCACGTCGTACCGGCTCCATGTGTCGGCGGGGATGTCGTAGGACCATAGAGGGTATTGCGAGGACGGCGGCTCCTGGAAGCCCGGGAAGCTTGTGTTCGCGTAGGATGTTGTCCCGCCATAGAGGTAGATCTTTGAGTCCGTGGGGAGTCCGGAGAACATGGCGCCGCGGACCACTAATGGGGGGTCGGTGTCGGCATGTGGGTTCGCGAGTTTGGGGACGGCGGTGATGGAGATGTTGTGCTTGGAGTCCCATGGCGACTGCAAGTCGACTTCGATCAACTCCGTGTCTGTCGGGGTTAGTGGAGTGGATAGCCTGTGGTGTTGCAGACGCACTGTATCCGAGAATTTGGGCCCCTTCAATCTGGCCTTCGGTGTTCCGCTGCGCAAAGGTCTCCAGCCCTCCGTCTATATACAGCTTTCCGTCCTTCACCACGGCTGATGTGCTGTTAGCGAGTACAAACTTTCTCGGACTGAGGGTTGGGTTTACATTGATGGTTCCATCTTGTGCAGAAGTCATCAACCGGATCTACTCCAATGCCTGATACTCCCGGCGCCAGGAAGGCCGCAATGGGGAAGATCGCCCCCGATACCAGCATTTTGGCCGGTTGATGGGTCCACGGGGCGAGACAGATAGGACAATGAAGGGCCGAAATTTCAGATTGCGTTTGCAACAAAAGTGACAGTACGACTGTTTAAGAACAGGCGCCTCGCCTGTGATCATTTCCAACTACAGCCATGATATCAACCGGTATCTGGGTGACTGAGGTTGTACGGAGTAGGGGGGTGGCAGGGACTGCAAGACGCAGGGGGATATAACCTCAGACAGATACCAGATATGATAGGTTCGATTGTTGTCCATTCCAGACAACATTGTGTCGGAATTAAGCGGCTCATGTATGGCTATGTGGTTTTCAATCCCGGACTGTGTGATCTGCGGAGATTTGCCAAATGAAGCTGTGACCCTTCTGGGCAGGCCTACGGTCGGCACTTCAGTCGACGTGAGAGAGAGGAGTCTGGTCTGGAATTCGATGATCAGTACTACATCCAGTAGATGGTTGTTGCAGCCCTTACGGAGTACATTGCGCGGCCATGCCATCAGCTCTCATTCTGGTGTTTCTCTCTCGGTGACTATCACGGTATGGAAGAGGCCTTATAACCGGTAGCGGGTTATTGTGTCCGGGCTCTTGGGCGCTAAACACTCTATGACAGACTAGCGGTGCTGTTGAGCGAGCATGTCCCCTGGTGGAGTTGCGATTGACGATGATGAGGCTGTGTCGGCGAGGGGCTTGAAAGGGATGAGCATTCAGCTTGCTGGTCTATGAATTACTGGATGTGGTTAGATCGCTGTTATACTCCGTGGACCAGGATGCTCGGAATTTATTTTATCCTCCCTTTGTAGCAGCAGCTTCCAAGGTGGTGGAATGTTTCGTGATCCCTCAAAGCAAACGTTGTCACTGTATCCGACATTGCTACCTGTACACAAAAGCAGACAATCATCGACTATCTCAGCTCAGTCCTTTGGACACGAATAAACTTCTTCCCTCCCGGCAACTCACCACATGATCTGACCCTCACTTGCTCGACCAGCAGCTACGAGACCATGCCACCAACTCTAGGACCGCTCGACTACGGGTGCACGGATTGGCGGTTCAGTAGCCAAAGAGCTGCAGATCTATACAGTTCCGGTACCAAGCTTTGGGTGAAAGAGGGTCTCAAAGATATAGAGCGACAGTTATGCCAGTCCTATACGATGGAGCGATTCTCAGTCCGTCGAATCGATGGAAGCATACTCCAAATATCTAACCCCATGTTCCAAGTACAGAATCCTATCTGGTACGTAGATATGGTATTCTAACCCAGCCTACAATCTAAAGTTTCCTTAGGAAACCCCATGTCAAATACCAAGAATATTGGCAACTTGTGAAAGCACAACCCAATGGCCCAGTCGAAACTTACCTATGCTCTTACATTGTGGATTGGAGCAATCAGACTGCACGAAACTTTCGAGAGCTCATAGCACAGCCTACGCAAGTCTTTGACGAGAAACATCTGTTGTGGCAGAATAGCAAGACCTGCAAGCAACTAGCAGCCCTAGTCCAAGATGTACTCGGTACAAACACGGTGAAGGTGAAGAAAGTTCTCTGCTTCGGACTCGGTGATTTTTGTCGCTCCGCACCTGAATGGCTAAAAAGGCAGCACGACTCTTGGGATGAGACCGCGGAGGTGGAAAATGTGATGGGCTGCATGATCCAGCATTCGATGGCTCTTACTATCGCTCAACTTTGTCGTGGAAATAAGATATTGCCATTATTTGCTCAGGACCCAGAGTATACAGAGGTCGCAGAAGGTATCCTAACTAAGAAGGGATTCAGAATTATTGGAACTTATGGTGCAGGAGGGTTCGCGGAAATCGACAATGACTCGATTATAATAGCACCCTTCGCTGCAGCCCCAGTTAAGCAGATTATCGCCGATCTTGCGCGGCCTATGCTTGTTATTTCCACCGGTTTTGAAGTCTTCAATACCAATGAGTACGTTGGCTTTTATCAATCTTGGAATTAGTCTAACTATGGCACTTTACAGGAAACCTTTTGCAGATGCTGAATCCCCGAGAACAAGGCAAATGTGGCTTGATTATGACGCCTACAGCCTTCCAAGCCATTCTGATGACGTTGAAATATTCTCTGCATTGAAAGGATTATATTTGTATTGTAAACGCCAGCAACCTTCATGGGATAGTGATAATAATGATAATGATTGCAGTACATGATTTACTAGGTTGATATCTATCTATATGGCCACCAACTCCACCTCTTATGCAATATGAATAAAAGAACAAGAGAAAACAACAAACAAGGTGCTGGGTATATCAATATGCAATGAGCAGATATGCACCAAGAGCTCACAGCCTCAACACAGAACAACAAAAGAATGTAATCAGAACTTTTCGCCCATTATCCGTAGCTCTCGTCGGCACATCAAAGAAAAACCCAAGAACAGCGAGTGATCTTTATGTACTAAATATTATCGCATAGTATCCATACCGGGGTCGAAGACCATAATCATCGAGCAAAAGACATTAGCGTTTGAAAGAATCGCGAGTGTTGACCCGGTCGATATCGTACGGGTTGCCTTCGTAGAGCGATGGGGCCTGCGAGGCGACACTCCGAGTGGAGCGCATGGTGGACGCCCGGCTGTGGCTCTTGCGCACTCTGGGAAGCTCGGTGACCTTGGAATCGGTCTCGCTCTCCTCGGATTCATCCAGAGCGGGTGCAGGAGCTTCTGTACGGTCATAGCCTTCGAACTCCTGGCCCTCGACCTCCTCCGCCTCCAGTTCGGGGGCCTTCTGCTTCGTCTGCTGGAGCATCTTCCGCATAAAGGCATCGGACTGGGCAGCGTACTTGCAGCGCTTGCGCACAGTGGGACCGTACTTGTAGAACAGGAAGGGGAACGGCACGCAAGCAAGAGCCAGGAACGCCGGAATCGACGAGGCCCAGTGGATGCCCAGATCTTGATACATGTAGGTGGTGAAGAGGGGGAACACAGCGCCGAAAATTGACCGCAGGACACTGTTGGCCGCCAGGACGGATGCGGCAAAGATCGTATAGGTATCAATCAGGTAGCTCATGATGCTCAGGAACACCAGGACCATTCCAAAGCCGAAGGGAGCGCCGGCCGCGATACAGGCCATCCAGTGGATGGATGGGTAGTTAGTCCAGGCGAACCAGAACAGGCCTACCGGAATAGTGACAGAGGCGATCAAGCATGGTGGCAGCCGAGCCTCAGGAGGGGCAAAACCACCATGGTTCTCTTCGGTCTTGACATAGCGCTTGTTATCGAAGATACTGTAGGCAACGGCCGCAAGCATGCCAACCATGATTCCGAGGAAGGGCAGAGCACCGACGCCTTGGTTCCAGCCGCGAACGCCCTGGAAGACGATCGGATAGGCAGCGAACAGCATGTAAAGAGTGCCGTAGACAATAGCCTGGGCGCACGATGTCAGCGCATTGATGCACGGATGGGAAGCAAACACGCAGGGCTCCTTACCATGTAAAGTGAAAGCAGGAACACAATGGGCTCACGGAATAGCAGGATCCAGGGACGCGATAATGCGATACTGAAGGCTTCCTTCAGAGTCGGCCTGCCCTGGTCAATGTCCAGCTTGCTCCGGTATACCTTGCCGCTAATCTCAGACAGTTTATCGGCACGACGGCGAAGGAGCACCGGCGCGTATGTTTCAGGGACGGTCAAAGATCCCAGGATCCAAACCACGCCCGCGAAGGCACCCAAGAAGCCCATCACCCATCTCCATCCGGCGTTCATACCCAAAAATCCACCGCAGATAGGACCAAGCACGGGACCTAAGAAGGGAGCGGAGGCGAACAGACTCATCGCAATACCACGGTCCTTGGCCTGTCGTTTGTTAGTGCCATCTATACACTTTGGAAGGCGTTGTCCGGAAGCTTACCGGGAACATGTCGGCGATGACACCACCAGCGTTGGTCAGAGGAGATGCACCAAAAGCACCAGCGAAGAAGCGAAGGATAATCAAAGTCCAGATGTTTTGCGCACCCGCGCTACCACAGTTGAACGCAGTAAGCGCAAGGTACGTGAAGAAGAAGATCACCTGGCGACCAAACATCTCACTGAGTGGGGCCCAGAGCAGAGGCCCTATGTTCTATTAGCCGGAGGACGAATACCATCGAGTAGGGGGGAACAATACATACCGATGGCAAAACCCAGGACGAAGAGAGAAACTCCGAGAGTCGCGACTTCGCTTCCGATATTGAATTGTTCTTCAATTTCCGCAACACCCCCAGTGTAGGCGGATGAGACGAGGGCGACAGCCAGCGTCGCGATGGCCATCACCATGGTGATAAACCATTTCTTGAGTGGACGGAACAACATAGGATTGCGGGGATCATTGGGGATCCAGGTCACGACATACGGATCCTCATCCGTACCGGAACCAGGATAAGGATGGTCGATGATCTCTTGGGTCAGAACGGCTTGGTCAGAGACCAGACGCCAATACGGGATCTTGCGACTGGCCGGGGCCTCGAGCCTCGAAGGACTATTGTCCTCCTTCTCGATTGCCATGCCGGGTAAGTTAAGGACGGAGAGATTAGGGAGATCGGTATCGAGAGAGGGTGAGGAATGACAGCGCCGGCGATGTGTCGTTATTAGTAGTCGTTGGGAGAGAGCCGGATGCAGTAAAAACGGTCTTGTATGTCACCCGCAGGCGATTAACGTTTAGTGTAGATCAACTGTGGTTCAGGAAAAGCTAGAACTCAAGAGGCAAGGAATGTCGAAAATAATGGTCATTAATATTATTATGGTCTGGTGATAACCGAAAACAGAGATAAAAAGATAATCAGTGAAGGTCGATCGATGGTGCGAGGCTAAGACCAACCCACCAATATATACCTGTCTGCCTGTTATCCGGGATTAGAGAAATTTTTTCTTCATTCTGATCTCATCGTTCGAATCTTTGCCAGAAACCTCGGCATTCGACACCAAAAAGGACAGGGAACGGGGGGTCCGAACCCACCCAACCAAGATCTTGGGCGTTATGCCGGCTTTATGCACAAAAGGACGCCATTAATCGGGCGTCTCGACTGAAGTGGATCAGGCCTGATTAAGGGATCGAAACGTCGGGCCCATGGCTATCTCCGGTGCCTTGTGGCTTAGGCTAGTGTTTTCCGGATGGGTGGGTCGGATGGATTCACATTATCAATTCTCCTGGATGAAGGAAAGGAGAGTCTGTGTGTCTACACCGTATAGAGTAGAATCATCTCGAAGGTGCTTTCTTTGTAGACCGTCCGCAATTGGTAGGGAGAATGAAAGACTTCCTCACGTGGGTGGCGGATGGATAATCCGCAGAGTTAGTTATTAATAAGCTATGCAGTGCAGCATAGGCCTTCGGGTGACTCGGCACGTTTGCATCGCGGCTCGTCACCGGCATCGCATAAGCCCATGATTACTAGTAATCATAATCTAGTTAACACCAATGATTATCTATCCATGGAAATGTCGCCATCCCCTCCCACGGAAAGCCTTGCTCTGTTCCGAATTTATCAATGTTCCTGATCCTAGCGACCTCTCCCTCAGTGGTGGTGTTGTGTTTGTTCGTGTGATCATATAATCACCCCGAACATAGTTACCTCCAGGACTCGGTGGATCCGACATTGATGCGAACGGCTGACAGGGGTTTGGAGCTATTGATGTGGCTCCGAATTATGCGCAAAACTAATCGGACTTCGGAGTAGGTCCTCGTCCATAATCCGCAATATCAATTATTATTTTATTATTGTCTCGGGGCCAGCGGCCCCTATCTCCGGCTCTGACGCGGCTACACCAACCGACAGCCCACGTTCTCCGAGCAGTAATTGATATGAAGAATGACGTTGGTGGTTGTTATGGGTCGTACTGACTCTACTACACATCCAGTTAGAGTAGCCTATACCTAAGTAGTCTAGTAGGTACGTTCCTGCTCACGTAGCGATCTAATGGTGCAGGGTACAAACAATAAGCACACATTCGGCCGTCCAGTCTGTTCACTTCTCGGATGTAGTAGCGTGAGTGACCCACGACCCTGGGACAGCTGAAGCTTATGTATATTGTATGATGATGGTGATGTCTTGGCTGTTGCCGCTAAGAGGATGTTGTCGTAAGCTTGGCTATTCTTGGGCATGTCTGCCATCTGCTGATCCTGAGAGATGCGCCCCATATGGACCACTTTCCCTGAAGTTTATTGAATTTTCACAGTCGGCTCATGCGGCTGCTCTGTTGGTGCCCAAGCGAAGGTGATCCTCGAGTACTTAAGACTGTCTCCGCATAGCCATGCTGTTCCGTGATGTTTCACGGTGCGCGAGGCTCTCGATACAAAGTTATATAAGAACTATCAGAACTAGCGCCGAATCACTAGATCACCGTGCTCTGTATTGCCTGATCATTCTTCCAGTTCTGTCTTGATCGTGGTTTTGTGTAGGTCAGCAGACACCTTTGATGGAACATAACTAGGCCTTTCCGCTGGTATGGTGGATATACCTATGCTAAGGTATATGAGACCATGATCCATATGTCTCAAGTACATGAGCCTACTAGTCTGAACGACGATTGAGAACATTGCTAATTCCTTTGGTTCTTTCAGTCGGCCAAGTCTCCCTGTCCAGCATGTTGACACATCTGCGTTCTGTAGATCAACTAGCGAATGTTGAGTTGAAGAGGACAAGATATATCGTTGCCAGTACCTCATCACTGCAAGCCCGTTAAGCCCATCAACTAATTCGCCATACTAGGACTGTGTTGCTCGCATCCTTCAACGCCTACTAGAATCACTCTTATACTGTTCCCAAGTCTCGTACGGTCATTCATGGCCAAAGTACCTAGTAGAAAGCCAGCCGAGGCAACCAACGCCCTAACGCCTTAATCAAAGGAACGCCACAGTATTCTTCCGTCTTGGACCACGGATCCCCAAAAAAATTTCCCAGACCCAAGCAAACCCCCAATTAATGTCGGGATCAAACCGAGGCACGGACAGTGGCCTTAAGAATGTGGCCACCCAGAATGCCGGTCGCGCCTAGGCTTCCACGGGCGAAAGGAGGCATAATCAGCGTAGATACGGAGATTTTATCGTCCCTCTCAATCCGCAAGCTGATATTGATCTCGGTGGATTAGATGACGGACTCCCGTTACGACTGATACCTACCTACCTTAGGTACTGTCTGGGGTGGTTGATGAGACGATTATTCATCTTGCAAGTGTCGCCACTCTACTAACTACCTAGGACCGAAGGACTGCCCACGCCGTGAGTCACGGCTCGATACGTCGTCAAGATAATCATGCATATGTACTCCGTATGATATTCTACCTGAAATAATAATACGAAAGTTCCGACTGTAGTCGCTGCCTAATGCGGCGTGATCTTTCATACTGTTAAAAAGAAGTCGATGTCGTAGTTGCCATGCGTCATACAAAGCTTAACGTTGCATCAACTCCAGAGAGCGAACCATCGTAGCGGTCGCAAATTATGGATCGAGGAACGATCTGAATCGAAAGGGCAACTTAGGATGTCCACGGACAGTGCCAGTCAGCTACCAGTACTGTTCTACAAACTACTTGATTTTTTTCAGGTAAGGACAGGTCAATTCTCAGAAAGACTGCATTTCGCGTCTATGCCATCCGGTGGCGCTTCCGAGAGGAAGCCACTTGAAAAAAGCTGCGTAATGTACATTCGGATGCATCAATGAGACCGCTCGGCCGCGACTGTGCAGCCTACTATTTAGTGTGCAGCAAGAAATAACAACTGAAACCCATATCCGAGAACCCAGTGATATTGAAACCCATCATGTATCGCCAGTCATTAAAAACAGAAAACCCCATAATCGCCCGACCAGAAAAAGAACAAACTCATGAGAGAAAAGGCTTAAGAACGCTCACCACGGAGGCGGCGGGCAAGCTGGATGTCCTTGGACTGGATGGTGACACGCTTCGCGTGGATGGCGCAAAGGTTGGTGTCCTCGAAGAGGGAGACGAGGTAAGCCTCAACGGACTCCTGGAGAGCACCGATGGCAGAAGACTGGAAGCGCAGGTCGGACTTGAAGTCCTGAGCAATCTCACGGACGAGACGCTGGAAGGGGAGCTTGCGGATGAGCAGCTCAGTGGACTTCTGGTAGCGACGAATCTCACGGAGAGCGACGGTACCTTGATTGACTGTTAGTGAAATGGCCACATGGATGATTTGCCACAGGGGGTGTGAACATACCGGGCTTGTAACGGTGAGGCTTCTTGACACCTCCGGTGGAGGGGGCAGCCTTACGGGCGGCCTTGGAGGCGAGCTGCTTACGGGGAGCCTTGCCACCAGTGGACTTACCTGTAAAGTGAATGTTAGCAGATGAAGAGACAGAAGACACGATATGTCCGCTGGGTGACGCGACCGTGACGCGAAGCCAAGGCCCCGCCCACCAAGAGAAAGGACAGTGAGGTGAAGACTTACGGGCAGTCTGCTTGGTACGAGCCATTGTAGTGGATTAGATTTGATGGATTTGATCGACTTATTGATGGAAAATGAGGTTGGAGGATGAAAGTCGATGGAGATAGAGATGAGGTGGATGGATGGAGGAGATGTAAGAAGGATGGAGGAGGTGGGTGGGGGGAGGTATTTGTAGTAAGCGAGAGGGCGGGAGGTGATCTGGGTGGTGTTGGCAGCAATTGGGTGGCCTTAGCGCCTTTTTCGCTTTGATTCAGAAAAAACGTTCGGAAAGCAGCACACCATAAGCGGTGATTTCGCGGGTCTGATTTCGCTGGGAAATCAAAGGGCGGCCGGGAACGCTAGCCCCCTTTGGGAAACGACCGCTAATCGAGGATGCCTTCCCGCATCAGCCAATAAAATCACAGGATCACGGAACTAGCATGTCGCCCTGCCTCCCCATGATCCCATCCCCAGCGGACTATGGACGATCGCAAAGAAGGATAAAGGGATTCCTCGATGGAACCGGGTGTCTCTGATCCTCCTGAATCCCATAATCCCCCGTGGTGCACTGCCTTGCCGTCAGGATCGAGCATTGTCTGGCCGAATCACCACCCCTCGGTCAGCGTGCGGGACAGATCATGCCCGCCCGACGGATCCCTCAACGCTGAATGGGTCGATCATGGTTTTAGCGTCTGATTCAAGCGCCCTCCCCGCGCTGTCCTCTCCCCTATACAAATATCCCCCGTCCCATGGAAGCTCTCCTCCATCTTCCTCTCCCATCTCTCTCAACTGTCATCCACTCAACCACTATCTCCTCCACTTCCTCAATTCTCTCAACCTTAACCCAACCTTCTAATACACAACCGTCAACATGACTGGACGTAAGTCTATACCTCTTGATCATCGCGTCTTCCATCCATTCAATCCACTGACGCGTCTTCCTTCCAGGCGGCAAAGGTGGAAAGGGTCTCGGCAAGGGTGGTGCCAAGCGTCACCGTAAGATCTTGCGTGACAACATCCAGGGTATCACCAAGCCCGCCATCCGTCGTCTCGCTCGTCGTGGTGGTGTCAAGCGTATCTCTGCCATGATCTACGAGGAGACCCGTGGTGTCCTGAAGACCTTCCTTGAGGGTGTCATCCGTGACGCTGTCACCTACACTGAGCACGCTAAGCGCAAGACTGTCACCTCTCTGGATGTCGTCTACGCCCTTAAGCGTCAAGGACGTGAGTACTTCTGGTCCTATTGCCTCTTCGACGCGTCTCTAATTGCTTTCTCCTTAGGTACCCTCTACGGTTTCGGTGGTTAAACATTTTTTTCGCTTGTTTTTCTTTTAGCCATCCTGCGCGGTCGGCGCGTCGATTGTCCTTCCGCAGCAGTGACGCGACGGGTTGTCTTTTCGGGTTGGTTCACGGTATGACTCGGACGTTGGGGTGTTATTGATCTTTTCTTACAAGTCATGGGTCTGGGTTTGCTTTTTATCGTACTTTATTTTACTATTACGCGTCCACTACTGGTCTGCTAGTGTTCGTGCTTGGAATTTCTGTATCATAGCGGCCTTTATGCTTCCGGCTGGTGCCATGCCTCGAAAGGATCGCGTGAACAATCCGCGATCGGTATGAATACGAACGCTTGAAAGGATCTGTCTTCTCCTGTAGTCTCTCCATCAATCCGCGTATCTTGGTAGCCGGTTTATGTTGTGGTGTTCGGCGCGTCTGCTGTCGTGTCGTATTGTGGGTTCGGGTTCAGTTGCGGCTTCGGTACTGTAGCATTTGTTGGAACTGGTTTATCTTTTGCTGTTTGAATGGCTGTAGACTTGTGTATCGGCTCAGGTGGATTCCAACTGCCGGATGTCTACGTGTTGCATCTACGTCGTAGGTGGCGCTTCGCGTCTGTTCCAACTGGTGTGTACCGAAGCGCTGTGTCCCGTATATTCAACCCCGTCCTCGACCACGTCTTGTATGATCGGACATGATGTTAATTTGTATTTGTGTTTTGCCTGGTGTGTCTGTCTCCTTCTGTGGCGTGTGGTTTGTTGATTGTGTGTAGAAATAGTAGTGATGGTTATACATCTGGCGAAAATAGTAGAGATATATATCGTACAGTCCTGAGGTATATCGACCAAGAAGACTAGGATCATTATCCACCGGAATATCACAGGATCACGATGTAAGACTCTACGTAAGTATAAAACAGAGACCAGGAACCTCATAAAAGTAAAAATCATACGGCCAAACCCAACAAGAAAGCCAGGATCTACGATTGAACATGGCCATTTTCGTGGTTATCGAGCTGGATGGAGCGGGAATCGGGAGGGGGGGGGTTCAACTTACATCAGCAGAAGTTGAACCCCCCGTGACCCACCGGTGGGCTGAGATCCCTACCATCCAGTGTGAAGACGGAATAACGATCACGCAAGACCATACCATTTCCAGAGGAGAATAGCCGATCCAATACAAAGCAACATTAACAGCAGGCAGATTGACTCGAGACAACGGTCAGAGACCATCCGCAACGAAGTGCATGTGTATGTACGAGGCATGCAATGACTTCAGCCCACCTGGATCCAACACTACCGAACTACTAGAGGGGCGGTCGGCTGAACAGCAGCCAGGACCAAACCCACGTGACCAGAGGAGGCCCAGCAGTACAGCCCAGCTGACCCCCACCCCCCCCGGCGCGCGCCCCGAGGTCCCTTTATCGGGATACAGACCTAGGTCCGATTTGGGTAGACATCTAGGTCCGATTAAGTCGCTACATCTCCGCAAGACCGAATGGTATTCATTATCCTGCCAGATTCACATACATAGGTACGCGCATAAGATGGGCGGCGCATACGATTCGATACTCATCACTCACTCTCCCAAGCCCATCGCCCCAGGCGCAGTCTCTCAGAAGTGATATTCATGGGAATCATGGTACAATGGTACATATATGTGCCGTCTAGAAAGGTTCATGTCAAAGGCGAGGGCTGCCAATGTGCGTGATAACAATACGGCCCCCCCACACCGAGGTCTGATTTACTTATACCCACACTGCTTCGCGAGGTCTGCCTGGTCAACACACCGAGGTCTGATTTACTGTGTACCCACCTGCTTCACAGAATGAAGCAAATCTGACCTCGCCCGTGTCAGTTAACACGACCTCGGCGTGGGACTAGGAGGTACGAGGTCAGGTTTACTATATTCACCCTGCTTGCGAGGTCTGCCTAATCAACATCCCACGCTCTGATTTACTGTGTACCCACCTGCTTCACAGAATGAAGCAAATCTGACCTCGCCCGTGTCAGTTAACACGACCTTGGTGCGGGACTAGGAGGTTACGAGGTCAGGTTTACTATATTCACCCTTCTTCGCGAGGTCTGCCTGGACAATCCACCGAGGTCTGATTTACCGTACCCTGCCTCACGAGGTCCGCGTGTCCCACCCGCTCAAGGTCTGATTTACAGCATCCTGGGCCCAAAAGCGTATGCACACACAGGGCTGGGTAAAAGAAGTCCCGGACAAGAACATTTACCTGCGTCTAGTTGCCCAAGTGAGATCCAGCGTGCAACGGGATTACTGAAGATCACCATCAAAAAGCGCAAGAGATCACGTCAAACGTGATGGTCTACGCCCCTGAAGAAGTACTTACCATGCCGCATCGCATTTACGCTCCCATCATACGGCCTGAGAGTCAGGGCGTTGTCCACTCCAAAGCGCAAGCAGCATCAATCAAAACGACAATGCCCAACCGATCTAAACAAGCGAACCCCAGCCCTATTTGATACACCGGGACAGGAGGTATTAAAACTATATGTAACTTGCCAAAGTTGCTACAAAGTTGAGCTCCATAGCCCAGGACAAACCGTGATGGTGGCAAACATGCATAATACAGGAGATATATAGTACTTGTATGCAATCGACATGAGAATGATAGTCGATAAATCCAGCTAAGAATGACCTGACCTGAACTCGATCCGAAACTTGAACAGGAATCATAGTCCATGGTGTAGAGTATTAGCATCAGTATATGTGCAGTTCGCCGTCTACTGTCGGAAACTTGCGGCCGACCTCGGCAACGAACTCAAAGACTGTGCCGGGCCTTTTCTCTTGCGGCATGGCTTCCCTCTCTTATGCGGAATACGGAGTATGACTCTACCTCCTATCTGATATTATTTGCATTTCTTTCTTTGCTAGCTTGACTCATTTTGTTTTCTGCCTTCACTTTAAGCCTCAGGAGAATAGATCCAGCGTTATCTAGAACCCCGACATTGATGTGATTTTTGCACAGGAACCAGCGATTCTCGGATTATTGATCGGTCGCATTTGATATCCCCAGACAACACAGGAGAACAATCCCTTCGAGCCGTTGGTTTCGTTGATCATGAGACATACACTGTTCACCCTGATTCCTCGGCGAACGACGACATGCCCACGACACTCACTGCCTTCGCGCACGCGACCGCGCCGAAATCAATCATCGGGGTCATCGCCGAACACAGAACCGCTTCCTGAGACGAAGAACTCGCATTCTCAGAAGGCCCCATCCCACTCCCAGCACCCACCTTCTCCCTCTACCACGAACCCCTCTCCTCCAGCTGCGGCCCCATCGAATACACCCGCTGTTCGATCCAGATCTGTTCGCCAGATAATCCTCGACGGACCGATTGGGAGAGCGGGGCGGTCATATGCGCGCATCCAGGAAAGAAGGCCATATGCGACGCAGCTATGGAGCACCGTGGTGGTTTATCTGTGTGGCGATCTGAGCGCGCAGTTGTTGTTCCCTTCAGAAAAGAAACCCCAGGATGCGTCGCGCGAGGATTCGCAATCCGGATCGGGGCAGAGCGGCGACAGTGCGGTCAGTGAGGGTGGCTATGACCCGTTTAGGACTTTGCGACACTTGGTTGTGGGCGCTGGATCAAGTATCCCGTCCTATAATTGGTAAGTCAATGCTCTTTCAAAGGAATAACCGACACCCACGACTGACACGCGACCAGGTTCATGTTCCTCCACAACCACTTCAACTTCACGTCCAAATTCCTCTCGATCCTCACCAAAGTCGTTGTCCAGCAATCTGTATTTACGCCCGTGTTCAACACCTACTTCTTCAGTGTCCACTCGCTGCTGTCCGGCGCGTCCTTGGAGGAGACATGGGAACGTCTGAAGAAGGCCCTGCCCGTCAGTATTACCAATAGCGCCAAGCTGTGGCCGGCTGTTACTGCGTTCAGCTTCATGTATGTCCCGCCGCAATTCCGGAATATCTTCTCTGGGTGCATTGCGGTCGGCTGGCAGACATATCTCAGCTGGTTGAACCAGAAGGCGGCGCGCGAAGTCGAGGCGGCCGAGCAGGCGGAAGCAGCGACTTCGGCGATTGCGCTCAGCCCATCAGTGACAGCAGAGGCTTAATGACATCCCTCTCTTGTTGATCTCTCGATTTGTACATATTTGAGCCCTTGTGGTCTGCGTTGGAGGATAGATTTGGCATGTCTTCGAGCGTGATTTATCCTGGCTAGACAGTATATAGATTTGATACACCCCTTGATAGAATATGCATATACATTTCCATCTAAAAGCGCATTTTAAATATAAGATCATGTAAATAAGATGTGATTTGCAAGTAGATCACGACTTGGAACACTCAAGCTTGTGGGCTGATGATTACCTCACGCGAACCGCGACACTCTCACGGCCGCCACGACTTCCAATGACTTCTGCACTCCCTGCTCCAACATCGATGCCGCATGACATGAACCCCCTCCTACCATTGCAGGCATGTCCTGCCTACCGTCTTCTCAGAAATTGATGTCCGACAGCAGCAGTGACTACGGATCCGATTTCTCGCCCGATGAAGAAGAGTTGATCAACGAACTCCTCGCCAAAGCCGTTGCGGAACACGCGACCACCGGGACGACAGCCACCGCGGCCAGTCCAACGACACCGGAGCCTCCCTCCCAGGCGGAGATCCTTGCAGCTGTTGGCGACATCGAAGACTACTATGAGGGGGTTTTACCGGGTCCCCTCACCCCTAGGGTGCTGGGGCGTCAAAAGCCTGCATGGCAGGTGTCGAGGGTTCGCCACGGCGCCGTTCCAAGTCGCGCAAACGGGACGCCGGGGAACGATGGTACCGCGACTGGTATGTCCACCCTGCTTTGCTGTTACTGCGTGTCTTGCTCGCTTTTGTTTGCGGTCATCGTCCTGTGTTGTCGGGCGAGAGGGAGGTTAGTGTCAACGAGCTGACATTCTGACGAAGCGTCTAGTTGAACATCCCGATTCTACCGAAGGCCGCGAACGAGAGCGCGAGAGAGACGTCGCGCGCGAAAGAGCATGGACTGCGGATGCGACTGCGCCCGGGGAGACGGATGTGCGATCGCCGATCGAGCGGTTTCGAAAGCCCCCCAACAAGGCCTTCTCCGTCACCGACCTAATCTCCCCCGCCTGGTGTGAGTTGCAGTATTGGTACACATTGACAAAGCATGGGAGGAAGCGGAGGACTGCGGCCATGAAACAAGGCAGCACGATCCACAAGACGCTGGAAGATGAGGTCCACACGACGGTCCCGATCGAGATCACCACGAAGGAGGATGCGATGGCACTCAGAATCTGGAATGTCATCCAGGGCCTGCGCACGCTGCGGGAGTTCGGGATCACACGGGAGCTGGAAGTCTGGGGACTTGTCGATGGGGAACTCGTGAATGGGGTCATCGACCAGCTCTCCTACGAGTGTCCTGACGCCGAGCTCGAGGCGTCGGCCGCGTCGTTCTATGCCGACGTGGAGGCCTCCAGGGCTGTCATGCCCGAGTACCAGATGTCGCTGACGGATTACCTGCTATCGCCTTCGCAGGGCGGGAAACGGCTCTCTGATATATCCTGGAACGAGGAAAACCAGCGCTGTTCGGACGAGCCCTCCAGCTCTGACCCCCACAGTAGCCAGGGCCCCTCCGAGACATTCGATATGCCCCGTGTCTACCTGACGGATATCAAGACCAGAGCCAGCAATTCAGTGCCCACGGTGAAGAGCACGTCGTTCCGGCCAACACTGCTTCAGCTTCAGATGTACTACCATATGCTCAACCGCCTAATCACGAGTGAGGACGTCTCCATCGAGCTACTTGCATCACGTTACAACCTAGACGCGGAGCGTACCTTCACAGACGCCTTTATCGCAGAAGTGGGCGGCTTGAACGACCAGTTCTTCGACGCGCTGTCTACCACCGAGTTTGACCCCGACTTTATCCCCAGCCCAGAGGACGTTATCACCCGACGGCCCTCTCATGCCGATGCGAGTAGCGCGGAAGATGGGCCCCCCGGCAGCCAGGACTCAACCAGCGTCCTCCTTGCACATAACAATCTATCCAGCCTCTGGAAGCTGATGAAAGATCAGCTCCGTCTCACCTTCATACCGGATTCATCTTCTGCCGTTTCAGTCGCACCATCCATCCCTTCTGAATTCCAACCTCATATCCTTGAACCGTACCAAACGCTCATCTCCCCCCTCCTGACTGCTCGGTACCTTTCATCGGAGCCCACGGCAGACCTTCGACCGCGGGTCCTTGGCAGTCGATCGTTTCTGTTCGACCCCACGACTATGACGTCCTACCTCTCCGACCAGATGGAGTGGTGGCGTGGACAGCGCGACCCCCGGGGGGTAGAGGTCATGGAGGCGTGGAAATGTCGCATCTGCGAGTTTCGCGAGGAGTGTACGTGGCGTCAAGAGAAGGAGTGGATTTATGCGAGGCGGAAGCGGAGTCGGAGGTCTCCATCTTTGGTTGACATCTAGAGCTTTGCATATACTCAGTGTATACTGACGGTACAGTGACTGTGTATAGTTCATGGTATAAAGGAGGTGTCAATTAGAGAAAAGCAGAGATATAAAGTGCAATATATGGCAATCTTCACAGAGGATAACTTCGAACCTCATCCTCCTTCTCTAATTCCAACCCGGCAGCGACTTGCTCCTCGTGCTTGCGATCCAGATACTCCAGGAGCACCTCTTCATACTTCTCCCGCCCCTTATACCGCGACACGTCGCCGTCCCAGCTGCGAATGGCTGACGCTAGCCGGCCAGGCACATACGGTTCCTTCGCGATCTCAGTGACGGGTTCGAAATACGTGCGGATGGTGAACACCACCGCCCCTGATCGCGGTAAGCGCCGCAGCGACTGACGCTCCGACCGGAAGAAATGATGCTCGATGTCCTTGTTCTTAGCCGCCGTGTTCCACGACACCTCGGGCGCGTCCTCAGGCCCGATGCTATGCGACCACGGCAGGCTATCGTCCACCTGGATGAAGTAGTTGTTGCGGAGCACGGGGTCCTCGGGCCGCAGGCGGCGGAAGAAGTTCATCATTCCTTTCTCCAGCTTCTCCTTGTACCCTGGGACGTCGCCCGAGGTGTGGATGTCGGACAGGCGCATGCCGAACTTGTCCTCGAGCCGCCAGAAGCCCGCAAGGAGGATTGCCCCGGCCAGCAGATAGTACTCGCCGTCGGGTTTCTCGAACATCAGCGCGAGGTCGTCCTGCACGAGACGCGCGGACGTCATCATGGGGTCTTCGGGGAGGGGCCGCTGCACGATGTTGAAGGATTCGCCGGTGACGAGGTTGTCGATTCCGACGGCGGTTCGGCGGAACATGCTGGGGTAGCGCTCGGGGAGGTAGGAGGCCCTGGATTGAGAAGGGGATGGTTGGTGAGCAGGTGTTTGCAGTGTGGGCGTGGATGTACACGTACAGCTCCTCCAGGAGCTCGATGGCTCCGTCCATAGCCTCCGGGGCAGTTTTGCAGCATTTGTGGCCGCGTTCGGTGATCCTTCGGGCCTTGTCCGCGTGGTATCGCAGGTAGTGGTTGTCGAGCTCTGTGTAGTTGTGAGATTACTAGGTGGTGGTGAGGGTGGAGGGTGTGACGGTACCGATCCATTCATCCCATTTCATGCTTCGCAGGCCCATCGTGATAAAATATTTTCTGCGGTTTCCTGAGCCAATGTCTGTCAATTGGAAGTAGGTTGCGACTTACGGCCCGTATCGAAACGGTCTATAAGGGATGGGCTTGGAAGTATGCACATCCCAGTTGGGATATGGCGATGCCGTTGGTCTTTTGAAGTCGGACGGTACCCATTCTGTATGATGTTAGGAAGGGTCTCATTGTGCCTGAACCGCTTAATATACTAGGGACGCACCTCCGAATTTCCTGGTAGGCTTCTCGAATTTCGACGGCGATTTCTTTTCGAGATCAGGCGTTGATAGCCGCGGGACGTTGGCCTTCCATCGTCGGTAGAGGGTAGTAAGGAGCCATGTGCAGACCGCCACTACAAAACAGAACGTGGGCACATCTCTGATGTTGCTATGCATGACATTATAGATTGTTTCGGTGGCCATCATCATGGCTTGAGGAAGGGTTACTGAAGGGTTCACCACTGGCCCAAGTCTCTTTTATCAAAGTATCGATATCGGACCTCACAGATGGCGGCAAACGGGTTGCGAAGCGCAAGGGGTAATATAGCAGTTCCGATCGTATACAGGCTTGTACATCCAGCCAGAACACCTCAGTGGCTGACCAAACATCTGGATACCAGAGTGGCCGACGTAACATCTCGCCGGATTGCCGTATCTGCTAGTCGGATGCGATTCAGTGCGGAGATTGTGATCCCCTCGCGGGGTTACGATGCTTATCGCTTGGTTGATTAGATACGACGATTGACGGCGTCCTTCTGTCATGTGGACGGGGGATCTTTTTGCTACTTCCGGTAAAGTCTCATCGCGTCGGGTGTACGATCAGAGCCAAATATCTTGCAGCGACGCTGGTTATCATTTGCAGGTGCTCTTCTAACTCTCTAGCATACATAGCTTGATGCAGTTGGTGCATTGTCCGTCAGGATTTCTTCCGTTGGAGCAGGCAGTATTCGCCCCAGTGACGGCGGAACCTATCGGGGATGAATGGGAGATCCGGAATCCAGATGAGGCGACCGAGGAGACTGGTCTTGGAGGCATCAAGGAAGCTCTCGCACGATAACGGCTCCCATTGCGTTCCATCGTGTATATAGTCTGGTTCGAGGTCGGTAACCTCGCGTCCGGGGAAAGATGAGTCGACTAGGAAAGAGCACTCGGCAATGTCGACCTGATGCAAGTTATGATTTAGTTTCGGACGGCTGTATGATAGTGAGGCAGAGGTTAACTTACGTATTTCCCTGGATCTTCCAGATTGCGATCGTTCATGCCGGTCGGAATCTGAGATGTGCCCTCGAAAAGAGCACCGTAGTGTGCAGCGTCGGGAAACTCGCCCGGGAGCAGTCCTCGGAACTCACTCCGGATGAACTTGGCGCGCATATCATCTGGCAAGAAGAATGATGACGGGAATCGATACCATTCCTTCCCAAAACACACCGAGTCACCGGCGTGTCGGATATCTGGCTGGTCCAGAGGTTCAAAGATCCTGAGAGGAGCCCTGTACGCCGAAATCACCCCAACTGTTCGGAGCAGACCTGCATTAATGGCCATCAGAACCAGAGACATCACGGCGGCTAGCTTGAGTTTGGCAGGCAGACGTCCGACAAACTCCTTCGGGTTGGTGGAGCCGATGTACGACAGGACCATGTGAAATGAAATGGAGGCATTGAGGATGAGGAAAGGGTATGCAGGATACATGAACCTTTCTTCCTTATGAGGCTGCAGGGTGAAGATCGACAGCCACATGTAGAATGGAGTGATCAGTGTCACCGTGCGGAAGAGTGTCTCCTTGGTGGTCGCGTGAGGCCGGAACGCGGCCTGAAGCAGCAACAACGGTCCCGAGAAGAGGGCAAAGATGAACCACACGTTGAAGTTCAGCAGGAGGTTCTTGAAATAGAACGTCCAGGGCTCTGTTCCGAAGATGTCTGGGCCTCTCCCATCTCCACCAAGAATGTTATAGGCCACAATATTCCACGGCACAATCGTGAATTTCCGCAGGAAGGCGTAGTCGACTAAGATCTCGCTAGCCTGGGATCCGTTAGATGTGTAACTTTACTGTGAACCTACGGGGGTGGGGTCATACCAGAATCGCAAGACATCTCAATGCACCATCCCCAATCGCAAGTATGATTTTCCCCAAAGACCCAGCAATGAAGCCAATCACCATCTCCTCAAGTACAAGAGGGATGACTAGAGCCCCAGCAAAAGGCCAACCGACAATAGCACCCAGGCCAAACCACATGATTCCTTGGGCCACTTTCTGGCCTCCCCTCCAATCCAGGAAAGCCGCGAGACCCAGCATAGATGTGTACATAGTAAAGCTCGAAGGGAGAAAGGCGGCCGTCGAATGGAACATGCCAGGGCTGAAAGCGACAATCATGAGGAATAGGAGGCCGATCCTCGGGCTCAAGGTTCGACAGATTGCGGAGTACAGCCTCGTCTGGCATGATGCGCACACAATAGCCAGGAAGCAACGGATGGCATAGAACTCAGAAGCTTTTGACTTGAGGAACAGCGATCCTATTTTCCCGACAATGGCATGAATAGAGACATAGAGCCAACTCCGGATGGAGTAGACCGGCGAGTACTCCCAGGTCTGTAAGCCATACCCATGATCGAGATAGTGTGTGGGCTCCCAGAAATTGAATACTTCATCGCAATCCTGAATCGGCGATAGAAACGCCGCGATACCACTGGATATGAGGCATATGTATAACGTGATATTCAACGGGATATAGAAGGTGGGAGGTCCACGACTGCGTTGGGATTCGCGTGTTAGCTCGGTAGATGACAGACCACACAAATGGCAGGACAACAGGTATACCGTGACTTGGTACGAGGACCAGCTCTTCCTGTAGTAGCAGGAGGCATTTCACTTTGCCTTGTGGCTGGAGCCATTGTGGACAACTTTGCTGGATCTCATTCTTGTCGTCGGGAGAGAAAAGCGTAGGATGCGGGAAGCTCTCCATCCGACCACGTTATCGATAAGCTTATCCGGTAACCGCCACGGCCCACTGTGGCAGCCCCGAAGAAAAAAAAAGTTGCCGCAAGTTTGCGCCGACAGATTTCTCTCAAAACCACACTTTTCTCCACCGTGAAGACTCCTTTTTGGTGCTGCTGTCCTTGGAATTTCGATTCTGAAGGCCCAGGAGTCTCAACATGAGTGATCAACAACCTGCCTCCGTTCCTCCAACGGATTCTCAGACGATTGTCAATGGTACACCTGATAAAGGTCCCTCCGTGAACGACATGCCGCCTGTCGCACCGACGCCAGGCGACGATACCAGCGACTTCTATAATACTCCCTTGGTCGCCGGTACACCAGTGGCCAAATCCGAAAACATGGACGGTGCTCCGACGAGCAACATCAGCGAACCCCCCTCGTCGAACCCAGCGCCTGCGATCCCCGGACTGAGCCTTGTCAATGATGGAACGAAGGACCAGGACCCCCATAAGAGCGAGCCAAACTTGTCGCAAAATGCTGTGAGTATGGAGGTTGAAACCCCGGCTCAGCACCAGAACACGCCGGCGCAGGCTCCCGCAGAGAGCGAGACAATACAGGTGGATCAAACAAATGGACCATTCGCTGTCGGGGAGACAAACGGGGCGAACCCCCCTTCTACCGAACAGACACAGGACGGGCAGGAAGAAGAGGAGCACCCTGAATGGGAGATCGATTCGTCTCCGTACGAGTCTTCCGATAGTTCTTCCACGGATTCCTCCGACGATAGCGATGACGACGATGAAGATTACGAGATCCTGAGCCCCGAAGAACAAGCACGCATCCTAATGCAGGCAGAGCTCGGCTCTGACGACGAAGGTGATGGGAAGGGCAAATCGGGTGGTCTGATCAAATCTGCAAACGAACTTCCTGAAGAAGCCCCTCCGATCCCCGAAATCACTATCACCCCGGAAATGAAAATTGTGTTGCTGGGACATGTGGAAGCGATTGTGGAGAACACTATTTTGATCGCAGCGAATACATCTGGTGAATATCAAGTGCTGGAGATGGGCTCGCTACTCTGTCATGAAGATCGCCGTGTCGCCGGTGTGGTTTCCGAGACACTAGGACGAGTCGAGAATCCGCTGTACGCCGTGAGATATCCCAGTGCCGCTGCTGTTGAGGAGCATGGTATCTCTAAAGGCAAGGTGATTTACTATGTTGAGGAGCATTCCACCTTCGTGTTCACTCAGCCTCTCAAGGGTATGAAGGGAAGTGATGCCTCGAACTTCCATGACGAAGAAATCGCCGAGGACGAGGTTGAGTTCTCCGACGACGAAGCCGAAGCCGAATACAAACGGAAATTGAAGCAAAAGCGACAGGAGAAAAAGGAGGCTAGGGGTGATGGGCCAAAGGCTCGACGTGGACCTCCTGGCCCTTCCAAACTGGGTCAAAGCGAGCTCAACTACGACGATAATGCCGCTGAAGATGGCTACACTCCACTTGCTCGCCCGAAAAATTTTCATGAGATGATGGGCCACCAAGAAGCTCCCGTCGAGGCTGATGGCCCGCCAAGTAGAGGAGCTGGGTTCCGTGGTGGAAGAGGCCGTGGTAGAGGTTTCGACCGTGGCAGAGGAGGTCGTGGTCGGGGAGGACCGAGGGATTCTCACCATCATGACCGTCATTCTCATAATTCACACGATGCTTCAACATCTCAACCGACTAGCTACAACCAACCTCAAGCATTCCATCCGAACCAGCAGAATGCCTATGCTATGCCTCAGCAGTTTCCTTTTGCACCTTTCCTGCAGCCCCAGCAGCAACAACAGCCGCCTCAGCAACAGGGAGCTTATGCCCAAGGCACTGCTTCAGCGCCATTTAACTTCCAAATGCCATTCATGCAGCCCTTCCAACAACAAACTCCCTACCAGCAAATGCCTCCTAACGTTCATATCAACCCCTTGTTTTTGGCCGCCCTGCAGCAGCAACAGCAGCAGCAGCAACAACAACAACAGTACCAGCAAACACCAGTGACTGGAAACCAACAAGCTCAGGCGCCGACGATGAACTTTGACCAGGTCAAGGCGCAATTGGATCTTCTACGACACCTCAGTAACGGCAATCAGGGTCCTCCTCAGCAATGATGATGAAATGTCATATCGTTTTGGCCTGTTCTCATGTGGTTACAGTCTTGCATTTCAAGGAGCTTGGGGTTTTCTCTTATTGGGGTTACAAAAGTTTTGCTTTCTGGCGGAGGTGCTCTTTTGGATCTAGGGTGATATTTAGCTTATAGACTTCGAAGATGTGAAATAGGACATGATCCTCTATTATACATGACACATCCCATGATGTGGAACTCATTATGTCTCCTTGAGTCAGTCACTTTTCATAAGACGCCTTGGGTATGCTATGTAACCTAAAACTCGCTCTGCTTTGCGCTCTTTGCCAGGACCCAGAAATTCTCCAACTTGGATCGAGCGAGGACGTCTTTTGCCTGAGAGTCAGTTTCGCACACTCGGGCACCCAGCCACTTGCGAAAGCTTCGACCCTTAGTTTGTCCTTCCCATAGGAGAGTACAGGTGTTTGAGCTTAGATCTTTCAGAGCCCCCGTCTGCTCATCCTCGGCAGCAAGCCACGACACCTGAGCTTCACGATTGCCCTCTCTCACAGCATTCGGACCAGCGTTCTCTGTCCAATCGATTCGATTCAGCATGAGCTTTTTGTAGTTATTGATCGAGTGAGAGCCTCCCTCCACGATAACGATGTTAAACTTCGGATGCATGACGCAGACCCCTGTAAGAGCGTTTTGCTCCGCATTTTTGCTGATCTTGAAACGATTACGCCCGTTTGCAAGGCTGTCAATGCGATATACCGACATGAAAATGCCCTTTTCTGCATCCTGTTCTTGTTGTCGAGCAAGCTTTTCTCGTCGTTGTTCCTTGGTCAATTTACGTTCCTCGTTGGCGGCTTCGTGATTGGCACGGCGTTCAGCAATCTCCTTTGTGACCCGGGCTTCAACAGCCGTGGGATCTTTGACAGCCTGTTCACCCAGGACTCGCATGAGATTCGATTTCTTCACCTTCGGCGGCGGAGCGGGCTCAAGTCCCAGACGAATCTTTGCTTGCTGTTCCTTCAGATCTGCCATGCGGCGCTGGCGGCGGATCTTGGCTTGCTCCTTCGGCGTCAGGTACATAGGTTTTTGTGCCGGCATAAGTTTATCTTGAGGAGGATCGAGAAGCACAGGGTGCTGAACGTAGACCGTCACGATGGAGTCCGGGGTGTCGATCTTAATGTTCCGCTCATCGTCAATAGCCGAGTAACTGTCCCCATTCACGAGTCCTTCATCCCACCATTCAAGTGCTGGTGGAGCAGGCACAAGGAATGCCTTCTCAACATCCAGATCTTCGTCGATACCCGCCTGTCGTGCCCTCTCCGCAATGCGCTTTTTCATAGCCTCCAGCTGCGCTTGACGCCGAAGCGCCGCTGCCTGTTGTATATATTTGCCTTTCTGGTTGAAGATAAGCTGTCGAGAGGCTCTTGGCTTTGCCACCGTAGCCTTTGGACCAAGACTAGGATCGAAGTATGGGTTGTTCTTGATTTCTTCCACCGAAGGCCCGGAGAGGTCCAGCCCTGCACGGTCTTGTCTCCCACCGATGGCCGGAGACTCAGTACGACGATTCCTGGACTGCACGGATTGCCGTCCCTTTCCGCCTCGGAACTCAATCGTGTCCGAAAGCAAAGCCGGGTGCAAGCCAACATCTAAGCCACCACGAGCACGCGATGAGCCATCGTCTTCATCACCGAACGGAGGAGGTTGAGGAGTAGGAGTAGGAGCGACGGTCCGTTGCTGAGCTGCGGCGGTGGCTCTTCCGGTAGCGGCTGCCACTCTAGCTTTCATCTGTTCCAATTTGGACATTGCTGGACTAGGCGCAGGAGGAGTCGGGCTGGGACTGGATGCCGCTGGGGTTAAGGTCGGAGTGCCTCCTCTTGCAGCCTGAAGGCGAGCGCGTACAGCCTCTGCCTTTGCTCTTGCTTCCGCCACCATCCTCTCAATATCCACCTTGCCAGAGGTTGAGGACCCTTGTGCGGGTAATGGAGAGCCATGGTTCGAGCGAGATCTCTTCTGCGTGTTGTTGTCCTCGTCCTCGGGGTGAGGACGCTTCAACGCATTGCCGGACACGTCCGCCATGGCTTGCGATGCTAGGAAGCCGCCGCGTTTATCTAGCCAAGATTAAAAGGGCAGTCCAACACTCGTAGCGCAAAGGCGACCAAAGAGAGGCCGAAGGGCGAGAGATGGGAGGGAGATGAGCTCTGCGGAGATGATGAGGAATTGTGAGATCACGGGGTGGTCCGTTTCCCAACGTGGGTAGAAGGCGGCGTCGCACGGCAGAAAAAAAGTTGGGTGAACTTTTTTTTCCCGTAACGTCCAGACCGTCCCGATCCGCTTTTTCGCTTTTGCTCTCTAGGCCAGCAGCGGCAGCTAAAGAGGCAAAAGGGAACAATTCGCACTCTAGGCGCCTTCTGTCGCTCAAGGAGCTGCAGGCAATCATGGCCAATTTCGCACGGCCTGTGGCCTCCTCCATCGCTGGAGTCGACTTCGGCGTCTATACCGATGAAGACGTCAAAGCTATCTCTGTAAAGCGAATCCACAACACCCCGACGTTGGATTCCTTCAACAATCCCGTTCCGGGTGGTCTGTATGATCCGGCTCTGGGTGCTTGGGGTGATCATGTGTGAGTACTACCTGGTTCATTTGTCCGAGCGCATTATATGCAATCGTTGGAGAAGGTTTCCAGGTCCGGACCCGATTACTGACATCTCTAAGCTGCACGACTTGTCGCCTGAACGCCTGGTCTTGTACTGGACATTCTGGACACATCGAGCTCCCGGTTCATGTTTACAATCTCACGCATTTCGACCAAATGTATCGTCTCCTTCGCGCGCAATGTGTATATTGCCACCGGTTTCAAATGTCCCGGACACAGATCAATGCCTACGAATGCAAGTTGCGACTCTTACAATATGGTCTAGTCGATGAACTCGTCGAGCTTGACCAGATTGGATCGGGGAAAGATACCAAGAAGTCTCGGAAAGGTGCAGATGGCTCCGGTAGCGAGGACGAGGACATGGACGACGAAGATATCATCGCGCGCAGGAATGTCTTTGTTAAGAAGAGTATTCGCGAAGCCCAGGCGGCTGGTAAGCTGCAAGGCGTGTTGTCTGGTGCGAAGAACCCCTTGGCCGCAGAGCAGAGACGGGCTGTGATTGGAGAATTTTTCAAGGCCATCGTCGCTATCAAGAAATGTGCCAACTGCAGCGGGTATGTCGGAAATTCTTTTTATACCTTTATTCGAGACTCTTATTGACATTCAACAATAGCATATCTCCAGGATACCGAAGAGATCGTTTCTCTAAAATTTTTCGAAAGCCTCTGCCAGAAAAGTCTCGCCTTGCTATGGTCCAGGCCGGCTTCCAGGCGCCGAACTCGTTGATTCTCCTCCAACAGGCGAAGAGGCTGAATTCTAAGGACAAGGGGGCGGCTGCGAATGACACTGCCACGCATGGAGCGGAGGAAGAGGTTGCTCGGGGAAATGCTGTTGTCACGCAAGCCGAGAACAAGAAGCAGGTGGCCGAGGGTGGTCAATACATGCCTTCCCCTGAGGTTCATGCCGCGATTACGTTGCTGTTCGAGAAGGAGAGCAATATCCTGACTCTCGTCTACAACTCTCGCCCGCTGCCGAAGAAAGAATCCCGAGTCAGTGCAGACATGTTCTTTATCAAGAGCATCCTGGTCCCACCTAACAAGTATCGCCCTGCGGCTATCCAAGGAGCCGGGGAAATCATGGAAGCCCAGCAAAACACGCCCTTGACTCAGATCCTGAAGAACTGCGACATCATCAACCAGATTAGCAAAGAGAGGCAGAATGGCGGCTCCGATTCGATCACTCGTGTGCGGGACTACCGCGACCTTCTCCACGCAATTGTGCAACTTCAGGATACTGTCAATGGTCTGATTGACCGTGACAGGAGTGGCCTTTCCGGAGCCGCGGTTGCTGGTGCCGCTAACGGTATCAAGCAGATTCTGGAAAAGAAAGAGGGTCTGTTCCGAAAGAACATGATGGGTAAACGTGTGAACTTCGCTGCCCGCAGTGTCATCTCGCCCGACCCCAACATTGAGACCAACGAGATCGGTGTTCCACTTGTGTTTGCGAAGAAGTTGACATACCCCGAGCCGGTTACTAACCACAACTTCTGGGAGATGAAGCAAGCGGTCATCAATGGTCCCGACAAATACCCTGGTGCTGCAGCCATCGAGAACGAGCTGGGCCAGGTCACCAACCTCAAGTTCAAGAGCCTGGATGAGCGCACGGCTCTGGCCAACCAGCTGCTGGCGCCCTCGAACTGGCGAATGAAGGGGTCGCGCAATAAGAAAGTCTACCGTCACCTCACCACTGGTGATGTGGTCTTGATGAACCGTCAGCCTACGCTCCACAAGCCGTCCATCATGGGTCACAAAGCTCGCGTGCTTTCTAACGAGAGAGTCATTCGAATGCACTACGCCAACTGTAACACGTACAACGCAGACTTCGACGGTGATGAAATGAACATGCATTTCCCTCAAAACGAACTGGCTCGTGCGGAAGCGATGATGCTTGCAGACGCAGACCATCAGTATCTTGTTGCAACATCAGGAAAGCCCTTGAGAGGTCTGATCCAAGATCATATTTCCATGGGAACGTGGTTCACCTGCCGTGACAGCTTTTTCGACGAGGAAGATTATCATGAATTGCTATATAGTTGCCTGAGACCCGAGAACGCGCATACAATCTCTGACCGCATTCAACTTGTGGGGCCGACTGTCATCAAGCCGAAGCGCCTCTGGACCGGAAAACAGATCATTACGACGATCTTGAAGAACATCATGCCCTCAGAAAGAGCCGGACTTAATTTGAAGAGCAAATCTTCGACCCCTGGCGATCGGTGGGGCAAAGGAAACGAGGAAGGCGATGTGATATTCAAGGATGGTGAGATGCTCTGTGGTATTCTCGACAAGAAGCAGATTGGACCTACTGCTGGTGGTCTTATTGATTCCATTCACGAGATTTATGGCCACACCATCGCCGGAAAGTTGATTGGTATTCTTGGGAGACTTTTGACGAGGTTTCTGAACATGCGCGCCTTTACTTGCGGTATCGATGATCTTCGGTTGACCAAGGAAGGTGACCGCGTACGTAAAGAGAAACTCAGCCAGGCTCCCAAGATCGGACGTGAGGTTGCCCTGAAATACGTGACACTCGACCAAACAACTGTGCCGGATCTGGACGCAGAACTCCGCCGGCGTATGGAGGAAGTCCTCCGTGACGACGAGAAACAGAGCGGATTGGATAGCGTTACTAACTCTCAAACTGCTAAGCTCTCCACCGAAATCACGAAGGCCTGTCTTCCCGGCGGTTTGGTTAAGCCTTTCCCGTGGAACCAAATGCAGTCGATGACCATCTCCGGTGCCAAGGGTTCAAGCGTCAACGCCAACCTGATTTCTTGCAACCTCGGTCAACAGGTTTTGGAAGGTCGTCGTGTACCTGTCATGATCAGTGGTAAGACACTGCCGTCGTTCAGAGCTTTTGACACGAATCCCATGGCTGGTGGTTATGTGTCTGGTCGTTTCTTGACGGGTATCAAGCCTCAAGAATACTATTTCCACGCCATGGCTGGTCGTGAAGGTCTTATCGATACCGCCGTCAAGACTTCGAGATCCGGATATCTGCAACGTTGTTTGATCAAGGGCATGGAAGGGTTGAGAGCCGAATACGATACTTCCGTCCGCGAAGCTTCCGATGGCTCCATCATTCAATTCTTGTACGGAGAAGATGGTCTCGATATTACGAAGCAGGTCCAGCTCAAGCGATTCGATTTCCTGGCGTCGAACCACAAGTCTATCATGTCCCAGGTCAACTTAAGGAGTGACTACCACAATCTCGAGAAGGAGGAGGTTGCGAACTGGCACAAGGATGCCATGAAGAAGGTGCGCAAGTCGGGCAAGGTTGATGCTATGGATCCTGTGCTGGCCCATTATCACCCTGGTGGCAACCTCGGCAGTGTATCTGAGGCATTTTCGCAAGCGCTCAAGAAGGTATGTAACCAGTGGCATTCTTTCTGCCATATCAGATGACTAATATCTACATACAGTATGAGGATGAGAATAAGGACGGTTACCTGAAAGACAAGAAGAAGGGTGTCGATGGTTTCCTCAGTAAGAAGGCCTTCGATACGCTGATGAACATGAAGTACTTGAAGTCTGTTGTGGACCCTGGTGAAGCTGTCGGTATTGTGGCCAGTCAGTCCATTGGTGAACCTTCTACCCAGATGACCCTGAACACTTTCCATTTGGCTGGTCACTCCGCAAAGAACGTGACGCTTGGTATTCCTCGTCTACGTGAAATCGTGATGACTGCCAGCGCTAATATCATGACCCCGACGATGACTTTGGTCTTGAACGAGGAGCTGTCCAAGGAGCACTCCGAGAGGTTCGCTAAGGCTATCAGCAAGCTGAGCATTGCAGAGGTTGTGGACAAGGTCCAGATTCGGGAGAGAATCTCTTCAGGGAGCACCAAGGCTAAGATTTACGACATCGAAGTCACCTTCTTCCCGGCCGACGAGTATTGCGCAGAGTATGCCATCAAGGTCAAGGATGTGCAGAACACTCTTCAGAACAAGTTTATTCCCAAGCTTGTGAAGCTCACGAGAGCCGAGCTGAAGAAGCGTCAGGATGAGAAGGCGCTGAAGAGCTACTCGACCGCTCAGCCTGAGATTGGTGTCTCTGTTGGTACTGTTCAGGAAGCCCCTCGGGCCCCTGAGGGAGCCAACGACCCTGCCGACGATGATGATGAAGAGGATGAGGATGACGCTAAACGCGCCAGAGGAGCCCAGAACCGGTCCAATCAAGTATCGTACGAAGGACCCGAAGAAGAAGAGATGGAGATGGTTCAACAGCAGGATGCTCCTGAGGATGACGATGAAGACGAGGCTCCGAAACAGCAGCGCGACGTCGAAATGGAAGATGCTTCTGATGATGACTCGGACGAAGAGACCAAGGACACCAAGCTGCGCGAGGAGGATATCCGGAACAAGTTCCACGAGGTCACTCAATTCAAGTTTGACCCCAAGAAGGGCAACTCGTGCACAGTGCAACTGCAGTACGATATCGCCACCCCCAAGCTCCTTGTCCTTCCCTTGGTCGAAACCGCCGCTCGTGCCGCTGTCATCCAGTCTATCCCTGGACTTGGCAACTGTACCTATGTGGAAGCGGATGAAGCCAAGGGTGAGCCTGCGCATGTCATCACGGAAGGTGTCAACTTGCTCGCCATGCGTGACTACCAGGACATCATCAAGCCTCACTCCCTCTACACGAACTCCATCCACCACATGCTTCAGTTCTACGGTGTTGAAGCCGCGCGCGCGTCTATCGTGCGGGAAATGTCCGACGTTTTCGAGGGTCACAGTATCTCCGTCGACAATCGCCACCTGAATCTGATCGGTGATGTGATGACGCAGTCTGGTGGCTTCCGTGCCTTCAACCGCAATGGTCTCGTTAAGGATGGCACGTCGCCATTCGCTAAGATGAGTTTCGAGACCACGGTGGGATTCCTTAAGGAGGCGGTCATTGAGCGGGACTTCGATAACCTCCGGAGCCCCAGTAGCCGAATCGTCGTCGGTCGTCCTGGAATTGTTGGTACTGGTGCTTTCGACGTTCTTGCCCCTGTGGCTTAATCGATAGATTGTGGGTGGATGATGCATGCATGTCATATTACGGGTCATATCTTTCTGTCGTTGTAAATCTTTGCAAGCTTGACTGTATCTAGTATGTTGTTTTTTGTCTGATGTGTCCAACGACATTTGGAGTTCTATCTCAGCGGTACTTAGAAAAAAGTTGTTGTCTTAGTGATAGCCCTGAATGAGCGAATGAATAGAACTGATCAAAGAAATAATTTGATTCTACCTTTCTGAACACCAGACTGCCTTGGTATCATGCTGTAACTATTTTCAAAAACCCACAACCATAAACAAACGGATTAGAAGTATTGAGCACCATTTTCACTGTGCATCGAGCATCATGAGATCTTCATCAATGTCGTCGTCAAATTCATCTGCAACCGCCGCATGTCCATTGGTTCCATGGCCATTAGCGAGAGCTTCTCGCCGGGCTCTTTCTTCCTCTACCTTCTGTTTCTCACGGTGGCGCTCCAGATCAGCCAAGCTCCAAGTTGAGATACCCTCCTGGTCTTTAGCTTTGAACGGTTGAGCCATAGTACGCAAGAAGTTCTTTGCTGTCGCCACCGCCATATCTGTACTGAGATTCGTCTCACTCTCCAGCATGGCCTGCGAGATCCATTTCGGGAGCTGGGAGCGTTTCTTCTGGAACCGGCGGTCAGCGAGAACCATGACTCCGTAGTCATCCTTTCCACGCAGGACACGACCTAGACACTGAGCGGCGTGTCTCATAGCATCGAAAGAGAGAAAGTCGTTTTCGCGGATGCGATAATTCTCTCGGAGAAACTCCAACCGTGCCTTCAATATACGGGATTCCGTATACTGGAATGGGACACCGATACATAACACGGCGCGACCGTAGTGATGATCGAAATCGATACCCTCGGAGACCTTTCCTCGAGCGACACAGAACAGAATGGCGCCCCGTCCGTTGCAACACGCCGTTCGGTAGGTCTCCAACGCCAGAGAAGACTCTTGCGCATCGGGTGTCTCGACTAGAATCAACTTATAGTTCCATATCGAGTCCAAGATTCCCATGCCTTGCCACATGCTAATAATCGACTCCATGTAGAGATAGGAAGGGAAGAAAACGACAACTCCATCCGGCGTAATGCGCGAGAATTCCAGAACGATGTTTCCGTAGTTCCTCACCACACCAGGGTCGTTTCGGATTTGAAACGAGGATGAGATCTGCGCTTGATCTGATCCACGGGTGACAATCATGGGGAGGAAAGATCGCCGCGCCAGTGTCATACTATACGACTCCTGCATGACAGTCGTGAACCCAAGCATTTTGGGGTACATCTCGAGAGGCGATAATGTTCCGGACGTGATGATAACTGAGCTGAAGCGGTCGAACACAGGCTTGATGGCAATAGCTGCATCCAAGCAGGTGAAATGCAATATGGGGTTCGGCACGGTTGCTGCCTCCGATTCGAAAGGCTCCAAGATGAGGAGGAAACCTTTGTCGTATGTTGCAACGAGGGTCGCAAACGTCGCCACTTCTTGCAGCGGCTGGTAATCCTCTATGTTGATGAGTTCCAAAGTTCGCACCAGGGAGGTGAGGCGCTCAGCACAAAATCGTAACGGTTTTCGTTCAATATAAGTCAAGTCTTTGACATGAGTGAGAAAGGACGGGGGTGTTTCGGATATGGTGTGGGTGACTTTCATCCGGGTTTTGAGATATTCGATGAATCGTTTAAGGAAGGCGACAAAATGCTCCGCGCGACGTATATTACCCGGAACAGCTTCCTTGAGCAAGTCATCCGGAAGCACTGGATTTGAGATAAACTGGTCTTCCTCCCTTGCTTGTTCGGCTTCACGTAACCCTTCCACCAGTTTGGTATATTCGTTCTGGAGCTTCTCCGCATCGGAACTTTTCATCTCGGTAATTTTCCGTTCCAAGTTATTTGCACCTCTTGTGGCCTTTCGCAGCGAATCCTCCGTGATGTCGATACTCAGCGATTCTATGCACACATTGTCGATGTTATGCGCCTCGTCAAAGACCACTATGCAATCCTTCGAAAATTCCCTGGAGACTCGTTCTGCGATTTTTGGATCCAAAAGATAATGATAGGAGTAGATGATAACGTTGCAAAACGGCATCATACGCCGTGCGGAGAAATAGGGGCATTGTTTATGCTGCTCGCCATATTTGATAAGGCCATCGAGAGTGAAGACGCCCGGAGGAACAAGGTTATGCGGTTCGAGGAGGTCGAGATTCTACGACGAAGCGTTAATACCCGGGACGTGGGGGGCTTGCACAGGTTCCTGCATACCTCATGATATGTGCAGAGCTCAACATCCTCACCCCTCTCTTTCTTTTCTTTGACAAATCCTGCGGTTAAACTCCGACATCTTGCGTCGACCACGGTGCCACTCTTTTCTCTCTTGACCGAAGGATGTAGACACAAGTTTTTCCGACTGGTCAGACCCAGAGCACGAAAGTCCTCAGTATATCCAAGTTCCTTGGCGCGGAATTTCATCAGCGCTTTCAACTCAGCCAGCGCCTTTTCGATCTCGGACATAGTTCGCGAACAATAGATGAGCTTTCTATGTTCCGGGTAGTGAAGCTGGTACGCGACAATCAGCGACAATAGGGACACTGTCTTTCCGGTACCCGAAGGCATCTCAAGAACACAGTGACCCCCGGCATCGAGGGTCTTCTTGAGATCACACATGTAGGCATATTGCTCGGGGTATATACGAGGATAGGGAAAGAGAACGGGCAGGTCACTATGAGTAAAATCGAGATGAGAAGCTGAACCAGAGGCAATACAGAGGAAGATGCACTTACTCAATGAAAAACTTCATTGTGAAGGTTGAGCGGCGAGCTCCGGGTTGGCAGTGAGAGTGAAAGACCTGGGAAGCTCTTCAGTTCGAGCGACGCGGCTAGACTCGCGCCGACTTTTCCCCTTTGGGCCATCGATGACACCAGCTCACGTGATGTCCCGATATGGTCGCCGACGGGCACGCCGCCTTTATCGCAGGTGTCTGTTGCGCAACTATCCATTCTGAGATTCATTGCCCACTGCTGGGATGGGATGAGCGACCTTTGCGCTACTATATGGGATCGCCAACATATCCAATTTCCTTCTCTTGTACCATTCCTTTGACATACCCTTTCGCATCCTATTCTTAGTCACTTTGATATCCCACCTTACCCCACATTACTATGAGCAAAAAGTTCAGATCCCAAGCTTCGAGCAGCCGCGCTGCCGCTGGCGCATTTGGTTCTTTTGGAGGTTTCTCTGGTTCAACCTCAGCTTCCGGAAGAGAGCCATCGTCCCTGACATATGTAACCGAGCCTCCGGATCTTTCTCGGTTGTCAGAGCCGCAACTGGCCATTACATTCAAAAACTTCCTGAAAAAGGATGAAGTCACAAGAACGAAGGCACTAGATGACCTAAGAAGCTATGTCTCGGCAGTAGAAAGTCGCAGCGGAACTCTTGATGATGGGTTTCTGGAAGCCTGGGTATGCCTGCTTATGCGAATTTGCACACGGAGAGTTGTCTAATTCCAGGACAGATTAAAATATATCCGCGAGCTTCAATCGATCTTTCCCGAAGGGTGAGGCAGTCGGCTCATTTAGTTCAGGGGTCCATTGCTTCCCTTGTGGGAAAGCGGATCGTCCGCTTTCTGCCAAAGGTGATTGGGGCATGGCTTGCTGGCCTTTATGATAATGACAGACCGGTCCAGCGGGCTGCTTTGGAATCATTCACGCGGGTTTTCTCTACGGAGGAGAAGAGAAGCGGCGTATGGAAGATCTACCAGAGTTCGATTCTCGACTTCGTAGATGATGTCATTCTCCAACAGACCCCTCAGACGTTGAGCGATGAGAGAACGGTGAAGCCTGATGATGCTGAGGCGAAGTATGCTCGTGTTGTGGCTACTGCACTGCTGCTGTTCAATCGCATAATAGGTAAGAGGGAGGTATACAATGCTGTTAGCGGCATCGCTAAACTCATATTAGGAACCTCTACGCATCAAGATCTTGAAAAGGATCTTCCCACGGTTGAGACTATTCTTAACAGTAAATCGCTGTGGACCCTCTCTTATCATGAAGATTCTTTTGTCCGCAAATCCCTTTATATCCTTCTTCGATCAGCAGTCGCCAAGGAACCCGAAGAGCTTGAATGGAAGCTCATCAGTGGCGCCTTGATTGGCAAGTGTTTACACGCTTCGCAGCTAGGCTCTTCTGCAGAACTGTCCGAAACCCTCCTTCAAGTGACATCGGCAAGGCCGCAGCTATGGACGGAGGACTATTCGGGAAAGACATCTTCGTCCAAGAGACTATTGCAGTACATCCAGAAAGGCTCTCAAGGAGGTACCAGTTCTTTCTGGCCCAACCTCTACCAGTTATTGCAGATCATTCCAGTGCAAACATTGGCAAACCTCGATCCAGAAAAATCCGGCAAAAATGGTATTACGTTGTCGGCCGCAACGAGTTTGATGGGATCTTTCCAAGATGGACTGAACTCAAGAGATGAGCCTCGACAGAATCGAGCAGTTGCTTGGAAAGCCTACATTGACACAGGAATGTGGCTTGTCAGCCTGCTACCTGCGGATGTTGGAGTGCAGCTTTTCCGTGAAAGGCTTTCGCCTATAGTGGCCCAATACGTCAAGCCCGAGCAAGACCAGCCGCAATGGACTTTACCACCTGCGTCGGCTGAAACTATTTGTACTGATTACCTTGCTACTTTGGCAATACACAACCACGGAATTGAGCTCGAGAATGTATGGAAGCAGTTGTCGAGTGACATGTTAGAGGCGGTCAAACTGTCTTCTCCTGAGCAATCAAAGGACTTCAGTTCATCGCAAGGTGCAGTTTCTGCGCGTGCTGAACGTCTTTTCTCTTTGGAAGCTTCTGTGATTTCACAGTTGGCTGAAACAGAGGCTGAGCCGCGTTTATTAACGACGCTGGGGAACGTCAACTTGCCCCTGCTAGATGACTGCCTACAGGTGTTGCAAGCTCGGAATGGCAAGCCATACGGAGCAGCGGCAGTCGTGGAGAGTATGGTTCACAGAGTTGCGCAGATTGTGCAGCCCTCTAAGACACTGTTGGATTTTGTCCAGAAGGATGCCTCAGAGCTTCTGTCTTCGCCATCAGCCGATCGCATTATCTCCATAATTTTGGCATGCCGATCATGGGATGGATATGGCTCGAGCTTTGAAAAGATCGTTGACAGAGTCGCGCAGTCCGAGCCAGAATCATCGAATGCCCATGCTGTTCAGAAGCTCCTCTCGACCCTTAATTTCCACGAAGTTGATGATAAGAGTGGCATTGGATCATTGGTCGTACGAGCTCTGAATAAAGCTTGCGCAGGCAGTAGTTTACACTGGGCTATTGTGGTTGCAGTGCTTCAAAACCCTACATCTCACGGAGAACTGACGGACTCGATATTTTTGTCCATATTAGACGCCTTGTCTGAGGAAAACAAGGTCGTCGATACTTTGCATGGTCTTTCGCAAATCGCTACCGCGGCGCCTGATGCCCTCAAGGGATTCCAGAGTGGCTCTCACGGCTCAAAGCTGGCAGGAAAACTTCTTTTCCTTGCCGAATCTCCATCAGAAGAATCGGCCAGTCTTGCGGAAAACCTGATCAGAGTGATGAAGGAATCGGCTGTCACCGCAAGTACTACTAAATCGAGCGTTGAAATCCTACAGCACAACTTTGAAACTGTCAATAGAGAATCTCTCTCGTAAGTGACCCGTTGTGAGTGGCCTGAATGATTACTTACTAACTTCTCAGGATCGCTTCACTGCTGGATATCGCGGAAGACTTACTGAATAATGCACAGACCGACGAGGTTGGTCGCATTGCAAAGGACATTTTGCCTGGCCGTCAGTCTTGGGAGAAAGCTCTCCAGCCATTTCTTGAACTGCCTCCTCGCCTATCTACCTCGATCACCAGCCCGCTTGGAGGTACGGTCTATCTTGCTGATCGCCAAACATCCGACGGTCTTCGACAGCTTTACGAGGGTATACCCCGGGATTCTAGCCGGTGTTCGTCGGCGTTTCGGCTTGCCTACTTCACTGTCAGGCTGCTTTCTTCGTTTGACATAACAAGGCACCTTGGGTCTGAAGAGCTCGAGACACTCGTTTATAACTTACCTTTGGCAGTTCAGCTGATTGACGACGATCTGAGTATCGAAAACAGCAATGGAATTACCGGAGCTGAGTTACCAGAACAACGGGAAGATTACATGGACCTCGTCAATGAAGGCCGCAAAGTCATCAGTGGATGGACACAGTCTCAGGAGACCAAGTCTGCCACAGTGTTATCGCTTTGGGAACGCAAGTTGGAAACGCTGAGTGGCTCTTCTCCGCTCGACTACAGGGTTGGTGAGGCATTCGTGAAAGTCTTGCAGAGTGGAGATATGGCAGGTCTATCCAAATCCGCGGAAGAAATAGCCAAATTGTGCAAGGACGTGCGGACTGCAAATGCTATTCGGTCAGCATCATCGCTGCTTGTTTTCAAGCCTCAGGTCCTCTCAAACCCGGCCGGTACCCGTCTCTGCAACGAATTGATTGCAGATTCGACAGGGTTGAAGCCCCAGGATGAGAACCAAAACGGTTAGTTCAGAATTCTAAGAAAGACCGTTCATATGCTAATGTTAGAAAGGTCTCCGAAAACTGTCACTACTGAACCTCCTCCTGGCTGGCGAAGAAGCCGTCGCCTCATCTATCCCAACACAGCGTTTGATGTTCTTTGTCAAGAACCTCATTCAGTGTCTGCAATCTGAGAGCTTAAACCTCAGTCTTCAGGCGGAAATTCTGCAAAGCCTGAGCTTTGTTCTTCCGTGTATCCAGGAGATGTATGGCTCTCACTGGGAAGATTGCTTGGAGATTCTCAACAACACATGGCAGGAGATTGGTGGTGGCGATGACGCTCTACCGGTTCTTCTGGCCTCGTTCAAACTTTTTGCCCGGATCAAGTCGATTGTCGCCGATGAAGAGAGCAATGATGATGTGAAAGATGCGTGGGCAGAGCGAAAAGCAGCCTTGTGCAATGGGCTGACTTCGAGTCTGAGAAAGCTTGGTAAGTACAGTCGCGTAACTTTCTGCAGATCTAGCTAATAGAAAAGACTCTTTGACCGCTTTCCATCAACCTCGCGACGTCACCGTGGACTACTTGTGTCGGCTTGCTAGCACGATCCCGATTGAGAGCATTGAAAATGTCGGCAAGATATTCCCTCTAATGACGGCTCGCAGCCGCAGCATTCAACGGGCAGCCTATACAGTCCTCCACCGCTATATTCCAAGCGTCCAGGAGCAAGTATCTTTTGACGTGGCTTTGTCCAAAACCACCGTCGGGCTCCCAGATGAACTTATGTCGTTGCTACTCGAAGCACCCAGTATGGACGCAGTCTCCCTTTCGTACGGGGATGACAAGGTCTGGACAGACATACGATCTTACCTCCTGAGTTGGAAAGTGGTGTTCGATCATTTTGATAATGCAGTATGTTCCCTGCAAATCCTTCTACGTAGTTCTGGCTAACCAGCACAGTCACTTGCGGTCCAGGAAAACTATGCTTCCAGCGTCAAGGAGAACGATGTCCTCATCCCTCTTTTGGAGTTCATGTTTGACTTTCTGCAAAAATCCGACGGCAAGATGGTGGATGCTTCCAGATTTGATATCCGGAGATTTGAGCCCGATGAGGCCGAAAGCCTCGAGAAGGAGATCCAGTGGCTCCTGGTGAACCTGTACTTCTTATGTCTGAAGCATCTTGCCAACATGACCAAGAGTTGGTGGATCGACTCTAAGAAGCGCATCAAGGGACCGGTGGAGACCTGGACCGAGAAATATGTAAGGTTCCCCAATGGCTATGGTTTGTCTGCGGCTTGATTCTAAACTAACGACTTCAAGGTCTCGCCTCTGATTATTAGTGACGCCCTGCAGGGTGTCATGGAGTGGATCGCGACTCAAGACCCTAACGAAGAGCGTGCTTTGACGGTGAAGATCTCCGCAAAAACGGCCGAGATAATCGCCAGCATACCCGTGGATGAAGAATCGCCGCCGGTAGCGATATCGCTCTCCTTGCCGCCGGCGTACCCTCTGCAGCCCGCGGTGGTCGTTGGCCGCAGCCGGGTCCTAGTTGATGAAAAGAAGTGGAAGAGCTGGCTTCTGACCATCCAGGGCGTGATCATGTTTGCGAATGGCAACCTTGTGGATGGACTGTTGGCGTTCCGAAAGAACGTGCAGGGAGCTTTGAAGGGACAGAGCGAGTGCGCGATTTGCTACTCGGTCATTTCGACGGACATGCAGACGCCGAACAAACGATGCGCTACATGCAAGAACACGTTCCATTCGGTGTGTCTGTTCCGGTGGTTCAAGAGCAGCAACCAGAGCACATGCCCGCTGTGCCGGAACAATTTTGTGTATGTATGAGCATATGGCATGAAAGGGTATAGACAGACATGTACAGTAATTAGGTCTGAAATAGGGTTGCTATCTCATAGTTGATCTCAAGTATACGGGTTCACATACTAAGCTGTGCATAAGGCGAGTGGGGCCCACATTGATGATGTTGATAAGTTGATATCATCGCCCTGCGGGGGCAAAATCCCCCACCGCCAACGTTGTCCCTTCTTCCACTTCCCCTACTCCCGATATGTCTGCATCCCAGATCCCAAACCTCAACACGCTTCGTCGCGGCGGTGGTCGTGGTCGCTTTCGTGGTCGTGGCGCATCGAGCACAGGGAACTCCGGTCCTAGCTATGGCGGAAGCAAAGACCGGGTGGTGCAGGGCACCGACAATGACGCCAGCGTCTCGCGGCTAAGTGCTGTACGATTGGGATACCTGGCGGACCCATTTGCAGAGTTCCTGACGCCCGCAGGGCTCGAAACGAGACGGTTGCCCATTATCAACCGAGGTGCGGCCAGCGTATTGCTGCTTGTCTATGTGTACTAACCCATTCTGCGATCTAGGAACCTACGTGCGCACCACCGCAATCGACCACCTCGTCCACCAATTCCTCTCGCACGACCCGCAACACAAGAAACAGATTATCTCATTGGGCGCGGGCACAGACACCCCGCGTGTTCCGACTCCTCTCATCCGACGCCCGTCCCAATCTGATCTATCATGAGATCGACTTTGCCATCAACACCGCAGCCAAGGTAAGGTTCATCCGCGCGACGCCGCGCCTGCAACAAGCGCTGGGCACCATTGGCCCCGGCGACCACGACGTCACGATCTCCGACGCGGGGGATGCGCTGTACTCGACGAACTATCACCTCCACCCCCTTGATCTGCGATCATTGCGCCGGCCGACGCCGGCGTCCACGCAGGAGACGTGCCACCTGCGGGGCGTGGACCCCTCGCTCCCGACGCTGCTGATATCCGAGTGCTGCTTGGTGTATCTCTCTCCCAGCGAAGCGGCGGAGGTGGTGGGCTATTTCACTGAGGGGGTGTTTGGGCGCGGTGGACACTCACCTGGTGAGGGGGTGCCGCTGGGCTTAATTCTGTATGAGCCAATTCGGCCGGATGATGCGTTTGGGCGCACGATGGTGTCGAATCTGGCGACGCGGGGGATCCAGCTGCAGACGCTGAATAAGTATGGGTCGCTGGAGGCGCAGCGACGGCGGCTCCGCGAGCAGGGGTTTGATAGTGGTCAGGCGGCGGCGGATGTGGATTTCATTTGGGACCGGTGGGTGAGTGAGACGGAAAAGGAGCGGGTCGCGGGGCTGGAGATGCTGGACGAGATGGAGGAATGGCAATTGCTGGCGCAACATTACTGTGTAGCGTGGGGATGGCGTCAGGGCGAGGCAGGAGCCTTCGATGGATGGAGGGGAATTGAAGGACAGGCATGAGGGCCTCTACATACATACGTGGAGTGCCTGGATGTACAATGGACATGACAATGAAGTGATGCCTCAGGCGAGTAAGCCCTAAGGCCGAGGTCTCGGATGCACGCGCCATTAGGAGTATTCCTCCTGCGTGCGATTGACCCCTTTTCTCTCCTCATCCGGCGTAGTTCCGACCACCATCACACTTTCCATGAGTCGCAATCCGGGTCTGGACCAGTCGCGACGATCGCGATGTCCATCGCAATGTGCCGGAAGATTTTTCTTTTCTCTTTCTCTTCCTCTTTTGTTGTTCTTGGTTCTCGTGTTGAGTTGTCAGCTTATACGAGGACGAGGAAGATGGGACGATTGGAATCTGGGGAAGTGAATCACACCTGTCAGATGAACCCCTTGCGCCACGTCGACCCGATCGGACGTGCTTATATTATACGATTATATTAGTTATCTTATGATATTATCTTATTGTACTATCGTGCTGTAGGCTCCCCCGTATTGACTGTGATATTATTCATTATAAAAATTAAATAAATTAAAACAGGGACCAAGTGGGCCTGCCAGGGACGAACCGCCGGGGCAGCTGCCAATCAGACTCCGCGTGGGGCAGCGGCGTTACCGAAAAAGGGAAAATGCTTGCCAATAGCTTCGAGGGCGTCCCAATCGGGTATGCTTTAGGGCTCTCCGTTTTGGGGCGAAGAGGATCCCATTCGCGATTAGTCCCTTTTCGCACCTGATGAGGCTTCTTTGTTCCTTTCTCCCTCTCTCCTCTCTCTCTCTCTCTCTCCTTTCCCTTCCCTTCTCCAGGTGTTCTGCCGTGCGGACGTCGCATTCCTTCTTCGCTTCTTCAGTTCACCCCAGTCATTCGTTTGAAGATCCCTATCTCACCCAAGTCTTTCGTTCAGGCTGTTGTCAGCCCTTGGTGCGCACTTGTTTAGCCAGCGTCGGAGTCAACGGACTTACATCCTTACCCATCCTTATCTTTCATATATCAAACATACATACAACATAACTTATAGAGAAAAGACGAACGGAACGACATTATGAAACTCGTCCAGTCTCACCTCGCTCTCGCTCTCATTGCCGCCGTCGAAGCCGCCAAGCATGGCCACGGGCATAGCCACGGCCACGGCCATCGCGGCCATTCCATCGACGCTCCGCTCGAGAAACGAGGCGGATCCTGCCAGTTTCCCTCGGATGCAGGACTGGTGGCCGTTACGCCCAATCTGCTGAATGGTGGGTGGGCCATGAGCCCCGACCAGAAGTGTACGCCAGGAAACTACTGTCCCTACGCCTGTCCCCCTGGTCAGGTGTCCATGCAGTGGGACCCCGATGCGACGTCGTATAGCTACCCCAAGTCCATGGTAGGATACAAAACATTGCGCTCATATACTTAGAGAAACGCTGACCATGACAGAACGGCGGTCTCTACTGCGACGAGGACGGAAACATCCAGAAGCCCTTCCCGGATAAGCCGTACTGTGAGGATGGCACAGGTGCCGTGGGGGTGCGCAACAAGTGTGGCAGCGAGGTCGCGTTCTGTCAGACCGTGCTGCCCGGTAACGAGGCCATGTTGATCCCGACTCTCGTGCAGGAACTGGCTACGCTCGCGGTGCCTGGTCCCAGCTACTGGTGTGAAACGGCGGCGCAGTAGGTGACTCCCTGACTTCCCGAGTGGATGTGTGTTCTGACGGCGTCCCAGCTTCTACATCAACCCGCCTGGATATGGCGCTGAAACTGCCTGCGTCTGGGGCACGTCTTCCAACCCGTACGGAAACTGGTCACCGTACGTGGCGGGCGCCAATACCGACAGCAACGGCAACACGTTCCTGAAGATCGGATGGAACCCGATCTACCTGGAGCCGACGACGCCGTTCCGCAACGAGGTGCCCTCGTTCGGCGTCGAGATTGAGTGTGAGGGCGGTGGCTGCAACGGATTGCCCTGCAAGATCGACCCGTCCGTCAACGGGGTCAACGAGATGGTTGGCAGCGCGGTGGACGGGGCCGGCGGCGCAGCGTTCTGTGTGGTGACCGTGCCCAAGGGAGAGAAGGCCAACATCGTCGTGTTCGAAACGTCCGGCGGTAGTGGTGGCAGCAGCCATACCTCGTCGAGCAGCGTGGCCCCGTCTACCAGCTCCACCGTCGCCAGCAGCACTAGCACTAGCACCAGCACCAGCACCAGCTCGACCAGCAGCAGCGCAGCCACGAGTGTCCCCGCGACGACCTCCTCCACCAAGATCATCCACACTACGTCCGCGACCGCCACGTCGGCGCCCAGCTCGGCCATGCAAATGCCATACAGCCACCCTCCGTTGTTTGGCGGACCCAGCTACACCTACAAGCCGGGGATCCTGATCGAGACGGGCAGCAGTGGCGGGGACTCGGCGCAGGCCATGTCGACGAACACGCCGGAGCCCAGCAAGGTGTCGGACGAGAACGCAGCCAGTAGCATGAAGGCGTCGATGCTGGGACTGGTGTTGGGGGTTGCAGCCGCGATGGTTTAACCTGACTTTCCCTTCTACTTCTTCACTTCTTCACTTCTTCATCTTTACCTTTATATTCTTTTACCCCCTTTTATTCTCTTCTCGATGGACGATTTTTCACTTCTGGGATACCCCCTTTGACGATTGATGTTTGACGATTGGATTTTTGGATTGATAGGATAGGAATGGACTTAATAAGATAATAGCCTGTGTACAACCTTGGATATAGATCACCTAGATCATGTGACATCATACAACCTTCCGTACATTAACCATCTCCCCCTCACCCCCTCACCACCAACTAACAACACCCATAGCCCAAAATGCCACCCTCACCACAAACAGTACTCCCTCCCCCTCTCTACCTACACTCTCTCAACCAACCAATCTAAACAATGAACAGGCAAAACTAACCTCCACCCTCCACCTCCTCATCCCACGCCTCCGCCTCCTCCAAAAGAAATCCACCGCCAGCTCCGTCGTCCAGCGCCGCGAGCTCTCGCACCTCCTCGCCGAAGGCCGCGACGCGTCCGCCCGCATCCGCGTCGAAAATGTCATCGCCACCGACATCGCCGTCGAAGTCATGGAAATGGTCGAGCTGTACTGCGAGCTGCTGCTGGCCCGCGCCAACGTCCTCGACCAGCTCGCCTTCACCGAGAAGGGCGCGCAGGCGCGCGCGCACGCGCGCGACGTCGCCCTCGCCCTGAAACGGGAGACATCGCCCCAACCCGCGTCGCAGGCGCAGCAGAAAGCCAAGCCGGGCTCGCTGTTTGGCCGGCTCAATCCGTTCGGTGCTAGCCCGGCCTCTGCGCCCCCCACCACCAGCCCCGGCGGAGACGGAGACCTCAGTGCAAGCGCAGGCATAAGCGGGGAGGAAAGCGCCTACCTCGATCCAGCGCTGGACGAAGCCGCCGCGGCTATCTTCTACGCGTGGTCGCGCTTCCCGCACGACGTGCGCGAGCTGACCATCCTGCGCGGCCTGCTGGCCGACCGCTACGGGAAGGACTTTATGGCGCTGGCGCAGGACAACCGGTTCGCGGAGGGCGATGGGCTGCGCGTGCCGGAGCGGCTGGTCAAGGGGTTGCGCGTGCGGCCGCCGGCGCCGGAGCTGGTGGATAGTTATCTGCGCGAGATTGCGCGGGCGTATGGTGTTTCCTGGGGGGAGGCCACTGAGGATGCGGAGTTGGGGGAGGTTCCTGCGTTTGATGATGGGGATGCGGATGGTGATGCGGGTGCAGATGGGGATCTCCCGTCAACGCCGCGCAAAGGCTCCACGTCTGACCCGGCCGAGTTGAATCGCGCGACACCGCCGCGCGGTCTGCAGCCTGGGAAGAGTCCCGTCAGTGTGGCGCCGCCGGGGCCCCGGTCCGACAATCCCAACCCGCGCGTCAAGGTGCCCGGGGCCGAGAGCGAGGATGGCGCACACGAGACGCAGCCTCCGTCGAAGCCGAAGGGGGGTATACCCGAGGTGGATGAGTTGACGCGGCGGTTTGCGGCGTTGCGCAAGTAGTGCATGGTGTGGGTTCCTATGAGTACGACTTACGATCATCCAAGCTTACGACGTCAAGCGATGCGCAGACGATTGTCTATTATGTATCATGTCTATTCTAAACCGGTCCAAGTAACGGCTGCGTTACACTTCCAACCCGTCCAAAAGGTATCGACCAAGCACGGCTCGTAATCACAGACCCGCGAGCAAGTAATATCAAACAGTATGAGCAAACCGGACACCGACTATGCATGTGTCCACCCGTATGTACAGTACAACGAAGCCATCAATATATAACAAAATGCAGGTAGATGAAGAATCAGACATCGAGAAGGGTAGGGCCGAAAGATATCATGTAAAAAGAAGAATAAGGAAAAGGCTATGGTAAACGGACATCAGTGAAATTCTTCTTCCTCTCCGGGGAGGAAAATCTCGTGACCCGATCCTTCGTAGACGAAGATGGCGGCGACGCAGCCAAACACCGACACAAGCGCGATCAGCCACCACGCAAAGCCGACCACGCCCATCTCCAGACCGGTGCCATACCACGCACCCGAGAAGATTGGGCCAATGGTCCGAAACGCCGAGGAGACCGACTGACCGATGCCGTGGATTGTCCCCAGCACCGAGGGGTGGGGCGAGCAGTTGTTGAGCAGAATGATCGAGGTCGGCAGCGTGAAGGTTCGCGCTGTGACCTGCAGGAACAGGACGACAATGATGGAGAACCACACCCAGAAGCCATTGGCCTGTCCGGGGGGCGGTGTGCTGGATGGTGCGAGGGCAATGTACGGCGCAAATGCGTAGGCCAGCGGGAAGAGGGTGAGGAAGTACTGGTAGCTCTTGGCCGTGCCCAGTCGTCCGTTGATCGTGGGGTAGATGGTAAACTGCAGGAGCATGCCAATCACTCCTAGGATGGCCGTGGCGAATCCAACGCTCTGCGGCAGCATGCCCAGGCCACCCGTGAAGATAAAAGGCAAATTGCGCGCGGGACTCGCTGGGTCGTTGGGATCATAGCGAGGGGTCGACAGGAACAGCAACCACAGGTTGTTGAAGGCACTGGGACAATTAGTTGATGTGTCATCTATGCGCACGGACAAGACACCTACCCCATTTGGAAGTCAAAGAAAGCCTGGGCCAACAGCGTGCACAGGACATTCTTGGTCCACAGTCTCCGGAAGGGCAAGATGCGGGCGTGTCGCGTCGGTTTGGCGGCCTTCTCTTCGAGCTCGTAGCTCTCGTTGACATGGTGGCGCAACAACGGCCCCTCCTCTTCGTAGTCCGCGAATGGCAGTCTCTGGTAGAGAGGAGACGACGAAGGGACCAGCGCACGAATAGCGCGGGCGAAGAGTCTCATCGTGAAGATTCCCAGACCAGGCTTGCCCTTACAAGCGTCCAGGGTCTCTTCCAGCCCCAGACCCACACAGAACGCAGCGAACGAGAGGAAGATGGCATTTGCCAACATAGGCAATGCGTAGGGATAGTGCATGAGCCATTCGACCCCGTGCTCGCCGCCAAAAGAGGAATTGGGACCGAACAGGCGGGGGTAGGCCTTGACCGGATCGGACAGCATGCCGCCCATCACTGTAGCTGTTAGTTTCTGTACAGGTGTCAGGAAACGGGTAGTCACCACTCACCAGGGCCAAATAATGACGCAATATTGAAACCAATAGGGAGAATCAAAAACGCTCGAGAGTGATACTTCTTTTCCTTGACGTTCTCAGCAATCATGGTCCGGATGATGCCCACCGTGCCGTTGATGGCGCCGCCAAAAGAACGCCAGAACACGGCCTGCGCGAATGACGTGGAGAAGGCGACGCCGATACACGAGGCGGCGGTCCCCAACAGACCGACTAAGAGGACGAACTTCCGTCCGCCCCATTCGGCATCGGCGACACGACCCCAGGGGATGGCGGTCGCGAACTGGGCCGCGGTGAAGGCACCCTGGAGGATACCGGCCTGGGTGGACACGTCAGAGTCGGACAGCGTCTCGTCGAAGGACTTCAGCTGGTAGAACATGTACGCCTGCAAGGAGGCGATCTGCAGGAAATCGAAGACGCGACAGAGCCCGAGGAGCGCCAGCTGTTTCTTCCGGGGTAGAGACATCCAGGTGACGGGGGCGGGCCGGTGCGGCCGTGCCGACGCGATCTCCCGCTCGCCCATGGGCGCAATCATGGGTTGACTCTGGGAGCGACTGCGGACGTGCCCGTGGTGTTCGAAGGAGGTGTTGCGGAGGGCCATTTTGGCCGTGGGGTCGTGGGCGTCGTCGTCGTCGTAGTCGTAGCGTCCGGACGAGCCCTCCGAGACGTCGTCTAAGGAGAGGTTGGATTCTCGCCGACGCCGCTGCTGGGACGAGGGGAACTCGGAGGTTGAGGGTTCGCCGCCTTGATCGTGACCGGATGTCCAAGAAGTCGCCCGGGAGTGACGGGCATTCCGATTCTTCTTGGGCAGAGGGACGGCGGAGGAAGAGGCGGAGGGAGTTTCGGAGGGAACAGGAGCAATCGTCGAGGGCGTGACGGTGGAAGAGGAGCCCGAAAAGGATTGATGGTTGGTTCCCTGAGACGCCGATTTGGGAACAGGCATCGAGGGCGGAGAAATATCCACAGGAATGCGGATGGGCACCGAGCTCGGCCTACGTCGATCGGGTAGATAGGAAGGATAAGAGGAGGAGAGGGGAAGGGAGAGGGAGAGAAGAGAAGAGAGGAGGGGAGGGGATGGTTACAGGGTACGGAGGAGAGTTGTAGAGGGTTAGAAGATGTAGACGGAGTGAGAGAGTGACAGGAGGTACATTATTTGGAGTACATCGGGGAGTAAACGGCAGGTAGTCTGGTAGGTATGTATCGTATGGGTGATACGGTACGGTATTGAACTGTACTCCGTACTAGGGCATTTCGATCGGCACTGCATGGCTTGCGACGCCTGACTCCACCCGCCCGGCTTAGTGGCCCCGTCGGCCGTCCTGGCGTCTTGGCAGCCCGAGCGCTTCCTTCAATTTTCCTCCTTTCAGTTCATTCTACGCGGAGGATTTAATCTACTTCCCACGCGACTGGGTGCGTAACGCTCCTATTGGTATCCATGGCACCTTTGAAACGTTTCCAGTTCCGTCAAAAGTAAATCAACTCAAGTACATGAGACTAAACTAGGGACATCGTAAAATAATAATAAAAATATCCAGACCAAGTACAAGTCCGATCACTTACGTATATCCATGCCGCTGACCAAGAGTACTAATGGAGTAGTACGTGTTCTGCAGCATCATGCACGTCGCAGACCTGAGGCGCGCTTGAAACGGACGTCGTCAGATCGAACGCTCTAAAAAAAGGAACCGAACAGACCACGCGGTTCTGCCCAGCCTTCGTCGGCGTAACGTACCGTGCGTAATCCCGATCGGCTTTAGGTCTCGGCGATAGCCTCTACCAGGTATGCAAAGTCGTCAACAATCTATATATTATTCATAGCAAACTATATACATACTACAATGTACCCGATTCATCGTTCTTCCCCACTCGGTCGTGCATGACTCGGCTCTGTCAGCGGAAAGTAATGCGGCTGTGTCTCAGATCCCTCTCTCCACCGCCGCCAGGACCACCACGGCCGGTCATCGTCCGCCGACATCGACTGTTTGCGTCCGTTCATCCCATTCAACGGTCCCGCCGACTCGTCCGCATGTCGACGGTGACGCTGATGCCGCCGGTACAGCCGCAGCACCACGTAAACCCCGATCACCGCCACAATCGCCCCCGCGACGGGCGCCACCCAGCCGGTATGATACGCGTCCTCCAACGCCCCCGTCGCACTCTCCAGCGCCGTCTCCGGGCCGCCCACCTGTCCCCAGTCAAAGTGTGCCTCTGGATGCTCAGGGTCAATCCACGGCACCGTGTTGATGCCCGGCGGAGGGATAAACGGTTCCGCCTCGGCTTCGCCAGGGAGACCGTACGCCACAGCGTTCTCGCACCCTTGGTCGGTACAGTAGCCCTGCAGCTCCGGCGACGGCGTAAAGGTAAACTTGTTCCGCGACTTGGCCAGCACCTTCCCCTCGAGGTCGACGGCTTCAGCGTACGTCCACTGGTAGAAGTGCGGCCACGTATAGACCGTCTCGAACCCCTTCTTGGGCACCTCATCGAGCACACTGTACGGCCCTGTGTTGTTCCAGGCCCCGTAGAACCGCCAGTAGCGCACGCGCGTGGCCCCGTTCCAGCTGACGTAGAAGGTCGTCGACGATTGCGGATCTGTCGTCCGCGCATACGTCCACAAGGCCGGTACGTCCGTGGGCGTGGCATCCCACTTGAACTTCTGGGCGCGGTAGTTCATGATACTGCCCTTGTCGATGTAGCCCCAGAGTAGTAGCTCGCCGTTCGCATCGTGCTCTGACACATAAGCGTTGTTGCCCCAGCCCATGAACACGTGGCGGTTCGGCAGCACCTGCATGTTGCCCTGACTGGAGCTGATCATGTCCTTGCCGGGCGGCGCGTAGTCGTGCAGCTGGGTCGCCGTGCCCGCCACATGGTCGATGAGGATGATCATGCCGGACGAGTACGCGTGCGTCCGGTTGAAGCCGTTGTAGCCGTTATTGTATAGCGACAGCAGCGTGTGGGTGCCGTTCTCGTGCAGCCATCGCGCATCGTGCTGCTGGGAGAAGCTGAAGTTGATGTTCTTGAAGGACGGCTTCGCCCCGTGGAGCTGCCAGATGATCGACCCGTCTACGCCTGAGATCTTGTAGATGGCGCACGTGTGGCGCGACGAGATCAGGTAGTCGCCGTGCGCGTTCTTGTCGATGGAGTTAATGTGGAAGTAGTCCCACGGCGAGCGCGGCTCCAAGCCGGTGCCCGAGGTGTCGGTGTGGTGCGGGTAGGTGTAGCTGGCGGACGGGTCGACGTGGTCGAGCGACTTCCATTCGAACAGGACCTCGTTGGTTTCGACGTCAACCTCCTGGAAGATGCTCTCCATCAGCCAGCCCATGCCGGTCTTGACGTTCCAGAGGCTCATGTCGAACTGTCGTTGCTGGTAGACGGTCATCAGCGCGGTCTTGCCGTCGTTGATGGGCATGAACTCGTGCATGTCGCTGGAAGCCATGCCACCGCCGGGAGTGACGGTCTTGACGATGCGATAGCGATCGTCCATGATGACTCCATGGCCGCGACAGTACCCGTTCTGCTGGATTCCCTGGAAGAAGCAGAGGTGGTCCTTCCCCTTGTACTTGCATACATGCATGCCATGGGCATTCCCCGGACCGGAGTTGCCCCAGCCGCTCCATACTAAGTTCTGGGGTCGACGTCAGCCGAGCGCGCGCGCGACGAGGGACAGGAAGCACGCACTCCTTCATTATCGTAGATGTATGGACCTGCGTTGGCCGCTTCGTAAGGGCCGAGGAAGATGTATCCGGGAGTAAGCTTTTCGGGAACGCTGTGTTCTAACGTGAAGACCGGGGGATATAGGTCGGGTCGCTGCAGGTCCGTCGCACGGGGCGATTACTTAGCTCGGGAATTTTGGGAAACATCGAGGATGAAACGGGAGCACATACGGATCGGAAGACCGAATCAACCTCCGCGACAGCTCCTTGCAGACTGCAGAGCAGAACAGCCAGCAAAGCGGCGAGGATGCGGAGGGCGCCAGACGAAGCGGATCCCCGGGAGGATATGCCAGTGAGAGTAGAGGCGATCATGGATCCTTCACATCACTTTGTCTCACAACAGCGAAACGGGAAAAAGAATCAATGGCTGGGGGAGGAGGTCGAGAAAACGCCCGGCCAAGAAAGCCTCCAGAAACCCAGCAAGAAAAGCGTGCAAGGTGGCACCGGAGGAAAGGGGAAGGGGAACGGTCAGGTAGTGATCAGCAGAGGAGGTGTTCTCTCCTGGAGAAGAAGCCCGTCATGATGGATGATAGTGGCAGTGGACCAGTAGTCTTGGTGGCGGCCATTCGTGGATGCACGCGGGGGCGATAGGTCGAGTCGATCCACTGCCGGATAAATGCTCAATGAGTCGTATCTAATTCTAATTCTACATAAGTACAGCCTGTTCTCTACATACTGGCACATGGCCATTCTAAGCATATGATATTATACGTGTCATGTTTCCTTGCCGTCCTGATCTTGAGATTGAATGAATATTCATAACTAACTGGAAATGTACAGAACGAGACTCGCTCGTATTTCTTCCGAAACTTGCAAGCTTTGGGACAGCCCGTGGCCGCAGTGGATACGGGGAGGATAAACTTCTGAGACTAAAGTATCCATGGGACTATCATCATAATGTCTACTCCGTACTCCTGTTATTATTATTGAATCACCTAGCAGTCCCTGAACAGATAGTAGGAGACCGAATGCAACCCACATACTATACATCGGCAATATGAAAGACATTCCAGCCACGCAGGCCTACGTAGACCTACCTACGTAATGCAGAGGCAGTCGGTTAGGAGTACGAGTACGTACAGGAGATAGTCTCATTTCCCAAACCGTACGTTTATCCCCGAGCGGGTCTGGTACCGGCGGTATGAACCAGTAATGCCGATAGCCGATGCCACGAGCGGTTTAGCGGGGGCGCCAGGGAGGAGGGCCGCCACGTCATGGATGATGGGAAGAGCCGTCTTTCTCCTGGCGCATCGCTTGCGCTCGAACCTTCCTTGTGTTTAGTAGTACCTTATTATTCACCGGTCATGGCCAATTACTTAACCCCGGTTATCGCCGTACAGTGTATGCAGATTACCATGTTGTACATAAGGTAGTGGTACCCTGTGAACGGTGGGTTTCACCCGACTGATGATAGCCTCCCGAACTGCAGTATGTTGTGCAATAAGGCGGACGACCTGCCGTACCCGTCAGATCCTTGTAGGTATTCTGGCCGAGATATCCGTTCTACATGTCTTTTCGGTGAGATCTATCTGGTCATGTCATGTGAGATGTCTGAGATAGATCCGTCCGAACCGAATAGTACTACGTATATCCAGCCCTGTCAGAGCCAAGACTCCAAGACGCTCCATCATCCTTCGTGCTTTAGTTGCATAGGGCAGCAGCATGACTCGCCGCCAGCAACATGCATCGGTCCACAGTAATATAAACCAAAGAGCGTGGCCTTCATCGCATTCGCTCAGTGTAACCACCTGCAATCGGTTACTCAGTTCTATCTATGGCAACATTTCTATCAATGGAAACACCCCTGTGCTCCTCCCTGCGTCAGGCGAACATCATCAACCCAGCCATTCAGCTTCCATCTTACAAACACCCGTTACTCTCCTCGTTTGCGATTCCAATGCAGCCACTGCGGAGGCTACAGCCGCCTCTCATCGCCTCTCCACTGCCAAGTCCAACGGTCCCTCACCCCCAACTCTCTGTAGCAACATGTCTTGGCCAACTAGATAATGTTTGTCCACCGTAGTTCTGACCGACTCTGGAGAGTAATCATAACGGGCGGCCTTAAGCGCCCCCTTCCGGCGGCGGCCAACCCGCAGCCGCAGCATCTACATTTGGTCTTGTTATTGTTGACCATCCCTGCGGCCTCTTGCCCCTCTTGCATGCCAAGAAAACAGGGCTGAGAGGACACAGGAGCAATTGGATGAAGAGATATGCATGATTCTTGGAATCTGCTTCATACAGCCCCTTCGCCAGGCAACAACAAAACAACTACAAAGAACAACCTGAATGAGTACTCCGTTGGCTGTGTTCCCATGTAGCCAAGAGGAACCACAACCCCAACCATCGCGACTCCAAACTCTACCGCCCGTATCACGTCTCGTGTCAGTATCACAACTGTAATTCATGTATCAAACAGGTAATCTCGTGGCCAAAATCATGGATATTATATATAACCCTTTGACGGGATTGCTCGCTAGTGGGTAAAGAAAAGGGAAACACACGGAGCCAAACTTCCAATTACAAAATCAGAAAAGAAAAGGAAAAGTGAACAAGAAACCAAGAATGAAGTGAGTGGCGCCCAGCGCGCAAACACCGGAAAATCAAAAGCTTTTTACCGAGAGAACCGCTTGAAGGCCATGGTAGCGGCGAATCCGGTTGCAATGAGCGCACCACCCATGGTGAAGGCCTGCAGGGCGGCGTTCAGCATCTGGCGGCGGTTGCGGCCACGGCAACGCTTGAAGAAGTCGGCCATGTCGTTGCCACGGGGGAAGGGGGTGTCGGGAACTTCCTCGCCGAGGAACTCGCAAAGAGGGCCCCAGCCATCGCTGATCTTGTACTCCAGCAGGCGCTCGGGGGGCACCAGGCTGCGGACTTCCTCGACGTGGTCCAGGTACACCTGCTTGCCCTTGTTGGGGAAGTCCCCGCGGAAGAAGGTCTCGAAGAACTTGTTCAGCATGGGGTAGTACATGCCGGCAGCCCAGCTGAAGTTGGAAACAAAGCGGTGCTCCGGGTCAGACACACGCCAATGCACGGTCTTCATGACGGAACTGTGGCACGTCCAGGTTAGCCGGCCATCTTTGTAGCGGGGCTAGATTCAGGGGGAAAACCTACGCATGCCACGAATCCACATCGCGGGTGGTCAGAATGACCTTCGCGTTGGGGTAGGCCTCGATCAGCTCCTTCGCAAAGGCACAGGCGGGCCAGTCACACACAGCCTGGTACAGCGTTAGTCCCCAACTCCCTTCGGCGATTTTTGGGTTCCGTGTCGTCCTACCTGGCACTCTCCGAGTAGCTGGTCCCATTCCTTGCGGCCGAATTCACCAACGCCATCGTACTTGGCGCAGAGGGCATCGTGCCACATGAGGCAGTCCGGAGGGTTCTCCATACTGGCGGACATCATGTGGTAGCACTTGACATATCCCAGACGCTCCAGCGCAATGCGAAGGGCTATTCCGCAGTAGTCAGCCATCAGACATCCCCTTCCACCTCAGTAGCGAAGCAACTTACAAGCCGTTCCTGTTCTTCCCACACCGAGAGCCAGCACCTTCATGGGCACGGTGCGGTGGCACTTTCGTCTATCAATGCATGTGTCGTTGGTGAAGATGTCCGTCACCGGCTGGGGTGGGAGGTTATCGGCGTGAATCAAAGACATGATGTCGTATTAGGACAGTGGTCTACTGCGAATACTAGTTGCGATGCGCAGTTCGATGCAATGGGGTGAATCGAAGGAACGGTCTGTCCCTTGTAACGAGAGTCTGGCGAGGTAACCGGTGAAAGACTGGGAAACGAAGGAAAGGATTGTCCGACAAGACCGTGATAAGAAATAAGAAAGACTCCTGGGTAGAAAAGGAGATTGAGTGGAAAGGGAAAAAGTGGGCAGGCGTCGAGGAGATTAAAAAGAGACGGATTGAGGGTCGATCAAGAAAATATAGTAACCAATTTAGGCCCTGGGATCGAAGTAGATAAGTCAGTTACGGGGGCTGCCACCAGGGGGGAACGCCATGTAAAACCCAGTACAGAGTGGTACGTACGGTACCTGCGCAATAACAATTTCCATTCCTAAACGAGAGGCGGTGGAGGACGAATCCCTACCCAAGAGGGTAATGAGGGAGTTGAGAATCAAGGTAAAAAAATAGAAAAATGTGTAATTAAAAAAGAAAAGTAAAATAAAATTCGGAAATGACAATGATAACCATAATAAACTCGAGAATCCTCAACTGGCGACCGAGCCCGAAGTGGCAACTCACATGTACGCGGAGAACAACAACCCTTGGTTCCAGATGTGCTACCGGTCCGGCAGGTGGGTTCTGTTGTTGTCGTAGTACCTATGAAGATGCGGGATATTGACTGTCACGGTCCTGGAAAGGATCCCCCATTCTTCAAAGTAATACCTACCTAGGAAGTCAGTAGGTAATTAAACGGTTGACTTGCTTACTGTCCCCCTTTACATACCGTTGGGACCTTTTCCCTCCTCCTTGAGAATTTTTGTTTCAACATTTCAAGCATAATCAAGTGTAAACGAAAATAAAAAAAGACGACGTCACTGGCTGACGCTTCCTTGTCGAAACCAGAGGTACTGATTGTCAGGGGGATGGTTCTCTGGTTCCCTCACAGCCACTAGAAGGCGTGTGGCTCCGACGGTATTTCGCCTAGTAGTTAGAAGGAGATGGCAAGTAGCGGACTGGCGGGGCAGGAAATTGAATGGAGCCGCGCAGGACACGCTGAATGGGTTGCAAGGGTGGAATGCCAAGACCGACCGTGGGCAAACCTATTGATCGGCCGCGTTGTTGGATTCGTGGATTGGGCGGTGCTTCTGGTCTGGAAGCCCTGTGAGGCCAAACCGTGCGACTGTCCTTGCTGATTGGCGCTCCCCGCGGAAAGTGACGCGTACCTCGTCTCCAGACGTCTGCTCCAGAAGCACGGCGTTCAGGAGTGCCGATTATGAAACGCATCTCCACATATCCTATTTTATCCCAAGTTTGTGTCAATTTTCTTTTTTATGCCTCCGTTTTGCTCCTTGTCAAGATAACTCTTTTGGGTGATGATTGATCCTGATCGTCAGGGTTGTTGCCCAGTCGATATCATTGTTGCAATCGTATCGGATTCAAGCAGGGAAATCTCCCGCCACGGGGATCACATCATGTCGGACGATAGTCGATCTGTTGCGTCTCGAACAATACCCGAATATTCGAGGCAAATAACACTATCGCTAGTGCCGTAGTCTGTCCACTTGCCCACTCCAGGCGACGGAGGACCAAGCGACCTCGGCCTTAGCCCCGTGCTCCCGGTCCCCACACACTCGTTCGAGAACCAGGCCATTCTGGTTAAAGTACTAGTCGTTATCAGGAGGTGTGAGGCGTCTGTTCTTGACAGAGAAGGACTTGGTTGAGACTCCGTTGATGGCTCTCCTCCCTAGTGGTCTCTCGATACACCTGTAGACATCTGTAAACATCTGGTTCAGCCATGACGAATGTGCCGCGTTAAAGTTATCAGGTCCCATCACCCTATCATGGGCTGCTACCCGCCCGTAACTTTGGCGATGATCTCCGCTTGCAGTACCACGGCAGCTGGCCGGTCTAACCATCGGTGGCAAGGAACGGGCGTGGTAACTCATTTCCGGTCTCCGCTTGGCCGCATCCTCAACAATAACCATGGAGATTGATTGATGGATGCACCACGATAACCCTTCCTCGAACCAAAGTTTATCACCGGCAATCAACTAATGAGATAGCAATCGTAATCCCTGACTTCAGCCCGTCGTGCGCCGGCGGTGATCGACTCAGTGTTCCGGATAAATCGTGTCATCAAAGCCTCTCAAATGCCAAGACGGGCATATCACGGACGGAAAATTGGAGACCTGCTCGTTGGAGTAATGAAACGCTCGTACTCTTATGACGATCTTCGCACTGTTGCCGTTTCGTTGCTACGGGCCAGGGTCTTCCGCTGTCGGTTCAGGATGTGGAACAGGGGACGAGGACCGTGTTCGAGAAAGTAGCGGTGTTTGTTGATCAGTCAATCGTGAAGCAGTGAGTATTCGTATGTATTCACTTGTACGGTGTTGTATCGGGACAAAAAAGGGAATTTATTCGATTGATGAGCATGCGCCATTTTTCGAGCGGGAATCATGTGGGATGTGTTCTCGAGAAGGGTGAGTAGGGGGTTGAGGCGACGGTAGATCAGCAGCAGTAGCAGTAGTAGTATGGAGTAGGAGGGAAGAGGGAGGACGTGCGGTGAGGTCGGGTGGTGCTGCTGACTGGGTGACGAGGGTCAACCATCACCATGGACTTCATAGGTAGAAAGTAACAAGGAAAATGGCATCAAAAATAGAAAGAAAATGAGTTTGTCTCTAAAATAATACTACAAGAAAATACAAAGGAAGAATCTGTGCAACGGAGGCAGCCGTCCTTTTAAAGGGGTGTTGCCAAGAGATGTTGTTATATGCTCGCAATCGCAGTCATCGATCACCTCACTGCGACTATGTCCACTCCGGTATAACCTCGAACCCTTCAACGGGTCCCGGACCTTAAAACAAACTACTTTTAACGTTTGGATGCTATCTAAGCTTAATTCTCATTGCGTGCTAGGTGCAGTGGGTGATCCGGAGGGCTGCAGTCTTGTCGAAGCATCACGGCAATGATTTCGGCTGTTGAGGCTTTAGGCAGCCATCCATCTCTATACCACATGCCGATGGGCCACCCCAAGTACCGTCAGTGGCACATCACCTCTTGTCTGGCTTTGTCTGACTAAAGGCTGCGCTCTCTCGTCCTACGACTGGAGGGATTTAAAGACAATTACTTGCTGCTTCTAGACCCGTGGTTTAAGGGCTAAAATAACTGATTCTGGGGTATTAACGCGTCGAAACTAGATACAAACCGCCCTATAGGCATACAGTTTCCTCACTATCATCGTGCCCAAACAATTATATGACAACCCACCGTAGGGACAACCCTGAACTCCGTGCCTGGACCATAACCAGTGGTCTCTCTAATGCAATCATGATAGCCAGCAATGGAACATGTCTGTCGCCCTTGGCTTCTTCCTAAAACTCTCACTCCAGCTTGTCCAAGTGCTCGAGTCGCGTGAGCACAACCTGTTTACTTGTCTCTTCGATTTCTCCCGCAAGAAACACTTCGTCGAGGATCGCATAGACCTGCGCAGGTTCTCATCAGCTTATGTGTCCTTGTGCGGTTCTGATAGATCCACCCCCGAGCACCTGTCCGCCCCGGACAGTCTGCCAAACAAATCCCCACGAACCTTATAGAAATTGAACACTAGATCCAGCTCGCACACATTTCCGAAAAACTGATCCAGGACCTCGACGAAGAAATGGATGGCTTCGAGGTAGGCCAGCTCGTTATCCGTCGTATCGACGCAGGCGCAGAAGAACAACCCCGCATATCTCCGGTAGACAATCTTTGTGCTGCGTTTGAATTCGACAAAGTTCGACTGATACTTCTGGTCTCGCGGTGCAACGAGGCGATGGACCTATCCATCTCGGGTCAATGATCAAGAACCGGCAGAATCGCGACGAGTCCGAGTATAACCAACCTCGCCCTTGAGCTTCACTTTTTCCTCATCCTGTAGCACAGCACGTTACCATCTAGTTGCAATTCCTCGAGGGGCCTGTGGAGACTTACACTGTAAGGCGCATACCATTTGGCAAGCCGCGTCTTACCCCTGGTCCAGTATGAGCATCGAATTGGGCTGAATTGAGCTCGACAGCTGCACTCACTGGCGGTTCTGCACGAGAATAAATGATAGGACCATCCCGTCTGGAGAGCTCGATGGCACGCTGTGTGGAATTCAATGTGGTCGGGATGCGTCCGGCTGGGGTTCACTCCGGAGCCTCCGCCGTCGTGATGAGATGATCCAGATACCGGATTGCGATATTGCCGATGTTGACCGCCTGGACCGTGCAGGCTTTCCAAAAAAGGTACAACAGAGGTCATGGAAGGTCTAAGGAAAATCTAAGTTGAAACTATAATTTACTCCGGAGTAGACTACGATGGAAACTTGGCCACTACCTAAGTCCTACGGGTAGCCCTGCATCTTCGTCGAAGTCGATAGATTGACAACGAAACGTTGGGCCTTCAACGGCTGCGCCAAGACCATCTCCACACGACTCATCGCGATACTGATCAACTTTCTGCCACTCCTCGTCCGTTGAACACCATGGGCGCAGCAGCCTCCTGACAAAGCTCATAACATGACAGTGTACACAAAACTCGGGCTACCGCACCCTCACAACGTCCCGCACCATATCGAGCGCCAACAACGATCCCCGGTCTAGCCATCCGTGCGTTCCAATGCCGGTCTACATGCTTTACGGCTTTCGGTGGCCGCGTGCCGGCTTCACAGGCATCCGAGTGTACATCGTCCTCCATAACCTGGAGGACGCTACGGCCGAATACCTCCAGCAACCGGTCACCCACCAGCTCATGCTCGACTCCTTGAAAAAGACCGAGCCCGGCATTGTCTCCCGCCTCCCCGATCTGCGATTCATCGAACAATACGATCCCGATGATACCACCAGCGAAACGGCTGTGAGCAAACCGTTTGCATATGTTGCGGGCAAAGTCCTGACAATGCCCGATATGACATCGGCCGGAATGTCCCTCGGCCTGGATGCTGAGGAGCTCGTGAAGAAATCTGGCCTGGATCAAGATGCCATGGATGCGTTGACGGAATTCCGAGATAAATACGCTGCGGGCGAGAAGATTGGCTGGTGGATTGTGTATAATGGGGATCCGGATAGATCTTTCCCCCAGGTTGAGGAGGAGGAGGAGGAGGACGAAAGTCTCATGGACGAGGATGAGTATGAGAGCGAGGATGGCAGTGAGCAGCAACAACCCTCGACTCCTACGGTGAGTTCTTTTGATTATTGGTGCCTGGTACCTATGTTGAAGGATCACGCTAATTCTATGAACGATATAGACGTTTTTACCCGAAAAGTTATCGCGACTCTTTGCCCGGCGAAGCGGTTGACATTTGACATATGAAGTAATGTTTGAGTTTACTTGGCATAGCCTTTTGTTCTTATACCTTTTGGAGTCTTCGGAGCGCAGTGTTTCAGATTTCATGGCGTTCGGGTCCACTCCATCACATGTGATTTTATAGTCATAAAGATTTCCTCCTCAGAGCACATCATTGCATCGTTCCGTAACCTCCCTTCTGCCAGCTGGCATCGAAGGTCGCCTGATCCACAGCGAACTGGCGAATATAATCCCTTTCAAGATCGTGAGCCTTCTTTCCGAGGAGCACAACACTGTGCAGCGGCGGGCCCATATCAACTTCCGACAATTCCTTCAACGTTCCAGCGACGAGCTTCTGGTCGGCAGCTCCGACCCTCGCAGCGCCAACGGCAAGGCTGTCTGGTCCGTAGACACCCTCCTTGCGTTCCTCCTCGGTCTCGAGCATCTGGCTCGTGCATTGTGCGACGGTCATGAAACGCGGGGGGCTCATAGACAATGCGTCCGCGCGCCATGCTCTCGAGGGACGGCTCTTTGACCTTGATATCTACCAGCACCAGAGTATGAAGACCCAGTTGAACGTTTTCCTTCACGCGGTCATAGTAGGACGAGGGCTTCCAGTTCTCCGTGAAGAACACCATGCTCACTGTCTGTCCAAAGTTATACAGCTGCAAGCCTGTGCATCCAATTCCGGACATGATCGATGCGTTCGGGATGACTTTCGACTCGATGCCCAGTTCGCGGGCGCGGAGGACTAGATCCGTGTGTGTGGTTGCGCTAATCGTCTGTGAGACTCATGTCCGGACGTGAAAGAGCAGAAAGACTGCGCAATGTAGGAACATACCCGAAGGGATCGCCGACAACGAGAAATGCGACATCTGTCTTGTCTGCGCCGGCCAGGATATCATCGCTGCCACTCTCTACGAGTTCTCGGTCTGCTACGATCACTGGACGGCCATAGAAAGCTTCCTACTGAATCAATTTACGTTTTAGTAAGAACCAATCTATTGCGGGATACCAGCGCTATAGAGCTATGGTTTGGACTGCGAGAAGACACTCACTAGCTTCTCCTTATCAACGAGCAGGATGCTTGTATAGGCTTCGAGATAGACGCGCTCGGCCTTTTTGACCACTTCCAGGCCCTTGACCGTGATGTCGGTCTCATCGGCGAGACCCAGCCCCACAAGGTACAGCATTATGGCTTTTGAAGAATAAGAAGAGCTGTTCAATGGCAACTGTATCAAGGACTGAAGCATTCAAAAAGTTTCCATCATTGCCCCACCAATGCGGGCAAGCGCACGGAAGATCGGAGAATCTGAAGATCCGCAGACAGGGAGGTCACGGGACGGGCCCTTTCATTGGACTTCAGCATCATCTATTCGCAACCTTTCGATCAGCCATCTCAGCTGAGCGTCACTCGTTGTCCCTTCTATCCGACATTGGTCCTCTCATTGCAGCTTGAACTTCACTTTCTGCTTGTCTCTCACACCGGGATGTCATATCGCTATTCTTCGCAAGATGTCATCTGATCGCGCACCCAAGTATCGGCAGGAGATCCAGCAGGTAAGCCTATATTCACGTTATTATATATTGTGGTTAAGCTTCTTGCTGCTATATTTCTTAGATCAAGAAATGTTTTTGTTTGTTTTCCATGGCATTTCCATGCCCGCCTGTTACATGTCTGTTCAACCACTTGATATCAAGCAACATGCTTTTTCTGCCTTATCATTGTTTGGATCTGTCCATTGTATTTGCCATGTTTTACATCCCAAGTCTATTCTGTCTCCGGTGTCTATTCTGCAAACCGATAGCCCCCATCTCGACCCAAAGTATCATGAAATGTCATGGCTTATCCTTGTACTGACTTTTATAGATGATGTTCGTCTCTGGAGAGACTGCCGAGCCTTCTGTTGAGACTACTACCTTGATTGAAGAAATCGTCCGCCAACAGGTCGTGGAAATTGTATGTCTCCCACTTTGCAAACCCCTGTACAACGCCACTGACCTCTCTGTAGCTCGTCCGCAGCACGCAGCTAGCGACTCGTCGTGGAGTCCGCTCCATTTCAACTGATGACTTGATTTTCCTGATTCGGCATGACAAAGCCAAAGTCTCACGGTTGAAGACCTTTCTTTCTTGGAAAGACGTTCGTAAGAACGTGAAGGACTCCGACGACAAGGGAGGCGCGGACGCGGCCGACTTTGCCGGCGCCGACGACCCTATCGCTGGCGGCGTCGTGGCCGGACCGCAGGATGTTGCGTCAAAGCCCAAGAACAAGAGGGCCCGCGTCGGTCTAGCGTGGGACGTGAACAGTTTCTATTCGGTGCAGGTCCCGGAACGGGAAGACGAAGAAGACGAAGAGGAGGAAGAACAGAACTATGCGACGCTCCAGCGTCTTGCGGCGGCGGACGAGCGCACCAAAAACATGACCAAGGAAGAATACGTCTTCTGGTCTGAATGTCGCCAGGCGTCCTTTACCTATCGCAAAAGCAAGCGTTTCCGGGAATGGGCCGGTTTTGGTATTGTGACGGAATCGAAGCCTAACGACGACATCGTGGACATCCTCGGATTTCTTACCTTCGAAATCGTTCAAACCTTGACAGAGGAGGCTCTCAAGGTCAAGGAGCGTGAGGACCGCGAGAAGAACCGTCGCGGGGGAGCCGAGAATGGCGCCGGCGAGAATACGAAAAAGCGCAAGCGCGAGACTGGTCTCTTCGATCCGCCCGAGGAAGGACGGACGCCCGTCGAGCCGAGACACATCCGAGAGGCTTATCGTAAGCTCCAAGCTACGCCAAACAAGAATGTTGCGATGCTCTTACACAACGGACGGACGCCCGCGCGCATGCCCCTAAGACTGGTAAGTTTGGTGCTTTACATCGCCCGAATCGTACTGACTCCTTATAGATCTAGTGGCTCTCGATTACGAGCTGGACTTCCGTGGGATTGGTTAATTTTCTTTATTTGCGAAAGATACCCGGATAATGACTGTATGATATGTATGGACGTGATTTCTTCAGCCTACTCGACATCACTTGCGATTTCCTAGTGGTGCATGGTGTTCAGGATTTATATAAACGAATTAGTTCAGAGACTCATTTTGATATGACCTATAAAACAAACATGCTATGCTTATAAGTATCTGAGTATGCCCAAGGATTAATCCATTATTTATGGCTGCGGCGCCCTGTATAAGTCAGTAAATCGTGCATCAAGGATATCGCGCAGAAACTCACATTCGGCCAACTCTTCCGTACTCAACTCCCGGATGCTGTTAACGACCGCGACATCTCCCTTTGCAGCGCTCTTGATAGTCTCCACCGCTCTACCGAACATGCCCCGTCGAGCGAGGGAGTATGTCGCCAGCTTGGCTTCGAGCCTGATCACACCGATGCGAGGATCGGTCGGGCCGCCGTCATGTACTCCGTCGCCCAGGTCACCCAGCCAAGCCGCAAGGGTCGGCGTGTAATACTTCTGAACCGTTTCCTGATCAGCGATGATATGTGCCGTGCCGGAGATGGACGCCCAGGAGCCGGTCACTTGGTCCAGGAAGGACATGTTGGTTTCTTGCGGATGCACGGACAGATCGAGGGTTTTGCCTGCGAAAAGATTGGTGTGGAAGATGAGGTCAATGCCGCCGTGTTCCTAAAGTTGAATGTAAGCTCCTGTTACGCCACATAGAATGAGAGGGAAAGCGTTATTACCTTGCCGGCTAACGCCATGCATCTCGATGTCAACAGGTCCGAGTCGGACATCTTCGTGGTCAGCATGCCATATTTTGTTTCGGAGATGAAGTCAACTAGATCCTCGATCTTCTGCTCCAGAGGAGGGTCTTCAGCGCTCTTGGACTTGTAGGGGTCGACGGACTGGTTGCCGGTGCTGGTGTTGATTGTGGAAGACATTGTGGGATGTGCGGACTGAGATTGAATGCACTCAATCGAGGTGAAATGGTAGCAGGAAATGAGAGAGTTGCGTTGGAAAGAACGTTGAGTGTTGCGTTCATATATACTCGGAGCTGGTGGTCTGGCGTAGCGGTGACGTCAGGCCCTTTGCGGCCGTCAACAATTTCCCCACGTAACATTGTCTGTTGATCACCGGAACCAGGTACTTCCTGACGTTCCTGGTCGCGGCAGTTCCATCTACCACATACTGATTTCTACGTCATTATGGTTATGTATAGACCTTAGTCATGAGGAGCAAGGATAGCATAGCTCGAGTCTCGCCATCCCCGCTTATCGCGAACTCCGCATTCAACTCCGAACACCGATAAGCCCTAAATCTACTTCACCCTTCTGCGACATGATGGGACTCTGCGTGATATTATTCTCCATATTGATCTCGGTATGAATTCCAGACGTCGCAATGGAAAGTTGGCTTCATGCGAGCCCTGTCGCAAGGACAAGGTCCGCTGTGATCATCGAGTCCCTGTCTGCTCCCGCTGTCAGAGGCGTCGTAGTGCTGCCAGGTGTTTCTATCACCCAGCACCCCTGACCAAAGTATCAGCGGAAAAAGAAGATCCCCGCAAAGCTAGCCAGTCTTTCAACTTCTCGGTGTGTACACTATAGCGTCGTGGAGTTTCGGACTGTACTCATCAACTCCAGGAGCTCAGTTCGTTCACGAACATTCTCCCCCGCTGCAGCGGCATCTGATGCCCATGATCTCACACCAGAGCAGGAAGAGTTGTACATTTCAACTGCAGATCGTCCGACAGGGTATCTAGGACCAACAAGTTTCGTTGCCGCGTTTGAAGAAGATCAAGGTCTGGTTTCCAGTCCAAACGACAAATATGAGCTTTGTAAGATGAACAGGAACACCTTTCCCTCTTGTCTATCTTCCCACCAGATAGGGGAAATGAGACGGGTCCTTGGCTATCTGCAAGAGCTGTCTTTTATGGATAGTTTAATCCAGGAGTACTACGCTATCAGCGAGGCGGCGGTCATTCCTAAACCTCTGGTGCTCAATTCGTTGGCACAGGTAAAGGCCGATCACAGCCTACGCAAAGGGTTTTCAGAGACAGAGATTACGTGGATACTTGAGAACACCATCCAACAGTTTGATATACAACCGACAATAGAAGGACGCGACTTTCACGAGCTTTTCACGGGACCAAATCTGCGCCTAGAAACGGTCGCCTTGATTTACTCTCTAGCTGGGATAGCGAACATGTTCTGTCTGACCCAGGATAAATCGTCGCCCAGGAACTTACTGGAGTACCGATCGCTTTTTGCCAAAAGAATGCTATTGGCCAGTGATACTATACTTCAAATATGCAAAATCCTCACCCCGGTCAATGACCTGACGATTTGGGTGTTATACGAGAATGTCATCTTATCCACAGTTGTCTATGGGGACTACAGTAAGCATCCAGCCGAGCAGAACCCTGAGAGTAAAGTATTATGTCCATAACTGACCCATTGTAACAGGTTCAACAAAATGGCACAGACTGGGAGAGCTATCCACCCACATGTTTGAGCTTGGACTTCACCGAGATTCTCACCAATCTTCCGACCTCCCTCCATTCTTGGTGGAATCCCGACGAAGACTGTTTGCAGCTGCGTATCAGCTAGACAAAAGCATTGCTACATTCCTTGGCCGACCACCCCGGATCACACAGAGACATTCGGATTGCAGGCTTCCTTTGGACATCGGGGATGAAGCACTATCAAGCAACGCGCAAATAGCGCTAGCTTCGCAGTCCCTGGATAGCAACGGATGGAACTTGCATGGGCGTTTCCAGCGATCGGCCTGGATTCGCCTGCGGTTTCTGATCAGCACGTTCCGTGAGGAGATCTTGGAACTGTCCCTCCAGAGTTCCAAGGAAGAGACTGCGGATCAACTGAGGTGAGCTGCTCCTGTTCCCATCACCAGACAGATGGCCTAATTATCACCATCAGAGACGTGTCTCGTCGATGTCATCAGACGTGGGACGCACTACCCGCCCACTTACGCTACACGTCAAATTGGGACGAGAGCCTCTCTTTCGCAACACGCCTTTTTCTTGTTGTATCGTATCTCATGTATCTACACAATGACTTTCTTGTTCAGAGATTGCTTGTTCAGCGGGACCCAGAGGCTCAGGCTCCCCTTCTGGATGTGAGTGCGACTCTCCTGTCTACCGTTCTGGTTTTTGGCACGCACCACCAGCACATGATCGACATACAACGTGATTTCACTTGGGTCGTAAGTACTCTAATCGCGGAAAGTTTGCCCTGCAGAAGACTGACAGACGCAGATCCTTCTATATGGATTCCCTAGCGCAGGGGTCCTAATAAAAGCTCTCCAGAAAGAAGCCCGAACGGGGCATCCGATGCCGTATAAAGGGTCCAGGTCTCTTCTGATTCGAAACCTCAGCGTGCTCATTTCACATTTGGAGTCTATCTCTCGCCCTAACATTGCGAATCATGAACTGTTTGCGCGAGCGAGTAAAGTGCTGTCCATTATTCTTGATGAGGTCCTTGAGCCGCGGGATCCCGGCGCTTCCAGCAAAGTTGATTTCGACGCCTTCCCGGCTACTATCGATGGCTTGGGTGAGCTGGAAGATATGAACTTGGTAGATACGATGGAGTGGGGAGGTGTATTCGATCAGTGGATTCTTTAATTGTATACACAGGATTGTTATGAAAATTACACATTATATCTTCACATAGCACCATATATGCGTCGCTCATACGTGAAATCCAAACAAGCAGTGATTGATGCCTGCATCAACCCACATGCCGTAATAGCAATGTAAATTAATAGAGAATGACACCTGATTCATGACACCACGACAAGCCGTGATACTCTGATCACAAGATGCCACAGCAGATTGACACATAGAAAGATCAACCCATGTATCAAAACTAGCATCGTCAGTCTCTCACCCTCAATCCACATACTCCAGCCGGCAAAACATACCTTCAACCCCAACAAACCCAACCATCTCCCGACGCCTCGATCCCTTCAACCAAGTCGGCACCAGGACCTTCTGACACGTCTCGCCGCCAATAACAAGACACCCTCCTCTCTGGCGCCGACACTCCAGATGGCGTCGCCTGCGCTGCATGATCCGGCGAATGCGCCAGTTACAGAACGCCTCGTCGGTGCGGAAAGAGCATTTCTCCATCGGACATTCCAGCTTCAGCTCGAAGCGCTCGACTAGCCAATCGACTTTCAGATGGACGCCCGTGTACACGAACGAGTAGAAATGGCGGCTCGTGTGCTTCAATGCTAGCGCGTCGGGGTAGGGGAGGTACGAGGCTATCTGGAGATGGAGCTCTGTTGGTAGGCCCATGAGGCTGTGCTTGGACTCTGAGGCGGGCACTGGATCCTCCATGGTGGTCTGTAGGGGAGGCGAGATGGTGTTTATAGGTTGAGGTGCAGGGTAGAGTAAGATATAGGATAATGTAGAAGACAAGGGCTCAAGCACTTGCGTGGGGCTGTGATGATATATTGAGGTATAATTGTCCCCGTACAGTGGACATTTTAGGACTATATATAGAGGCCAATTAGGTTGTTGCCTGCGAGTGACTCTGTTGCGATGCTCAGCCGCAGATTCGAACAACGTGGCTGAATACGAGGGGCATCTGTTGAGATAGTGCAGGATCTGAAACCTCTGCCCTCCAGAACTGAGATATCCCATCTGTCTGCGTCCTTATGACAGGTGTGGGTGGAGTCGTGATGAAATCGATCGACGCGTTGTAACCTCACCGGAGAGACGACTCGTCACGGTGTACATGGACAACGTCGAGTGAAACGCACTAATGTACCAAGCATCATTCGTACACATGGGAGAAGATGTGAAACCCGATATCTCATCGATCATCCGTCTTACATGGAGGGGTGATCGTCTTGGTGAAACGCCAACTGGTTGGGGTTTCCACGCCGGATGTTGCCAGCTATCCTCACACCGCCTACCGTAACAGAATTATTGCCTCCAAGCAGCGGCGAATATCAAACTCCAAAATCAACCACCTCCTCTAATCTCGTACACTCTCCTTACTATACCCCCCTCATCGCCACTCCATAAACAACTCCAAGCGCAGCGATCATGGCAAGCAACTCCTCAGACACCGCCTTCCGCAAGACCTGGGACCGCGAGGAATACGCCAAAAAAGCCGCCGACGAGGAATCCAAGCGCAAGGAAGAAGCTAAAGCCCGGTACGAGGCCAAGCTGCTCGGCAAAAAATGGCATGCCCCAGTGGACTACAGCTCGCTCGAGGCGACGACCTCGCGGAAGCAGCGGCTCGATGTCGCGTCCATGGTGGGAAAGACCACCATCGTCTCCGCGGGGTCGGCGGTGGGCAAGCGAGGCCGCGGGGCCGGCTTCTACTGTTCGGACTGTGACCTGACCTTCAAGGACAACCTGCAACTAGTGGAGCATTTGAATAGCAAGCAGCATTTGATTGCTACGGGCCAGAGTGGCGAGGTAGAGCGGGCTACGGTCGAAGACGTCCGCCAGCGGTTACGCATGCTCTCCCACCAGAAACGCGTGAGGGAAGAAGAGGAGCGGCGCGCGTGGCAGCTGGATCTTGGTACCAGATTGAAGGAACGGGAGGAACAAGAGGCGAAGGAGCGAGAGGAGAAGAGGCGGAAGAGAAACGAAAAGCGGCGCAAGGGCAATGGGGTCAAGGAAGAAGATAGCTGGGAAGGGCGATTGGGAATCATCGCCTAGACGATGGTGCTGGATTTGAATGGTTGCATGTTTATGTTGAACAGATATTGCAGGATACCCTGGCGTTCAGTTTGTTTCCAGATTTGCATTTCTTGGTGGGGTTTGGAGAAAGGCGTTGCAGCTGTATATCGCGCTGTTATCTGGCGATGGTGGATTTCGAATCTAAGATACCATTAAACAAGACATAGATGCTATACCCAAACTGCCCTTGTCCGACCATCCGAACGCCCCTTAGCAAGCAAAATACTGATAACGACTCCTTCAGTCAATGCATTCGATTCCCTCAAGCACGCGCATGGCGCGGGCTCCTTCTCGCTCAAATTGGCCAACCAACCTTTCGCATTCGCGTTTGAGTCGTTCTTCACCGTTCTTGGCGTTCCATGCTATCCATTCCTCGACACTCATCTTCTTTTCGGGACTGCTCAGATCTCCCTTGATGCTGTTCAGCGCTGAGCTGAAATCAAGATTCTCAGGGTCGCTGGAGTTGGCCAGAATCAACTCGTCGATGTCGATAGGTTTCCAAGGATGGGAGGTACTGATCCCTCCGTTTGCATTGCGCTTCGACGGAGAGGGTGTACTAGGCGCCAGCGGAATTCGGACTGGTTGCCGCTTGGAAGGCGAGGCCACATGGGGACGTGGAGCAGGCTTCATGGAAGGAGGCTGGTTCTCCGCATCGGACGATTGGGGAGACAACGATGGCGTACTCTTGGATGCCGAAGGCAGGGGTGACACAGCTTCATGATCTTGCTCCCGTGTTTCATTTGCCTCATCCATCACACCGTGGACGTCCGAGTTGCGGGAGCTTGCAAGAGACCGTGCATATAGTTTCTCCGGGGGTATGTCGCTGAGCCTTTTTGCCGTCTTTGGAGGCACTTTAGAAGACCGGCGACGATGGGACTCTCGTTTGTCATCTTGATCATCCTCTGGCTCATCTTGCCCCCTCATAACATCATCCTCCACGACAATTTCTTGCTCTGCGTGCTCTTCAGGCTGCTCCTCCACAGCGCTGGGCTCCGGAGCGGTCTTTGCTGCTTTCTTGGACTTCTTGACTTTCTCCGCGGATGCTTTCTTCTTGGAGCTCTTTTTAATCGTATTCTCCGCAAGTTCCTGCTCAGTTTCTGCCTTGGATTCCTGCGTCTCGACTTCGACGGACATACGTTCCGATTTCTCGCCATCATCCTCGACTTGGTCGACGTCTGACTGTTTCGTGGAGTCCAGCGATTTGTGGCCATCATCGGAATTATTGGAGCTCCTTGTCTTCCCACGCTTGGACGATTTCGAGGGCTTTCTCGGCATTGGCTCCTCCACAACGTCCACTTCATCATCTGCAGGCCCGGCGTTCATATCATCTGCCATCTCTTCAAGAGGGTCATCCATGGCATCCATTGGTTCTGGCTCTGGTGTGGCCTTCTGTTTCTTCTTAGATTTAGATTTTGTCGACGTCGATTTCTTTTTCGGCTCTGACTTTGTTTTGACTTCGACAGGCTCCATCTCATCCACGTTCAGTTCGGCCTCCAAGGCTGCATCAATCTCCGAGTCCCGTGGCACGTGAGAGACCGAAGCTGCTCTCGAGGTAGAAGCACTGGAAGGTTTACGGCCTCTCTTCTTAGGTGGTGCGCGGCTTTTCTGGGCCTCTTGCTGCAGAATGCTCTCATCCTGTTGCGATTCTGCTACGCTCTCGTAGCCTTGTCCACGCTGCTGAGAGCTGTTACGCGTTTTGTTAACCCTCTTCTTTGATGGTCGTTCCGGCTGCTCGGAAGCATCACGAATATTTCGCTCTTCCTGCTCCATATCGTCACTAGTCCTCTTCTTTCCACGGCCGCGTCTCGGCTTGGGTGGTTCTTGTGGGACCAGCTCAGGTTCGTCAACATCCATTTGACTCCCTGTTTCCACCAAATCTTCCTTCTTCGACTTCGACGTTTTTGATTTGGACTTCGAGGACTTTTTCTTTCCTTTCGTTTTAGTGGACGCCTGGGACGCGATGTCCTGGTCCATCACATCTTCCATATCGGAAATCTGGGCCTCGGAGGCAGTCGATTGGGTGGACACACGCGACGACGCCTTCGAAGGACGACCTCTTTTTGATCGGGAGCCTTTCGCTTTTCCTTTCTTCCCGGGGGCTTGAGCGAAAACGAAGAAGGAGCAGTCTGGTGAGCGTCGATAATGTTCATCACTGGAATAAAGTCAATCGGGGTCGTTAGGAAGTAGCGACCGGTGATGAACTTACAAAGGATCATCTTGAGGTTCCCATCCATCGAGGGATAATTTGCAGTACGCGCAGCTTGCGAGATCATTGCTCTCTTCAGTGGGACAGAAATACCATCCACCATCGACCATCTAAACAAAGTGATAATCGCCTTAGCAACAGGTCCCAGGGAGTGGGTATCTTATAGCAGTGTATTGCCATTACCTTCTCTGAATCGCACACCCAACCTCGCTTCCCATCGTGGGGCCAATTAGTACCGAACGTCGCCAGACGCGCTTCTCGGACCCTATCGCTTGTTGGATCATCGATTTCAGCAGGGTTCGAGCTGTGCTGTTGGATGTCCATCATGACGGCCCAGCCACAGTCCTTTGCATGCTTTAGATGTTCCGTTATCGGGTTGTCCTCCTCTTCCCATCCATCCAGGGCTCTTTGGCACATAAAGCATGTTGTATTATCCGGGTTCGTTTCGTAGGGATTGTAGAAGAAACCGGCGTGAGCGAGCTGTCAGGTTGCTTGTTAATGGTGTTCATTACAAGCTGTTAGACACCATCGTAACATACCTCAGCGGGTGAAGGTTTGCGATGAGGCCAGGCGATTTTTTTCGCAGATTTGGTGCTCGATGACCTTCGCTTCCCTGGATTCAATACTAGGTCGAAGCTAGCCAACCGGGCTGCGAATGTCTCCATTTCTTGCGCCATTATAGGAGGAAAATGCAGCTCATCTGGGAGTAAAGTACCGACAATAAGTTTCCAATGGTAATGACAGCTGCATGCAGTGTGTAGGCCGCGCGAACTCCGTGGAAAACGGGCGTTTGTTGAGGTGGGTTTCGACTTGTTTACCGCATTGTTTGGACTTCGACCCTTTCGGAACGCGCCCGCGGAGAGGAGAGGAGAGGAGCGTTGTCACGTGCATTGTGGCGCGGGGGATTTCCCGGTCGGGATAAGCGGCAACAAGCCACAGCGCCGGCCGAGAACACCTGCCGAGAGACGTACGTCAGTTCGTCAATCCGCAATAAGATCTCCCGCAGCTGCTGCGTCCTCCATCGTACTCTCCACTCTCTTCATTCCTTTTCTTCACTCATTTCCTTCATCGGTTACCATTGTCTGAGATGGTAATTTTCAATGGTCCTTGATTTGCTCCAGAACTACAGCCCTTGCTGTGCAATTCCTCCCTGACCTTCCGTGAACTTGTCACAATGTAAGCAATGCCGCTGGCGGTCTTCCATCTGTCTTTGATGAAGGGATTGCTAATGAGAGACATTCTATGGGTATAGCCTCGCATTTTCTACTCCATGTCCGGCTCACTTGTGCGTCTGCGGTTGGGCTACCCATCGTTTTCCCGATGCTCTCGGGTTCCCAGTTCTCGTCGGTTGTTCTCGTCGGACTCCCCCTTGATCACTTCCACTAGGGCCGTCTCAACCCCCGGAACTCGCCCGGGACTATCAGGGAACTTGAATTTACATTCCGATCATGACCTCCTCTTGCCGTCTTCCTCCTCTGCCTCGTCGTTCTCTACCTCTTCCAAGCTTTCGGATCCCGGCGACTGGGACGTGAACCCAAATCTCTCAATCTCCGGCTTCGACGAGCTCCCTTCCAAGGACTTTGGCGTCAACCAGCACATGATAATCAATCAAGAGTTCAAAGAAGCCCCTCCGTCAGATTCTTTGGCAATTCCGCGCTCCAATTCGCTATGCCTTCGCCTACGGATCGGGTGTCTTCCCGCAGGTGGGCAGTGCTCCTGGCTCCAGCCAGTGCCACCCATCCGCGCCCGCAGCAATCAAGAATATGCAGCAAGGCCAGGGAAAGATGATTGATTTTATTTTTGGGGTTTCATACTCTCAACATTGGCACTCCTTGAACTTACATCAGCATCGTGACCATTACTCTGGTCTCGGCTCCCTGGGATCTTACGTGGTTTCTCAAGTCCAGGATAGATTTGGTGCAGGTGTTTACTTCAACCCCTACGTCACCGTCAATGGCACGTTGATAAAGTATGGAGTTGTCAACCTCGACACGCTGTGTAGGGACTTGAGCTCGTGGGACACACTGTACCTTGCGGGTCGGCTGCAAAAACCGGTCAAGATCCTGCGTGACCATCCGAAGGTGCGGCTCGCTAACCAGATGAATTTACTGTCCGCCGTCCGTGTTGCTTTGTTGCTCCTGCCCGAACAATTTACCGAATTCCAACTGTACAGCACTATTGCCGGTATCAGCTACATGGGCGATCTTCGGATGGTACTTCCAGCAGAGGATCCCAAAAAGGTGAACAACATTGTCTCCGGCCAGATGGCGAATTTCCGGCGGCTTTATGCCCCGCTCATCGAAACCCTGCCCAATGTCACCTTCCGGGATAAGCGCTGTATGGAGGACGACTGGATCGATGACCCGGATGCTAATATGCAGCTCGTCCAAGACATGGACCCAGTGAAACGCGGAAACATGGTACGCCGGCTTCCAGAATCTTTCCGGGAGAAGTTGTATTTCCAGTATCAGTCTCGTTTTGGCATACCCCGAGCGGAATTCAACAAAATGATGCAAGAGGCCAACGACAACGATCCGGAGATGGTTCGCCGGAGGCAAGGCGGGCCTTTCGACCAGCGCATTGCAGGGGACGCGAACCTCACAAAGGAAGTTCAGGCCTCGATCACTAAGACCATTCGTTGGCCGAGTACAGTTCAGACCATCAAAGGACCCTTCACTTCCGGCGTGAGGAGGACATGGCGTTATTTACGTGAAAAGCAGGACAAATACAAGAAGTCCGGCAAGCATTCCAGCCCTCCGAAAGAATCACCTTCGAAGGCATCAAAGGAGGAATAGGCGCATATGGATTGTTATGACTATGATTGAATCATGGCTTGCCTGGTCGCAGAGGGTGAGCAGGACAGCCCTAGACATATCAGGCATATCGAGGCGTTGGCTTTTTGTATTTCTATCATGGCATACAAGGTAAATAGGCAAGTTCTAGGGATAAAAGTGTCCTTGGATCGTCAACAAAAGAAATGTATATATATATATATGCTCTTATACTGATTCGAACCTTTCCATCGTGCTAATGCGTGAGTGAGCATCCGCTGGATTAACTACTCAGTCCTCATCATTGCTGTGTAATGACGTGTGAAGAGCATTTGTCGATCATTAGGGCAAGGCCTTGGTAGCATAGAGAGGCATAGAGTAATCTCGGTACCACTCCCATATTGTGGGCTTTCTATCACTTTCAAGGCCAGTAAGATGTTCCGTTCTCCTGCTTTTGAAAGATCGTGACCGAGTGGTCTACTACAACGAGCGATCCTTGCCTACAAAGAACCCGTAAAGAACAAAATGGGTATACAATAACAGCGGACTTATTTATACATCCATACCGTATCCTCCATCTATATAAAATGCTTCTATCTTCTTTGTTAATGTCTCTCACAGACTTATCTTCTAACATTTCTCTCTACTCATCTTCTGTTGCTCGCATATCCGAAGCTGCAGCTTTCACTCTTGAATCATGAAGCCCTTCTTTCCGCTCCTACTTCTAGCGGCTTTTGTCACCACTTCCTCCGCAGCCTTGTGCTATGATGACCCTGTCGTGATTGGAGATATCGAGTTCTCCGGACGCCAAGAGTCAAAAAAACATGAATGCCACAAGGGTCAGGGAACGCGGATTGGAGATATGGACGGTAATGACAACTCCCAACGCGAAGATATGAATAAGAACTAACAATATCTAGAAATCTGGGTAAATGGAAAGCCGTGCAAAACTAAGGAGTGCAGAGATGCCAATATGCCGTAATAGTGCCTAATGGGTGGTGGAGGACGGCTTCGAGGACTGGACTTATAAGTGGTTATGATGTACTATGATAGTTCTTTGTCGTCCACGGTGTACCATATAAGGGGCGGAAATACCAATTGGGGCAATCCGACCTCGAACCTTGAAGAGAACTAGTTGAAAGATCCTTTTGTCTTGGATGACGACACGCGTTAAAATGGAGACCATCTGTAGAAGAGTGATGAAGAGACACACATAGCTTGTTGGGTAGTGATCTATACACCCTGAGAACACCCACCACCGGCTTATCCAAGTTGATGGATTGGAAGATGGTATTCTAGGTAGACAACTGTTGACATGTCAGTCTTGGCATATATGACGCGCCACGCGCCCCTGTGATCGCCGTCTAAATCCATACCCCGTAGTCTGGACACGCTTTAATAGATGTCATGTTGCCATTTGCCAGGTCTTTTAGACGCCTCTGGCGCAACCAGCCAACCGCGCAGATATCGATCCTTTGCCGTGGTAAGAGGGACCACGATGGTCGCGCAGGGAGCTATTACTAAAGTAATAGCAAACAGGCAAAACGATCAGCCGCGAGCAACTTTTTACATACACCAATGGCCACTTCCTTATCGATGAGGACCATCAGTATAGTCGGCGCTACCGGAAGTTGAACCTGGACGCCCTCTGCGACATTGCCGCTAGAGCTGGAGGGAGCATATCTCGAATTACAGCCATCGAGAAGCTTGAAGGGGGGTTCAGCAAAGCTCTTCTCATGAAAAGGGAGAACGGCAGTAAACTGATCGCGAAAGTCCCCTGTCACATTGCTGGCCCGGCTTATTTAACAACAACCTCTGAAGTAGGTACTTTGGAATACAGTACGTGCATCATATCCTGTCCAATGGGTTCCTAAAGCAGTCATGCGCTACATATCAGTAAAAAATTACACAACTATTCCCGTCCCTCGTGTCTTCTCTTGGTCCTCTGATGCTTCAAATCCTGTCGGGGCAGAGTATATTGTCATGGAGAAGGCAGCCGGGGTCCCGCTATTTGAGCGATGGGGCAAGATGGCACAAATCGAGAAAATGGAGCTTATAAAGAATCTGACCCAACTTGAAGCTCAATTGGCGGCTATCTCGTTTCCTGCATATGGGGGGCTGTATTTACGCGCAGATGCGGAGCACTTCAAACATCAATACATTCATGGCAGCGTGGATGAACAACACTTGTTGTGCATCGGCCCATCGCCTGGGCGCTCGTTTGACATCGATGATGCGTCAATGTACTATGGGCCTTGTAAGTGATCAGTCCTGTTGATATCCTTAACCTAACGATTATACAGGGGATAGCTTATCGGATCTCGGGACGTCAATTGCCAAACGAGAACTCTCTCGGATTGGAAGGCAGAATCTAGACAATCAGTCAATGGCTCATCGGGGAAGCCCCCAGGAACAAGCCTGTCTTTTGGAGATTGTGGTCAAACTAATGGAGCTGTTGGACTCGCATCCAATCCTTGCCTAATTGGCCCAGCCTACCCTATGGCACACAGATCTCCACATGGGAAATATCTTTGTTGCTCCCGATAACGATTCCCAGATCACCGCACTGATTGATGTGCAGTCTCTCTCAGTGCTCCCGCTATTTCTCCAGACCCGATGGCCAGTGTTTCTGCAGCCTCCACGGGATTACACTAGAGGCCTTGTACAGCCCGTGTTCCCAGATGACTTTGATTCTTTTGACAAAGACGACAAGGCCACTGCTCTACATGACTGGACACAGGCCAAACTGGCAAAAGCATATGAAGTCTCAACCTTTCTAGAGAACAGAATTGCCCACAACGCCATGAATGTGCCGCGTGTTTTTCGAGAACTGTTCATCCGCACTGGAGAAACATCCGATGTTGGCGTCGTTCCACTGCGAGAGTGCTTGATTGAAATATTTAAGAATTGGTCGGATCTGGGGTTTTCTGGGCATTGTCCTTATTCCTTCAGCCAGGAAGACATCAGAGCACATGAAGAGCAATTTGCCGACTACAAGAATGGAACGAGGTACAGCAGCTCGCCCAGGAGTCTCTAGATACTGATGCAGAGGAATGGGTGGCGCCGCAGCTGAATTTTGCTGAAAAACGAAGGCAGAACAAGGAACTGCTGTCGATGTACATTGCGCGAATGGCGGGAGAGAAGTCGCCAGAAGAAGCAAGACGGATGTGGCCCTTTCCGGAATGACTGCGACAGGTCTTCGCAATGATACCTCTGAGGACCTGACTCGTCTATCGCGCAATTGAATGAGGTGTCAGCATCATCCCGTGAATCACAGCTTCGTCGAGCATGCTTGCTTGTTGATATGATGCCTCAATAAGTTGCGGTTTCAGCTTAAGCTTGGGCTGCTACTGGGAAGAAGTTGCACTATACCAAGAGCTAGTTTTGGATGAGTAGTGATATAAGACCCCCAAGAATCATCGAGTCAGCTAAAGGTGTGACATGACCTGTGCTCCTACTAGGTACTTAGGAATACACCTCAGAACTCATCCAATTTGGATCTACCCGGTCTCCTTATCAGGGTGCACCGTTCCGGTGTATTTTCGGGCGCCAAAAGGGCAATGATTTATTTGACCCCAGGCCGTCACAACGGATGCAATGTCTAGTCAGAAGTAAGGGTGGTTTGACAGGAAAAAATTTCCGTAGATCCTCCCAAGTAATGCTGCATGGATGTTGTAGATAATTCGGCAAATCTTCCAGTGACTCAATCGCTCTACCGCCTCCGGTTTCGCCGTCGGTCTCCGTCCATGATTGTGTTCCCCGCCACTCTCCCCACCATCATTTTCTTCCAACACGCAACAAACTCGCATAATACCCCCCATTGTCAAAAATGGCGCCGAGAAAATCCCCGTTCAACCTGGCGACTTGCGCGCGCAAAAACATTCTTCAATTGCAACCCTACCGTTGCGCAAGAGAGTGAGTTGCCTCCAACCGCCCCGCCGTGTGACCGTCGAGACTAATGAGTCAGTGACTACAAAGATGATGGAACGAACGTCCTGCTCGATGCGAATGAGAATGCCTACGGTCCCGGCCTTGCCTTGAATACGGAGGGAGCTCTCCAGGAATCCGCCGCGAATGGCGCTCCTACTGGAGCGTCCAAGCCAGACATTGACCTGTTAGGGTTGAACCGATACCCTGATCCGTGAGTCACCCGGCGCATCCTACAAGCTTTTCTATTGCTACACCTCAGGGATATAGGTGGTAGACTACGATTGACTGACACGTATGCCTTTAGTCACCAGATCGAACTGAAGCAGCTTTTTTGCAACCTCCGCAACACTCGCATCCACTCCCAGAAAGACCTGAAACCCGAGAACCTCTTCGTCGGCGTCGGCTCTGACGAGGCGATCGATGCCCTCCTGAGATGTTTCTGCGTGCCCGGGAAGGACAAGATCCTCACCTGTCCTCCGACCTACGGAATGTACGCGGTGAGCGCACAAGTGAACGATGTGGAGATCGTGAAGGTGCCTCTCGATGTCGAGAAGGGCTTCCAGTTGCAGCCCGAGAAGATCAACGAGGCCCTCTCCGCCGACTCATCGATCAAGATGGTCTACATCTGCTCGCCCGGCAACCCGACGGCGAACCTGATCCGGAAAGAAGATATCCAGAAGGTGTTGGAACACCCGACGTGGAACGGAGTCGTGGTCGTGGACGAGGCCTACATCGACTTCGCTCCAGAGGGATCCAGTCTGGCCGAGTGGGTCAACGAGTGGCCCAACCTGGTGGTGATGCAGACTCTCAGCAAGGCTTTTGGTCTGGCCGGTATCCGCCTGGGCGTCGCGTTCACCAGCCCTGACATCGCGCTGCTCTTGAACAGTCTTAAGGCGCCTTACAACATCTCGAGCCCTACCAGCGCGCTCGCCATGGCCGCCCTCTCCCCCAAGAACATGACCGTTATGCACAAGTACCGTCAACAGATCATCACCCAGCGTGAACGGCTGGTGCAGGAGCTGCCCAAGATCCCCGGCGTGGGGCGTTTCCTGGGCGGACAGGAGGCGAACTTCCTCCTGGTGGAGCTTCTGGACAAGCCGGCCAGCGAGGGCGGAAAGCCCAGCAACAAGACGGCGCTGGCCACGTACGAGGCGATGGCAGAGAAGCGTGGTGTTGTTGTGCGGTTCCGCGGCAAGGAGCTGGGCTGCGAGGGATGTCTTCGTATCACGGTGGGTACTGAAGAGGAGGTGACAAGGTTCTTGCAGGAGCTGCGGGTGGTGCTGAATGGTATCCTCACGGGTGCGGATATTCAGTCTTTGAGGAGCTAGAATATCCTTTATAATTTCTTCATGAGCCCTGTTATAGAGATCAAGCAGTTTTGGACATAGATCAACCGGGATAAAGGAGGGTTAACTTAGTGCCGATCACGTAGTCACAATAGGGGTGTGATATTGTTGCCTAGGCAGTAAGGTACCCATGTCTTTGGCACCCTTTCAGCATCCATCAGACTGGACCAGGAGGATAGGCATGCTAATGAGGACAGTGACGCGGAGTAGACGTAGATCTAGAAGAAATCATTTTAAATACCGTAAACATGCGCACTTGAAATATGGAAATCAGCCGAACAAGATAATAATAGCTATACAGATAAGGTACTATTTAGCGATGTTCGCTCTAGACCTCGTAGTATACGTAGTTGAAAGTCTACCTTGGTATCAAAGAGACCTTTGGGGGTTGCCCCTTTTCCAGTACTTTCCTTCCAAAGCAGAGGCTTGGTGCATCAGCCCATGCCCTCATCGACAGGATCTGGTGAACCGTGGGCTCGGTTCTGACCGGAGGTCCAGACAAGACAGGCAGCGATAAGAAGGTTACATGGTTGTTTGCTGGTCACGATGTCATTGGAGAGAGCAGGTATCAGGGCCGTCGTCAAGTTTCCTATAGACAGGGATTGATATCATGCTTTGTTAGAGGACTGGAGAGGAGAGGAGTCGACTGCCGAATGGGGGGATGGATATCATGTATCATGGGTGAGGGATGGATAGATGGCACTGCATATCGATCATCCCACGTGGAGATGGATTAAGCAAGGGCAAGCATTGGGTGTGGTCGCACGACAGACATTATTGACAGCTGTAAATAGGTAAATAGTCTTCTTCGTGTGTTTCTCTCGATGGAGGAAATCCGTGGATCTCGAAACTCATATAATCACTTTGTTGGTCACGGGGTCTATCACCACCAGCACCACCACCACCAACAATACATACACGGTTCACATGCCCGCGAGCCAGGGTGAACTGAACTGATAGTACTAAGTCAACCACGCCAATCACCCCCCGAGGCTCAAATCCTTCGTATCTGTGCTAGCCCCTCCCTGGTCAATAATAATTGGTTTGGGTTAAACGCCACGGACAACCAGCTCACGATTTCCCTGGTTCTATCTTGGCCCGAGATTAGTGAGCCTGGGGACGAATGTCGCTAGGCGCTACCGGCCCTGAAGGGGCCGCTTCCTGATGCCCGGCCTTGGTTAGCTGCTTATCGTCCGATGGGCTCCGGAAGACGCCTTGACCCTTGGCCCGACTACTGGACCTATCGCTTGCCTGGCCGCCTCCCGGCGAATGCCAATGATCTTGGGGAAATTAACAACGACTGTGATGGCGATAATGACGCGCTTTATTCTGATTACGATAGAAACGGGGCTGCGCCGGTTATCTCCACCCTCTCTGCGGTGCTGATTCCCATGGCGCTCAACGCGCGACCACTTGTCAAATCCGATCCATTCTCGTCCCTCCGCCCCCCCCTTTATCATTGTTATTATTCCTTTTTAATCGCTCGTTTTTGTTTTTTTAAGGGCCTTATATTCCCCCCGTCAGACGTCACAACGGCGGTGAACCGACAGTGGTCTCCCCCCCATATCCCGTGTCTTAAGCTTTGCTCTTCTAGCCTCGACTCGTACCGGGCTTGGCCGTCAAAGGCGAGGTAGTAATATCTATTGATCAGGCCGAGCTTCTGACCAACATCCTTCGTTCTCTCTCAAATCTCCTCTCTGCGCTCTCGGTCCCTCAGCAGCGGCAGCTAAATAGCTACCCACAACAACAACAACTAACTAACAGACCGACCATAACCGTCATCTCGTGCAGATCCATCTGTGTCCACTGTCGCCCCCCCACACGATTCGCACGGGCTCTGGGGAAAGCTGGCACGTGCATCATTAACCGACTGCTCGCCATGAACAATGTGAGCGTCTTTAAAGGCTCTACATTGTTGGAAGTGCTCCAGGGTCTTGTTCGCTGTACCCTCCTGTTCGACTGTTGGAACCAGCCCCGTCTGCTGCTCTGCGGCCCCTCTGCGGAGGTGGTACATCGGCCATGAGTACATCGCAGTCAGCACTTCTTCACCACGACCCGCGTTCGCTCTACTCCGACATCCCCCCGGATCTACGTACCAGGCTAGAAGACCACCCGACGCTCTTGGTTAGCTGGTGGGCCACCGGGTTTTCCCTCGCCATTATCGTCACCCGCGTATGCGGCCGCTACATCCGAATCGAGCGGTTCTTCCCGGAGGACAAGGTCATGATGGCCAGCATCATTCCGCTGGTGATTCGCATGGCCTTTGTTCACATGGTGCTTGTATATGGCACTAACAACACCAAGACGGAGGGCTTGTCGGCCGAGGACATTCATCATCGCGAACTTGGCAGCAAGCTGGTGCTTGCGGCGCGCATCTTCTATGCGATCTTGTAAGGCACTCTCCCACCAGCATCTTCACAATGAATCTAACAAGCCCTGTTATTGTAGCATATGGACCGCCAAGTTCACAGTATGCTCCTTTCTCAAGCGCGTCGTGGGGATGATGTGGCGTCGATCTTTGCAGCTCTTCCTCAAATTCCTCTACTATTTCCTCGCTTCCACGTTGATCGCCGTGGTGATCGCAACGCTAACTGAATGTCAACCATTCCACCACTACTGGCAAGTCGTTCCAGACCCGGGGCCCCAGTGCCGCTCCGGATATGCCAACCTGATCACCATGGGCACCTGCGATATCATCACGGATCTACTTCTCGTTGCGTTCCCTATCCCTCTCATTATGATGACCCATATGCCCGTCAAACGAAAGGCCTCGCTGGTCATTCTCTTCGCCTTGTCCCTGATCCTGGTGGGCATCACCTGCTACCGGGTGCCCTCGGTGATCTGGCACAACGGCTCCCAGCAGTACCGGTCCCTACTAGCATCGCTGGAAATCCTGGCCGCGACCGCCGTCTCCAACGCGGTGGTGATCGGCTCCTTCGTGCGCGACAAGGGCGTCAAGAAACAGAAGTTCAAGAAAGCGCTGGGCTCCGCCTCCGTCAGCGAGAGCATGGACTACAGCTCCCTGCGCCGCGTGACCATCACCCACCACCAATGGGGCAGCGACTCCGACCTGGCTGCCGGCCTGGGCATCCGTCTGAACCCGGATCTCTGCTCGTCCGACACCAACTGGCCCCAGCCAAGCCCCAACACCACCCCGTTCCCGTTCACCGCGCGCACCGGCACCCTCAACCCCAACTGGTCGTTCACCCGCCAGCCGAGCGACGACGACCGCACCTCCACGACCGGCAGCCTCGACCTCAAGGTGAGCCCCCACGAGTACATCGAGACCACCAAGACCCCGCGCAAGTCGTCCGGCGACGCCGCCACCGCAATGTCGTCCCCCAGCAAGGTCAGCATGTTCGACGTCGGCGGGCTATTGAACGAACCGTCGCCCGCGCCGCACAAAGCCCCCATTCCACCACAGACGGTACCACCGCCCCCGGCTGCGACTCGGCGACCGACTCGCCGCCGCGGCAGCACGGCGTTCCTCCAGGACGTGGGCGGACTGCTGGCGTCCCCGGACCCGGTGCCTGCTGCATCGCAGCCATCCCCGTCCCATCCGCCGCCGCGCCTGGGTGTCCTGCGGACATATTCCAGCGGCCGACGACGCGGGTCCAGCGTGCACTGGAGCGATTCGTCGGACAGCCCGGTGCCGCCGTACCGGGCGGGATCAGACGTCACGGCGCCGATCCCGGAGGGTGCCAACGATGTCGAGCTCCAGGATGTGGGCGGGCTACTTTCGCGGAATTCATGAAGTCACGACGATATGAGCATAGGTGTACCATATGCGCTTGCATTTGCTTTCTTTGTGTTTTATGGAGATTGGATCAGGCTGGCTGGTTGGGAGGGTTCATATTTAGCGACGGCGTTGGGGTTTGTTTCGGGCTGTCAGTAGGCGTCCTAATCATAACAACGAATATACAGTAAGCATAATTGGAGTGATGTCTCTGTTCAGCATCTCATGTCATTGTAGTTTATCGGGGAAGAAGAATGATACAGTCGTTTTAGATTAACACTCAGATAAAGCGTGAGAAAAAAAAGCCATGCCACAGCCCTAGCCATGAAATCACAAGATCTGTCTTTCGCCTATACGCCATGCTGCCCAGAATGCCAGTAATTGGGACAATTGCTTTTTGTCTTTTAGTTTGGGGCCCGTCCGCGTCCCGACTGTTCGCTCTCGATGTGCCCTCCGGCGTCTCGGGCGCGCCATATTCAATCCCATGGGTCGCCGCCACCCAACACGACGACGAGCCCCAGTAAGGCGCTTCAGGTGATAAGCCGGACCATGCTGTCGGGGTATATCAGGATACACTGTAGCCACGGGGGCTCCCAAGCCACCCGAGACGTGCCATTCGCCCGGTTTAGATAACCCAGCGGTAGCTGGCGTACCGACCCGCGGTTTCACTCTTCCGGATGATCTTGACGACCTGGCCGCGACGCAGACCCAGGTACCGGGCGACGGGGTCGGAGACCTGGATACGGGGCAGCTGCGATTCCTTCAGACGGTAGCGGTCGAGCAGGCGCTTCTTCTCCTCGGGGCTCAACAGGACGTGTTTCGGGACGAGCTCGTGGCGGGTAATGTTGACAAGCAGATCCTGCTCCTGGAAGTGCTCGCAGATACGGCCGGGGACGCCGCTGAGGAGGCGCACGGCGGAGGGCGAGATGGGGGTCTGGGTGATGAAGATGCCGGTGTGGAAGTTGTGCTCGTCGACGGTGTGGTTGAAGGCGCGCACCTGTTTGGTGCCGACGCCGCTGCTGTCGGGGCAAAATTCGACGTAGATGGTGCCGCAGTCGGCGGGCGCGGGCGACTGGCCCTGCTTGGTCAGGGGGGTGTATTTCACTTGCATGGCCTCGGTGGGACGGGCTTGGATCTTCATTTTGGCGCGACTGGCGAGCGTTAGAAGGATTCTCTGGGGAGAGGGCTGGGAGAGAGCGCATACTCAGGGTAGCCCAGCGGGTCGGAATATTTCTGCTTGAAGTCGTCGAGGGATATTTGCACTTCCTCTTCTGTGACTTCGTAGCCCTGCAAGAGAGCTGTTAGTCCACTTGGTCCCTTTTTTTCGTCTGGAGCCATCGGATCAGCTACATACTCGATCCTGCAGCATCTCAAAGACGGTTCTCCATGTGCGCCAGAGTCTGGTCATTTCGCGGTCGGCGTCGACCGAGCCGGAAGCGTAGTCGTCATCCATGGTGGGAGGTGAATATAAGAGAGAGAACTAGAGATGAGGGTATTTTAGAAGAGAAGGGAGGAGACAAGCAGGGTGGAAGCAAGAGGAAGATAATGATGGATAAAAATCGGGCGGAAGTGCAAAACGGGCGGAAGCCAAAGAGGAAGGCGGTTAGACCCAAAAAGGAAAGGCAAGGAACGCAAAGGAAAAAAGGAAAAAGAGGCCAGACTCGCTCGCTCACACTCTCCCACCCCGACTCTTTCTCCTCTCGCTTCTCTCCTTTCGTCTCTTCTCCTTCCATTCAATTCTCCTCCTCCCCATTCCTCTTCCTCTCTGTGTTCCACAGAGATTGGTGTCTCTCCCCCCTCCGCTCATCCTCTCCGTCACCATGGCCGCCGACGCCAAATCTGCTCCTGCCACGGAGCACAAAGTGAGACCGACCAAGCCCAACGAGGATGCCTTCAAGGCCGACCTGGCGCTGGCTGAGAAGGAACATGCCGCGGTGCAGGAGAAGCTGGTATGTGGATTCGATGCGACGAATTGCTTTTTTCTTCATCGTCTATTGTCCATTGGGCTGGAATATACTTTGTCTGTTTATTCTGCCTCCCCGCCATGGATCCCCGTCGGTTGGCTGCAGTCACTTCGTTTGCGCTGCACCAATCCGCCTCTCCCTTCTGTCTTATATACTCTCAATTTGTTTCGTCATTTATTCTTCTTCACTATCCGATATGTATAATCGGTCTATTCTTATCAAACTAACTCTCCCCAGAACCAAGTCAAGGCCAAGATTGAAGCCGCCAAGCCCAACAACAAGGACTCGCCGGCCGCAAAGAGACAGCAGGAACTCCGTGCCGAACTCTCCGCCATCCGTCAGAAGCAGCAGGGCTTCAAGGCCTCCCGTTCCAGCACCCAGGAGAAGATCAATGCCCTCGATGCCACCCTCAAGGCCCGCATTGCTGAGCAGAACAACTCTCGCTCGCGCATGTCCTTCAAGAATGTTGAGGATCTGGATCGTGAAATTGCCCGTCTGGAGAAGCAGGTCGACTCCGGCTCCATGCGCCTGGTTGACGAGAAGAAGGCCCTCTCCGATATCTCCAACCTGCGCAAGCAGCGCAAGAACTTCGCCGGCCTGGATGATGCCCAGAAGGTCATCAACGACCTCAAGACCCAGATTGCTACGCTCAAGAAGACCCTGGACAACCCCGAGGCCAAGGCCCTCAGCGACAAGTACTCGGAGATCCAGAAGGAGTTGGACAGCATCAAGGCCGAGCAGGATGGCGCGTTCAAGAACCTGAACGCCCTCCGCGATGAGCGCACTAAGCTTCACGCCGAGCAGCAGAAGAAGTGGACTGCGATCCGTGAGGTCAAGGACAACTACTACAAGGCCCGTCGGGCGTACAAGGAGTACGAAGACGAGGCCTGGAGAATCCGTCGGGAGAAGCAGAAGGCCGAGCGCGACGCCTTTGAGCGCGAAAAGAAGAAGAAGATCGCCGACAAGAAGCTGGAGGAGGCCTCGCGTCCGGCCTACACCGACGAGATCATGACCGCTCAGGGTCTGATCCGCCACTTCAACCCATCCTACGACTTCGCCGCCCTTGGCCTTGACGACAAGAAGGGTCCCTCTGCTGCTTTCCGCGCCGAGGTTGGCCGTACCGTGGACGACTCCAGCATGAAGGGCATGAAGGTTCTGAAGAAGGAGGACCGTGAGGAGGAGTACTTCGTCGGCACCGGTGGTAAGAAGGGCAAGAAGGGTAAGAAGGGCAACAACGCTGCCAACGGTACTGCGGCCCCCGCTGCCGAGAAGTTCAACCTCAACGTCGGTGTGATTGAGGACTTCGCCAAGGTCAAGCTGGACCCCCCGATGAACCAATCTGACGTGCCGGCCGTTGTTGAGAAGCTGGCGGCTAAGATCACGGAATGGAAGAACAACCAGGCTTCCAAGACGGAGGAGGTGAGTTGACGACTCCAATTGACAGATCGGGATGATAGCTGACGAGGTTCCCACAGAATATCAAGAAGGCCAAGGAGGAGATTGCCCGTCTTGAGGAGGAGGCCGCGGAGGCTGAGAGCCGCTCCACCGATCACGCCAAGAAGCCTGCCATTGAGAACAATGGAGTCAACGGCAAGGTTTCTGCTGCCGCTGAACTGAAGCAGGAGAAGGACGCCGCTGCGGACGTGTCCGAAGAACTCCAGAAGGCCTCCCTCGAGGAGAAGGCTTAAGGATCCAGCCCTTATAAAAGATGCATCTGTGCATGTTCGATTTCATGAGCGATTATGCCGCTTTAGATCTGCTGAAGCCTAGCATCTATATCCACATACTGTGCTGTTGCCATTTGTGTTATTTTTTGGTTTGTTATATGCATCGTCCTGACAGCCTTTCTCCCTTTTGCAGACCTGATCGCCACTTTACTTTGCTCCTGTTGCTTTCATACACCGAGGCGGGTTGGAGAGCCACTGTTCGGTCTACCTTTTCCTTTCTGTGTAATTCAAGATTTTCATTCCGTCTTATTTCTTTTCTTTCTTGTGTATCTTGTCTGCTGTGTGAGGGATCCGGACTATATCTCCTCTCTTATTTCTCCTGTTTTCAAAAGTCTGCAGAGAAGTGAAGGCAAGGATGATTTAGCGTTGTTTTCAGCCTGTACCTAAGTAACGATATAAGCGATTGGAAGCAGTTGGAATGTTGCTTTGGAATGGATTGCTTGACGGTCATATCGTGCCAGTAGCATATGTGCCCATAGACCGACCGAGGTTTCCGTGGTGGCAAGGAGCTGCAGCCGAGGGGCGGTGGTTGTCGTCGTCATGAATGAGGTGTTCGTATAGATCCATCGTGGCTGTGAAGGACCATCTGGTTGCCTAATCCGGAGTTCGGCCGCCAAGTGATTTCTCGGCGCCGTGAGCCGTTTCTCCTCTCCAACCTCGTCTCGATTCTCTCTCTGCCATCTCTCACGTCCTCCTCTCATCTCCGTCTTTTTCTCGCCATTCCTGTCGCAACCTTCTTTGCGACTCGTCTATTCACCGGCTACCGACCAGGAGATACCGTGTAAATCGCCGTATCTTCCGAGGCGCTCCGCATCACCCTCTACCAAGCGCCTTACATTCAAGATGTCGTACGGCAAACCAGTACGTGTCGATACCTCTGTCCCTCTACATATATTCGCAACTAACGTCAAGAATTTAGGACGGCCCTCCTCCGTCATATCCTCCCCCCATCCATGACGCCGGCCCCTATCACCCCGGTTCTCCTCCCCCCGGTGGCGCGCATGACTACTACAACCAAGGCGGATATCCTCCTCAGGGCTACGGTCCTCCGCCGCAAGGATACTACGGCTCTCCACCGCCGCAGGGCCAGCCGATGTACTACCCGCCGCAGGGATACCCACCACAGCAACAGGGGTACTATATGGAAGATCGGGGTGGTAGTGGCGGCGGCGGCATCTGCGCCGGTATTCTCGCTGCATTGGCGTGCTGTTGCTGCTTGGACATTCTCTTCTAATTTATCTTGTGTTTCTATACGTCTGTGAATCCTGGGTTCGTCGGATCTTGTTCTTGTTACGGCGCTGTTGGTGCAAAACTGGGTCCACACATTCGTTCCTGTCTTTCTTTCCTTTGATTCTCCATGCTTCGTTACCGCCGCAGCTGTACTGCTAACACCGTCTAATCCCTACTGAAATGCGATGACTCATGAATCTTGACCGGACATACATTCATATCGTGCCGTCTATACGCTGATCATACAGGAAACAAGCCGCAAAAAGAGCAAACAAACAAGGGTATCAACTGGCGACAACAGCCCATCATCATAATCATCACAGCATGACCGCATCTCTCATCTCAAATCAAGCAAAACGCATCGAAACTTATCCCCCAACATCATCGCGAACTCTCATACTCGCTGATCTCATACGGATCCCCGCGCCGCCATCCGCCGCGTGCATTGCGCGGCCTCCTCCCCTCAACACTCGAATGCTCCTCAATAACCTCGACGACATTGCTTTCTTCCGAGCGCGACGCCGACGTCATTGACTCCTCAACGACAATGCGATCCCCCGGCGGCGGCCCCCGTTGCGGCCGACGCACCCACCGGCCACGCCGCCGCCCGGCGCTATCGATGTACTCCTCCTCGACGACTTCGCGCACGCGGCGCGACGGCGTCCGTCGCACGGGCCCGACGTCTACGGACTCAGACATCTCGGTCTCGCTGCTGAAGCGCCGGCCCGAGCTCAGCGCCAGGTAGATCAGGTAGAGGAGGAAGACGAAGCCGAGGACGCTGCCGAGGACGATCCCCGCGACGGTGCCGGGGGCTGGCGAATTGCTGAGTCGGCCATAGGAGGCGGGGATGGAGATGGCGTCGTAGCGTTTTGCGAGGGTTGTTGGGGCTGGGACATGGTGGACAGCGTGGTGGATGGGTTGTGTTGCGCGCGTGTGGTGGTCGTGGTCGTGGTAGAAGGAGAGGAGGTATTTGAGGGTCGGGATTGGGGACATTCTTGTCCTGAATTTTGAGGCTTGATGCGCTCTTTTGGTGGGTGGTGTGGATCGTTCTTGGTTTGTTGATCGGCGATACTATGGATTGCGTAGAGACGTCAACAGTAGTGCAGTGGGTTCATCCCGTGGGTACTGGTATAGAAATATAAATCAAACATAAAGGAATGTGAAGAGTAGAATAAGACAAGTCGCCGGAAGAGAAAAGGAAAAGAGGAGAGGAGGTGGTGACGACGACTGCGGCGGAGCAGGGATATCGGGTGGCTGGGATCAGCCGTCGCGTTCTATACTCCGTCATCCCGACCACTCCCCTCCTTCTCTTGCAACCACCCATCATAACATACAACTACAACACCATCTGCCCCTGTACCTTTTGCTCTTTCACCATCGCCATCACACTCACGGGCAGATACCGTTTGTTTACCGAATTTATCCCGCCGTACTTCTCAGTGGCTTCGTCTCCATACATCTGCAGAATCTACATTCGGGTCGAGTCTCTCAAAGTTGCCTGGCGTCAGGATTTCTTTCAACGCATTACGCACATTATTTGTCATCTCGATATTCTTCGGCTCAGAGACGTCCGGCAATTTCGAATACATATCCTTTGAAGAGATATACACAGGGATACTTCATCGTCCACACTACACAATCAGTACGCCCCCTTCCGCGGCGTGTACTTCGGCTGCTCGGACGCTTCAATTTCCTCCAGCGCAGTTAGCACCGGAGTAGTGTTCGCCAGCTCGATGCTCTCCAGCTTTGCACCCTCCGAGCCCATCGCCCAAAGAGTCAAGGCAATCCAGTTCGTACCGCGGTAGTTCAGGATACCTTCCGGAACAGGGAAGCTCTTCTGAGGCCCAATGTTGCTGACATATTTACCATACTGGTATCCATTCACGTACAGCTGCGCGCGGTATGGCGGCGGGGTGGTGCTGTTTCCGAAGTTGAAGTACAGCGGAACATCCCATCCCTTCGGGATGTTCAGATCGAACTGGGCGGAGTAGAAGCCAATTCCAGGCTTCGACAGTCCTTCCAAGGGACTGCCCGCCTTCCAGGACTTGCTTGGTGGCTGGGGTTGGTGGAAGCCTTGACGCTCGGCGTAAAGTCCTCCCTCGTTCAGCGGTCCTCGCACCTTGTCCATGTAGTCCTCTCCGCCCAGGTTACCAGTCAGCTTCCAGGTAATATCGCTGGCATCACGGCCATCAAGAGCGTAATCCAGGATCCCTCGGGGGCCCTTCATCTCCTCGGTACCCACAGTCCAGTTCTCGTCCAGTCCCATGTTATCAACAACCACGGTGATGACATATGGTTTGCCTGCCTGGAGATGAGGCAGTTTGTAGGTCGCATTGTAGTCTTCATTGGCATTGAGACCATTCCAGGAGCCAATGTGAGTCCCGTTCAGCCATACACTGCTTCCGAAGGCTTGTCCACCCTGGGTGCGGATGAAGAAGCTGGTTTCATTACCCTTGGCCACGAAATATCCCCGGTAGACCAGGTAACCAGTGTGAAAGCCATAATCAGACGAATAGAGGGAAGTCGGGGTCCGAAGAGGGTTGTGGGAATTCTTCGTGGTGGGCAAGTCGGCATCGGTCCAAGCAGAGTCATCATAAGTGGACTGGAGCTCCGGAAGGGTATCCAGATACTTCCATTCCAAGCTCTTGAGGCTCGGAAGGTTGATCTTGGGGGCATTGTACTTGACCTCAGTAGACCAGATGCCGTTCTTATCAACTTTGTGGGCAGCCTTCTTGCCATTGATAATCAAATTCTTGGCCTTTCCTGGGGCACCTATTACTTCGACGGCAGTGGTGGCATTGAAGTCGGCAGTGAGGTGGAGGTCAGTGCCCTGGAGATAGGCAGTCCGCACGAGGTAGCCAGCTTTGACAATAATCGACGAGGCAGTGGTCTTCTCCGAGCTGTAGTCAGTCTTAGCTCCGTCTGCACCGAGCTGAGGCACCCAGTAGTTGTACGCCGAGTTCCTGTCTAGAAGACGGTTAGAATCCAGGAATACTTTCCACGTTATTAAGACTTACCCAAAAGGAGCACTTTCAAGTCGCCAACCTGGACAATCACCCGAGTGGAAGAAACATCCCAACCAACGACGACCGTCTTTCCAACCTGCTTAGAAGAAACGCTTGACTTGGAGCCTTCAAGAACCTTGACGCCAGATTTTGTGGCAATGGCAAACTCATGATGCTCATCCGGTCCGCCGTACAGAACCAGAACTTTGCTATCGCCAAACTTTTTCCAAGTGAAGACCTCGGCAGTAGAGTACACGATGTTGGTCCCAGCCGCGTCGTAATCAACGACATGGATCTTGGAGTCTCGTCCATGAAGGGACAATTCCCCTCCGAGCTGAGGTACAGTCAGATTTCCAGCACTGGTGGGCAGGCGAAGCTTGTAGGAGGTGCTCTCTTGGCTTGTGTAATCTGAATGTCGGACAACGAAATATGAACCTGTGTCCTTGCCGAGTAACGGGGTCACAGCCAAGTCAGATGTGTCTGCATAAGTTCCCGTGGTCAAGTTGCCAGGAGTCGCCAGAAGGTAAGATGGAGAAACCTTGGCGAAATTTCCGAGGAGCTTCAGCTCGCTGTATTTTTCTCGGGTAATATTGCGGGACTCCGACAATGGGGAGCCGTAGTCATAGGATGTATACCCACCGGGGTGGCCGAGGTTGCCCCAGTTCGTTCCGCCGAATGTCTACTCCGGTTAGTTTTGAACCGTCTGGAATGGTTATGCTACATACCATGTAAAGGTTCAGAAGGGCGACACCAAAACTGAAGTCGTTCTTGTAGAACACGCGTTCAAACTCGTGGTTCACCAGGGCAGCACACTTGTCAAAACCAGGTCCGCCCCATGGATCGAACGCGCCGGCTTGGAACTACGTGAGGTTAGCCATGCTCATGAACGTCCATACAGAACTCACTTGCCTCGACAAGAGAGTATGGGGTGCTTGGACTTTGCTGCATATGGAGCGTACGAAAGTTGGTAGGGAGATTACCCTCCGGCCAGACCGTGGGGTTCGCCTGTGCATGGTCAGAACTTATTGCATGCCTTGAGCAAGAGGACTCGTACACAGTCAAATCCGAGTCTGAACAAATCGACGTTAGTACCTTGTGGAGAAAATTGGGCCATAGGCGATACTTACGGGTAGTTATCATGACCGTAGATATCAACTTCGCCAACGCCAGTTCCCGGAGCATTGTGTCCACCAGGCCAGGCATCGTTGCTGATCATAGGAACGACAACGCCGGCATCCCGAGCCTGATCAATTACATATTGCATGTAGTCGCCGTCAGGAAACTTCGCGCCGCAGCAGGCGCCAGAATACTCGTTCTCGGGCTGATAGAGAATCACGGGTCCGCCATTCGTAATCTGGGCCTTCGCGACAGCTGCAGCGATGTGGGCCACATAGCTAGACAGACCTGTAAGAAAATGCATCTTGATGATTGCGAGGGCTTCTATACTTGTCTGTGGCCTTCAAATACCCGGGATCCGCTGACCGAAGGGTGCCATTGACTCTCTGCAGCCATCCGGGGAAGCCACCGCCGGAAACTTCGGCGTTGATATACGGCCCGGGACGAGCAAGCAGGTAGATTCCAGCCTTGGTGGCGGCTTCGAAGAAGGGCTCCCAGGCAAAAATGCCCTCAGCTCTGTATTCGCCAGGCTTACCTTCGAGCAAAGCCCAGTCGACATAGAAGGAAACACAATTGAATCCTAGGGCTTTGATCTTCTGGAAGACGTCTGTCCACAGCGGCGGAACTGGCAATCTAAACGAGGTTACCATGGGGAACGTGCATTGTGTTTTGGACTATTTACCTATAAGGGTGGAATTCACCACTGAAGATCATGATTCTCTCTCCATTGACAAAGAGAGAGTGGTCATCCCAGGTCACCTATAGATAGGAATTAGCATCCGCCGTTGGTGAAGCTCAGACTGCATACATATTTCTGCAATAATTCCCGTTTGGTTGGATCGGGGTGTTCAGTAATGGTGAATCCATTTAGCTTATGGCTGACAGAAGCACCTGCTGCCTGGACTGCCAGCAGAGCTGCAGCACCGAGCGTCAGGAGTCTCATGGTATCCCAAGAAGACGGGTGGTCACGACACAAGAGTTGCAGGAAGATCGACAGGAACTGGTGCAGGAAGAAGAGAAGCCATTGGGGGCATTCCAATATTTATCTCGGAGATATTCCCCCTTACTAGGTACGTTTCCCCCGCATCGACGACAAATCAACATGACGCAAAGAGACGATGGACCCTGTCGGTGTCGGTACCTAATCTGGATGCCCATACACAGTTCGCGTTAGAATGGGCCGAAGATACTCCGTTAGCATGCCAGGCGATGGGCTGCGGGGGATTCGGATGTTTGTGGAAGAAGGACAGTGAGGTAGTAACTAACTAACTACTCGAGGTAGTATGGTAAATAGTGATCTCGGATGAGGAAGTCGGGCCGAAGATCCACCCCCACACGGAGGTTCCGATCAGGACTAGCGCCGATGATCCCGGACCAAATTTCTCCGCACCCCGAGAAAAGGAAGGTCCCTATCTAATTCATACATTGTTCATCACTTTAGTTCTTTACGTCATAGTCTTCGCTCGCCTATGAGTACCTAGATCCCTTCAGAACCAGTGTATACAATGTACAGAAATATATATCTACAGTAGATGGATGTCAAAAGCTGTTCCGGATATTGATAGTCTACGGGCAGTATCCTCATCCCACCAAGCATTGTGCCATCCCCACTAAACTAGTACTTAAAACAGTCGATTTGATAGGCGACAAGCCAAACCTAATAATAATCAAGAAATTACTATGAAACCGGTAGAATGCAAGCAGTCGGCCTGTGCGGGGTTCTACCTCGACAGCATAACCGTCTATACTGAACGATCTCAACGCACAACCAGTAATGCTGGAGGCAGTAAAGCTGGGACACGGTGCATTGGTTATTCTAACAATCAGTTGCGGTTACATGATATTCCCAAGGGTCGTAACCTACCATGCCAGAACTGGGCAATCTGGGGTAGGTGGACCCCGATACGAATGCTCGCGAATCGAATTTAACCGTCAATGGCACCTTCAATCTCGGTAAAATACGCAATATATGCCGAGCCATGATGGCCTGACCTTTACATAAGTGCCCTCAACAGAAGGCGTGCTCTCTCCGACCTGTCCAACTCGATTTCCATAGCAGAAAGGAACTAATGCTATTAAATCTCAATTGCTTTTGCCTAGTACACCCATGTGTTCTCCAGTAATCGTAGCACCAATTGGGCATGGTATATCCCAATAGATCTTAATACAAAACCTCTAAGCTAGCAACTATACAGTCGTGTTGAGCCGATCTTCCTCATCGCCGGCCTTGGTATAAGTCTCCCGCGTCTCAGTCTGCTCCTGCTCATCTTGGCCGAGAGCAAGGTTCTCTTGCTTGATCGCCTCCTCCTCCGTCTCAGTAGGCACGGCGGACGGGGTGTCCTCAGTCACAGGAGTCGCGTCCTGGGAGGCTGCTGCCCGCTTACCAGTCGTGTTAACCACCAGCGTGTCGTCATTGAAAAGCCGGAGAAGCATGGCACGACGCTCCTCCTTGGGAAGCATGAGGTTGATAGAATGCAGGGACCGCCAAAGGGGAAGGACCATCCGTTCACTGGGGCTTAGTCAATCGACCGCATCATAAGAGAAGGGAACTCTGGAAAAACATACCTGAAACCACCGTCCGTAGAATCCGGCTCAACATACAATATACTACATCCCATAGGGATATCCCGGACCCGTTCACCGATCTCTCCAAGATCCTTCCAACCCTCGTCATTGACCTTGGGGAACATCTCGATCAGTAGCTTCCGCAGAGTTTCCTTGCGGTTCAGGGCAACAGCACGTTCAGATCCAAGCCAGGGCTCGAGAATCCGAAGCCCATCGGTCTGAATACGCCATGGGCAAACGCCAGAGCGTTGCACGTCTTGCTTCACGAACATCTTGACACCGCAGTGAACGATCTTCATACCATGGCCCTCATTCGCCTGCAGGATGTCCCGCGTGAGAGGAGCAGTGTAATAGATCGTCTTTGTAGGGTTGCCCTCCGCATTGCGGACCATAAAACGGTCCCGAGGGAACCGGTCCGATGCCTGATAGAACTGGAAAATTGGCTCAATAACTTCGTGCGTAGGGGGCAGATATTTGTAGGGTTCTTCAATCGGCTGGCCCGGCTTTCTCTTTTGTGGAGGCTTAGGCTTGGGTTCCTCCTTTTCTGTTTGAGGGGTGTCCCGGGGAGCAGGGGTGCTGGTAGCCTCGGACATCTCAACATTGTCAGACTCTGTCACCGGCGCGGGGCGGTGGATAGGACGGTCTCCAACGAGGACCTCACTGCCATCTTCGAGCTTAGTTTTCTTCGAAGGAAGCTCGTCTTCCATGCTCTCTGCCTCCCGCTTCGCGGGGCTGATCTGGTTCGTCGCAGAATACGGTGGCTGGTGGACAGCTTCGGCCACAGAAGCATTCTTCTCAGCCTCCTCTTCTGCTTCCCTGTCAGGAGTAACCAGATCATCCAACGCGTCGATCTTCTCCAGAGGCTCGCCCTTTCCGTTCTTCGACTTGAACTCAAGCTCCTCCGTCAGTGCAGCAATCGTGCCCTTCGGGATGACCTTCGAGGAATCCTCCGGCTTGGCCCGGATTTCAGATAGCTTCTCAAGCACGGTGATGAAGAATCCACCAGTATCCTGCATGTGGGGGTAAACGCGCATGCACCGTTCCAAAGGCAAGTCCGCGTTCTCGCCAGTGGGAGGGAACATGCCTTCGGCGATTCTGCCAAGGCCGCTAATGCCTTCGCGCTCCCTCTGCTCCTCGATTTCTTTCCAGCTGTTCCACATCCGGTTCTCGCGATCCATTACCTTCCAGGAGCGGAGACCGGGGGCTCTCTTCAAGCCCGGCAGTTCGTTGCTGCAATCGACGATGCGAACCTTGGCGCCGCCGCCGCATCTCTCAATGGCGCTAGCAATAACAGCCTCATTTTCAAGAGGGTTCATACTGCAAGTCGAATAGACAACTCTTCCGCCAACCTTGAGCATCTGCAATGCGCGCACCAGGATGCGGACCTGCGTGGGGTGCAGACCCAACGCATTGGCGGGGCCCCATTCTCTCCACACTCCCCAGTTCTTGCGTGCAGTTCCATCTCCAGTGCAGGGCACATCGGCCAGAATGCGATCGAACTTCAGATATCTCTGGATCCCCTTATCTTCCGGGCGCTGGGGCAGCTTGATGGAGGGATAGAGCGTAGCGTCGTGATTCGTGACGATCAGGTTGGGCGAGTTTAGACGCTTCATTTGGTGGATCAGCATATGTGCGCGCTTGTAGTCGGCGTCGTTGGCGATGAGGAGACCCGTGGTCCTGCCATCGTCGTTGAGGCCTTCGGGACCGAGAGGCTCCGGGCCGGCGGTTCCGGCCTTCACTTGCTTGGAAACCTCCAGCATGGCCTCCTCTTCGCCTGCGTGGATCATCTCCATGAGCTGCGCGGATTTACTACCAGGAGCAGCGCACATATCCAGAACCGTCATGCCGGGCTTAAGGTCCATCAATAGCGGGGGGATCATGCTAACCACCTCCTGGCGACTGATGTTTCCCACCTCCGTCTCCGCGACAAGGAACTTTTGGAATGAGGCGAAGGGTGCGAATCGCCGGACGACTTGCTTGGGTGTTGTCATCGACCAGGCGAGCTGATCTGGGTACCACGGGACTGGGCGGGGAGGTTCGACGAAGTTGCCTTCATACTGGATAGACGTGATCTCGGGAACGTAATAGTCCTTGAGTCTCTCCTGCACGGCGAGGGCGTGTCTGCACTCTCACACATCAGTATAAGTAGAACTCATCGCCAATGCGTGGCATCATGTCTGCTGGGAAAATTTTTTGAATGACGTACCCTCGAGAGCCAGTGAAGCGGAAGCTGTTGGGGAGATCCCTGCGTAGAGCATTCCAAAACTCCTCTTTCTCTTCCTCAGGAATGAAGCCTTGTTCATTATAAAACTGCTCGAATTTCGCATTGGTCCTGGGAAGATCGGCCCAGTTCTGCCGCTGAGCGCGTCCGCCGCCGCGGCCGCCGCCACCCTGTGGAATTGTAAGTATTTGTTTCAAAGAGGGGGCGCAATATGTTAATAGAGCGACTGCATGGAGCTCAACGTACCTTTCTACCGCCACGTTTACCCATGGCAATTATGAATCGTCAATGATGTAGAGCTAAATGCTGGTAGACTTGAATTTCGGAGCTCCAAAAAACAGCCCACGCTGGAAAGGTGCTGGAACATCTCTCGGCCCGGGGTTCCGCATTAGGTAAGCCCGGGCTCTCTGTAACTAACTACATAACTAACCTCCTATGTGTACGGAGTGATGGGGATACAGCTAAATGGGATTCAGGATCTAGGTAGTGAGGGGAATAGCTGTTGTAGATAGAAACGATGATACCCGTTAAACTGTCCCCAGGATTGCCCATAGCGGCGCGGAAGTCTTCATTTTCGATGATTCCGGAAAAGACGCCTTGATTGTAGCCTGGTGTTGTCACTATCTGAGCCCAGTCAATCACCTGATACATTTTGCCAGTTTGTATATCATACCGATTAGAACAATAGTCATTGAACAAGCCCAAAAGAATAACAGCTTGGAGGGTAAACCCCGTCCCGAACATGTTAAGCTTCACCATCTTGACACTGAGATATCCCGGGTCCCTCCAAAACCAGCATAAAGATTGAGCGATACATAAGCAAAAAATGGTGGAAAACTGATCCCACATCCAAATAAGGCAGTCCGAGCCACGGGTTACCCCCGGACACCCACTCCCCGGCCCGACGTCATGCTATACGGCTGTCTCCGCCGACATGCTCAGGAACAGGGACGGTTTCTTGGCCCCTTGTACACATTGATGCGAGATTGTGGGTTTTTGTGGACCCGTACAGACGAACACCGCGGCGTATGGGGTAGATTCATCAGTCGGAGAACGAATATCATGCAGGACCGTGACGCCATTCTGCGGGCCATCTCGGAGATGGGAAGGAACTCGGCAAGGGACTCGAACAATCAGGTAATACAGGAGGTAAAAAGAAAGTGCCCAAGTCATAGCCCGTATAGGCGAATGAATGGGGAAAAAGTTGGTTCGAGAACAACCCATAGGTTTTCCCTTTGGTATTGTCAATCATCGAAGATGCTGATGTATCAAGTATAGACATTCGCAGAAGAGACATCAATCAAATGGCCAATAACGCTCGTATTCAGCTTTCTCCTCGTCATTCTCAGCCAGTTGTTCCAATATCTGAGCTTTGACTTGGTCAAGGGCTGCTTTGCAATCATCGCATTGCTCGTGCTCAATGAAACCTTTGTCCGGCCACAGATCACCTAGTCTCTCCTTAGCTGCTGCAGCAAGCTCGGTGCCCGCTACCGCGCCATCACAATCCAGTTTGATACGCTCGATGTCAGCTTCCGAAAACTCGAATGAGAATGGGGTTTCGCTCGTGGTAGCAAGTAAGTCTGCCCAAATGTCCTTCAGATCAACCAGAAGCGATTGGAAATGGGCCTCGCCGTATTCGAACATACGGTGGGCAAGAAACATAAGACCGTACGCCGCAGTCTTTCGGAATTCCACTGCTCGATACAGATCGGGGTTTTTGGCATGCATGAGTTTCCGCCATCCGATGAACACGTTTTGAACGGATACTCGTGCACAGCTGCGGACCTCTCTTCGGGGGAAAGACCTGCAAGTTGCGGCCGTGGTGCCAGGTCGAGTGTCTCGGGCTCGAGGCCATCCCAGTCGAGAAATGCCGGGTCGGGGTTTTGGTTGAACAGAGGCGAGATATGACAAGACTGCCAGTCGATGATTCCCGTGATCTTTTCAGGATTATTCGGATCTACGAAGATATTGTCATCATGCAAATCATTATGCCAGAGATATGGAGTAGTGATAGTAGTGTCCTTTGGGATAAGGGTGTCGACAATTTGTTGATACCTTGCCAAGGCAATCAGTTTCTTTTCCGAATCCGGTACATAGAGCTCTGGGCCACAGAACAAGGCATTTTGTTTTGGAAGCTTCAAAGACCGGATTGCATTCGCTTCTCGCACACCGACCGCTCGCAGATATTGCGTTAGCGATGCCCCTGTAAGCACGTCAGCATGGCACAAAGATTATATAGAGTCCATCGTACATGGTCCTCTCTCGATATCTAAACTTGATCGGTTTGCATCAAACCAGTCGCGACCTGTAGCTGGGCCAATAGCGAACTCCGACCCCCTTACAGGCTTGCCATCCTTGACATAGTAGTTTCCTGCTGGTGGTTGTACGTCTCCCACATAGTACAGACTGCCGTAATGAGAAAATGAAACGTTCAGCCATTGCTTTTGTAGACGTGTCAATGCAAGAAGCACTTATAGCTTCTGTGGCAGCTTCATGGTGTCCCAGACTTGGGACAGAGGAACACCCTCAGCTTTATCCATGATGATGAATTCAGCCCCAACGGGGTGCGATTTTGCTTGTGAGTTCCACGCGTAGACCCGACGGGCTGGAGTGTCAAGTATTTTTCTGGCCTCCCAAGCCAGTCGCGTTAGCAAGGTTCATGTAGCATTGACAGAGTTCATGATGGACTTACAAAGTCCATCGTGGCGACCTCGCCGGCCGTAGTAAAGTGCGGAATGCCAGCATTCGGATTAGGCACTTTGGCCACAACTTCTTGGCCATCTTCCATAGTCATAAGATATGCTTTGTTGAACATGCCATCGGGGTACTTCTTGATAGAGATACATTGGCTGGCGCCGACCGATTCGGCTGAAGTCCTCGCGAGCCTGTTCATGTCGAACCTGACCTCTCTTTTGCGAAGATTCTCCGCCTCATCTACAATGAAACGGCCACGCGTGAATTTGAAGAATTCATCATTGGAATTCCAGTTCAGTGCAGATGAGCGATGCGTTGAATCGCGCTTGGGGGACGATGGGACTTTCGAGATCGAGCGGCGCTGGTGCGTCTGGGTTTGAATTATGGGTCTTTGAATATACCCGCAGCGACGCGTGGGTAGGAATCGGCACATCTTCCCTGGAATGGATTCTTTGGTGGTAAAGCCCGTAAAGAAGGGTAGGTGATGTTGATGCCCTAAGAGGGATGTCATGCGCTGCTAACCGCCAGCAACCACCCATTATTGGCTCCCCGGACTCACTACTATCGGCCCCCGGCCCGAGTCCCTCATTGAGGAGTCCCGGCTTCAACTTCCCCAGATCCCCTCGAACTTTCCGACTATCACTGCACTCCGCTTCTCTTAACATTGGCTACTATCAACTATCGTGAGAAGGGCATCATGTCCCCTGAGGAACCCCCTCAAAAGCGCCAACGCGCCTCTCAATCCCAACATATACCAGCCCCCCCGCCCGTCCCGGAGGCTACTATTTCCGGCCCATCGCCGGGGGAATGGCACGCCCGCCATCCGCTGTCGCCAGCAGACTACAACAGCCATAACTACAGCTCCCCGCACTCTGGCGCAACATTCGACTCTCCATCCAACGGGTGGTACCAAGATGGCTTCGCCCAAGACCCAGGGTTCCTGGCCTCGCAGGAAGAACTACGAGGAATACTCTTTTCGCTCGCGCACTCGGCTGCGCCCACGCGCGCAGCAACGCCCGCTGGCGGGAGACTAGACGATAAATCGACCGATCAGGTAGAGCCGTCTGTCTTTCCCCTTCCTGCGCAGCAGTGGGAGTTGCTTCGGCCGCCTCTGTCCAGTACTCGGCGCGTGGAGTACTTGAAGAATTATATCACGCAAGTTGCGCCGTGGGTAGGTGTTTTATATGTTGTGGATTTTCCTGGGTTAAGGAGAAGGCTAATAGTGTATGCTAGCTCGATATGTTTGACTCACAATGCAGCTTTCAGCAGCAACTTCCCGCATTAGCACGGACGTTTCCGCCGCTTTCTTATGCCATTCTGGCTATCTCTGCAAGGCATCTGGAGCGCAAAAATGGCATCAAAGATCAGTTTGATAGTCTCGAGCTGTACCAAGAGGCAATAGGACTGTTGAGTCCGGTCCTTCAGGTCCGTGATCCTAAGATTGTCGCCGCCTGCGTTCTTTTGTGTTGTTTAGAGATGATGTCTGCACGCGCCCAGGACTGGCGCCGCCATCTTGAAGGCTGTGCGGCCTTGTTTGATGCATTTGGCATTCACGGGTTTAGTCAAGGCTTGCTACGGGCCATTTTTTGGTGCTACGCTAGAATGGGTCAGTCATTGTCGGTGATATGCGTTACAGTATCTAGGGTGCGAGGCTAAGATGGAATAGATCTCTGTGGTGCGCTTATCTCCGATGGCACCCAAACCACTCTCTTACATCCTTCCAGATGGATCCCCCCAAGGTATCCGGACGAAGACGCTCACACTCTATTCCGCGATGTCAAGTCGCCGGATATGCATGCAAATTACGCTGTATACTTATGTGCACGGGCAACAGAGATTGTATCAGATCGCACCAAGTTCCTGGAGTTGGGGGAGCAGAACGGATGTACCTTGGAGCTATTCAGCTCACGTTGGCTCCAGCTTTGGAATGACCTGCAGTGTTGGCTGGCTGAGAGGCCCTCGGAATTAATCCCTATCCAGACGATGAACAGCAAGCCCTTCCCACGCATCTTATTTGCGCATTGGGCGGCGATATCTTCAAACCAACTATACCACACAGCATGCATTTTACTGCTGAAAATGATGCCAAAGTCGATCCATCTCCCTCGATCTCCCAGCTTATCCACGCTCTGGCATGCTCGTCGCATATGTGGCATCTCCCTCACCAACCCCCATCAGGGATGCCTGAATAATGCCATTCAGCCTTTGTGGATTGCAGGCAGACTGTTCAGTCACGCGTCGGAGCACGAAGAGATCGTCAAGTTGATCCGGGACATTGAAGCGAATACGGGTTGGGGAACTTGCTGGCGAATTCACGATTTGGAAGTCTCGTGGGGTTACAGTACTCGTCGAACGAAGAGTGACTTAAACCAGCAGTTTTTCCGACCACATGGATCACAGAGGACAGACTCCTGAACGTGACGTCCTTCTCTGCAAGACTTTTTTTTTTTCTCTTGTCATGTGCCGTCTAAGAAGGACCAGTCCTCTCGTACGCGCGATAAGTATTCGCCGACATCCCAGCCAGTCAATTTCCGAATCCTGTCAAAGCCTTGTATAATCTCATTCTGTTGAGATTCATGGGTCATGAACCTCGCTGCAACAAGAAATGAGGCTAGCAGGCAAGGGTCCCAGCATTCTCGCCGATCATTATTCAGTGCAATGCCACAAATACGTTGCGCATGCCATAATGGAGACAACGCCGGTGAGTGTGGTTTATTGATCAACGCAGTCCGTGGCTTACACTGTAACAGTAACAACGTTGCGGTGTGATATATCTGGTTGCTGAAAGGTCCGGCTGCATTTGAGAATAACAAAAGAGGAAATTCACTCCCAGAATCGAGCATTGGATCGCTCTTGTGGAGTTCCACTATCGGCTGGAGTTCCTGAGGCCGCATCCGGTACCATTCGTCAAGTTCCTCAAAGGCCTGCAACCAGTTATCTGTCAATTGCTGATGGGTTGAGTCTTGTTGAGATATTGATTCCTGATAGTAAAGGATCAGGGCTTTCCCGCAAAGCCAGAGGGCAACGCGAGTATAGTGCCGAACTCTGTCATGAACGTCTTCTATATGAGAAAGTAGGGCTATGTTCGGAACAGCGGACATTGGAAGTGGGGTTCGGATGGAAACACTGTTCGCCAACGCGTTTCCCAGCTCTAACGGCAATTAGACGGTTGTCCGTATTCAATACAAGATGACTAACATACCTAGTCGTAGAAACATCCAATACATCACCGATTCGATTCCAGTTCCGTATGCATGCTGCACCAGAGTCTCCGGGGGCCTAGGATCACTGCAGTTGGCATTCTTCCAGGCCATCGGAATATTAGATATGAGAGTGCGCAACTCATCCAAGAGGATGAACAACGAAAGCTCTGTTGAATTCATGTTCAGGCCTGCGCCTTGTCTATTCGGCGGAAGTCGTCGGGCATGTGATGAGAAACTTGGTCGAGATTGATACTCTCTGTCCGACAATCGTTGAATAGCACACGCGTTCGAAAGTTCCATAACCGCATGAATGAGAATGTCGGACTTGACGGCCATATCTACGACGGTAAGTCCGAACGGTCGTCTCATATCACTGAGATCAAGCTAATGAGACACGAAATGTTAGAAAAAGAAATATCAGACATTGCAGAATCATATTCTGTACCTACCCATGGGGCAACATGATACTGGTAGTGACGCAGAAGTTCTAGTTTGCGGACTTCTGGTACTGAAGCAATGGGTGCGGAATTTGGAGACAGCGGCTCAGTGGCAGAAGACATATTCGTTTCTCTGAACAAAGGATAAGGTGCTGCGGGTGGAACTCCCTCTCTTTGTGCAGTAGGACATTCTCTTAGCCGCGGCGACAAAGTACTCCTCTGGACGAAGTCTGTAACAGCGGTTGGTACTCCCACGGTAGGAGACGTGTCGTTCACGGCTGCGCTGGATCCCAATGCCAATAGTCCCCGTATTGCCGACTCATCTTTATCGCTGAAGGGGATTTTGTCACTACGTATCTTCCCTTTTCCATGCGCACTCTTCGTTTGGCTCTTATCAACATAACGTCCACTTGAACTGGACTCATTGTCTGCCCCGGATATGGATCTGTCGTTGGGGTTGTATGGTGTAGATATGCTCTTCGCCGGTGAGCTTGAAAACCATGCAGGTGTGATATGAGGGGTAGGAGAGGGCGAGTCTTCGGCGGAGGCATCAGTGTTATATGCAACGGGATCTTCTTTGACGAACTAGATGGTTTAGCATCAAAGTCACAGGTTCTAGCTGCGAAAGAGGGTCCCCACTTGGATCTTATACTTTTCATCGGTCTCGGGTGTCTGCAGCTCCCTTGCGTCGACAGTGATGGAGTTCTTTGGCAGGAACATCACCTGCAGGCCATAATGGCAGTCAAAGTTCTTGTCGATGCAGTTCCGACAACGGGGTTTTCCTTCATCACCTACAGGCGACCGCGATGAGGGATTAGCCTGCAGGTCATATGTCTTGCGCCGACGTCATGTCGACAGAGGAAATACTTACACTTTCGCCGTCGCACTCGACATCGCAGACACCCGGTGCGGCATCTGGTGAACTTAGGCGCGGGTCGATGATTGAGGGTTGTATCTGCCATTATCGGCAGACATAGGGAGAAGCAGGTTCAAGCGAAGAAGTTACCGAGGAGGCATGAAACTAGGAGGATTCAATCCAGTGCCAACTTCCGCATCAGACGGTGGGTTTCTTGCATGGAGAGACCCCAGACTGTCGTACGAATCGGGTAACTCCAACCACCGGTTCGGAAAACCCCCGCGTCCACTTTCCTCGGCACCCCTGGAAATCCCTAAATAGGCAGTTGGAGGCCCTATCCGCCTGTCGGCAAATTTTAAGCGAGGGACCACTACTACTAGATAATTACAACTGGATAATCTATGGTAATGTCATGTTGGAACTCGTGGCTTTTATCTCATCTGATATCAAATTAGTCTCCAATAAGGCAACAGTCACATATATTTAGCCCTATCAGCCATGCAGTAGCGTAATGTGGGGAAAAACGTGGTTCCATTAAGGTCATCTGGTAGTCTAACATCCCATGGCCATGGTATAGTAGTCCCATAGGTCCCAGGTACTTGCGAAGTGGTCCAGGATCATGGGCAGGTAGGTCGTCGACCATTCCTCAGCCCTATCGGCAGTATATTGCGCCTTGCGACATTCCTAGTACTTAGGTAACTATCTCGACTGCTCCAACTCAACAATTGCCAGAATATGATATGGGGGGAAGGTGTGACAATAATATGACTGCGATGAAGATTACAGTGAGTGAATTTGATTGCGCAGTTGTCCGGAAGGTCTTGACGAAATGGTTCTACCGGGACAGAGTATGGGTCTTCGGTAAAGGAATGTGAACCAGTTATGAAAGTTGCGAACTGTAGCGAAGGGTCCTGCTTCATGCATATAATTTATGTGAAATGCTCTATCATAAAGAGGTTCTCTTGCAATGTTGCCTATGGAATACTGATGAGATTACCGCCATTTGTATTGCACGGGATACTCGCGTCGATGAATGTATCCTCTGGATCCTGTTCGAGCTGACGTAGGCGCTGATATATTGCTCGGAGTTTGTAACAGATGCTCGCTTTATCGTCATGTTCCATAAGATCCTATACTTCTTGTAGGGACTTCCCATTTATATATTTCATGTAATTTATTAATTAGTGAAGGAGATCCGCTCTTTCAACGTTGTTTATCAAAATCTTTGTCCGGATAATATTCTGTAGGATACTAAGCTCAAACGAGCTTATATTATTAACTTCTATTGGTGCACAAATAGTTAGGTGGTCATATCCCCTTACACCGCATCTTTCTTTCATCGCGGCTTAATGAAATCTGGTTCCATTACCTGGACCAATCCTTTCTTCTTCAATTCAACTCATTCTCTAAGTCTTAACTTTTCATTCTTCCAATATGAGCTCCGAAACTCCGCAAGACTACTCTGTCGATGAAGAGATCCTTTACTTCTTCCGCCAGACCTCTGCAACTCAGTCAGCTTGTGATGCTCGTGCCCGAGACCTCGTTGGGGGATCCATCATCCCTGTTGCAGTTCAAGGGATTGCAGCTATACTGTTTATGCGGGCCCCAATCACGATTTCGTGGTTCAGTTTCGACTTAAAGCGTTAGCCCTAAACACCGAACTGTCTACTTTGGCAGGCGAGATACATGGGCCTTTGGTTCCATCTGCCACTTTTCACGGTCAGATCGGAAATTCGGAGGAGGGCGCTGATGTGAAAGAGCTCCTTTTGATCTACGTGATGAACCGAATTAAAGGCATCAGCCACCTTGATTTCATTCTGGCTCATAACCTCTCAGTTGACTCGGTCGAGTATTGTAAATGGCGGGAGAACTTGATAGCCGATATTGCGGGGTATACTAAATATCCTCATCTGTATTATCTACGCTAATGATTCAAGATTCCTTGGTCTGGCATGGAAGCATCCACGAACTCTTAGCTCATCGGATCGAGAAGCCATGTTTCAGAGATATGAGAAAGACTTACATCAACTGCTCACTGCTCTGCCCAGTCGCTTCCGCCCCGTTATCCAACAGTCCATTGATGCCCTACCAGCTGTCTTCTCACTCCCCATGGTCCTACTTCATAAGGATTTTGGCGTCAATAATGTTATGGTTGATGTAGTAACAATCATCTAGTTGGAGTCATTGACTGGGCAGAAGCTGAAATCGGTCCTTTTGGAACAAACTTTCACTCCCTTCAGCAATTCATGAGTCACTATCGCCTCCGCATCGGTTAGATTCACCATGCGAACTATGATGTTTTAGACCGGGTCTTTTGGGACACCCTGTCCACGAGTGCTGGAGGGCTTGATCCCGACACCATCCAAACGATCAAGGCGGCTTTAATTGTTGGTCTTCTCCGTTCCCACGGATTCACGAGTCGACTTGCCAATGAACCAGAGCCAGAGCCTATCCGAGATGACAAAAGCGGAGCTTACAATATGCTTGGGTTAACTAGATAGTTTGCTTATTAACCCAGCTACGAAGCTTGTGGACTGAATTATTACTATGTGTTTCCCATTAGAGAGAGATATATATATTTCTTTAGCTTTACTTCTATCTTTACTACTTTAAATCTTATTATTATTTTTAGAAGCCGCTCTGTTTTTGGAATAAATATTGTTACCTCTTCGGACCAGTGGATTCTAGTCACCCTCGTGCTTGAACCACTACACTACCTTAGCAGGTCGCGCAGCTTAAGAGGGATCCCAGGGTTTGACAGCGGGTTCATCGTAGGTTCACCCCAGCGAGTTGTTGGCTTTCAGCTTTTGCCTGCACCTCTGTCGGTGAAGGTAATCGATTCCATTCCCTGAAGAACGAAGATTCCTTAACATCGAAATCGAGGAGCCTTGGAATACTTGACTGCGTAAGTCGCACTTCTTCTGCTTCACGGGCCATGACGCGGGGAGTTAGAATGGTGCTTGTGGTGCCTGAGCTGCTGTGGACTTTCTCCCGAGATAGCACCCAGTCTCTCGGATCAATCAATCAATATTGTGGCTTGCTCTTTTGACTGGCTGCTCTTGGCAACGCTCAAGTCGTACAAAACTCAATGGCGCGGCTCTTTTCGAACACGAGACTGAACCCTACAGATCCACCCCTGAAGAGGCTCGTTTCGACTCCTTCACATCATTCAATTCGCCCCGAACGAGTCAACTACAATGAAGATTTTTTTCTTCAGCATTATCATACTGAAACCAACAAAGAAACCCACCATAACCTCAGATGGATCGGAGAGAACAGACTGCTCGAAATTCTCGTACCCTGAGATCAACAGATCGACTCACAAGGCTCGTATTCCGTGGGATTATCGAAAGCTAAATAACGTGGGCCGCTATGATGGGTCGAGTTTTCACAGCACAAGTCTCCGATCTCCTGGGCTTTTTGACCCTGATACGAGCCCAAGACAAGGACTGAAGGCTCTTCGAAGCAAGAGCGATGTCAATCGTTATTTTGCACGCGCAGGATGGTTCTAAATCGGGAGAACTTGGCGCTCGTGTTGATTCCCATCGGGGCCATCCTGCAATCCGACCTGCCACGAACGCGATTCTCGACCCTCCCGACGAGAACTGATCTCGCTTAGCCCCATACCAAGGATCCAGGACCGAGTCTTGTCTTTCGCGGTCGTCCAATCATGCCTAACACTCTCCCTAGCGGATCAGTGCTTTTGGGCCACCAGCTGAGCATGCCGTAGAATTTGACGGCTAACCTAGGTACCCTCTAGGCAGAAGATCGATAGTAGATGCTGTCAGCCTCATCACAGACTAGCTTTCTTCCTTCCAGAGACATTTAAACTGGGCCCATCCCATCCGCGGCTCTTCGGGTGCATATATCTACTTCGAGACCGTTTCTCATCCGATTTCCGAACCTTCACAAGCCCTATTACCCCCTATCACTATATCACTAAGGAAAATGGGTGCACCTGATGCTGCAGCTGCCACTCCCGGCCAACACGAGCACGAGTGGTCCAATTCTTTCTGGGACTGCTGCTCTCCTACCGAGACCTGTATGCCAAACATTGCCCCCCTCTCCAGCGAACACCGCTAACAGCATCAGGCCTCCTCGGATGGTGCTTTCCCTGCGGTCTCTTCGGCAGAACGGGCGCCCGTCTCGAAGACCCATCTATGAAATCCGATGACTGCATGAACGGCAACGTACGTACCCACCTACATACATCTTGCATACCTACGCGAGCACGGTCAGCTAACGAACAGATCTGATAGTGTCTCATCTACTTCGTCAGCAGCTACTGCGCTCTCCACTGGATCCCCCTTATGATGAAGCGCGGCGAGATCCGTAAACGGTTCAATATCGAGGGCTCCGGCGCTGGGGACTGCTTCTCGTCGTACTGCTGCCCGTGCTGCACGCTGGTGCAGAACGAGAAGGAGGTCGAGTTCCAGTCGACGCGGGTTCAGCAGTCCGGGTATCAGGCTCCAGCTGGGATGGCTTATCCTCAGTAAAATTTGGGTACATGCGTGGTTATGAAGCGTGAGTTGAGTGGGGATTCGACTTGGGTCGCTCTTTGGAAAATTTCCTTATGTCTATTTACTGTGATACCTGATAATATTAATGATACACTTGCTTGGTTGGATGTTAATTGCAAGGTAGAGGCCAACGGGGCACTTGGATATTTACAACGTAATTACTCCTACAAGGGCAATGCATTGAAACAAAAGAGAATACAGTTTTGAAATATATCAGCGACAGTTGTGTACTGTACATAGACACGCTATCTCTCCAACGTACCACCGCCGTCTCTATCTATTACTCACCAACAAGAACAAACGAACTGGCCATAACTCTGAAACGCAAAAACTGGTGATCAAACTGGCGTCGACGTTTTACAGGGAGTTGCGGCTGGTGTCCGCACGGATGCGGTTGTAGTCGAGGAGACCCTCGACGCTGCCAACAGCGCTGACGGCGACGTCCTGATCCCAGATCCGGCGCATGGCGAACTCCATGACGTCCTTCTCGGTGATCTGGCCGATCGTCCGCTCGATGTCCTCGGCGGAGAGGCGACGGCCGGTGGTGATGATCTGGCGACCGATGTCCTCGGCGACGGCAGTGGTGCCATCGAGGGACAGGAGGATGGAGGCCTTAAGCTGGGCCTTGGCGCGCTCAACCTCGGCGGGGGTGACGTTGAAGCACAGACGAGACCACTCACGGAGAGTGAAGTGAACCAGGTCGTCGAGGCGGGTCAGGTTCTCGGAGACGAGGTAGATACCCCAGAGACTGGTATAAACGTTAGCCAGGCATTCCAAGAGAAAGGGGCAAAAAGTATCTTACCCAGTGTCGCTGTAGCTGGTGGAGAAGCTCATGAAGCTGTTGGCAAGACCCTGGTGCTCAACAAAGGAGCTGAGCTTGCTGCCGAGGAAGGAAGAGTTGCCCATGGCACGGTCCCAGTTACCAACGATGGCCTGGGTGACGAGGCCGGTGAAGTAGTCATCATCCTTCCAGCTAACACCCTCGACGGCAAGGGCAATGTGGGCAGTGGGGATGGTGTCGTCACGGAGACGGACCTCAGAGCCGATGAACTCGGGGGTGCGCTTCTGCTCGGCGGCGAGGGTCAAGGCAGCGGAGGTAGGGGGCTTGCTGGGGAGGGTACCGAAGTGCTCCTCAGCCAGGCGGACGAGCTGCTCGTGGGGGATACCACCAGCACCAACAAGGACCATGCGGTCAGCAGTGTAGTTGGTCTTGATGTAGTCGGTCAGGTTCTCGCGGGAGATGGTCTGGATGTTCTCCTTGGGGCCGAGGATGGTGCGACCGAGGGGCTGACCCTGGAAAGCGGTGGCGTGGAGGTGGTCGAAGACAACCTCCTCGAGCTGCTTGTCAACCTCTTCCTGCTCACGGAGGATCACATCACGCTCGCGCTCGATAGCAGCGGGCTCAAGCTTGGAGTTCTGGAGGATATCGGCGAGGATGTCGACGGCCTTGGGAACATCGTTATTGAAGGACTTGGCGTAGTAGACGGTGTTCTCGCGCTATAGCGGAATGCTGATTAGTGGTCTGGATGGACATTGATATCCTAGTGGATAATTCCGGGTCGTACCGATGTGTAGGCGTTGAGGTGAGCGCCCATGTTCTCAATCTCCAGCTCCAACTGGTGCTGGGTGCGCTTGTTGGTACCCTGACGAGAAAGGCATGTTAGCGACTGTTGATTTCATTATTTCAGGTCAAGAAAATACCTTGAAGGCAAGGTGCTCGAGGAAGTGAGCAGTTCCGTTGGTCTTGTCAGTCTCTGCCCGGCTACCGGCATCGATCCAGACACCCACGGTGGAGGTCTGAGCCCATGGGGAGTACTCGGTAGCGATCTGTGAGCCATTAGCGAGGCTGCGAAGCCATTGAGATCGAGGGTAGTCGCATTCTCCGTACCGTGAAGCCGTTGGAGAGGGTGGTGGACTGGGTGGTCGAAGGCAAGGTCACCGGGGACGCAAAGCCTCGCTTGACGGGCTGGATGGACTTCAGGGCCGCGCGACTGCGGAGAGCCTGGTTCAGGTTGAAGGCTAGGCGCCGGGAAGCCATTGTGCGAGTAGACAGAAATGAGAATGGGGGGAGGGGGGGAGGAGGGACTGGAGAGAGGGTTGGGTTGCAGCGACAGAGACGGGCTGGGGATGCGAGGTTGAAGTTCGGAAGGTCAAATTGTTCGCCAGCCGGCAGCCAATCACATGACTCGCTTTTCCAAACCGCCTGCATTCGATCCCGACACTTCCCTACACCCTACGGAGTACAGACCCGTACAGAATACCATTAATCTCACAACTTCATTTCACTCACTCTCTATTCTCTACCTCAGTCGCTTCGCATACTCCCGGATGTTCTCCACCAAACTCATATCCTCCGAAAATCCCAGTTGTCTCGCCCGCGCCGTGTTGAAGTTCGGCGGCCAAGTCTGCACGATCCGATCAATATCCGCATCGTACTTCTCCTCCACCAATGCCCGCCGCTCCGGTCCTCCAATTTCCTCCAGCGCATCCAGCATCGCCTGCACGCTAACCTTCAATCCGGGCAAGTTCACGGACCTCGACTCCCCAAACGCTTCCTTGGGGATCTCCCGCGCGTGCAAGAGGTTCTTCACCACCGTGTAGGGCGAGCAGATCCACAGCTCTGTTGTCTTGCTCACGGGGAGCAGTGCCTTCTCTCCATTAAAGGGCTCGCGGATAATGCCGCTGGCAAAGCTACTCGCCGCTTGTGTAGGTCTTCCCGCTCGTACCGTCACCGTGGGCAGACGCACCGCGCGCCCGTCCAGGAACCCGCGACGCGAGTAATCGTTCAGGATAAACTCAACGATGAGCTTCTGTGTTCCGTACGAGGTCAACGGGATTGGGGGCAGATTGCTCTCGTCGATGACGAACCCGGGCGGCGAAATGCCATACACGGCCAAGCTGGACGTGAAAACCACCTTGACGCCGGGCATGACGGCGCGCAGTCGGTCGAGGATGTACCGCGTGGCATCGAGATTGACCTTCATACCCAGCTCGAAGTTGGCCTCGGCGCCGCTCGACATGATCCCGTGTAGGAGATAAACCGTGTCGAAGCGATGGGTCGCGTTGAACATCTCGTCAACCACTTCGTGCGAGCTCAGGTCTGCTTGTACGCACTTGGCTCGCGATGCGTGGGCGGCGGCAGCCTCCGGAAGCGCTGGAGTGACCACATCCGTAAGGGTCACTGTGGTCTTAGGGTATTGGTCCAACAAGGCTGCTGCCAGCTCTTGTCCGACGTAACCATTCGCACCAGTGATGATGATAGACATGATTGCTGTAGGGCCCCCGGGGGATATTGTTCTGGTAGAATATCTGTATGAGGAGAAACCAGGCTCCGTAGAATAGCCAGTGGTTCTGGCGGCCTGTATAAAGCACTTTTGCACACCCCCACGCTCCTCTGGTGCTAAACGGCAATAATAAAGCCTACTGCGGGGTCAAGTGGAGGGAATCACAGCAGATGACGGTCTTTCTCCCCGCTCTCGGGCCATGATCGATCCATTTTCATGGTAATCAGGATCCCAATTACCTGATGCGAAATAGGCCACCAGTCAACTGCCAAACTACGCAGCAATTCCGACGGGACCGGGCAGAGACATCGGCGAGTATTCCGACAGCCGAGCAACCAGCCTTCCAGCAACGGCGCAAGTCCGAACACTACTACTGACCCAGGGAGACACTACATCGGAAGAAGTCAGACAAGCGATAATCCATTATCCTAAACCTCTATTCCTCCAGCTTGAAACCATCTAAATCCAGATGAACGCATAGAGCGCCGAAGAAAAGACCCAGAAATTGCAAGATTTTTGGACTCGCGCAAAAGAATACATTGGTAATAGACCTCGGCATGACACAAAGAAGAAAGACATTTCAACATATCACAGAACACTCGACGCCAGCAGAGAAGAAACGAACAGATAATTAGAAAATGGAAAAGAAGATCAGACCGCCATTTTTGTGACCCCTTTATGCCGCACGCTTGTAGATACCAGACACTATACAATGGTCACGCTCGAAAGGCTCCAGGGTCAGCTGTTCGCGGGGCTTGATCCGCTCCTCTCTCATCTTCTGCACCTCGCGGGCGAACACCACCTCGGGCTTGGCCGTGCTGTCGATACAGTTGGCCTTGACGGAGACGATGACACCACCGCCCTCCTTGAGGAACATGTGGGCGTTGAGGCCGACGATACGGGCCTGGTCGGGCTGGGCCACATCGGCGAAGATGACGTCCACCATGGGCACAAGCATGCGGTAGCGGAGAGGGTGTCTGGCGTCCTCAACGATGGGGATAACGTTGGTGCGGTGAGTGGCCATGCCAATCAGATCACGGCCAGAACGGTGAGAGAACTCGACGGCGTAGACGTTTCCGGTGGGTCCGACAATGTCAGCAACGTGACTGACGGAGGTACCGCTGGCAGATCCCAGGTACAGGACCTTCGCACCAGGCTTCATGTAGATGTCGTCAAGACCACCCAGGATACCGGCAGCAAGCTTGGAACGGAAGGGGTTCCAGACACGGTACTCGGTCTTGGTCACGGTGCCATCCTCCTCAGGAGGAGACTCCACGGCGATACGCTTCTCGCCGTAGACAGCCTCTCCGGGGGTCAGGTTCTTGGTAACAAGCAGATCTTCCTTGCCACCGCGGGCAACGAAAACACCGGCGTGACGGTGGGGTTCCTAAGAAAAAAGTTAGATGTTAGTTCTCTCGCGTCTATCGCAAGAATCTTGGTTTAGTAGAAGAACTTACAATGATGACCTTAGCACCACCCTTGGCACCCTTAGGGCCACCACCGCGACCACCGCCGCGACCACCACGACCACGGGGGGCACCACGGCCACCACGGGCACCACCACGGGGACCGCCACGACCACGAGGAGCGCTACCAAGACCGCCTAGAGTTCAGAAGAAGGATCGTATTAGCCGCACCGTCGTCGTCGAAGACTACCACAGGATCAGGGAGCGTTGCGAAACCGCTGTTGGCACAATCGGAAATCCGACCACAATGATATAGTAGTGAAGCAGATCTCCGACTGTGCACGCACGGTTCCACTCAACCATCCATATACCAATCGATGGCGCCATATTGGAGCTAGATGTTGGTGAACAAACCTCGACCACCACGGCCACCACCTCCACGGGGGGCACCACGACCGCCACGACCAGCAGGTCCTCCACGTCCTCCTCCTCTAGGGCCACCGAATGCCATTATGTTTGGTAGGAAAAATTCGTTTGACGAAGTGTCGGGTTGGAATAGGTCGAGATGGAGCTGCTACGAGCAACACCCAGAAAAAAATTCGTTTCGGAGAAAAGGGAGATTTTAAACCCGGTCGGTCGGGGGAAGGCCGTGAATCGCAAGCGTCACGGAACCTGTAAGAAGCAGCTAGTGCTTGAATATCGCACGCGCACAAAGATTGAAATGATCGGTCGAGGCCGAGCTGCTCGTCGTTGTTGCGGTCGAGATTTTTCAGACGGCGCCTTGGAATCTTTGAAAATCAAGACTGCCGCTAAGCCTCTAGGGGACTAGCGCATCAGCTGCCTTCCTGTGGGACGGCGGTGTCACGTGAGATGAGGATTTAGGCATAGCGAGGTCACCTGACAGCCACAAGCCCTCTACAACACTGGCCTTGGAGCTGGGAGGATAGACCACCAGGCAGATACTCCGATTCAAAAACGACTTTATTACAGTTACCAAATATCTCTTATATCCGCTATTTCAAGCCTTAGAGAACCCTCCTCACATTATGTACAACACCCAGCAGCGGCCACAGGCACCACCCACTTCTTCACACATTAACTGCCAAAGAAGTAATAATTCGCTGCATACTGGACTGTAAACTGTGATGGCATGTTCTCGCATGTTTTCGGCGGCTGCCCCGCTGCGGTGTCCACCCGGTAGACGCTCTTATATCGCCCAATGGTCCCGTTGATGGTAGAGAGATACAGCCAAGCGACCGCCCCATTGCCACCTTTCATGGCACTAGACGGCGCATCGATCTGAGACTCTTTCTTCGTCATCGCAATCCCGTATTGGCGAGATGGTGTGGTGTCCAGGTTGAACACAGGTGTTGCCCCGGAGAAAAAGTGATGGCCCAACAGATCCATGTTTGCCGGGGGCAGCGGGTCATAGTCGTTGGTTGGCAGTTGGATCTTGTATGCAATGTTGGGCAGTAATTCTATGAGGTCTGGGAAGCTTGAGGCGATACAAGTCGCGTTGTAGAGGCGAGCGACGGCGCCGACGGCCTCGGGTTTTGCATCGGAGGTCGAAGCGGCACAGCTGTAGTTCTATGCCTTTGTTAGGCTTCCTCCGAAGCAGTATGTATGGTGCATGTATCTTACCTGAGTACCCCGACCCAATGCAACATAGAGTGGCCTTTGATCGGTAGGAGAAGGCAGACCCGAAGCATATGCTGGGAGGGCAATGTTGGACGGATCGCATGTCGACGTCGCCGTGAAGAGGTCTTTGGCGTCCTCGATATGCTTGCTCACCCTTCCAAGAAATCCAGCCATGTCGTCTGAATAGTCATACAGGTCGTCAAAGAAGGTGGGAGCAGCAAGTGAGGTTGCCATCAGGCCGGCAACCAGCAAAGGGAGTAGATGCATTCCGGATGCTTGATCAAACCACGATTCAAAGGCAGGTAAGAAGTATAACGGAGAGGAGATTGTGCAGATGATTCTGAGGGAAAAGAAAAGACGAATCAGATGAAATAGAGGAAATAATAGCAGTGCACAACCAGCGTGCAAGAGCAAGAACGGAAGAGAAACAACTGGTATCTAAAGAACACCGAACAACCCAACTGGGAAAAGAGGTTACCAACAACCAAGGAATGAGAGGTGAATGAACTGCTGGACAGGGAATGCGTCGGATGCAGCCATATATAGGGCTCCGCTCAATACGATGAACCATCTTTGGGGAGCGCAAAGATAGTAACAACGACTTAATCTATGTTTGAAACCAATGATGCAGGATCTATAAACAGCCTCGAGTGAGAGCTCCTCTCAAGCCGCTTGCTAGACGCCTGCAAGATCGAGATCTACCATTGGTGCTGGAGAGGCGCTGGCTGATCCTTCCAACTTCGCGAATGATTTAGGGGCCCGGAGTCGACGCGAAGCATGGCAGAAATAGCCGGTGAAGAGCTGTCATGGGTCGTTTCATGGGTCGTTATTGGTGCATCTCAGGGAGGCGATCTGCCGTGAAGATGATTTGCTAGGGAGGAGTGGTGGAGAGAGAGATAGCAAGCGCCTATTTGCAGAGTAAATGTCCGGGAATCCTGCAGACCTAATTATATCTGCCGGGAGGGGGTCGGCGCTTACACTGCAGACAACAAGACCATGACCATAACAACACTCCATATACTCCATTTCTCTTCACCGATCGGTATCTAGTCATCTCTGTTTACTGCACCTCCATTGTTTGCTATTTTAGTTCCGCTCATTAATATATTATACTCCACCACTCTTCAAGGTCCACTCCAGAGAGTGCGGAGTACGTGCTGGAGATGTAACCCTCTCCAGAGAACAGTCAAACCATTATTCTTACCAGCTCTGCTCCGATAGCTGTTGCAGGACATCCAAAGTTGTTACCACCAAATATCGTCGTGGGTCTCATCTGGGGTTTAGAGATCATCTGTCTACACCCCGACCCCTTTAACCCGCGATCTTGGTTCGCCTCTGATGAAATACTAGCGAATCTATAGCGCTAACAGTATCTCAGAAACCCACCTACTATGGAATGCAAGGATATTGAATCCTGCATGAAAAGGTCAGTGAGCGTCTTCCAAATATAGACAGGTACACATCAAGACCATGAAGAACCAATCACTACAGTGCTCAAATATCGATAGACAACAAGATACGTTGATTGTTTCATCATGCAGACATACGTTCGAAGTTCTTCAGCAGACCTCATGTCATATGCCTTTCCCCTAGCCTGCAACATTATTCCATGTTTATCCGGAACCTACTAGTGCAGCACCGTCTGCGGTCGTGTTGGACACCCAGTGAGACATCCGACAGGCTGAAGCCCTGCAAGAAGCAGAGAATGGAAGCAACCCGGACATTATACCTCTCATCATTGGACTCGTATCTGTGTTAAACGCTCTGGGACGCCTTGGGGCAGAACTAGTGGTACCTCCTGCCAAACAACGGTTAGTATTAGGTAGTCACACCTGTGGTCCTGTGACTATCTCGCCACGAGGCTAGGACTCTGTACGTCTGGAGCATATAATGACTGCTTACCCATAAGAAAACAGCCACACGGCTTTTCGGAGTGGCTCACCTGTATGGAAAGGGGAGAGTCTGGAGGCAAACAAGAACTGTCGCAGCTAGGCACCTAGTCAGTTAAGTTGTCTTCCTGATGAGACGGATCCTCCACTACGTTTCTACGATATACGGTATGACGAAAGACCATGGCACAAGATTATACATGCAATATAGACACCGATGTTTCCTTGGCCAAACTGTCCTCTCATTAATCGTCTCCACGCGCCCCGGTTTCCGATTTAGGAAAGGCTAGAGCAGCCTCGCCGAAAAGAAGCCAGACCATTACAAGAAACTTGCGACGGCTGGCTTTCCTGTTCTCGACACATCCGGACACGATCTTGACACATAACCTGCTCGGGCGGGCCGGTGGGCACTAGATGTTGGCGGTACCAAACTTCTAGAAGAGGTTGAAGCAGGCGTGAAAGCCAGGACCGTACCCATTGCGTAGACGACTACCGAGCTGCGGTTTTTCGGACGAAAGCTCCGCCAAGGCAGATGCCATAATATGGTGCACCGGGTTCTCTGACAAGGACGCGTGACTCCGCTGTTCAGATACTGAGTGGCGATGCAGCTAGTACGGGGGAGGAAGGTCTGCTCGGACCCCATGCCTTTGCCGCCTAGCTGGACGCAACATGGGGTGTTGATGGCGAGGGTGAGATCCGCTGCATGTGGGCAATCTTCGCCTCGACAGTTTCTAGGTCATGGGTGGTTTCACCACCGAACACCGGTGGCACTCGCGGACATTGGCGCTCCAGATTAAGACAGCCCTGGAAGGGGTCTTACCACAAGCCTATCGAGACACCCCCGGCCCAAAGCAAGAAAATAATCCTCGGGTTTGCTTATAGGTAGTCTAAGTAGACAACTATTTTGCGTCGAGCTAGTATAGGATACAGTGGCAAGTTTCGAGATCCTATCAAATATGGACACAAAGGATATCCGCGCATCTAGCGCAAGATGTGAATAAGAAAAGGTATTCGTGAGAGTTTGCAACCAACGCCCATAACAAGTCAAGGAAAATCATATCAATAGAAATACAGCGCAGTCAACTATCTGGCATGATTGAACCCCTCTTGCTGCCAATCATCGCCATGTAGTTGCTGTCCCCCACTGTAACCACTGCCACTGCCAGCCGCGCTGCCCATGCCCGCGACAGCTGCGCCCAAGGTGGCACTGCTATGTTTCTCAATCTCCATCGTGCTCATCATATATAGCATGGCGAACAAGAGAATATGGATAGCCAGGCAATAGCCAGCGAAGAGATTCCGGCTGGTCCGATTGGCCAGAATGATACGAGTGAGGGAGAAAACAACCCGCTCGGGCAAGCTCATCCGTTTATACGCGCGTGCAGACTCACGTCCACGGAAAGCAGCAAACGGTGAGAGTTGGGCTTCGTATGCAGATTGGTATCGGTCAAGAGACAGCCCAGATGGTGTATCTGAGGAGGGGTGCACAGAGGAGCCCGGCTTGTTACCATACGCAGAGGACGACGACGATGCCCCCTGACCCTGTCCACGACTGTATGTGGACACATACCGCGTCTTTTCATATAGACTAAGGTTGTCTTTCTGGAGCGAAGCAACCTCCTGCCTGAGCGACTTGACGGTACCGTATAGCTTCGATAGCTCCTCCTCCAGCTCCGTGTTCTTCTTCTTGAAGCGGTCTCGCTGGGCCTGGATCATTGGCAAAAGCCCCGAGCCCCCACCGACGGGCTCGCCGGCCCTAATGGAGTCCATGGTGTTAGGCGATCCCCCGGAATGATCAAATCCGGAGATGATAGATGATGTTGGGGATGTGCCGCCCCTTCGGGACGAATGATACTTCGAGGTGTAGGTGCCAGCGACTGACATTGCTGAAGATGGGAATGCATTTGCGGCTTCCTGCTGTACCCGAAGTAAATCATTCTCGAGGGTAGTGGAAAGCTTCTGTGACTTCTCCAGCTCTTCTTTCGTAGTGGAGAGGTCTTCCCGGAGGGTTTCCAGCTGGCCCTGGATATCACGGTGCGACACTCGCAGAATCGTGAGTTCATCCGTAAGCTTCTTGTTCCTTGCCAGCAAGAGTTGCTCCAGAGTATTGTTCTTCGAGCCGTCCTTTGATTGGGCTGAGCCATTGGTAGCCGACTCAGTAAGATCGGCAGCGTCGTCATCATCTCCAGCAGAAAATTCAATGGACTATGCAAGAGTGAGATAAATACTTGAAGACATCATGTAGGGTCAAGCTTACCTTGATCATCTCTAGCTCCCGACGGATATCTTCATAATCAGCCAACTTCTCCAACTTGGATCGCAGCTCATCGCGTTCAGCAGTGAGCTTCGACATTTGTCTCTCCGACTGGGAGATCTTCGACTCCCACTTGTGCCGTTCAGAATCCCGGTCAAATCGTGCAGCGTCCAATTTGCGAAGGAGGGATGAATTCTCGGACTGGAGACGAAGATATGCGGGGTCATCCTCCACCGACGGTGCCTGTTCCGGTTGCGAATGTGATACGGCCTGAGCCAGCTCAAGCCTCAGCTGTTCGTTCCGTGCCTCCACCTCAGCAAGTCGGAGGCTGGTCTTTTCCAGATCGGCGGACACCAACTCCAGTTCGGCTGCGGTAGCAGCATTCTGGGAGCCGTCGCCGCTCTCGTTGTCCTGGCCCAATCGTTGCGACACTTCGTAGTTCGCCTTGAGATCCTTGATCAGGCGGTCTTGGTTCTCCACCTTTTCTTCCAAGCTCTTCTCCTTGGCCGTCCAATTGTTCGTCTTCTCCGACAGCACAGCTGACCATGAAGCTTCCACCTCTTTGATCTTTGTTTCCTGTGTCTCCTCCAGTTTCTTCCTTGAGGCGCGTTCTTCCTGGAGTCGCTTCTCAGTCTCCTCTAGCTGAGACGTAAGTCGATCAACAGAGCTTTGGAGCTGGTCGCGTTCCGATGTCAGTTTGGGAACGGTTTCTTCCGAGTGGATCAGCGAGTCGATGGATGCTTCCAGCAATGGATAAGGGTCTGGTGCCTCAGATAACGTAGAGTATAACTGAAGGAATGCGGAGGATGAGGCTTTTCCCTGGTTTGTCAAGACATCAATGAAGCCCTGGTATGCTGTCCAGATGTCAGTCATGGTCGCCGACGACGGAGACACGAACTAACCTTTAAGGAGACCTTTGTACTCTGCCAATTTGGAGGAGTCATCTAGTTTTCGGAAGTCCTTGGTCTTCTGGGCAAGATCTTTTCTTTGCACGAGGGAATCCCGCTGTTGAGCGACCAAGTCCGAGGCGGTACTATCCAATTTCGCGATGGTGCTGGACAAATCAATGCCTGTTCAGATGTCCGTTTGTTAGATTCCGGATATACACGGGACAGAAAGCAGGGTGAGGAGCCCGACCTCTCCATGCTGCAATGGCGCGTTGAAACTTGTTGGCGCCTTCTGGCAGCTTGCTGGTACTATCCTTATCGTTGTCGTGGCCATGTTGATGGTTTGATTCAGGGACAATGCCCTCTGTTAGAGCGAACGCATCCATTTGAAGGAAATCGAAGATCAACAGCACACAAAATCCGAGCTGAGCAACCCCCCATCCAAAACGAAGAACCGTACAACAGACACCGCAAAAAAAGACAACAAATCGATTGCGATGTTCGAACGATGCGGCAATGCGGAGGGCCTCATTGCGGATCGGTCCGATGATGGTCCGAACGCGTCAGCATCATGTGCTTAGTCAGGAATTATCCAGGAACAGTGATCTGGCTGACTCAGCAAGGGTAACCCCGGCTTCTCCAGAAGCTCATCGGAAGCTCTCTTGTTCCCTCGTCTCTTTACACCAGAGCTGGTCTCATCATGGTGTCCGACGACGATGCCTCCAATCCGCGCAAGAGGCGCAGGATCGGACATCCCAAGGCATCCCCTTATCTCCTCCGTTCTCTCTTCGATCAGATTCCTCTGACAGCCGATGATCCCAATGCCGAAGTTCATATCACCTGTGTCGAGTATTGGAGTGAGCATCCCTTATATCTCTTTCTTTCATGAGGGTATATCCCAACTGACCAATTCCGCCCTTAATAGACGATAATCTATACATTGGGACCTCGGCCGCCGAGATCTTGCACTTCGTCTCTCTGCCTCCCGATCCGGCCGACAACACCAGTGATTCGACCTTCATTCTAGCATCCAGGTTACCTATTACCTTTTCTCACAGCGCATCCACATCCTCGCAACTACCGGGTATTCAGCAAATTATCCTTCTTCCCTCCGTCAACAAGGCATGCATTCTTTGCAATGGAACCGTCACTTTCTACATGCTACCGGAGCTTAGTCCGGCATTCGACAACACCAAGGTCGGCAACTGTCGCTGGATCGGTGGCCTTGATCAGAATACCGACCCTGATGAACCCGAGAACCCGGTAATTATGATAGGAGCCCAGAACAGGATCATGCTGGTGAGAATCGGGGATGCCGCTCGAAGAGTGAGGAATATCGAGTTTCCCAGCTGTTTGGCCGCGGCGCGGAGGGGTATCATTGCTTGTGCGGCAGATGCCCACGGATACTCATTGTTGGATGTGGAGCATCAGCAGAAAATCCCCTTGTTTCCTGTCTCGGTATTGAACGAAGCAATTGGGTCGGGCCAGATCGAAGACATGCCCCCGGCATCATCCCCCTCACTATCAAATCATTCACCTCCCGCAGCGGGCCGTTCCCACAACAGGAGTTCTAGCTTGAACACACTAGCCGGAATGCTGCAGCCGAATCCCCAGTCATCAGCCCGTGATCGCTCCAGCTCTGTAACCCCGGAACTATCACCCGAATCTGGGACTCCCCGGCGATCACTGTCGCAAGAACGAGGCAGAAGCGCGTCGCCAAGAACATCTACGGAGCATCCAGAAGAAGAATCACAGTCTTCGACTGGTGAGGCTGCGAAGCCACTCCCACCATTGCCAAAACAGCCGTCGGCGCAGCTAAAACCCCATGTCCTTTCGCCTACTCCTAATGAGTTTCTAGTGGTTCGAGGGACCGATGAAACGGAGCCTGGCGTTGGGTTATTTGTGAACATGGATGGTGACGTCGACCGCGGTACCATCACGTTCCATAGGTACCCCAAATCGATTGTCATCGACAAGGGTGATGAAAACAACTTGATGCAATCTCCAGAGGACACACGTGAGCAGCTCGTTCTCGCGGTCATAGAAACGGAGAAGGATGGCAAACCATTCAACTCCCTAGAAATCCAGCCATGGGATGTTGACCCGGCCGAAGCTGAAGATCACAAAAACTGGGTAGATTTCCCCTCTACCACAGGGGACTTCTCGCATGTCGGGCTTTGCCATACCACTAGCCCAAGCAAGCTCGAGATATACGAGATGGGGAAACTTCTGCGAATGGTTCGCCTGAAAACTCCCTTATTGTCCCCTCATATCCCCGCAACCGATTCCAGAACTCAGGCGTCCATTGAGCAACTGCAGAAAGAGAAAGAGCTCTTCGAAGCTCAGGAAGCCACCGACTCGGAGAGCTCTAGGAAAGAGGACGCGGCTGGGCGCGGCTGGGAAGCAGAGCGAAACGCCGAAGAAGCGAAATTTGCCCGTGACCTAGGTAAGACTCAGAGCAGCCTTCTGATGTGGAGCGGGAACCAAATTTGGCGAATTGTACGGAATCCTTTGCCTATCCAACTCAACGACACTTTACAGACCGCCCAAGATTTGGACAACGACCGCCATAAGGTGTTGAACCGGAGGGTCATTGAAGACACAATCGAGCTTATTCAGAGCACCGAGCCAAAGTCCGAAGCCGAGTTTCTAGGGCTTAATTATCTGAAACAGAAGGCAAGTCTCCTACTTCTGGGAGACCTAATGTCTATGGACCCGGCTTCCAGAACCCCTGCCGTGATCGACGGAACAGAGAGAGCGCTCATAAGCGGGAATCTCGATCCACGTATCGCTCTCTTGCTGGTCCCTTCTTTACGGCAGGAGGTTCTGCAAGGCCCACAGGGCATCTGGATTCATGCAGGGCTGGCGGAAGTCGCCGAAGTATACATCAATCAATCGGAAAGTCCACGCGCCGGTGCGTTTGACGGGAACGTGTTGGATATGGTCAAGCGATTTTTGATCTCATGGCAGCAAAAGCGCGGATACGGCAGCATTACTGACGAGACGTACGTCTTTGACAGCGTGGATGCAGCGTTGTTACGGCTACTTTTGGAGCAAGATTCAAGCGTGATAGTGGATCAACGGTCACCAGTCCGTGCAGAGCTTAACAGGCTTGTGGATAACTGGAAAGGCAACTTTGAGCGGGCAGTGGTGCTCCTGGAAGGTCACCGGAGGCTGTACGTTTTGAGCCGACTCTATCAGAGCCGGAAGATGTCAGGAAACGTCCTGAAGACCTGGCGACGAATCATTGAGGGCGAGGAAGATGTTGGGCGCGAGGTCAGTGCTCCAGGGGTTGAGATGCAGATGCGCAAGTACCTGGTCAAGATCAAGGATGCACAACTCGTCGAAGAATACGGAGCCTGGCTAGCTCAGCGCAATCCAAGTCTTGGTATTCAAGTGTTCGCCGATAGCGCGAGTCGGGTCAGACTGGAGCCGACAGATGTCGTGCCGCTACTGAAGGAGCGTGCTCCAAACGCAGTTCAGGAATATCTGGAGCACCTGGTGTTCTCAAAGAACGTAAGTCTGAGAGATCGTCTTGAGTTCTTGCTTTCATTTCTAACGACATGTCCAGTATACACAATACGCCGATGATCTGCTCTCATACTACCTTGACACCGTACTCTCCGTTCTTGAATCGTCTCCTGAAGCCCGAGCGTCCCTTGCAGAGTCTTACTCCACTTACCGCGCGTTGCGCCCTCCCAAACCCACCTACATGAACTTCATCACTGAGAACACGCCCTCGGAACCTTGGTGGCAGTCACGATTACGGCTTCTGCAGCTGCTTGGCGGCGGCAGTGGTAGTCAGTTCTCGTCACTGCCATCAACCAGTTTTTCATACTCCATCCCCGCCGTTCTTGCTCGCATCGAACCCTTTCAAAATGAACTAGTCTCAGAGTCGGTTATCCTGGACGGTCTCCAAGGCCGGCATCGAGAAGCGCTCCGTCTACTAACGCATGGACTGGGCGACTATGACTCGGCCGTGCGGTACTGTGTCTTCGGTGGACCGCGCAGCACCAGCGCCACTGGCTCGCTGACTGAGTTCGCCGATCGCCCGCTCCAAACCGAGCTCTTTGGCTACCTGCTGGACGAGTTCCTGCGCATCGAGGACCTGTCGGAACGCATCGAGCGCACCAGCGATCTCCTGGCGCGGTTCGCTTCGTTCTTCGACGTGGGCGAGGTCCTGCGCCTCGTTCCAGACGACTGGAGCGTCGACATTCTGAGCGGGTTCCTTGCACATGTCTTCCGAGTGCTCGTCGCGCAGGGACGCGAGACGCGAATCGAGCGCGCCCTTAGCGCAGGACTGAACCTGCGGGTCGGAACAGAATACATCGAAGGGGTTGAGAAAGTCGGCGGATGGGTCGAAGATGACGACGGACTGCGCCGACTCCGGGGGGGAAACGCTGGTGACGGGGACCGCCGGGCGTTGGTCACAGATGACAGCGACTTTGGGGAGATGACTGGGCCGAGATCTGATTGACCAGCTCCCGATTTACCGTATATAAAGACACCTACATAACGAGACACATGTATGACATATGACATGAACCAGGAATTAATACGTCCAACATAATCATCCGATGTATATACAAGTTGGGTAGTTGATATACATATACACATACTCTGGACCGCCCCGGATCACGCTTAATCCAGCTCCGGCACGGGCAGGCCATTTACAATCTTCACCTTCCGGCCCAGCTTATCGAGGGCCTCCTTGGAATTACGTGCCCGGAGCTCAGCCGTCTCGCTGTCAGAGACGAGAACAAAGTCATAGGTGAGCAGGGCATGGTCCTCGGGGACATTGTACTTCTTGGCGTACTCGGGGCCGGCGCGGCCGATGTCCACGACGAGGGAGTTCTTGACGCCGAAGACCGCGTCGGAGGTTTCGTATGGGTCGTTGCGGAGGTAGAGCGCACTATCCCTCGTTAGCACAACACGTCCTCCCGGAAAATTCCCCAACACAGTCAATCTCCAACATACGTAATCAAATGATCGAACCCCTCCTTCTGGAACATAAAGTGCATATGGCTAGGCCGGTAGGGATGCCGATGCAGCTTCTTCAGGAGCTGGCCGACCGGCCCGTCATGGGGGATGGGATACGGCACGGGGGTGATAGCCTTGAACCAGAAGACGCCGCTGTTGTCGCTGCGGATGATGCAGCGGCCGTCGGGGCCGTCGCGGCCGGCATACTGCACGTCGTAGTGACCGGTGGAGTCGGTCTCCCAGATATCGATCTTGACGCCCTCGATGGGGTTACCGTGGGTGTCGCGCAGGGTGCAGACGACGAGCAGCGGCTCGCCCTTGGGGTCGTGCGACATGGACTCGCCGTAGGCCATTTCCTCGGCGTCGTGGGTGTGGAAGGGGCCGAGCACGGTGCCCTCGGTGCTGCCGGGGGGCTTGGGGTGGTCGATGCTGTCGACGAGGATGGAGAGACCGAGGACGTCGGAGAGGAGGATGAATTCCTGGGCAGGAGGTATTCAGTTAGGATTTCTTGTGGATGCATTGGTGGGAGTTGGGGTGCTTGCGAACCTGGCGCACGTCGGAGCAAATCTGGCCCACCTCCGTCAGGAACTTGATGCCGGCCATCCATTCGTCGGTGCTGAGACGGGTCTCGCGGGCGAAGTCGTGCAGGTGCGTGACGAGCCGCTCAAGGACATATTTCATGCGCGGGTCCTGGCAGAGCGAGTTGATGCGGATGGTGTTTTCGGTGATGTTGTCGACCGTGAGGTCTTTCATCGGGGGGAGGTTGACCTGGGAGGGATCCATGCTGGCTGGTCGGGAGGGAGTGTGACTGGAGGGGAATGAGATACTGTATTAAGAGGAATCGAGGTGACGGACCAGTGCGGATGGAGATATTAGAATTGTTATATACAGCGTTGTCCGGTGGGGGGATGAACCACCCCGCATTGTTCACATAATAGTCAAATAAGCATCATTTGCGCTCCTCCCCGGGCCGATTGTTTGGTGGAGGTTGCAGGGAGTCGGGAATCCCCCTGTAGACGAATCGGCTGCTGCATTGGGGTGGCAGCACGGATATACGGCATTAGCCACCGGCATGAAGGAGAAGGCGCATGTATGCTCTGTTGTCCCGTATACTAACTACAGTAGTTGTCGTGGAAAATCCCCCACCGCGGAATGATTCCTCCATGATTCATCAGCGGCGGATTGTGGGGTTATGTGGGAGCGGCTAAATGTTTAGTGCGCTTTGCCTTTATGGATCCAAGTTTTGAGACAAATTTCATCAAATCAAGGTGCTGTAGTGTAATGGTCATCATGCGACGTTGTGGTTCATCCCCAGCTCCGTCTCGATCTGGGTTCGATTCCCAGCAGCGCCAAGTGCGTTGACTTGATTTGTCTTTTTCTTTCAACTAGGGAACTCTTGGTTTTTGTTTTTATTTCTTTTTTTTTTTTTCCTTCCCAACCAACACACTGTTGTATTATCTGATGTTGGTGTGTTGAGTTATGGTTTCATAGATATCATATTGGGAAGTGTTGCACCGATGTAGCGTGGTTGCGCATCGGGAATATATTTTGGATGAATGGCTAAATAGGATGGGGAGTTACAGCTGCATGTTCTTCTACTCGGGGAAAAAAAAAAAAAAAAGATCGTTGAATCAACGTTAGACCGTTAGACCCTACAACTCAGCCACCGTCTCTTATAGAGCATGTCAGAGACAGATCGAACGGCTCATTATTGGCCATTCGCCAGAGAGCATCATCCGGATCTACAATGATACAATGACTGACCGGACTATCAATGCCCATAATACAGTATAGACCAAATATATTCATCAGCGCTGACCAGGATATCCGCTAATAATACTCAGATATACAAGAAAACAACAAACAATCCCCTCATGCATTACCTACGCCTTCACCATCTTCCGTTCTCGTTCTCGCTCGCGCTCGCGCTCGCGCTCCTGTTCCTTCTCTCTCTCGCTCTGCCCCGATCCACCCTCCTTCGCCGCTGCGGCCCGCGCATGGTGATCGACCGTGTCCAGAATCGCCTGCATCAATCGCTGATTGGCATCCGGATCGTCATCCTCGGGGACTTCCTCCGGACGTCGGTGCAGCCCCATCGGACGATCATGGCCTCCGTGCCGGTCATGCGCACCCGCGCTCCCATGGATCTCGCTCACTGCCCGACGCGGAGACAGCTCCTTGCCCATGGGCGTGCCGGGAGTAGGGCCCGCAGTGGGCGCCGATTCCCGACGGAGGTGGAAATCGACACCGCCTTCTCGTCCCCGATCAGCATAGCGCTCTGGCTCCGGCTCCGACTCCGGGCCCGGACCTGCCGGCGCGCGAACGGGAGTGGCAGAATTCGTGCCGGGGACAGAGGGTGGTGCCGACGGGGCCGCCGAGGTTGCCGAGTCTTTCACTTGCGCATCATCAATGCGCTCGCGGGAGCTGCGATCGGACCGGAACTCACGCAACTCTTCCTCCTTCACATCCTTCCACGAGCACTTGGCGTGCTTTTTCGTACACCCCATGCAGGCGGTGAGGTTTTTCAGACAGTCCATGTGCAGCCGGCGACACCGGTCACAGGGCGGCAAGATGCGCTCACCGCGTTGCAGCTCTTCCATGCGAGCAACCATCTCCATCTTGAATGGTCCGCCGTCATCCTTCTCGTGATGGTGCGACTTGGGTGGCGGCAGGAGAGAAGACGGAGTACTGGGAATGGCAACAGTGGTGGGGCCGGGGGTGTACATGTTGTAATCTGCCGCATCCGACGCGCGCGGCCGGGGTCGGGAGGACTGGCGATTGTGCGACCCCGAGGGCTCGTCATAGCTACGCGCCTGGCGGTCTTGGGTAGTGAAGAACTTCTTCATCAGCTCAGCGCGTGTCGTTGGCGATGCACCCTTGATGGAGGTGCCGTTGATAATGGTGACGTTATCCGTATTGGGATGGGAGAACATAAATTGCGACGACAGCGCATTGTCCTCCGTGGAGGCGTCGCCGCCGCCGGGCCGGCCGGCGTTGACAGCGACGAAACCGGAGGGTGAATGTGCGTTCGAATGAGTATTGCCATTTGATGCATGTTGGGGGCCGCTGGCGTCACGCCATGAGGGGCTGGTTGAACGGTGACGTCGCGAATGGAGGGATGCGTCGTTTTCGCGACGAGTGACAATAGCGGTCCGGCGGTTCTTGAGGCGGTGGTTGAGCTGTCGTGCACGCGCAGAGACTGTGGAACAGTCTAATTAGTATGGGATGGGAAAGGATCTGGGGGTGTTTCGGGTAGCTACCTTGATCCGCGACCTGGATGATCTGTTGGAGGTTTCTCTCCAAAATCTCCAAAGCACCCAACTCCTTCTCCTCATCCTCGATGATCGGCTGGGGCGGAATCATCTTCTGAGGCATTCCAGATGCGATCAGAACGAAATCTTCCTCGCTGATCTCAACCCGGCATTGTTTCGTGTAGAATTGACAGACGCGTACGCCATTGCGCGTCTTCTCCAGGTTGAACTGTTCGGGTTTGTTCTTGGCGAACTCGACGACATCGAGCCAGGTGATGTTGGGAGAGTCTTTGCCGTGGGATTTGAGCACGCGGGGTGGGCCATCGAATAAGCGCTCGAAGCGCTTGATCAAGATAGGGCCGAGCGGGCAGGCGCCTAGGTTGCCGGCGATACTTTCGTGCCGATGAAGGACGCCGTCGTATTCGCCAATCAAGTGGATGATAGCAGGCATGGTATCATCGATGGAGACCAAGGGGAGATTGTCGGGGTATTGGCGGGCGAGATAGTTGATCTGTAGGTGATTGGAATGGGTCTTGGGGACTTTGGACGCGATGGGAGGGAAATCGCCGCCGGATGGGGATCGGGGCCGTTTACTGGACGGCTCGGTGGTCGCTGGTCGGGACTCCATGGTAGATAGAGAGAGGGTAGAGAGGATAGGAAATTGAAATACACCCAATGATGGGATGGGAAGCGAAAGATGAATGCAATAAGATACAAGAAAACCCCCTCCGAGGAGGCACGGGAAGAGGTGAGGGGAGGAGGGTTATTAACAGGTCGGGCTGCGATTGAGTAATGGGATGAAGGATGTGATGCCGATGGCGGAGCCTCAGGCTACAGAACCGGTTTGCCTTAGGTAATGCGTCGGATGGAGGTCGCTGAAGGAGTCTGGACCGAAGTCCGTGGTAGTGTATAGTACGGAGTAGTGGAGGAGGAGAAGGAAGTAGAGGTTGAGGGCGAAGAACGGAGGAGAGAGAAGAGGAAGAGGAAGCGATAGGAGCTAGGTAGAAGAGAAGAGGAAAAGAAGGAGAGGCGCAAGGAGAGAGGAAAGGCGAGAGGGGGGAAGACCGAATAGGAAAGGCGGACGGAGTTTGGCTGCCGGGCATTTCTGGTCCAGAGAATCACAATAATGGGGGGCGGAGTCCCGCCGGGCTGTTCCGCTGTCGGGGTGAGCCGTTTGCAGGCAGAGAGTAAGTAGGTGTTATCGGATTCTATATAAGGTGGATATCTATATCGAGCCAAATCTAAAACCAGCATAATCCTATATGATTATTTGTCGAATTATCCGACAAATATACATAGGTTGCGAATGCTGTCCGCACGGGTTGCCTGGAGCTGCGGATCCGATTGGCTGGCAGAGGAGCGGAAGGTTGCTGCCTAAGGCTGCACAACACGCGGCTTGCTTATCAAACTTTTCCCACCCCGTGACGGTTCCTCCTAGGAGTAGTATCGACCACCGACTAACTAACTGCTGTACCTACACCCACCCATACATCCAGGTACCTTACTCCAGAAGTACGTACATCTTCCGCTCTTCCCGACGCGAAAATCCCTCATACTCATTCTCATTCCTCCCACCCCCTCTCTTCCCCTCTTTCTCTTCCCACTCCCTCCCTTCCCTTCCTTGGATATCCCTCATCCCACTTGTGAGGGGATCCCACCACTCCAGGAAATCCTCTCCTCCCTCCCCAATCATCTCTCAACAAATCCCTCAATCCCGTCAATCCTTCTCTTCCCCTCAATTCTCACTGTTCTATTTGTCTAATTCCAGGAAAAAAAAGCAACACCCCCCAGCCAAGATGTCGGAACGAGGCTCCTTCCGTGGTGGTCGTGGTCGTGGCGGAGGTTATGACCGGTCCCGTGGTGGTCACGCCAAAAGTGGCGGTGCTGGTGGCGGTGCGCAACAACAACAGGAGAAGCCCAAGAAGGAAAACATCCTCGACCTCACCAAGTACATGGATAAGGAGGTGCGCGTCAAGTTTAATGGCGGACGAGAGGGTATGTTTATCTTTCTTTCTTTCTTTCTTTCTTCCGGTTCATTCTTTCCTTGCCATTTTCCCGATCAAGTATACTAGGACTAGGACCCCACTGACCATCGATAGTCCTCGGTCTGTTGAAAGGCTACGATCAGCTCATGAACCTTGTGCTGGACGATGTGAAGGAGACCATGCGGGGTGAGTATCTTATCCTTCCCATAGTTCTGGTCTGGGGTGTCTCTTACAGCTACGATAGATGATGAGGGTAATGAGACCACCCGTTCGCTGGGCCTCATCGTCGCCCGTGGCACCTTGATTGTACTCATCTCACCTGCCGATGGGAGCGAAGAGATTGCCAATCCTTTTGTCCAGCAGGAAGAGTAATTCGGAGTCCCAGCTGGAGGACGTGAATGTCCTCGGCATACCCGCGAGAGCCGCGTGCTTGCTCGGGGGGCTACTGCATGATTGGAATTAATTACGACTATGATCGGTCAGATGTGGACGTCTGCATGACCTCTTGAGTGCTCAAAATCGGTTGACTGGGGTGTTGCCCTGGTCGAATGCGGTTGGAAGCGGATGGTCATGCCTGATGAAAACCCGGCATGTCATCAATGAAGGCTGCATGGGAGAAGAGAATTGGGGAGTTCCTGGATACGGTGCCAGTGAGATTTGCCGTGGGCTGATTGCTATTCTCGATTGATATGGTCTACCAAGCTTGGTATACGATCGATGAGAGCGTCTCCGGGGCATACTATCGGTATGCATATTCATACCGATGAGCCGATGTGACTATTGAATAAATACCATAATGAATCATGAATCATGATGTTCCTGTTGCCTTCCCTTGTTTGTCGTTTATTGATATTGATGTTGTTCTTGTTGTTGATGCAATGACTAAGCCAGGCGTGACATCATGGTTGTCGTCACTTGTCTTCCGTCATCCATCTAGACCGCGGACCGACTGGAAGAAAACCATATGATCCTTTGCTTCCCCGCTACTCAAGGTGGTTTTCCTTCTTTCCCTCTTCATACTGTCCCAAATGCGTCCATCCTAAGGAAACTCATCCCACCATGAAGTTTCTCTACCTCTGGCCGCTGGTGACCGTCTGCTCGGCGGTCGTCACTCCAAATCATCAGCAAGTCTTGAGTGACCTCAGGGACACCTCCAGTCACCACCTGGAGAATGACTTCCCTTCTCTGGTCGAGTCCGCGGAGACCTCGGTGGCATCCACCTTGCGAAATGTCCTAGACGATGCGCTCGAAGCTGCCAGCGATGCATGGCGCTCCGCCGCAACCGCGGCGTCGGAGGCCGAGCGCTACTGGCTCAACAACTACTTCTCCCGTCCCATCGATGACGATGCGGATAACCTCCCCAAGGATCTCTCCCAGCTGTCCCCGGTGTACCGGCTGTTCCCTCCACGCCACCCGCCGTCTAACAAGACCATCTACGAGCTCATCGCCGCGAGCAAGTACACCACCATCCTCGCCAAAATCATCAACGAGGACCAGGAGCTCGTGCAGCTCCTCAACTCCACCAAGGCCAACCACACTGTCTTCGCCCCGACAGACGACGCCTTCAAGAAAATCCCCCATCACCACCATCATGAGCCGTCCAAGGAGCTCATCCGCGCCGTTTTGCGCTACCACATCACCCCGGGTATCTACACCGCACCGCAGGTCTTCCACAGCCACACGCTGCCGTCGATTCTCGAAGACCCGGACCTAGGCGACAAGCTCCCGCAGCGCCTGGCCGTTCGCGTAGGCTGGAAAGGCCTAACCGTGAACTACTACAGCCGCATCATTGCCATCGACATTGTAAGCCCTCTCCACCCCCGGTATATAACAAACATACTAACCCACCCACTAGGCCGGCTCCAACGGCGTAATTCACGGCATCGACTCCGTCCTCCTCCCCCCACCACACGCCTGCACGCTTCTCGAGATCGTCCCCACGCAGTTCAGCACCTTCGCCCTGGGCATCCTCACCTCCGGCCTGGCCACCAACGAAACCACCACCGTCCTGACCGGCCCGCACGCCCACCACGGCGGCACCATCTTCGCCCCCTCCAACTCCGCCTTCCAAAAGCTCGGCCTGAAGATCAACGCCTTCCTCTTCTCTCCCTGCGGGCACAAGTACCTCCGCGCCCTGCTGCAGTACCACGTCGTGCCCAACCGCACTCTCTACTCCGACGTGTACTACACCGAGGACGGCCAGATCAAGCCCCTCGGCGTCAAGGGCTTCACCCATCTCGATCTGCCCACCCTCCTGCCCGACCGCTCGCTGGCTGTCGACGTCGCCCGCTACGGGCCCTACGCGTCCCTGAAGATCAACGGCCACCAGCGCGTGGCGTTCGAGGATGCCCTCGCCCGCGACGGGAACATCCATATCGTTGACCATGTGCTGATCCCGCCGCGGAAGGTGGACGATGCGGCCCCGGCGTGGACTGGCAACGAGGATGAGCTGACGGTGGAGGATTTGAAGAGTCGACTGGCGGATGTTGTCGAGGATGATGGGGAAGGTGTCCATGGGGAGGAATTGTAGGGTCTCGATTGGAAATTACGATGTAAAAGTTAGGGTATCCTCTTGGCTTGTCCATATGCTGCTTGTAATGAGGTAAAATTTCTAATCAATTGCATCTTTCATCTGTATACCGTGACCATACTATCTTCAAAACCGAGCAAAAAGGACAAAGAATCAAGAACGCTGGCTCATCCGCATACTCAGGGGAAATCCAGAAGCGACACGGAGAGTACAGACAGGCCATCCTCGCAGACATGTTGGAAATGCACCCCGCCCCATAAATTGTCCATGTGCAGAATCCTAATCATCCCGTTGTCTCTCTGCAACTAACCTGAGATTAGGTGATAAATTCATTCACAGCCTCCTATGTCACTCTCCTCCACGCTTATATGAGAGCGTGGATCTGAACTCGATCCGAGATATCATTCGCATAGGGTAGGGTAATGTTGGACAGAGGGAGAGAGAGACTCCAGAGGATTTAATGAACTCTCCGGGTAGGCTTCAGAAGCGCCTGGAAAGATGACTCCAGAGCTTTCTTGATCTCCTTATAACTGACGATGAAGCAGCTCTGCTCATCGCGACTCACGAGGGTGATCTTCTCATCGGAGCCCGCATCCAGCTTGTTCAAACACGCCAATACATGGCCGAGATCCACGACCGGATCGCCGTGCGCGTCGACCTGGTGGAAGACATAGTCGCGGAAGATCTTGAGGAAATAGCGCTCGCCATTCTCGGACCATTGGCGGTCGTGCTCATACTCTGGCCGCTCGTTGATGAAATTGAGTTTCGTCATGAGGCGCACGAGGCGCCCGTTCTCAAGCTCACGGCTCAGGTCGGAGGTGAGTTGGTCGTCCATGTGGAGTGCTGAGTCGAAGGTCGACATCAGCTGGGATGAGATGCCCGTGATGAAGATGTCGATGGTGTGGTCCTGGTCCTTCTGCATGCTATTAAGCAGCCAGAAGACCGAGTTCTTCATTTGAGGACTGTACGCCCGTGTGAAATGCTCCATCGCCTTCGTGGGATTGTGCATGACGCTTGGTGAATTGGCCCCCAGGGTGACGATGAGTTGGCCGAAGCTGACCAGGTCCTGATGCTGGAGGTCCGCAATCGATCGCTGCGTATCAAACTGAACGACGTCCATGATGGCGCAAGCGTTGAGACGGATGCGGTTCCGGCCCGTTAGGAGGATCTTACTCGGGTCGATGATCTTGGCTGCGAGGCCGTTGCTATGGATTGCCTTGAGGGCGTTAGCGATCTGTGTCATATATCCCCAGAGCACTTGCTCAGGGATGTGTGTGTTGCTCCGGCCCTGGAATCGGTTTCCGGCGCTAAGGTGCTGCTCGGCCAGCGTCTTAGAAAGAGGATGGTAGTCGGTGACAAAGATCAGAGAGCTGTCCTGGAAACTTCTACTCGTGAATGCATCATGGACAGTCACCACACTTCCATTGCAGACGCGCTTCCAAGCTTGGACGGATCGGATAGCTTTCTCATTTGTTAAACGGAAGCCTAGATGACGTTAGGTTCGGGTTCAAAGATCAAATAAACCTGTGAATGGTCATACCTTCTAGCCGTCGGAGAGCATAGAAATTCCCGTCTTTGCTCGACTGCGCTTTATACACCCAGCTCGGAAATCCAAAAATCGTCGCGTTTTTCTGATGATTGAGATCCAAAGGCACCAGGGAATGGAAATAGTCGACTTGTGCTGGAAGCTGCGTATCTGTCGCAAGTTAGCTAGGGTCTACAGAGGCTCTCCTGTTTCACACATACTAGGCAATGTTTGTAACGTCGCGGCTGCCTTCTTTTGCAGCTCCTCGCGGAAGTCGTTAGGTAAAAAGAGGTCGTGTACGTTGCGTTGATATCCGAGGGTGTTCTGGCTGTGGGGGCCAATCGGGGCATACAAGTGATATTGAACCTGGCAAATGTAAGCACGGGAAAAGTGACTGTCTTAGAACGACCTACTGGTTGAAATCCGGTCTGGCCGGTAAAGAAGGTGGCCCCACCCAGTGCAGCGGCAGCGGTATCCGGAGAGAAGGGGTTTGCCTGGACTGGACCAACTGCGTTTGCTGCGGCAAGGGGGTTCGAAGTCGTCACGAAAGGGTCGAACGGACTCGTCGAGGGCACAGGTCCATTTCCATTCCCCTGCAGAGAAGCCTGTCGAATCGTGTTAGCACCGCGATATTGAAGGCCATCATGAAATCCTCTGCCTCTATAGCCACGCCACGGCCGAGCGCAAGTAGGGATGCGTTGAGCAGGGGTAAAGTCGTCTGCAAGTAGGTTTAGAGAACGACCAATGCGGGACTCCATCCTGAGAGCACATCGTATGTGCGCATTCGGACAATACTTTTTCCACAAGCATTCTAGCGAGATTTTATACTTGCAGAAGCATGGAATATCCCGTTATGGAAGGGAGTAACCCCCACAATTGAATGCATGGCAGGAACAAGAAAAGATGGACGTATTCACGAAGGAATTCGGCGTACGTACCATATGGGAGGTTTCAAAGCCCTGAGGTACAAATTCCTGGACTTCAGCTACAGACCAGTCGGGGGCCGCCGACTCGGCTCGGGCAGAGGGGGTGCTGGCATTCGATCCTGTTTCGGTCAGCTCAGAATCGGGCTACATGCAACTATTAAGATGGAAGATTTACGTGAAGATATGCCTCTCGGTTGAAAAGGAGCAGCATTGGCAGCTTTCGGAGAGATCGTGGTCGTTTTCTTCAAGGTGGCAGATGATGACGTTGGAGACGATCCATTGGAGGAGAGGAGGGAAGGCGTAAAACTTGGGGAGTCGACATTCAGCCGTCTTTTACTATTTGTGATGAGCCATAAGTATTCCGATATATCGACATAGCCCGGCGCAGTATGAAGGTCGGCACGAACCTGTCTGACTGGTATGCTGAATTCGTCTTATTCGGGTCATGGTTGTAGACACATCCTTCAAGGGATTAGACGAGACTCGGGATCGAGAAGACTCGGGAAATCACCTTTGTCTTCATATCGGCATCGACCGTAGATGGTCACGTTGCGGCATAGGGTGTCCTTCGCGTTTTCTGGTAAGGATAGGCGTACAATGTCAGCAAAATCCCACGTAGTAGATTGTGCTCCAAGGTCGCGCGACGTCGAGCGTATAGACCCGTATGCTCCACTGGCCGACACAACTGCTCTATCGCAACGCTGACTCACCTCGTCCTTTCATTTTGGGAGATCCTGTCCCGCGACGGGAGTCAGAGGCCATTGTATATCTCGAAGCACGAATCGGCGGGGATCAGGGAAGAGAACGGCTCTCCATTGAAACAGAAGAAAGGAAAACCGGGCGACCGAGTAGTTCTGGAGAAAACCACATTCCTCTTCGGCGAGAGTTATGAGGGGTATGACGAAATGGCTCGGATCCTGTGAGGTAGGTTGGTAGGGTAAGGCGCGAAAGTATCCTATACCGATAAGCTTGCAGGTTCCTCCCTCACCACATAGACGTGGAGGATCCAACAAAACTAGCAAAGCAGATGCTGCGCGAAGACAGAGGGCGCAATGACACCTTCATGCCAGGGATGTAGGGGAGGCCAGGACGGGCGAGGCGACTCGTAGGAGGACAGGATAAAGGGCCCGCGGGGGGAACATCAATCGAGTGGGCAGACCGCCCGAATGGTCGCAGTTATGTAATGCCTGCCATCGCCCGCCTCCAGCCGCCATAAGCGCGCGTCTGGCGTCTACACCACCACATCCCGTCATGACGAGGAGTGGACAGCTATGTCGACCTTGCCTTTTGATGTCCTCAGGTTCATTGACACAAGACACATCTCCTTGCTTTAGTTATTCCATATACCAGATTTCGCTCAGCTCGTTCATGTGAATCTGGTTCGGCCTCATACGCTCCCGCGTCCCGACAAGTGGCAGCTTTCCCCAGATTGTCTACAATCATCTCCACCCGGATTCTCAATACTCCTTTGCTTCGCACCCTCGACTCCCTCACTTGGTTTATGGATCAAGAAAGTAATCGATAATGTCCTCATCTGGGCTTGACATTGCTGAACTCTCCGATAGTGAGAAGACTGCTCTGGAGACCTACACGGCTGTGACAGGCCAGGCACCTTCCGAGGCTATTCCACTGTTGCGTCGCTCGCAATGGAACGTACAGGTACAATCAACCATCGCAGACGTCCAGTGCCCTTGCTCCTGATGCTAATTGCGTCTTCCATCAGATTGCGATCTCAAAGTTCTTCGATGGGGAAGGCCCCGACCCTGTTGAGGAAGCTCGTGCGGCTCTCGACAACCCTCCTCCCCCACGACCGACTCGACAGACACAAAACCTCATGACCGACGACCTCACAGCTCGGTTCCCCCCGGCTGTGACTACGGATCTAGCCCCGCGAGTGACGACCCAGCCGGAAGATCAGCAGGTCTACCGTCCGCCATTCCTACTGGCGCTCCTCTTTACGCCGTTTAACCTCCTCTACCGTTTCCTCTGCGGCTCTTTCCGGCTCTTCGGAGCCCTCTTCCCTTTTCTTCCCCGGTTCCTCAACACGACTGCGAGCAATGCGCTCCAGGGCGCTCGGCGCAACACGAACGGCCGACGGCCGTTGGGCCCCCAGGACACGGCCGCCCGGTTCATCCGGGAGTTCGAGGAGGAGTATGGAGCCAATACCGTTGGATTTATGGAGAACGGATACAACATGGCGCTGGAAAAGGCGCACCGGGATCTCAAGTTCCTCCTGGTGGTCCTGCTTGCGCCTGAACATGACGATACGAATGGCTGGGTTCGGGACACACTCCTCTCGCGGGAGGTGACCGAGTTCGTGAACGACCCTCAGAATGACGTTCTCGTCTGGGGTGGGAATGTTCAAGATTCCGAAGCATACCAGGTGTCCAACTCGCTGCGGTGTACGAAATTTCCCTTTGCGGCGGTGGTAGTACACACGCCGGGGGTGTCATCGACAGCCATGTCGGTCGTCACTCGCATTGCGGGAACTACATCCCCGACAGAGTTTGTGGAGAAGTTACGCTCGGCAATCTCGCAGAATCGAGAGCCGCTGGAGCGACTCCGCGCCACACGCGCCGAGCAGCAAGCCTCGCGTAGTCTCCGGGAGCAACAAGACTCGGCGTATGAGCGGTCACTTGCAATCGACCGGGAACGGGCCCGCCAGCGCCGCGAGGCGGAAGCAGCGCGCCAGCGCGAGGAACAGGAGGCGGCCGAGCGCCAAGCAGCAGAGGAGAAGCGGATACACGATCTACAGATCTGGAAGCAGTGGCGGGCGCAGAGGATCGCCGATGAACCCAGTGCTGATGTTAAAGACGCAGTCCGGATTAGCATCCGGTTACCAACAGGCGAGCGGGTGGTCCGTCGGTTCGCCCCCGATGCGGACATCGAGGAGCTGTACGCGTTTGTTGAGTGCTATGATGTGATAAAAGAGGTGGACGAGAAGGCTACAAGCGTGGAGAAACCGGAGGGATTCGAGCATCAGTACGGCTTCCGCCTAGTTTCCCCCATGCCGCGGACGGTGTATGAGGTAGAAACGGGGGGCTCTATTGGGGAGAAGGTCGGCCGAGGAGGTAATCTGTTGGTTGAATCGATTGACGACGAGAGCGAGGACGAGGAGGAATGAGATCGAAAATGAGTGGTTGTACTAGTATACCGTTGTTTGCGAAATGGCTGGCTGGAGCTGAATAGACTGGTCGACTACAATTGTTGGTTCACATGACGATAATGAATCTGACTTGACTACGGCGTTAGATGTGATGTGCTGCGTTTGGCGTGTCTCTGCTGTCTGCTGCAAGGATGTCTTCTACGACGTTGCTGACTGCTGTCAGATGGTTCGACACGGTTATGTCGTGTTATGCGGCCGGACGGTCTTTTGGCCTTCCGAGCATAGCCTCTTATGCTTGTAGTGGAGAGGGGTGATTTCTTTTGACTACAAGTGGTTCCTCCCTCTTTTTCTAATAATATGCTCTTCCTCCCTTTGTGACCGATCTCATGGACGGCACCCAATGCAGACAATCCACCGAACTAGGTTCAATATGTCGGTCCTGGATCGATAGTACGCAACCCTGCCGACTGGAGACGGAGCTTTCCTGCTGCAAGGCCTGAACTGTGGATGTAGCTGAGGGACATAGACGTAATTATGAGATAGTTACCTATGTAAGTACTTCTGTGAGGACAAGGCTGAATGGCACCGGTGTTTCGATCGAGTCCACGATCGGGTCCGTCCAGCGGGAACCCCCAATGAAGCTGGCGACGCAGTGACGACAAGCAGACGATCGGTGCCGATCATGGCGGGTGGCTAGTCAGGACCCGAGATCTTATTCGTAGCAACGTGGGTGCAGGGGAGGATAGAGTTTGAAGTGCCGACGGAGGGGATCGTGAACGGGAGTTCGTCTGGTTACAGAGTTGGGTATAGGGCTTAGTTGATCGAGAGGATGGACTGACCCTGGAATTGAATTGAGATTGCATTAGAGACTACTACCTAGGTACTCCTATATTTGGATGATGTAGGAGAGAACGATGGCAGGCCTAGTATAACTATGTACATGGATGATTACGTGATTCTCCATACAATACGGTTGTCGGAAAAGAAGGGCTCCGAGACGGTACGGTAAGGGCTATTACAATGGGGAATTGGCCGGGCTCGGATCGCTGCAATGCCGCCCCACCTTATCTGCGCCTTTGTGGACTGTCAGATCGCATTCCTTGTCAGCAAGGAGGCTGCCCATGTTTGCCACGTTGTGGGTGCGTCCATAGATTAAGTTACTTGGGCTATCGAATTCTTTGAGGGAAGAAAGAAAAGAGAAGATAGATATGAAGATGAATATCATATACACAGCTATGTTCATCAATTTAACATGTGCAATTAGTAATGATCGGGAGTGTTGACTCTGTTCAGGTACCATCTATGAATAGCGTGAGATCTGCAATAATCCCGCGATGGCCATTATATTATCTCTTTGTATTATGCTCCTATTCCGGACGGGATATTCTTGACATACCTACTATATTTTGTACCACCTTGATAAGCACACACTATGCTATTGTCCTACTCTCAATAAGATTTGCATACTACATATTCCCGGAACAACATCCAAATCAATGGATGGTAACTACCTAAACTACATCTCAATGCCGGAGCCAATGGGTCCCGCCAGGGTCTCTGGTTACCAGAAAGGGAAATGCTCTGGAGATAAAAAATCCACGCTGTTCGCTTATCCTGATCCACCAGGGCCGATACGGAGCCACTGGTTGGGTCCGGAGTCGAGGCCTTTCCGGTTCCCGATTCGCCCATCCGACCCATCTGAAAAAAAGAGAGAAAACAATAAAAACAGGTCCTCTCCACTGCAACTCACCTTAGGTATTAGTTAGCTGGACTCACCACTCGACCACTAACTACGGGGTACTCCAGTCCAGAACCTCTTCCTCTCTCCCACTCACTCTTCTTCCTCTCTTCTTCTCTCCTCTTCATCCATCCCTCTCCTCACCCTCTACTTTCTTTCGTTCATTATACATTCGTTTCGTTTGATTGTTGGATTTCTCGTTCCTCCCCTTCCCCCCTTATGCCTTCGGGCTCCCTTCGTTTCCTATCCTAATCGCGGGACTAGACGTCTCCTAATCTTCTCACCATGTCTCTTCTCGGCACTATAAATCCTAATCTTAATCCTTCCCGCTCTGTCGGTGGTCGCGGTCAGGGCGACGATGACGATGACCACAACAACCGCCGTCACCATCTCGGCGGTCATCCCCAATCCAGGTCCAGCAGAGAGTCCGAGAGAGATGCCGAACGGGGCGATGATCGTCCCACCACCTCCAGCTCCGCCAAGTCGTTCTCCAAGTCCGACATGAAAAAATGGCGCGAGGAGCGCCATATGAGCACCCTGAGTACAGCCGAAACCGCCCTGGAGAAGGAAAGCGAGTATGGCGATGACTCTTCGGAGGAAGAGGTCGTTGAGCAGATCACCCGTCTCGCCCAGCAACTGACTCGCGAGTCCACCCGCTTCTCCACCTCCGACAATGCTCTGAACTCCTTCCTGGGCGTCGATGAAGACTCGACTCTGAACCCCCATGGGCCCAACTTCAAGGCGAGGCATTGGATGAAGAACCTGCTCGCCCTCTCCTCTCGGGACCCCGAGCTGTACCCTCGACGGGAGGCAGGCGTTGCCTTCAAGGGCGTCAGTGTTCACGGCTTTGGTAGTCCTACCGACTACCAGAAGGATGTGTTCAACGCGGTTCTGCAGATTGGTGCCCTCTTCCGTATGGCCACGGGAACCGGAAAGCAGAAGATCCAAATTCTGCGCGACTTCGATGGTCTCGTCAGGAGCGGCGAGATGCTGGTTGTCCTGGGACGACCCGGCAGGTATGGCGTCAAGATATCCCCTCACTTCGATGCATGCTAACTCATTCAGCGGCTGCACCACTTTCCTCAAGACCCTTGCAGGAGAGATGAACGGTATCTACATGGACGAAAGCTCCCACATGAATTATCAGGGTATCTCGCCTAAGCAGATGATGACCCAGTTCCGTGGCGAGGCTATCTACACCGCCGAAACGGATGTCCACTTCCCCCAATTGTCCGTGGGAGATACCCTCAAGTTCGCCGCTCTGGCCCGGTGCCCCCGAAACCGTTTCCCAGGTGTCACCAAGGAACAGTACGCCTTGCATATGCGGGATGCTGTCATGGCCATGTTGGGTCTTTCGCACACCATCAACACCCGAGTCGGAAACGACTTCGTTCGTGGTGTGTCCGGTGGTGAGCGAAAGCGTGTCAGTATCGCCGAAGCCACCCTGAGTGGAAGTCCCCTGCAGTGCTGGGATAACAGTACCCGTGGTTTGGACAGCGCCAACGCTCTCGAATTCTGCAAGACCCTTAACCTTATGACGAAATATGCCGGTGCTACCGTCGCTGTCGCCATCTATCAGGCGTCCCAGAGTGCGTACGACGTGTTCGATAAGGTGACCGTCTTGTACGAGGGCCGGCAGATCTACTTTGGCCGCACCGATGAGGCGAAGCAGTTCTTCACGGATATGGGCTTTGAATGCCCTGACCGCCAGACTACCGCCGATTTCCTCACCTCTCTGACCAGCCCATCTGAGCGGATTGTGAAGAAGGGCTACGAGGACAGAGTCCCCCGCACCCCTGATGAATTTGCCGCCGCCTGGAAGAACAGTGAGGCACATGCCAAACTGATCAGGGAGATTGACGAATACAACCAGGAATATCCTCTCGGAGGCGAGGCGTTGGGCAAATTCATCGAGTCACGCAAGGCCATGCAGGCTAAGAGCCAGTAAGTTTCAGACGCTGTAATTGATGCTTCGCAGTGCTAAAGGATATCCAGGCGTGTGGGATCTCCCTACACTGTTTCCGTCTATGAACAAGTTAATCTCTGCATGGTCCGAGGCTTCCAGCGTCTCAAGGGTGATGCTAGTTTGACCATATCCCAGCTGATTGGAAACTTCATTATGGCATTGATCATTGGAAGTGTGTTCTATCAGATGAAGGATGACACTTCTAGTTTCTACTCTCGCGGTGCTTTGCTTTTCTTCGCCGTCTTGCTCAACGCCTTCTCCAGTGCCCTCGAAGTATGTAGCCATTCCTCGGCCGTCCTAGACCCTCATCAGACCAACAACTCTAACCGATGTCCAGATCTTAACGCTTTATGCTCAACGTCCCATTGTCGAGAAGCAATCTCGTTACGCCATGTACCACCCGTTCGCCGAAGCCATCGCCTCCATGCTCTGCGACATGCCTTACAAGATCGGAAACGCGATTATCTTCAACATCACGCTCTACTTCATGACAGGTCTCCGCCAAACCCCCGGTGCATTCTTCACGTTCCTCCTCTTCTCCTTCGTCACCACCTTGACCATGTCGATGCTTTTCCGGACGATCGCCTCCTCGTCTCGAACCTTGTCCCAGGCTCTGGTGCCCGCTGCCATCCTTATCTTGGGTTTGGTCATCTACACCGGGTTTACCATCCCCACCAAGAACATGCTTGGATGGTCACGCTGGATGAACTATATCAATCCGATCGCCTATGGTTTCGAGAGTTTGATGGTCAACGAATTCCACAACCGTCGCTTCCCCTGTGCTCAATCGGGCTTTGTTCCTTCTGGTGCTGAGCTCGGGTATGCCAATGTCCCCTTGGCGAACAAGATCTGTTCCACTGTCGGCGCCGTTGCGGGCTCCCAATTCTTGGAGGGAGATGATTATCTGCACCAGAGCTTCGCCTACTACAACAACCACAAGTGGAGAAACTTGGGTATCATGTTTGCGTTCATGATTTTCTTCATGGTCACTCACTTGGCGACTACCGAGTACATTTCAGAGGCCAAATCGAAGGGCGAGGTGCTGCTTTTCCGTCGTGGTCAGGCTCCTCCGGCTGAATCCAACGATATCGAGATGACCTCCAATATTGGCGCCACCGCCAAGACGAACGAGAGCCCCGAAGGCGCTGCCATTCAGAGACAAGAAGCTATCTTCCAATGGCAGGATGTCTGCTATGACATCAAGATTAAGGGTGAGCCGCGTCGGATCTTGGACCACGTTGATGGCTGGGTCAAGCCGGGCACTTGCACTGCTCTTATGGTATGTTTTTGTCCTACGACTTCCTCTTGCGCCATATCTGACTAAACCTCCAGGGTGTTTCTGGTGCGGGTAAAACCACGCTTCTCGATGTGCTCGCTACGCGTGTGACTATGGGTGTCGTGACTGGCGAGATGCTGGTGGACGGTCGTCCTCGCGATCAGTCCTTCCAGCGGAAGACTGGTTACGTTCAGCAACAGGATCTTCACTTGCACACTACCACCGTCCGCGAGGCCCTTCGTTTTAGCGCTATTCTTCGTCAGCCTGCGCACGTCAGTCGCCAGGAGAAGCTTGACTATGTCGAAGAGGTGATCAAGCTTCTGGGTATGGAGGCATATGCGGATGCGGTTGTTGGTGTTCCTGGTGAAGGTCTGAACGTCGAACAACGCAAGCGTCTTACTATCGGTGTGGAATTGGCCGCCAAACCCCAGCTTCTTCTCTTCCTCGACGAGCCTACGTCCGGTCTTGACAGTCAAACTTCTTGGTCGATTCTCGATCTCATCGATACCCTGACTAAGCACGGCCAGGCTATCCTGTGCACTATTCACCAGCCTTCAGCTATGCTTTTCCAACGGTTCGACCGCTTGTTATTCCTTGCCAAGGGTGGAAAGACCGTGTATTTCGGTGAAATCGGCGACAAATCGTCGACGCTCTCTAGCTACTTCGAAAGAAACGGAGCGCCTAAGCTTCCTGCCGATGCTAACCCCGCAGAATGGATGCTTGAAGTTATTGGTGCCGCCCCCGGCTCGCACAGCGACATTGACTGGCCTGCTGTCTGGCGCGAGAGTCCCGAGCGCGCAGCGGTTCGCGAACATTTGGCTGAGCTGAAATCGACCCTTTCGCAAAAGCCTGTGCAACAGTCCCAGAATGACCCGAACAGCTTCAACGAGTTCGCCGCCCCGTTCACCGTGCAGCTCTGGGAGTGCTTGGTCCGTGTGTTCTCCCAGTACTGGCGTACTCCCGTGTACATCTACTCCAAGGCCTGCCTGTGTATCCTCACAGCGATGTACATCGGTTTCTCGTTCTTCCACGCCCACAACAGTCAACAGGGTCTCCAGAACCAAATGTTCAGTATTTTCATGCTGCTTACTATCTTCGGTAACCTGGTGCAACAAATTATGCCTAACTTCTGCACTCAGCGTTCGCTGTACGAGGCGCGCGAGCGGCCTTCTAAGACCTACTCGTGGCAAGCCTTCATGACCGCCAATATCATGGTCGAACTGCCCTGGAACACGCTCATGAGCGTCCTGATCTACGTCTGCTGGTACTACCCTATTGGCCTGTACCGCAACGCCGAGAAGACCAACGCGGTCAGCGAGCGTGGCGCGCTGATGTGGCTCCTGATCTGGTCGTTCCTCATGTTCACCTCGACCTTTGCCCACATGATGATCGCCGGTATCGAGCTCGCCGAGACCGGCGGTAACCTGGCCAACCTGCTCTTCTCGCTGTGCCTTATCTTCTGTGGTGTCCTCGCGACCCCCGAAGTGCTCCCCGGTTTCTGGATCTTCATGTACCGCGTGTCCCCGTTTACGTACCTCGTGTCCGGCATGTTATCGACGGGTGTGTCCGGCGCCGACGCGATTTGCGAGAACTACGAGTTCCTCCGCTTTCCCCCGCCGGCCAACCAGACCTGCGGCGACTACATGTCCAACTACATCGCCGCCAAAGGTGGATATCTGCAGGACCCAGGCTCGACCACGGACTGCAACTTCTGCTCAATCTCGAACACCGACACATTCCTGGCGGCCGTGCACAGCGACTTTAAGGATGCCTGGCGCAACTTCGGTCTCATGTGGGTGTACATTGTGTTCAACGTGTTTGCTGCTGTCGGCATTTATTGGCTGGCGCGTGTGCCCAAGGGCTCGCGCACTAAGAACTAGATTCGTTTTGTTTTGAACATATTGTTTGGATAGATGGATGATGTCTTGCATACATACGTGCGTTCAACTACTTACGCTCTTTCTGATTTGTCCCGGCTCTCACGCCGACTTCTCTGCACATTGATTTGACATGCGTTCGGATACAGACCGACACCTTTCCTTGATATTTCCTTTGGGTAAATTTTTCTGTTAGCTGTATGTATCTATGCTAGACGCCATTAGATAGGAGCACATCTCAGAATAAAATTACAGCATTGATATGACTTTGACGTGTAATAAGCTTCTATTGACACACTATGTAACTACAATGCTATGCTATGTATGCTCTGCGATCACGCTTAACAAAAATGCAACCAACGCCAATAATGCACACCACAAACTCCCAACAGGAAGAGACAGCAATCACCAGGTAAAAGCCTCCTCCACAAAATCAACCACCATCCCCTTTGCAATACTCGCCCTCGCGGCCGCACGCACCTCATCCGCGAACGCACCGGGCCCACAGACCGAGACCACCGTGGCCCCTACGCGCCGCGGCAACACCTCATCGAGCACTACCTGCGGGCGACACCGACCGGGCAACATCTGGATAGACGCACTGGGCGAGACGATATCCCGTCCGCTCTTGGGCTTGGAGATGAACAGTTTGACGTTGAGCAGCTCGCGGCGGCCGGGCAAGCGCAGCACCTGGTCCATCCACTGCTGGACCCAGACGAGGTGGTCGGTGTTGCGGACGGACCAGATGAGGTAGATCTGGCACGTGGCGACGCGGGCCTCGGCGGCGCGGACGATGAGGTCGCGGACGTGCAGAACGTGGTGGGTGATGCCGGCGCCGGCGGAGAAGAGTACGGCGGTGCCGTAGCTGCCCATGTTGGTGGGGTGGGCGCCGTAGGGGCCCTCGATGTAGCCGGTGGTGTGGAGGGTGCGGGCGGGGGCGCGCAGAGCAGCGTTGTACAGCGCGCGGGTCATGCCCTGACGGGCGCCGACGATCAACGATACCGAGGTCGGCTGCTTCGGGTCGTGCATGTAGTCGTCCAGGGCGATGTCCGGGATGGGCTGTTTCTCGAGCAGCGACGGCGTGCTGGCGTTGGTGGGACGGAGGGCGCGGTCGGTGAGGATGGGCGTCGTCACGCAGCTGCTGGGCTCGACCCAGGCGACCGAGAACGGGTGCGACATCCACCAGGAGATGCTCGGGATGTAGGCGTAGACATGGCTGCCCGGGGAGACGGAGATGCGGTTGGGGAGGTGGAAGGTCACGCGGCAAGCTTCGCCGGGGAGCGCCTCGACGACAAGACGCGTGGAGCCACGCCGCATGGAGAGGTTGAGGCGGATGAGACGGAAGAGCCGGGCGGTGCGGTCGAGGAGCCAGAGGAGGCCCGCGGCGGCGATCCAGGGTTTCTGGGGCAGGCTGTCCAAGTCGATGTGGATGTAGACGCCGAGGAAGGCGAGGAAGGCGGCGAGCTGGTGCAGGTGGAGGAAGGTCTCGTAAAAGGCGTGGCGGATGGGCGAGGGGGAGTGGAGGCACAAGAAGACCATGGCGGCGGTGCCCAGGAGGCCCCAGGTGAAGAAAGGGGTGTCGCGGAGGCGGCGTGCCATGTCGGCGACGCTTTGTTCGTCGATGGCGTTGCTGGCCCAGGCGGCAGTGTGGACGACGCTCTCAATCACGACGATGCGGCCGAGCCAGCGGTGCAGGAGGTTGTAGGTGTCGAAGCTGACGCGCAGCAAGGGGATGAGGGGGTTGTTGCGGCCAGCCAGGAGAAAGAGAGGCACCATGTTGAGCACGGCGAGGGTGCCTGACCGGCCGCGCAGCTCCGCAACCAACGCTGGTTTCTCATTGACACTGTAGTCGAGAATGGCGCAGTAGGCGATTTGGCTGGCTACGTAGAGGAGGATTAGTATGGTTTGGAGTCGCGAGGGTAATGTGCCGACGTTGATGGCGGTGGACAGCTGGATTTCGCGGTTGTGACGCTTCCTGCTGATGGGCGCGTAAAGCACATGTTTCTTGATATTCGCCCATGTGTGAGACTCCTCGCGGCTCCAGAAGGTCTGTTGTCTTCGCGTGGCGCCCAGGGCCGAGAGGAAACGGAGGTAAGAGTGACTGATTTGGGCGATGCGGCCGCAGAAGACGATCAGAGCGACGGCGATGACGCTGCAGTAGATGATACGGGTGAACAGGACATCTCGGGGGACGTTGACGCCATTCAACCCTCGGGAGTATTCGTAGATATAAGTTGCATTGATCCCATAGCCTCGGGCGGCGATCTGATGAGGACCATCCATTGGAGGCGCGCCCAGCTGGTGGGAGAGTGAAGGAGTGGAGGACGCTGTGACGGTTGCGATTCAAGGGATATTAAGGAAAGCGTGCAGGGCTGGGCTGGGCGATTAGGTGGACCCAGGAGAGTTCAGGTGGCGCGCGGATGAGTTTTTCAATGCCGGGTCAACACTGCATATGCAGAATGATGCAGTGAGGAATGTTCAATGACAGGGGAACAGTAGGAATGCGGAATGGCAGGTATGTAGTGCCCATATGACGAAACACAAAAGAGGGACCAAATGATCATGAACAATGACGTTTTGTCAGTTCCGTGAAAGATCCTGAGGTTGTTTTGACAGCTGTGACAATGGCTAGTGTCCCAAGGGATTGGGTATTGGACAATGCGCTGGACAAGGGGAAAAGAATGCTTGTTGTCAAGGAATCCCAGTCAATAGGATATCACGAGCCCGCGAATTCGAAATCAGGATTCTTTGAGGCGAGACCGCTGTCAGTAAGTGGGAAAAGCTGGGGAGATGACGCAGCTAGACTCACTGGCGATGTCCTATGTGCATGATCTTGATCGAGGACGTCAGTAAGGGGGTGAGAAACGCTCAGCGTTGGCAGTCACCATGAAGGAACGACAGGAAAATGAGCCAAGAAAGAACGGGAGGGACAAGAGTAAGTGAAAGTCTAAAGACAGTCTATTGATCACAAGAAAATAACAACGCTGATCAGTAACTATAAGGAGAGACGAACAGGTGGTGGAGAAGAGGGAAACGAAGAGAATTTGACTGCGCCCGTCAGGAAACTCCAACGCTCATCCGTTCAGACATCCATCAGGAGACCCAGTGGATAGATATGATTTAGTCAGGGGGCCGACCATGATCAGTCCCAGAGGGATCCACGGAGGGGAAGAGGAAGGGATATTGCGGATCTTCCAGCCCATATGCGACCAAGACCCCGACGATCTGAGGCCCAATCACAGCACCAGTTGATCAAGACATGGGCCTCAATCCCCCTCGATTTATCTCGGTGGCCTGGGTGGCGTTGATGGCATGACGCCTGGAGGAGGTCCCTCTGCATGGGCGCCAAGGTGAACGCCAGGGAAGCGCTGGGAGCCTATCGGGGATTCTCCGTTGCAGCGCTGGCACTGCAGATAGGCTGATATCCCGTCGAGGGATGCGCTGCTGAGGATCGCCGACCGACTCCAAATCCAGGCCGAGGAGGCGCCGAGGCCGCCATGTGTCCGTAGAGAGGGGCCAATAATCTTTCTGAGTCCGACTAACGAAGCTTTCTAAAAGCCCGACAGCAGCTGAGCGAGTCGCTCGTATCCATTGGCCTTGTAGGCGCGCATGGGCGTGTTTCATGTAAGGCGGACAAAGCCGCAACGTCCGCTCTGGATTGGGCGGTTAGATTGGGAGGAGAGATGCCTTGACTCGCGACCCACTAGGCGAAGGAGGATTTTTAGGACGTCAAAAGCGCCATGATTCAGAATGAGACCGGAGGAGACGGTGAAGGAATGGGTTGATTATTTGAAGAGGAGGAGAGGAACGAAATGTCGAGTTGTCGTTGGGGATGCAGTCAAGTCACGGGGCTGTCACGGGGCACAACTGGCCCTAATTCATTGTTTGGACTTCACGTCAACCATCGGCATGACCATGGATTCTCTATAGATTCTTTTCTTCTTCCCGGATTATGTCTCCGCTGGGAGCCATTCGAGAACCGGTGGACTATGCCAACAACCAGAGGACTCGATAGTTTTCTCTAGCGTTCTCTGGGCGCCTAGACATCCAGCATAGCGCAACTAAAACGGGCATTTATCCGAACAGCAATATATCCAGAACACCAGAACAGGGCGCTAATATAGCATGGCATGCTCTACGGGTCCTCCGAGCTCCTAGTAATTCATGGCCATTAGGTCATATCATCCTGTAGGGCAGTTCCGGATAACCTGTGAAGCCACTAACGCTCCTGACCAGGGACTTATCATACAACATAGGTACCTGTATACTGAGTACATTGATCTATCGGGGAATAATGACACCAAGAAAACCCGACACGAAGGATCCGATAACATCATAATTCTGATACATCCGTCTGCACTACCGCCCCATCCAGCCACCGTCCACACAGACAATCTCTCCGGAAACATAGGTGCTGGCCTCACTAGCCAAGAACACGATGACACCCTTAAAGTCTTCCGGCTTGCCCCAGCGGCCTGCCGGGATTCTCGCCATAATGCCCGCATTACGGTTGGAATCGTTGATCAGAGCAGTGTTCATATCGGTGGCGATGTAGCCGGGTGCAATCGCGTTGACGTTGATACCCTTGGAGGCCCATTCGTTGGACAGGGCCTTTGTCAGCTGGGAAATACCTCCTTTGGATGCAGCGTATGCGGGGACAGTAATGCCACCCTGGTAAGACAAAAGGGAAGCCACATTGATGATGGCACCACGACGGCCAGAGGGGAACTCCGAAGCGTCCCGAGCCAGTAGATAGGCACCGAATTCACGGCACAACGTGAACACAGAAGTCAGGTTGACTTGGATGACCTGACCCGGAAAATCGTTACCACATCTGACCACCATCATAGAGACTTGCAAGGTACGGAGTATCTGCCACCACTCACCTCATCCCAGTCCTCGTCGGGAAACTTCTCACTAGGGTGCCGCCGTTGGATGCCAGCGCAGTTGAGCAGGATCTGCGGCTTGATGCCTTGACTCGTTAAGGTGGGAATGACACCCTTGATGGCTTGTCGATCGGACAGCTCCGCGACATGGATCCATGCTTGTCGGCCAATTCTATTCACGATCTCGTCGCGAGTCGCTGTGTTGGATTCGTCTCTCTGCAGGAATCAGTATACATATCACTGGACACCTGGAATGGGGAGGTGTGATTAGCCCATCGCACCTGAATCAGGACAATGTCCGCACCGGCCTCGGCCAGCGCAATGGCCATGGCCTGACCGATGCCTCGGGTTCCTCCTGTGACGATTGCGGTCTTGCCCGCGAGGGAGAACAGCGCCGGAATAGATGCAGCCATGGTGGTGTGATATGGTCAACCAGGAGAGGTGAGGAAGAGGTCTGAATGTCCAGGCAATGGGTCGAGGGAGCCGAGTGGACGTCTTTGATCGGTGGTAATAAAGAACTTGAAATAATAAGAGACTCATCGTCATGCGGGGCACCCCCAATTCTCGTCCCAATCCGGTAAAGGTCCGTTGCCGTCAAAGGCCGATGCCCCGCACTTCGGCTATTGATTTTTTGTGCTTACGAATTGATTTTTCTTTCGTTGTTGTGGGACCTGGAGGTCGTATTTGAGGTAGATGTTCTGAGAATGAGTTCTTTATTTGTTTTAAACTGGGATAATATTGAATATAGTCATTATGATGATGTGTTTCGTGTGAACATTGGGGAGGTAGTTGGATGTTGTATACTTCGGATATCCTCCTAAAGGAATCTGTGCAGGATATATATCCGGCTGGTAAACCGTCCTTCCTATCGGCAAAAGGAAAAGGAAAAGGAGACAATAAAGACAACCAGAAAATATACTCCATCCATCACGTATGCTGAAAACGCAACAAGATTGAACCTGTAGACTGAAGATTCGCAGGATGAAATGATGGGGTACCGGAATAGGACTAGAAACCCAGTGACCCCGATTCTCTCCTCGACCAAAACACCATCAACTTCCAACCTTCTTCTCCCTCCATCCAGATCCAACCTCGTCTGCCTCTTGACCTTTATATTACTAGGTGAGGGTCCCCTTACCTTCGTGTGATGCCCTCGGCGCAGTGGGCCGCATACTCACCATTGGCAGCCTCTCTCATCTCGCTCTCCTGTCGATCTTCAAAGCCGTTGGTGCTGTCCATTTGAAATCCATGGCGTGGGATTGATTAGTCCGACTGGGGACATCCATGCGACGGATTTCTATAAGGTCTCGTGTGGGGAAGACCGCTTATGCCGCGAAGATCGATCCGGTGGTCCTTACAGGGTAGACCGTCCCGGTCACGGCTCAACCGCCAGCCTCCTTTTGTGTAGGTCTCTGGCTCCACCCTTCATGATAGCTACTTGATTTGGCTTCTTCTCCATTCATATACCAAATGCTCTTTGAATGTTCTTCACGATCGATTCGCACTTTCTGTCCATTTTGTTGACCAACGTGTCTAGCTCTTGATCGTCGGCACCATGTGCTGAAACACGTCTTCGTATTGACCTCATAATCCAACATCGCCAACACTTTCAGCAATGGACCAAGACGACCAATCTTCTCAGCCCGCAAGCACGCCCTCTTCGCGGCCGAAATCTCGCTCCGATCATTTAATGAAGCGCGTCTCGAGAGCATGCTTACACTGTCGCCAACGGAAGTCAAAGTGTGACCTGTAAGTTTGTGACTGGGTTTACACGCGCCCAGAATTTCTTACGTCCGCCAAATTAATACATCGCAGAGACAGTAGCGGTAGTCCAGGTGTGCCGCCATGCCAACGATGCCTTCGAGAGGGTCGCGAATGTGTCCTAGGCAGCTCCAACCGCGGTGGCCGTCGCATTCGCAAGAACAAAATGAAAAACTTTACTCCCGACACCAACTTATCTACCCGAAGGGACTCCTTCCTCGACCCGACAAGTCCTGCCACATCAGACAACCGTACGGCGGCGAATAGCTCATATCCCGGGCCCGTGGTTTTTGTAACGCCGAACCCTCAAACGGCGACACCGGCATCCGTGGACGATGAGGATTCTGCTTCTATTGGCTCCGTCCCGCAGAACCCATCCGATGCATGGCAATGCTTGACTGGCATTGCAAAAAGGGGAGCGGATGACCACAGCCCAGAGACGACTACCGACTTGACGCGCGCTCCACCCACCAGCTTTCCCTCCTACAATACGTTTCCCAGCAGCAGTGTAACCGACTTTCAACCAAACACCGGAATCAAAGCCTACCGACTGGTTCAGTCGCGTTCATTGGACCCGGGAACCGTGTGGCAATTGGTAGCTCGTTACGCCGAACATTTCCACCCCTATCTTCCTTTGGTCCCAAGAAAGTATTTTAACCGCAGCGCGCTGGACACCTTCGCGAACAACGAAAAGCACCTCCTCACTGCTGTGCTAACGATCGCTTCGAAGGACCTGGTCGAGCGACCGGAGATCCACGAGTACTGTTCCAAGTACATGCATGAGCTCATCTCAGGTATCGCGGCTGGAATAGATTGTGATGTCGAGGCTGTCGAGGCGCTTTTACTACTGGCAGAATGGGAGCCGCAGGGCCTTCGTCCCCGGGTAGAGCGCGTAGGCCGTGGAGAAGAGGATCGAGCCGCTTGGATGCATGTCGGCTTGGCTTTACGTTCGGGCTATTTTCTCGGGTTAGATCGTACCTCGTTCCGGGGCGACTCCCCGGGCGACACGGAGAATGAGGCCCGTCGACGTCTGGCGTGGACAAGCTGCTACATTTCAGATCGCTTGATCTCTGTCCGCATTGGACGCGCATTCTGGTCTCGAGGACCGGGGCCAATGACGGGCCTGGTCAGCCAGGACTTCCCGTCCTTGCAGCCCGTGAAGGAAGGAGACGAAGACTACGCAAAAATCTTTCAGGCGACGTTGGACCTGACCCAGCTCTATGGGAATGTTCACGATGTGCTTTACTCGGGAATGAGGACCAGTAACCAAATGATGCTCATGGGAGACTACGTGAAATACGTTGATGACTTTCGCCTCGCTATTCTGCGGTGGAAGTCTCGCTGGGGCTCGTTGCCCTGTAAGTTCAAACCTCCCGTCAATGTATGTTGCGCTGACGAATGTAGGCTCTCAACCCATGCAGGTCACCTTGCAGTTGTCGTATGAGTATCTACGGCTGTACATTAATGCCTTTGCATTTCAGGCAGCTATCTCCCAGTCGTTGGTATCGAGATTGAAGAAAGATGCTCACTCGCAGCGAGAGCATTTGCGGGCCACGTTTAACAATGTGGCGTCAATGCAGGATGCCCGGTTTATCTATGAATCGGTAGATGCTGCGAAGGCGTACTTGACCATCATGGTTGACGGAGTCCACCCCGAAAAGCATCTCCATTTTATGCCTCTTCGGTTTTATCTATACGGCATCTATGCCGCGGTATTCTTATATAAGGTCGGGTTTCAGAAGAAGACCATCGCGACATTTGCTAACAGGAACAGGCACGGTCATTTGGAGTCATGTTGCCTGCAGAAGAGATGAATGTTCGTGATCTCGTCACGCGAACTACAGACTGCTTGAAAAGAGCCAGCGCTGGCCCGGACGACATCGGCTCCCGATACTCCAAACTCCTGGAGCTTCTATGGAAGCCCCGGTCGACGACAACAGCGTCCCCGGCCGGCACTCACCAGACCAGTGATGTCCGAATGCAGGGCAGTACGATGCCCCGGGTGCCCGAGCAGAGCCCTTATTTCCACTTCAGTCCGGCAAACGACTTCTCTTGGCTGGACCTCGAGGCCGTTGGAGACTATGTATCTGGCGATCAGATATCAGGCACCAACAGCCTGGCCTTTGACGCTTTCCAAAACCCTGAACTGTACCAGGCGGGACAAGAACGGTCGTCGCAGCCATGGCAAGTCCCGTCCTGGTCTGGTGACATGACCACCAATCTTCTGTTCTAGAGGCGCCCAACTGTAGCGAGCGTCCCGATGTCTGGATCTTTGCTCGCGGGGAGCTACGCCGAAGCCGGCCGAGTGTGCACCCACGGAGAGACCGAGACATTCCGCTCGTGGTAAATTGCTACTTCCATCGGCGTGTTCCCCCACACCCGTGATGCGGGGCAGTGGGGGCAACACGGTCTGCCCTCGGGAGTTACTCCGATCCGCTGGTTATTACGCTCGGGGGCTGCTCATTCCAACCTTTCTCTACCGTTTCGTCAAGCAGAGAGGCATCATGGCACAACTCAACGAGATTCGCGGTCGTCTGGCTTTGATTACGGGGGCATCCGGCGGGTAAGCCTCCTCCCCTGACACTTGACCCAGCAAGAAGCACTAACACCTTGCAGGATTGGAGCCGCATGTGCTCGCCAGCTCGCTGAGCGAGGCGTCCACCTTGCGCTGACATATTCCAGCAATGTGACCGCCATCACGGCGTTGGTGGAGGAACTCAAGTCGAAGTACGCGGGTCTCCGCTTCTCCATCCACCAGGTGGATGTGGCCTCGGCGGAGCAGATCCAAGCTATGTTCGAGCAGATCGACCGCGAGCACGGCCAACGACCCGATATTCTGGTCTCGAACGCCGGGCACGGCAAACGCATCCCGCAGGTGTGGGACATCCCGCTCGAGGAGTTCGACTACACCATCAACGTCAACCTGCGGGCGTCGTTCATCCTGGTGAAGGGCGTCGTCGAGCACATGAAGACACAGCGCTGGGGACGCATCGTATTTATGTCCTCGATTGCCGGGTATGGCGGCGGGATCAACGGCTGTCGTGAGTACGATCCGATCTGTCATACTGCTGAGACCGGGCTAACGTGGCTTAGACTATGCTGCGTCGAAGGGCGGCATGACGGGCATGATGAAGAACCTGTCGACTCGACTGGCCGAACACAACATCAGCGTCAACGACGTGGCGCCCGCGATGATCGGGGACACGGGGATGATTCCCAACGCGCAGGCCATCCCCGAGGTGGCCGCTGGCATTCCCCTCGGTCGACTGGGGGTGCCGGAGGAGGTGGCGAACGTGGTGACGATGCTGGTGACGACGGGCTACATGACGGGGCAGAGTCTACTGCTGGCCGGGGGATTGAAGTAGCAGTGAAGTGCCTTCTGAATTTATACACCAATGGCATCACCAGGATGACATTTTTCATCTATACTACAACCTTTCGTACTGGTATCGTAACTACATGCAAAACCCAAACCGAACCATGCTGTTAACCCAAAAATCAACGATCAACTTTCAATCATCACCTTGACCACCGGCGTCCCCTCCTCATCGACCCCACTGCCGGCCAAGGCAAACGCCCGATCGCCATTCTCCAACGACACGCGATGCGTGACGACCTTCTCCTCGACGCGGGCAAACTTGCCGCTGGCCATGAGGGCAATAGCGGCGGGATAGGCATGGCCGTCGTAGCGGAAGACGCCGATAATATCGACCTCGCGGAGGGCGGCAGCCCCGACGGGGAGCGTCTGCACGGGGTTCCCCATACCGATCTGGACGAGCACGGCGCCGGGGGCGGCGGCATAGATGCCGGCCTGCACGCACGCAGGCACACCCGTGCAGTCGTAGACGCGGCTGAAGCCCACGGGTGCGATGCCGTTTGCCTCCTTGAGGGACGCAGCGATGCGCTGGGCGTTCTGCAGGGCGAAGGCCGTTTGGTCGGCGTGGGGCGCGTCGCGGGGCGGCGGGGTGCCGCCGGCGGGGTTCTTGGGGATGAGGAAGGTCTTGATGCCGAGGCCGAGGGCGTCGGCGATGGCGAGGCGGGCGGGGTCGATGTCCGCGACGACGATGTCGGAGAAGCTAGCGTTGACGGCGAGGGCTCCGGCGAGGAGGAGGCCGATGGCGCCGGCGCCGAAGATGAGGGCGGCGGACGGCCCGTTGAGGGAGACGGCGAGGTCGATGTCGGCCTTGGAGGGCGGGTTGGAGCGGCGCAGTGCGTGCAGGCAGACGGCGAGCGGCTCGACGAGGGCGCCGCCGGCGAAGGAGACGTTGTCCGGGAGCTTGTGGCACATGTCGGCGGGGTGGTTGGTGCGCTCCATCAGGGTGCCGTCAAGATGCGGGAAGATCTTCGCGCTGCTGCGGAACTTCATGTCCGGGCAGATGTTGTAGCGGCCGGTTTGGCAGTAGGTGCAGGCGCGACAGGGCAGGCCGACCTCCAGAGCGACGCGATCGCCGGGCTGGAGGCTGGTGACGTTGGGGCCTACGGCGGTGACGACGCCGGAGGACTCATGGCCCAGACACATGGGCTCGCGCACGACAAAGTCGCCATTGCGGCCGTGCGAGTAGTAGTGCAGGTCTGAGCCGCAGAGACCGGTGGCGCGAATGGCGACTTGGACTTCAGCGTCTGCGGGAGGGGGGCATGGTTTGGATTCCTGATCATTAGTATACTCGATTGCATCGGGAGGAGATGGTGTACTTACCAGGCGGAGGTCTTTGGCGCCGTGGAGCACGAGGGCGGGGGTCGTCATGGTGTGAAGGGGCACTGGATATGTATCAGGAGCGGAATATGATTGATACCTTAGATACTAAGAGTATGGAGATGAAGATTAAATACAGACTCAAGCGGAATCCCCCTCATCGGCGTTTGACGCGTGGGGGGAAATTATCCGGACCCCACGGATTTCCTCGTCGGGATGGTTCAATAGCCGATAACATGATTCTACATACAAGGCGATAATAACAACGAAGAAAGAGTCGAGGATTATATGAATGAATATGCAGTAGATAGAATATCCTTGACCACTTGCTATAAATAAGTATGGAAAGATGAATGTACATAATGGATGAATGCATGTATGTTTGTACAGAGAATGAGGAATGAAGTCATAAATAGTTGCAAAGAAATGACCCCCCACGCATTCATCCCCCCATCCTACGACGGAGTACTCCTTAGATATTCCTCTGCTCTCTTTTATTCTCTTCGATTCTCTCACTCTTTCCCTTCAATTCTCTTCTCCTTCTCTACTCTCTATACCTCACAGTCATCGTCATGCCTTCCGCTCTACTCATCGGCGCCATCACCCACGCCCGCAAGGAATGGGAGAGTCTCTCCTCCCTCCTGACTCTCAAGGTATTCCTCCATCGCAGATCCCCGTGGGAAAAGAATCCGAATGCTCACAGACATGAAAGGAATTCCCCTCCGGCACCCGCGAGGATTTCCTCCGTAACTGCAAAGACGGTCAATACGACGACGTCGTGGTCATCTACCGCTCCAACACCTCCACCAAAGTAGGAACCCGTCGCATTCAATTCCCAACAGGCGGGACGCGACGCTAATGACTCTCTCTAGTTCACCGGTCCGTTCGACGCCGAATTGCTGTCGGTGCTGCCCAAATCGCTCAAGTATATTTGCCACAACGGCGCTGGTTATGACAACATCGATATCCCGGGCTGTACAGAGCGGGGTACGTAGACCGGCGGCCTCACTACCAAGAACTTGGGAAACAGTCTAACGGCATGTAGGAATCCTCGTCTCTAGCACTCCCGTCGCAGTCAACCATGCCACCGCCGACGTTGGCATTTTCCTCATGATCGGAGCCCTGCGCCAGGCGTATGTTCCCTTGGCGGCGTTGCGCGCGGGGACCTGGCAGGGCCAAACCACTCTCGGCCATGATCCCCAAGGAAAAGTGCTGGGCATCCTCGGAATGGGTGGAATCGGTCGGGTGAGTGACGTCCAACACTCTTGAAAATACGCACCGCTAATCAATCTACTAGGAAATGGCCAACCGCGCGCGCGCTTTCGGCATGAAGATCATCTACCACAACCGGTCCCGTCTGGCCCCCGAGTTGGAAGCCGGGGCCACCTACGTGTCTTTCGATGAGTTGCTGGCGCAGGCCGACGTGCTAAGCCTCAACTTGGCGCTGAATGCGTCAACGCGGCATATTATCGGGGCACCGGAGTTCCAGAAGATGAAGGATGGGGTGGTGCTGGTGAACACGGCGCGGGGCGCGCTCATTGATGAGAAGGCGTTGGTCGCGGCGCTGGATTCCGGAAAGGTGCTGTCGGCAGGACTGGATGTGTATGAGAACGAACCGGAGGTGGAGGCGGGACTGATCAACAACCCGCGGGTGATGCTGTTGCCGCATATCGGCACGATGACCTACGAGACGCAGAAGGAGATGGAGTTGTTAGTTCTGGAGAATGTGCGGTCGGCGGTGGAGAAGGGGGAGATGGTGACGCTGGTGCCGGAGCAGAAGAAATAGATAGATGGTATTAGATTATTTTAGGTACGAATTTAACGTGAGTTTACAAGATTGAAGATGAAGATAAAGATAATAAATTCCGATAAAGTGTGGATATGCAGTATAAAGAATAATTACTAATTATGCAGATTCAAAGGCGGTGAGTTAGGGCTCGCTTAGGGCAGTCCCGTGCCAAGCGCGAAAAAAGCGCACCACCACGAAAGGCTCGCGATCTCCAGCCGGCCGACGACTCTACGAAAAGCGACACACCTTCTCACCCCGACATAGAGGACCACCCCGCTCGGCAACCACTTCAAGATGGTGAGTCTTTCTATTCTGTGTGTTTCTCGGATTCGATTTCGACTGCACTGGGAGGATGATTGAGGACGAGGCTGGAATGAGACTGGGAGGAAAATCCATTCGATGAAGAATCTGTTGCACCCCGACGATATCCCGATCGCCTGCCATCGTGGTTTTCTTCTACCGGTCGACCGATGGTCTATTTTACGAACAGGAGACTGTTCCCTCGACTCGTCACCTCCCAATCGACGTTTTCGTTTCCGAGAAACCGGACATGTGTTTTCAAGATGGATGAGCATCTGAGGAAGGGCATTCACTGACCCGGGTTTCTTCCAGGTCCGTTACGCTGCTCAGGAGATTCCGGCCGCTAAGAGCGCCCGCGCCCGGGGCTCTTACCTGCGTGTCAGCTTCAAGAACACCCGCGAGACCGCTCAGGCCATCAACGGCATGAAGCTGCAGCGCGCCCTGACTTTCCTCGACAATGTCACCACCAAGACGGAGGCTGTCCCCATGCGCCGGTACGCTGGCAGCACTGGCCGCTGCGCTCAGGGTGAGTGATTGGATTTTTTTTTGATATGTGGATGGATTACGACGTGGCGATTACGACGCGCCACGAGCGTTTATGCATCATACTACGTGAGAAAGATGGGTATACTGACAACCCCCAGGCAAGCAGTGGGGTGTCAGCAAGGCCCGCTGGCCCCAGAAGTCCGCCAAGTTCCTCATCGACCTCCTGAAGAACGCCGAGGCCAACGCCGACACCAAGGGCCTTGACACCGGCAACCTTATCGTCAAGCACATCCAGGTCAACCAGGCTCCCAAGGGCCGCCGCCGCACCTACCGTGCCCACGGTCGTGTATGTTTTTTTTTCGACACCGTTGCCTTGTGAAACCAGGAATCTAGACATCTAACGCTACGACAGATCAACCCCTACATGACCAACCCTTGCCACATCGAGCTGATCCTCACTGAGGGTGAGGAGGTCGTCCAGAAGGGTCCCCACGTTGTGAAGCGCGAACAGCACCTCAGCTCCCGCCAGCGCGGTGCCCAGATCCGCGCTGCCCTCACTGAGGCTTAAGCGGACGGCGAGTGGTCGGGAGAGCGCGTGGTAGTAGTCGGAAAATGAATGAATTGGGATCAGCCGGAGTTTGCCTATTGTACGGAACAATACCTGGTCATTCAAGGAATATAAAAAATTATTTCAACTCGACGATCTCAGTGGGACGACAGAATGGAGCGTCGGATTAATGACGAATGTACGGATTCTTTTTCATCTGGTCGTAGGTCATGTGTGTATGTGTGTGTATGTACTTGCATAGAGAGGAAGTATAAGTGGCTGTGGATGCTTGGAGATTCTTGGTTTGGATGCGCAAAGCCTCTCTACAGGCATCATCATTCCTCTACCGTTCGTCATCATCTCTTGGCTCATTGCGTGTCGCATCGCCACGATCTCTACTCCTTGCGATGCTGCTCCCACTGGCCACAGTCTAGCCCGTTCCAGGCTAAGGGCGTCTAGACAATCAGGCAGATTCCGCCGATGCCTGTTGGCTTCCTCTTGGGTCTTCTCCCTCCTCCCTTTTTCTTCTCCTCCTCAGCCTCGTCCTTCCTCTCTTCTTCCATCCCACCTCCTGTCATCATGAAGCGCATTCTCAGCTCTCTCAATAATAAGCGCCTGAGTGAGTGATGTGTCATCTCCCCATGCCGAGACCCTGACTGGACGCTTATCATTTCCCGCAGGTCCCACGCGCGACTCTCCCGCCACGGCCTATGCCGAAGACTCCCCAGAGGCCGTCATTCTGCGCGAAGTCGTATGTCGCTGTCCGTTTGTTTATTATGTGTCAGGTCAGCTAATCGTCGCTCGGTAGAATGCCTTTTGTGAAGCTTCGGCCAACCCTGGAAATGCCGTATGTTCCCCGACCGGAAATTTCCCCGCGCGTAAACACTCCCTGACACCTCACAGCATGGATCCGAATTCGTGCGTCTTCCCAGTATCGTCGAGAGTGCCGAGTCCAGTCCCAATGCGGCCCGCGAAGCGGCCAATCTGATCCGCAAACTCCTCTCCGAACCGAACAAAACCCCGGCGCATATGCAGTACAATGCGATTATGCTCATCCGCATTCTCGTCGACAACCCAGGTCACACCTTTGCGCGCAATCTCGACTCCAAGTTTGCCGCGACGGTGAAGGAATTCCTGCGCCAAAAGCATGACAGGGACAGCGCTTATGTGCACAACTTCCTTTGTCAAACGCTGGATGCCTTGGATGCTCAACGGGCCTGGGATGAGGACCTAACGCCGCTGCTGCAAATGTGGCGCAAAGAGAAATCCAAACTATGGCGGACGAACAGTAGCGTATGGCGCCCTTGAGACCTCCCACATGCGCTCATACTAACCATCCGCCGATAGAGCCATTTTAGGGCGTCGTCGCACTCGTCGCACTCGCGGCCGACATACCCACCGGCCCAAAGCCAAAGCACGCTTCCACCGCCGGACGAGCTGGCCGCACGGATCGAAGAAGCGAAGAATTCGGCTCAACTCCTCATCCAGTTCGTCCAGATGACACCTCCGTCGGAACTGTTGGAAAACGAGCTCGTCAAGGAATTCTCCGATCGCTGTCGAGCTGCAGCGCGCGCCATGCAAGCCTACATCCACTCTACCAACCCGCCTCCCGACGAAGACACCCTCCTTACCTTGATCGAGGCGAACGACAAATTGTCCGTCGCTCAATCCAAGCACCAGCATTCCATGTTGCATGCGCGCAAGGCGCTGGGACAGTCAGGAAGCCAGTCTCCCGCCTCCTCTAATGACAATGCATCGGCATCCGGTGCTCTGCGGCCGGCCGCAGCACCTCCGCTGCCCCATCGGGACTCTGGAAGTCCCCCGACGGTGTCATCGCCGGCCCCTGTCTCGCCGGAGTCCACCCCAGGGCCTGCTCCAACACAGGCTCCCGTGTCTGCTCCTGCCCCTACAGCTACAAATAGTAGTACAGCGGGCCGATATGAGTACCGATCGGAGGACTTCCAAGTGCAGAACCCCTTCGCAGATAATTACGCCACGACGGGGCCTCCTGCAGTACCTCCGAAGTAGGCTTCGCCAGCGAGCACCAGCGGGCGGACGGGCATTCAGAGCAAAAACGCTCAGCAGAGACCGCCTGGTTCGGATGGCAGTGGCGGCTCTGAGATCTTGAGAATATCCCTTCCCCCCCCTTCCTTAGTCTAGCTTTTGGTTATTTTGACAAGATACCTCTTTGCGGATCAATGAATCGATATCCTGCTTTTGCTTTCTATCAAACCATGGGCTCGATTGCCTTCCCCTAACCCAAAGGACCAGTTTGGTCCGGAGACATGAAACGATGGCTGGCGCTAGCTGTGGGGGCGCAATGTGTGGTGATGGCAACTACATCATAGCGTCCTGCCCTCGCACTTAAACGCATATCGCTGATCCATCAACTCCGAACGCTGTTAAGCATCGGACCCCTGTGTGTAGCACCGATGAGGCAAATCACACTGTTCGGATTTGCGCCGGGGTGGATCACGCATCCCGGTTAATGAAGCTGAAACCTCAGCGGTGCCAAGCATCCGAAGCTGTTTCCTCCCTGTCGACTAGTTCTCGACTAACCAGTCCACCATCGTTCGGATTGTTTCACACCAATTAACGTGAAACTGCGCGGTGCTTCACAGTGATAGCGACGACCTGTTCGGCTTCTGACCGATGCCCTAGGTCCAGCGACGAGCCAGCTCCGGGGCCCATGCCTCGGCGTAATCTGACCGAATCCAGCAAAACCCTGTTGGCCGGTGGAGTGCGTCGGAGCCTGATGGCTATCAAAGAGATGCACAGGGTCGCCTCTATATCGTTCAGCCCACAGTAGTGTTTCACGACTGCATCCGTGGACCGCCCGTTCGGTTATCGTCCGGGGCCTGACGATATATAGCCATGGAGACTGCTCAGAAAACGTCTCTTCTGTTTCTTCAGTACGCAGGCTTGTCTGTTTCCTTCCTTGCAGTTCTTTTCCAAAAATCCGGTCTGTGACCGTCTCGTTCTTTTCAAGTTTCCTTCCATTCATTCGACCCTCGGTATACTGGTATACCCGGCTCAGTCCCTCTCTTTGAAACCCATTCTCTATCAACAATCAACATGAAGTACACCAGCTCCGTTCTAGCTCTGGCCGGCCTGGCCTCCATGGCCCACGGCCACGGCTTCGTGAAGTCTCCTCAGCCCCGGATGCCCGGCAAGGCCATGCAAGCCGCCTGCGGTCAGCAGATGACCATCAACCAGGAGTCGGACAACTACGGCAACATCCAGGGCGAGCTGCAGGTCGCCAACGGCCAGAGCGACTACAACGCGCAGAAGTGCGACATCTGGCTCTGCAAGGGCTACAAGTTCGCCGACAACAAGGACAACGTCTTCTCGTACTCCGCCGGCCAGAAGGTCGACTTCACCGTTGACATCCGCGCCCCCCACACCGGCGTCGCCAACGTCTCCGTCGTCGATACCGCCTCCAACTCCGTCATCGGCAGCCCCCTGAAGTCCTGGGACAACTACGCCTCCACCGCCACCGGCGTCACCGAAGACGAGACCAACTTCAGCGTCACCATCCCCGACGACCTGGGCAGCCAGTGCTCCGAGGCGGGTGCCTGTGTGCTGCAGTGGTACTGGTTCGCCGAGTCCATCGACCAGACCTATGAGTCTTGTGTTGATTTCACCGTGGGTGGCTCCGGCTCCGGCTCCAGCTCGGGCTCGAGCTCCAGCGCCAGCGCCAGCTCCTCCACCGCCGAGGTCGCCATCACCACTACCCCCAGCTCGAACAACAACGCTGCTTCCTCGGTGCCGACTTCCGCCCCCACGACCCTGGCCACCAGCGTCCGCCAGTCCGCTACGGTCCCTGCCGTCTCCACTCCCACTGCGTCTGGCTCGATGAGCATTCCTACGGATGGCACTGCGGAGGAGCAGCTCAACTGGGTGGCGAGTCTGCTGAAGGCACTGCTCAAGTATACTTGAAATGGAGATAGAAGACTATGTATTTAGTATGGAGATAGAGAATGTTGAGTGTATTTAGCCTGCATAGTAAAAAGTCATGCGATGCACTGCACTTGGTAGCAGCAATTTAGGCTATGCTATCATCATCCAATAATGTACCTGAGGTTTCGATAACCATTGCAGCCCGAATAAGTAACAAGAGTTAGTCCGTTCTAGGAATTCAGAGTATTCACCAAGTTACCTGCTATACCACTACCTGCTATGCTACCTACTATACATTGAGATAGACGAGATGGAGGTATGCTGGTCCACGCTAAATCGGCCATCGACTCCTCTTATGCACTATCACACGGCACGAGAACCAAGCTAGCTATCCCAGATCGCCCCATACGCCGCAACCCCCCTCGTCTCCATCCCATAAACCACCTTCTTGGTCAGCTTCTCATTCGAAATCACAACCACAGCCTCCGCCTCGAACTCCTGCACGGCCTCCCACGTCAGTTGCACCAGGTTCGGCCGGCCCTGCGTCTTCGTATCGTGGACCACGGCGCCCGGATCCGCGTCATACACGGCATCCACAACGTCCTTGCCGAAGGTGGCGAGTGGGTTGGGGGTCGACCACACCAGCCTAAACGGACAGGTCGGCACCTGGATGTGACCGAGAAGCGGTCCGATGCCTGAGCCGGTGCCGACCAGGACCACCCTGTTGAAGAGGGTTGCGATGCGCATGACGCCGCATGCTGCGGGAGATCGGGTTAGTAACGGCAGGTGAGACGCGAGGAGCGGTGTAGTTACTTACTTGGGATGCCCCGAGTCCACAGATGGCTGGGTGGATTGCTGATCTGCCGGCCGGTCCAGTCGCCCGCGCGGGACACAACCAGCGAATAGCCTCGTGGTCTTCCGTTATGCGCTGTCGGCGCGGGGACGGTGGCGAATGAGTGCCATTCGAGCAGTGGGCGCTCGGAGAGACGCGTGAATGTCCCGTTGACGGGCATGGTGTAGTCGAAATGCAGTCGCACGGCGTGGTTCGAGAGTACCTCGGCGTCGACGGGGACCTTGCGGAGAAAACACCACGAGCTTGCGATGCTTGCCGTGATGACGATTAGCATCCAGAAGTTGGGGGATACCAGGACGGCCCGGCCCATCGATGTTCCTGGCGCTCGCTGGGCACGGATAGAAAGCATCGTTTGCACCCAGATGATGACCAGCACGGTCCAGCCGAGGAACCGGTGCGTGCGCTCGAAGGTGTTGTGGCGCTTCTTTCGGAAGGTTGGATATGCGAGCCCGATCATGGAGAGCAGGAGAAGCATGACGATCAGGGAAAGGGCAAGAGCGGCTTCCGCAACCTTTGATGGAGTGGGCTTTTTGACCATGGCGTATATACTGTGTCCGATTGAGCCGATGTACCAAGCGGTAGCAGCCGTTGCAGCTCCTGAGTGTGCACCCCCAAGATGGTAGATCTTTGCGCATCGTCGTCGAATCGCCAACGGCCATGACTTGGGCACGGAGCAGCATACTGTGTACAGGACGTTGATGACGGCGTCTTGGCGGATCAGAACGGCGATGGTCAGATTGATGAACGCGATGATATCGATCCACTCGGATCCGGCCGTGGGGATGAAAATGAGGCATAGGAGTGCGGCGAGGTTGGCCAGCCAGACCAACGAAAAGAGCCGGCGATACACAATGAAGATCCGGTATCTGAGTCCGCGGATGGGTTTCGGATCCTTCTTCTCCGCGAGCGGCAGTGGTTTGCGCGGAGCCTCGGATGGGTCAGACTCGGCTGACAGTGTTCGAGAGGACTGGTGAATAATGTATCCTTTCTCGTTGACCAAGTCAGATGGGAGGAAGGGAGCCTCTTTCTGGTGCCTAAATTGCTCGACCATAGCACGTTTATCAAGCTTCCCGTTAGTCGTCAACGGGAACGTGTCCATCGGGAACCATTCGCAGGGAATGGCGTAGTACGGTAGCTTTGCCTCTAGATGTGCTCGCAGGGCCTGTAGATCACAGGACGCCGGGCTCACAAAGCCGATCAGTTGTCCTTCCACCATCATTGCGACAGCCCTCTGGACTCCTGGAAATGAAGCTATTGATGCGCTGACCCCGTCAAGCTCAACACGGAAGCCCTACTCTGGGTTACCGCTGTGTGAAACCTAGAAGAATCTCGAGATGGTTTACCTTGATTTTGACCTGATCATCATTCCTGCCCAGTATCTCCAAGTTACCATCTGGCAACCACCGTGCCAAATCTCCGGTATTGAACATCATTGCTCCTCTGTGTATCATCCGGTCAGCTCCGAATATGGGGGTGGAAATCATGACAGTGACGTACGCGTCGTTCACAAACGGATCAGGACGATACCGTTCAGCGGTTCTGTCTGGCAGACCGAGATAACCTCTGGTAACTCCTGCTCCGCCAGCCCACATTGTGCCGATGCTTCCAAACTCCACTGGACGGGCATTCTCGTCCAGAATATAGACATTATTGTTCGGAAGCGGCCTTCCAATTGTCAACGGACGGCCGAGCTCATGTTTATGCATCGTGTTGATAATGGTGGTCTCTGTCGGGCCGCAGCAGTTGTAAAAGGTGGCGCCGTTTGCAACCCATTCGTCTGCAAGTCTGGACGACATTCCATATCAGTTAGTCGGGGTTGAAGAGTAGTTTGCGAATGTCCAGTCTACCTCTGTGTACATGGCTCGCCAGCCGTAGCGACGCATCGGATATTGGGGAAGTCTCGGGGGGAATATCGACTCAGGATACTCGGGGTGCATATCAAGGTGTCGATCTATTAAGAGGGTCCATTAGTGTGGATTGGGTGCTACTTTATCTGACAGAACGTACCTGGCGCAGAGCTGCGTGCCAATCTGATCCTCGGAGTACCAACGTGGCGCCATTGCATAGAGATCCCAGAATCTCCCAGGCACCTGCTAGCACTTAATAGAGTTTCGTAGCGAATAGCACAGGTGCAGACTTACCCATGTCAAAGCTGATCGACAAGACCTGTCCCACCTTCGAACCTCGAGTGATGCCTAAATTGCTCGGCGGTTGGCACAAGACGTTGGTGGCGTTTCTGTGGGTGACATCAACGCCTTTGGGGGTTCCTGTGGTGCCTATCATACCATGGTGAGCATTATTATAGAACCAGGCAGGCCTAGGAACATGTGTGGGAGGAGTATACCGGAGGTGTAGATTAGATAGCAACCCGAGTTACCATCACCCTCGCATACCAATCGGTCAAGACCAGGCACGAATCCAACATGCTCTGCTTCGGTGATCAATTCCTCCAACACAAGAGGTTTGATACTGTCGAAAGACTGCAGCCTTGACCGGAAGGCATCGCCACACAAGGCTACCGAGCTTTTCGACTCAGTGACCGCATGTTCCAGCGTCTGATCGGCAACAACAGCACCATCAAGTGGAATATACTGAGCACCGCTCATGAGAATCCCTAAGATACCTGCCACCATCTCCACGCTGCGTTTTGTCACGACGGCAATTCTGCTTCCAGGAAGCACCCCATTCTGCTGGAGCCGGAGTGCGGTGAATTGAGCGTACTGGAGTAGCCTGCCATAGCTGACCTCTCGGACAACGTCCCGCGAGAGGTCAAGCAAAGCCGTCTCGTCAGGAGCGCGCGTTGCATGGTGTATAAAGGCATGATGAACAGTTTCAAAAGGCACCTGGCGCTGGGGACCAAATGCGGACTGCCGGAAAAAGTCTCCGGGACTGGATGGGATTGGCAGAGACTCCATGATCAGAGGCTAAAAGGGAATGCCAGCATTCGCGAGGGACACAGATTTGCCGTCATGGCGAGAGCCGGTCGGCTCAAGGTGACGGCTTGCCCATATATATCCATCGTCCGTAACGTCTCCGTGCAAGTGCCACTTGTCCCTACGTCAGCCATGCACTGAGACAACCTGATGCATCTCGACCGTAGCTCATGTTCCGTCGGCATCGTCGGGCTACAGGGGAAATTGCGGGCCGTGTGAACGATGCTCGGCATGCGGGGCAAAGGAGATAGTGGACTATAAACCATGTCGATATAGTTTCCCCGTCCCCTGTCCGCATTGGTGGCTTTATTGCGAAGATTCTAGCCGCTTGCTGATTCTGCAACGGTCGGATGAAGAATCCTCTGCCACTGAATGTCGTGCACGAGTTGTTCTCATGACCTCATTCTGCTGATCGTCATGGCATACTAGGCAAAAGACGTTGTCAATCCCAAGCCATATCTAACCCCGTCTGGAGGCGGAGGTTTCAATATGAAACGTTGTATGTGCTTACACATGTCTGACCAATCTCCAACGCAGCAGCTTAGGCCAACTTAGGCTGTATCTGGAGCTGCAGCTCCAGCGCCAGTCGCGAATAGAGTTCGTACTCCGGAGTAGATGTGACATTCGACACGGCCGGAGCTCCGCCGGTTTCAACCGCAAATATGCAGTCGGATATTAAGTTGATTACTTAGGCTGTTTGCTCCCTAGAGCTCGAAATCCTGGAAATCAATCCCAATAGTTCATCTGGCATTGGGAAAGATAGGGCACAATGGACCAGTCGGAGACCAAAAACCTCGTTCTGACCGAGACACATGGACAGTCGACCCTAGTCCTGAAGCTAAATCGACCTGCCAAGAGAAATGCGCTATCTCAAGCGCTCATCAATTCCCTGCTGCGTGAACTCGAAAATGCGTCTACTGATCCGCGGATTTGTTCCGTTGTCATCACCGGCTCAGACACCATCTTCTCAGGTAGGGTGGGCCAGAACAGAATAGAAGGCGATCTAACGTTACTCAATCAGCCGGTGCCGACATTGGAGAGATCTGGCGAATGAATACCCAGGAGGCTCGTCAGAGGCGGTATCTTGAAGACCTCTGTCATGGAATGGAAAGGTTCTGCAAACCGATCATTGCAGCAGTGGAGGGCAAAGCAGTATGGAACTATCGAATCTCACCGCTTTTCTCCGGTCGAAGCTGATCAGACGTCATCGAATTCCAGCTCGGAGGCGGGTTTGAACTTGCGTTGATGGTATGATTATATGATCGGCGTTGTTTCCACGTTGACCAACATGCTCGAAGGCCGATTTCGTCGTCGCCGCTCGTGATGCCGACTTTAGGCTTCCAGAGACATCCATCGGTCTGATCCCAGGGGCTGGAGGCACACAGCGGTTGACTGCCGCGATTGGCAAGTATCGGGTTCGTCTCGTGCCATCGGTCTGACTTGGACGCTTCTGATCGACTAGGCCATGAATATGATTCTGCTCCACCAGGCGCTCTCTGGGGAAGAAGCTTTCAGCGCGGGTCTGGTGAGCAAACTTGTTGGGAAGGGCCAGGCGCTGTCAGGCGCGCTGGAGATCGCAGAGAGACTAGCGTCTCAGAGTCTGCCGACCGTTATGCTGGCCAAGGAGGCGATCTGCAGAGGTCAGTCAGCAGAGTTTCTTCTCGTTCATCTACAGCCACACTGACATGTTCCAAGCGGATCATTTGCATCATGATCATGCGTTTGAGCGGTCGTTATACTACGCCGCGTTCGGGACCAGGGATATGGTCGAGGGCGTGACATCCTTTCTGGAGAAGAGGGCGCCTGTTTGGGAAAACGCAGGTTAGCCGTGTTCCATGGTGGGAGTGTGATCGTCAGGATTGGTGTCTTGTCACCACGGATGATGATCACATTGGCAGAATAGAGAGCGTAACTTAGTCATCGAGGCCGGCATTGGAAAGACACCGTTGAAGTACCTAGTATCTCGTTACGATATGCGGTCCTAGTCGGTTGATCTGATAGATCCAATTATGTCTTCTACATAGGTTCAGTGCTCTTACGAGGAGCGAGTGAGTATCAAGAATCAAATCACCATGATCCAGCTTACAGAAATTTCTTATACTAGGACAGTCTCCTGCAATGGCTGCGCTGGATGTACTCTGGAGTAGATCTACAACACTTGCCTATTCGGGAGCCCTTGGCATGACTAACAGCGATCACGGGACATCAGATAAGATAACACTGCACTGCCACTTTTTCCACTCCCCTTTCTCCGTCCTTCTCTTCTCTTTCTTTCTCTTTCTCATCTCCTTCCCATCGCCTTTCAATATACCCCAGAATAATGAACTACAACGAGGCCACCAGCACGGCGCTGGAGCCGGTCTCCCCCGCGCACCGCACCCACTCCACCCCCGACGAAGAAAGCCAACCGCCGCCGCAGTACACGCGCGAGAATGACCCATTCCAACTCTCGTCGAAGCTGAAGTCCGCGGCGGAAATCTCGCAGATCCAGCCGCGGGCCAACACAGCTCGCAAACGTGACCGATGCACGCCCACGGTGGTGGGACGCGCGCCGCTCTCGCTCGCCTCCAAGCGCCAGCAGGAGCTGCAGACGTTCTATCACGCGCAGAACGAGAACATTGAGCGGATGCTGAGGCCGGTGGAGGAGCACGTGCGGGCGGCGCGCGAGCTCAACGCCAACAACCAGCTCAAGTACAAGATCGCCGTGTACGGCAGCTTCGCGGCGAATGTCATCCTGTCCGTGCTGCAGCTGTACGGCGCCATCGCGTCCGGGTCGCTGTCGCTGTTCACCACCATGGCCGACGCCATCTTCGACCCCATGTCCAACCTGACCCTGCTGCTGTGTAACAAGGCCGTCAACCGCGTCGACCCGCGCCGCTTCCCCGCCGGCAAGGCCCGCATCGAGACCGCCGGCAACATCGGCTTCTGCTTCCTCATGACCGCCGTCTCGCTCATCCTCATCGCCTTCTCCGTCCGCGATCTGGCGGTTGGCTCCAACGCTGAAACCACCGAGTTTCACCTGCCCTCCGTCATCGCCGTCGCCGTCGCCTTCTGCACCAAGTTCGCCCTCTTTGTCTACTGCTTCGCGCTCCGCCACCAGGTCTCCCAGATCCGCATCCTCTGGGAGGATCACCGTAACGACCTCTTCATCAACGGCTTCGGTATTCTCACCTCGGTCGGTGGCAGTAAGCTCCGCTGGTGGATCGATCCCATGGGCGCCGTCATCCTGTCCGTGCTCATCAGCGGCCTCTGGCTGCACACCGCCTACCACGAGTTCCAGCTGTTGATCGGCGTCACCGCTGATACCAAGATGCAGCAGCTGATCACCTATATCTGTAAGTTGTCCGTCACCACCGATGAACATCTAGATTGACTCTCCAGCCATGACCCATTCCCCTTTTATCACCGCCATCGACACCGTCCGCGCGTATACCTCCGGCCCCCGCCTGCTCGTCGAGGTCGACATCGTCATGGACCCGGACGAGTCGCTGCGGGCCACCCATGACGTGGCCGAGGAGCTGCAGATGAAGCTGGAGTCCTTGCCGGACGTCGAGCGCGCCTATGTCCATGTGGATTATGAAACGACGCATAAACCGGAGCATTTCCTCAAAAAGGAGCTGTAATTGAAACCATAAGTTTGTATATTTGCGGGCCTTACGCATTGGACCTGAACTACGACATACTGCATGCAGGACTCATCCTTAAATACCAACAAAGAGCCAACGATCTAGTATTAATATCATAACTCCTATGCAACCCTCCCGCTGCAACCTCCACATGGCACACATTTGAACAACCTCTTGTCATAACTAGATTGCCAACCATGCCACTAGAATATGTACTCGCAGCGGAAGGGAACAAAATTGTATAAAGGAAGAAAGAGAAGAGACAAAACGCTCAGCTCTGCTCGAACAGTGCAATGGTCGAACAGAAGTTACTCGTGTTTTCGTCTTCTGGTACCAGTCCCTGTCCGTTGGACGAGGTAACCATGTTGACGCTGGCCTTGGTGCTCAGTCCGTAAATGTGCACGTCCGAGCAGTCCACCTCGACAATATTCTCCTGGCACGACTCCGAGTTCAGACAGGTCTGGCCGTAGTTCTCGAAGAAGCTGTACAGACCTGCGCCGTACACCCACAGATCCGTCGTGTTCATGACCCGCAGCGCCCAGCCCTTGCGGCAGGCATCGGTCGTGCAGGACGCAAAGTCGGGATCGTTCCACTTGGTTTGCGGCGTGAATGGCACCAGAGCGTTGGGGTTGGCTTGGTAGTACGGCGTCTCAGATTGGATCAGACCCATGAAGACATTGCGGGCGTTCGAGACCTGGTAGTTGTACAGCTGGTTGTGCTCCGAGGCCGTTCCGTACAGCCATACGGGCCCTTGGCTCTCGATGTACACACCGCGGCCGTTGTAGACGTTGATCTGGTTGTGGTCGGGGAGGTCGAGGTCGTGATCCGCCGTCCAGAACCAGGCGTTCTCAATGTAGGCGTCCGACTTTTCGGTGACGTGCAGCAGCATGAACGCGGCAATGCACTCCGAATTGGGCGTGGTCGTCTGCTTCGGAGTCTTGGAACACTTGTCGCTCTGCAACTCGGTGCCTGCAGAGCCACCGATGCGGAAGTGGGTATCCCACATGGCCACTGATCCCTGCTCCGCCCCCGCCACGTTCCACTCCATCAGGATGGCGCCGGGCGCGGGACCCTTGGTCTCGATGACCAGGTCGCTGATCTCCACAGAGCCCTGGTCACCGGGCTCACCGACCTGGAGCATGGGGATGGGGTTCTGCTCGTCGGCGAACTTCTTGCCGTACGCCATGAGGAGGGGCCAAATCTCACCGGTGATTTTGATATTCTTGGGCACCTTGACGGTGTCCGTGATGATGTAGGCGCCGTGATCGAAGTAGACAATCTGTCCATCCTTTGCACTGTTGAGGACCTTCTGAATGACGGCGGTGTCGTCGGTCACACCGTCTCCCTTGGCTCCTGCAGACTTGACACTGACAAAGGCGGACGCCGCATATTGTTCGTACAGAGGCTTGGAGCGCTCGAAGATCTTGTCTCCACCGGTGAGCAAAGCCTTGGGCTTGTCGCCACCGGGCACGACCGTCTGCAGGCGGGTCTTGGTGACGGTCTTGCTGGCGCACTGGCCGCTCCCGTGCACGGCCGTAGCGGTGGAGGTCGGTTTGGTGTGGGAAGGATGGGCGGGGACGGTGGTCTCCGCCGGGCCCTTGGTTTCAGCCGTAGAGGTGGGCTTGATCGTGGTCGAGGGCTTGGTGACCACCTCCGGCGCGGAGGTCGTGGGCACCGCTGCAGTGGGCTTGCTGGGCTCGTTCGACTGGGTCCCGGGGAAATCGAAGCCGGGCTGCGAGAGCGATCCCGCCGGGGTAGGGAAGACAATGCGGTCTGTTTGCTGGGTGGATTCCGCGGTCGAGGTCGGCACCACGGTGCTGGCGGGCTCGGTCTGGCCGGCGGGACACACGGAGACGGTCTCCACGACCGTCTCCGTCACCACTTCGACAGAGGGACGCATAGCCCGCTTCTGGACGGAGTTGCCGGGGCGGTAGGTGTTACCCTGGACCCAATTCTTGACGACAGAACCGCCAGCGAGGATGGTGTTTCCGTCGATCCCTGCAACGGCGGCCTTGGAACCACTGAAATCGACGTTGTCCAGAATCAAAGCACCACCGCCGGTAGGAATGCTGTTCTGGGTGAAGGCGGTCACGACACCGGTAGGGGTGTTGGTCAGTTGGCTGTCGAGAATGAGGACGGAGCCCACGGTCTGGTTCTGGGGCGAGTTGGACATGTTCAGACCGACGTTGCAGTTGTTGATGTTGAGCGACTTGAAGGTCCAGGCCCAGTTCCAGTTCATGAAGATGGCGGTGTTGCAGTCGTTGAAGGTCAGGTTCCGGGTGGTGAACTGCTGGTTGCCCAAGAACATGCCGTAGTTGCCACCGTTGAAGGTCAGGTCGCTCATGAAGCCACCGGAGCCGTTGTCCATGAAGATACCCTGTTGCTTGTTGGCATCACCGCCCCCTTTGATCATCTCGAAGCGGATGTTCTGCAAGCTGGTGGCCTGGCCGACCTGCCAGTGAATGCCAGCGCCGGAGCCCTGGGGCATGGCGGTCAGGTCGATGACGAAGTTGCGAATGGCGCGGAAGAAGTTGTTCTGGTTGGTGTACCAGTTGGAGCCGTCGTCGGTGTAGGGGTCGGCGTCGATGACGGCCATGCCCGTGAAGCCCGCGGCGGCTTTGATGACGGGCAGGTCCAGGGCATCGCCCACCATCTGGGTGTAGTAGTACTGGATAATGGGCTTGGAGACGACGTAGGTGCCGGCAGGGAAGTAGACCAGGGCGGGAGTTACAGTGGACGAGTCACAGCCTTGTCCACAACGGTTTCCGTCCGCGATGGCCTTGTTGATGGCGGCGGTGTCATCGGTGGAGCCATCGCCTGGGTTGGTTAGTAGATGTATGGATGAAGTTGCGGATGAGGGATGGACTTACCAGTAGCTCCGTAGTCTTTGACATTGCGGTAGACCTTGTAGTCGGTGTTGTTGCCAAATGCGACAGTCCCTTGACGCTTGATGTTGGCGACCCAGTAGTCGGACGAGGCTACGGCGACGTGCGCAGCCAGATCGAGTCCTTGAGGAGTGGGTACGGCATGGACGAAGGTCAGGAGGGACAGGTGCGCGAGTAGCAAGGTGAGGAGGGAGCGAAAGGACGCCATCGTCTAGATAGCGGTCTCTGACCGGCAGAGAGAGAGATAGAGAGAGAGATGAAGGAAAGTGAGAGGACCAGGCTTCAGCCAGACTCCAGCAACCAGCACTGAAGAAGAGGGAGAGACGGAGATGAGTTGGTCCGGTGATACAAGACAAAGTTAGAAGGAGAGAAAGAGCGAACAAAGGACGCCGCCAAGAGAGGGACAGAAATGACAAAGAGAGAAGAAGAAGAGAAGGGCTCACGAGAAGAAAAAGAGAGGAAGGAGATAAAAGGGAGGGGGAGAGTGAGAAGAGATCAAGGAAGTTGTGTAGATAATAGTGTTGTTGACCGGGTGGAGCCAATCATGGACGATCAGGAGTTGCTGAAACGGAATTGAAACGCCCGTCGACACACGCTCACAGACAATTGCGCATGGATTGGAGGAGAGCGAGAGATGGAGGATGAAGAGATTGATTCAGGGTAGAAGAAAAGAGAACGAGAGAAGAGCGCAAAAAAGAGAGACGAGTACCTATATACCCCTATCGACCCAGCGACCAGACATGCCCCGAGGAGCATTAGTGTTTGCCGTGGAATGGGACGCGTGAGCTTTCAAGGCACGAGGGAGGCGCGGATGGACATTCTTCAGGTTCCTAGGAGACCAACCAAGCGGCAGGATAGCGATGGAGTAGAAGATCCAGGATATCCAGGAGACCGAGAGAAACAGGAGAGGCGACAGGCGAATGACCCTGTGTTCACCCCCATCCCGATCTGGCGTCGGGAGTTATTGATTTCGTGCAGGCGCCTCGACCAGCCAAGCTTTAATGATTTGCTGTTAGTCTGCGAATTAATTAATTAATTTCGGCGGAGCACCAGTGGAATTATAATGAAGATAAAGAAATAATACATCGTTAAATCATAGAAGACAGAATATACAGAGTGGAATCAATAATACTAGATCTAATAGATCTAATAATATCGGTCCGGTCCGTCCATATGTATCCTTGGTTCTACTTCTTTTTAAGGTACTGACTCAGCCGGCGCACCCCCTCGACCAGATTTTCCTCCGTCTCCCACGCAAAACACAGCCGCACGTACTCGTCAAAGTCATTCATCTCCCCCGCCGTGGCGTCCTCCACGCGGAACAGATTCCCCCCGGCCACCACCACCCCCGACTCTTCCTCTCCTAGTCGGGTCACCAGCTCACTCGCCCGCATCCCCTTCGGTAATTGGATCCAGACAAAGTACCCCCCTACGATCCCCCCGGTCTCCATCGGCACGGTGATCCCCAAGGGTACCAGGTGCTCCCGGATGGCGTCCATCAGCCGATAGTACCGCTGTGCATACTGTGGCTGCAACACCTCCACTAGGTGTCTTTGAAACAGTCCGGACGGGAACAGTTCTGCGATTGCCGCTGCGGCCACATGAGATGGCGCCCCGCCCGACCGAGAGGAGCCACTGTTCACATTAGTCTTCCTCCTCGACTTTCAACTAGATCCCAGGAGGAAAGCAGCTAGATCATACGTTTGAGACAACCCGTAGGCCAGTTGGGCCGTCCCCTCGGCCCATCCCGTCCGTGCCCCCGGTCCAATCAACTTGCTGAAACTCCCGTTGCTCAGTGTGTTCCCCCATTCATCCTTCGGTCCGCCGTCGAGGTATCGGTCGACATCCACCAGACGGGGGAGATGGGCTTGGTCCGGTCGAGACAGAGGTTTCGTCGGATCCGCCGACCATTGGAGGAAGTCGTAGACATCGTCGGTGACGATGAGGGCGTCGAACTCCCGCGCCACTCGCACCAGAGCTTCCCGATTGGCCCGCGAAAGACTGACGGTCGATGGGTTGGAGAAGGTGGGCGTGGCGTAGATGACATGCCGGTAGATTTTCGCCCAGGGCCGCTGTGGTTTATATGTCTGAGGGGTAGTCGAGTTAGCCTCCCTCTCTTTGACTTCTCAGCCACATACCACCGGGCGGCCTCCCTCCCGCTCCGCGCTGATGAGAGCGCTCCGTAGAAAGTCCACATCCACCCCCGACGACGCCGTCTGCGGGACGGCTTTCATTCGACCCGCAAACCCGGCATCATTGATAATGCGTGACGCCAGGTGATAGGTCGGCGCGACGAGCCACACATACTGAGTGTAAGCGGGGTCAGTGAAGACCTGGAAGACGCAGGCGAGGTTCTGACTGGCGCCCCCGGTGATACAAATACGATCGGAGGTGACAGGACGGCATGGTTGGTAGAAGGAGGTTAACCACTGGGCGATGTGCTGGCGCAGGGGCTCATGGCCTTGGTCGGGACCATAGAGGAGACACTGATCGGGAGTGGTGAGAGTGGTTGCAAAAGCGTCTGCTAAGGCGGCGGTGGGCAACAAGGCGGGGTTGGGCCATCCACGGAAAAGATCGACGGAGGATGAAGGCGTATTCATCGTTGGCCGGTGTGGTTGTCGTTGTTGGATGGACACGTTATGTAGTGGGGGGACGAGGCTGTGAGAGAGTGAGCCGCCCGGGGCGCTGAGAGAGACGCTTTGCGGAGGCTTGGATGCGGCTCCGCCATGGCATGGGCTGTGGTGTGGGTGTACTCCGTACGTGGATGCTAACGAGGGGAGAGTGGTGTTATAGTATTATCATGATCATAGATGATGCATCCATGCAGTAGTCTGCAGATGTATGTGGGGAGTACCTGTGTCTGTCTGTACAATACATACTCTGTAGGTACTCCGGAGTATGTGTAGGGATGCAGCTAGGTAGAGATGTCGTCATGGAAGAGGAAGGCGGTCAAGGGGGGTTCGTATCGGACACGTCATTTCCACAATATATTATTATTATCAATATTATTAGGAGCATATTGTTGGTATTGTTTTTATTTTACTCTTTATTCTCAATTCTTCTCGCATATGATGTGATTTATGTTTTGGTATAACTTTTCCGATCTGATCTGATCTGATCCAACGGGGTATAGTTCGCAACGTACCTAAGGATCCATGAACTATTGACCCATGGAACCCGCAAAACTCGACTGTGCCTTGGGTCGTTTGTTCGTGCCTAAGAATCCTACCAAACACCGCCTCAGTGGATCAGATCCGATTAATTCGGCCTTGTTGTCAAAGGATTCGGATGGAATACCCTCTAGTGGTATTCCATTAGTTAGGGCATGAAAATTATACTACGGAGTACGTCGCCTAGTTGGTTCGTCACTCACAATTGTATTATTATACAACAAATATACGAATAGTTTACTCTACCATGATGCGTCAACAAAAGAAAACTTCCATGGATCTCTCGACCCACCTGGGTTAAAAATAACTTCTAGTTTTCTTTTTCCTTTTTTTTTTCTCCTGACGGCCGGTTTCTTTTCTGCGCTGTTGTTGCTGGGACTCGGTCGATTATTAAGAAAGAAGACCTTCGGAATCCCTCCTGCCGATCCATCATTCTTCAACCTGCCCATCCCTTCACTTCTCCCTCGCCATCTTGAGTCCTGCTGCTGCTGGTTGGATCAGCTGGCATTCTTTCCTAGCCGGTTCGTGACTGCCTCATACTTCCCTGCCTCTGCATTCTTCATTCCCCTCTCCTCTCGCCTGTCTCTACTACTTCCTCCTACCTCTACTTACCCTCCACCCTCTACCTATTCATCCTCTCTACTCTCTACTCCCATCAACCTCCATGCTAACCTAAACCCCCCAACAGAGAAGATGCTGTCGGCCCCTGTCAAATCAGCCAAGCGCATCTCCTCGCTTTTCTCCCTGAGCTCCAATCGTGATACCTCCAGTCCCTCCTCTCCCGGCTCTCCCGGCTTCCCGCGAACCTCCCCCGAGCAGAATCCTGCGGATCGTCGACGACGCAGCAGTTCTCGCCCCGCCCGCCTCGTCTCCAACCCCGTCGACTATGGCGACGCTCGCTCCCTTCGCTCCCCCGGTCCCAACGATGCCTTCTCCCTGAACGATCCTCTCCCGCCGCCCCCCTCCCTACTGGCCGTCAACCAGGACCTTGCCGGCAGTGTTCCCAGCTCCCCGACGGATGGCCGACCCCAGAGTCGTGGCCGTCGATTGAGTGCCAGTCGTCCTGCCAGTTCCGCGGGGCTATTTGTCCCCGGCTCCGGCCCCGATTCGCGTCCCGGAACCCCCTCCAAACGACGCAGTTGGATGCCCGGACGCATGCGCGCCAGTTCGGTCGACACCCGCCCGACAAACCCCCAGTTACCCAGTGCCTGGATTGCCGGTTTAGAGCAGAAAATCCTCTACGACCTGGATCCGTTGGCCAGGGGAGACCAGGTATGCAACTCTCCCCCCAGGAAAATTTTTAGCGTCGCCCGTTAGTTTCCCCCTCACTAACCCCAGTTCTTCTTAGATCCCGGAGCTGTGGAACGACGCCGGCGACACCTACGTCTATCTCTTCCCCCAGAATACCGGTCGACCTCCCTCCTTCAAACTCCATTCCACAGTCTTTGCCGATTCCCCCTCCCTCAATTTCCTTGCCCGGGGCACAGACCCCCGCTACAACAACTCTCTCGAACACCAGACTCGCTCCGTCTCCTTGGGGAATCCCAGTTACTCCCCGCCCTTGGGTGCCCAGGATCGTCTTGCCGACAATGACGGCGATAGCTCCGGTAGCAGGAGAATCCCCTTTGGTGATGACGATGGGACCGATGAGTTCCAAGAACTGCATCTCTACCTCCCCGTCCCCCTGCAGGGTGATGTCTCGAACCCCCACACCCGCATCTCCCAGGAGGACACGGAAACCCTGCTGTTGTTCCGCAACCTGTTCGCCTTCTTACTCGGACAGTCGCTGATTGCGACGCCGCGCTCCCCTTCCCTCTTCTCCATCTTCATGGATGTGGCCACCCTCCTGTCGCGCTTCGAGTTTTCCAACCTCGACGGCTCCAACTTTGGTGAAACCGCCACCACCAGCTTCGGCAACTACTGCGATGAACTCCATCTGGCCGATGTCCGCCGCAGCCGGGAGAAGACCATCGAAGCCATTGTCCTGGGCGAGCGGCTACGTTTCTTTCCCCTGTACCTAGAAGGTTTCGTCCACGGAGTCGGAAAATTGGACGAGCTGAAGCAGCTGAGGAGTCCCAAATACAGCCTCATTAGCCCTGTCACGCAAAAACGCTTGGAACGTGGCTTCATCGACCTGGACACGCGTCTCCGCGTGTTGTACAGCAAGCTCGACGACTTTGACTTCCCCTCGGTCTTTTCCGGCATCGCCAACTCGGCGACTTCCGAGGAGAGCAAGGTCATCCGCTTCAAGGCCTGGAAGGCTGCCTTTATGGAATTCCGTCGCTTTGTCATGCAGTACTATCGCCAAAAGTACGGCTCCTGGCCCCCCAAGGCCCGGTCGAAGAAGAACCACTTTGAGGAGAGTGGTCTGAACCGCCAGGTGCTCCGAGAGCTATACGAGGACTTCACCAACCTCTACGACATGTTGGTCGACCGCACGGCGCTGACCACTCGCACCCTGGATATGTCCGGCGATACCTCGGAGGCCCACACCTATGAGGAAATCATGAACCGCGCCCTGCGCCAGATCGAAAGCGAGTACGATCGCGCCACGCCGCCCGTGCAGCCGCCCATTCCCTTTGACATCCCGCAATATCCCTCACTGCAGTCCCTCCACCAGAAGCCCATGGATCCTAAGAAGGAGGCGAAGAAGAAGGCGAAGAAGCTCAAGGATTCCGACATAAACGCGATCCTCATGGGTTCCTACACCCGCGAAAGCCTGCGGCCCACACCGTTCATCGAGGCCTTTATGCAATTCGAGCGGCGATGCGCTCACGGCAAGACCCTCAACGACCTCGTGGACCTGCGATGCGGGCAGTGGATCCTGCTCTACTGTGTCATCCAGGCCTTGCCGCTGCTGGTGGTGGATGTGCAGGATGTCAAGTTCACCAGCGGGGTGGAATACTTCCTGTGTATCGCCCCTCGCGGCGGTGCGCCGTGGATTCACAACGACGGCAAGGCGGCGCGCAGTTGGTTCGGCGTCGCAGGCGGCTCGGGTCTGGTCAGTCTCCCTTCGGATGTGGTCGTGAACGGGGTGGAAGGCATCTACCGGCGCAGCCACTGCTGGCAGGTGGCCGAACAGTGGGCCGAAAAGGACGCGATTCTCGCTCCGCCCACGGTCGATGACCCATACGACAACGAATCCTCGTTATCCTCACCCTACCAGGGCCAACAGTCGTCGGCGGGTTCGTCGGCGGAGCAACAGCTGCAACAATTACAGCTTCAGCAACAGCAGCAGCAGCAATACGTGGCCACGGGCTCGCCACTGCTGAGCCCCAACGGTCTGACGCCGCCGCCACCGCCCGCCATCCCTCGCACAACGTCTCCCGCCGCCCGGAGTCGCGCCGAGCATCGGCACTCGATCTACCCGGGTCTGGAAGCCCTCCCGCTGCCCGCGGGCGTCGCACCAATCGATCCTCCGTCCCGACCGATCAGTCGGTTCAACCCAAACATGAGCTTTGACGATATTCTGAAGCAGGTCCCCAACCAAAAGGGGAAGAAATAAGAGCCAGCGGCACAGATGCGCTGGGTGGTGAACGCCCTGAATTGCCCACTGGACTGAACCCGGTGGTGTCCTCGCGTACCACCATCTTGCCTTTGTCTTTTCACTCGTTGTCTCCTTTCATTTCCTACTGTTCACATCCATGTTTTCCTTGATCATAATGGGCGCACCGATTTCCCCACGGATACAAAAGGCTGAGCGGCGTATATGTGAGACCATCTGGATTGAAACCATCATTGATAAAAGAGAGACGGAAGGATTTCCTTTGCAGCGTGCATAGTTTTCGCGGCGTCATGCCCTGTTTTGAATATGGTCCCCCTCTCGTTGTTGCATCTTTCTTATTCCTTCATCTGTACACTCCTTTCCTCTGGACCTTGTTTCTCTCGGATGTCTCTGCGACCGCCTGACAGCCTGGTTGATTTGATGTTTTTACTACCCATGAGACGGATAGAGATAATACGTCCTGCGTGGACGAGTAATATATTTATTGGCCTTCGGGTTGGGTTCATGTGCGATAATGGAGTACCTTGGGTAGTAGGCAGTAGGCGCATTGGATATATATCTGGATTTCCCGTGACCGTTCATCTACGATACACTTCTTCCCACTCACTTCCCTTCTCTCCTTCTCTTTCCCTCCCTCTTCCTCCTACATGACCCATTGCACGTCAAAATCATTCGGCTACTCCAAAGACGGTGGCAACACGGGATAATATAGCCGATCGTACCACCATTGCATTAAAACGCCTCTCGGCTGACCCCACGGTCAACACGATAGGCAATGTCACAACGCAGTTAAGAATCGGAGGACAAGACCATGCTCATCCAGTGCCATTATTGAACCAATAAAACGACTATTTTAAATGTCCAAAATGACAGCAGTCTACAGAACAAATTTACAAGCACGAGTCACAATCGTGGGACAGAAAACAGCCGGCGCGGAATGATGAAAGGATCGAAATGCAGCTAACGAGGCCGGCCTACTCTTAATCGATCGTCCTCGTATCTTCCGAGGCTCTGCACCCTGCACAAAACTGGGGAAAATTCTACCCCTTTCATTTGCCTCCACCGTCTCTCTCCCTCGACAGAGACTCTGGCGGTCGGCGATAATGCCGTCGTGCTACGCATATCACTCCCCATCACTTCTTGAGAGACCCTCTCGTCTCGACCATGTCCCGGTCCCGGTCCAGCATCGCGAGCGACGGCCATGACCGACTGGAGCCGCGACTCCTGCGAGCCGCGGAAAACGACAATGTCGAAGCCCTGCGGCACATCATCGACCTCGCCCGCGACAATGGCCAATTCAGCGATAACTTCCTCCGCGTGGGACTCATGCGGAGCTGCGAACGCGGTCGCATCGACGCAACCCAGTACCTCCTGAGCCTGGGCGCAAAGACCGACGTCCCAACGCACCGTCTTTCTCCACTGCTACGCGCTGTCGAGCGCAATCACGTCCGCATCGTGCAACTCCTCCTAGACTACGGCGCCTCCTCCGAGACAACCGACAAGGAGGGCCGCACAGCGCTCATGACCGCCGCGTGGCGCAACCACTGGCACGTTCTGCAGCTGCTCATCTCGCGCGGCGCGGACGTCAACGCCCGTGACAGCAAGAAACGCAACATCCTCCACAACCTCGCCGCCGACAAGCAGTGCGACTGGGGCGACGCCGTCGTTGACCTCCTCCTCGGCACAGTCTGCGACGTCGACGCGCGCGACGAGCTCGGCCGCACCCCGCTGCACTGGGCCTGCGCGACGGGTAAGCTCCGTCTCGCTGAGCGGCTGCTTCGCACGCCGGCGGACGTCAACGCCGGCGAGTCTCGCGGCAAGACAGCCCTGCATGTGGCGATTGCGCACGGTCGGGACGACATGGTCCAGCTGCTTCTGCAGCACGGGGCGCGCATCGACTCGCGCAGCGACGGTGGCTGGACGCCGCTGCATAACGCGTGCGATAGCGGCTCGGAGACGATCGTGCGTATGTTGATGCGTGCCGGCGCGCCGATCAACTCCCAGCTGCTGAATGGAGTGACCCCCCTGCATTTGGCTGCGCAGGCAGGCCACCGTGCGGTAGTGGAGTGTCTCTTGGAGCGGCCGGATCTGAAACGTCGTGTGCGTGATAACTTCGGGAGCACGCCGTTCCTGCGCGCGGCGCAGTTCAAACGCAAAGATATTGTCGCCTTATTGGCCCCATTCAATAATGTCGATGCGCTGACACCGGACGCGCGTGGTGCGTGCGAGGGCTTCGACGCGACGGTCGTCGACTTTGGAAACTTTCACAACGAAAACCGCGTGATCAAGACCTCCGTCTTCAACCTGTTGTATGGCCGTGACGCGGAGAACTCACGCAAGCAGGCCTTCACAACCATTCCCGCGAACAGCAAGGCCACCGACTTTAGATGGATCCATCTGCCCGCGAACAACATGGCTTGGGTTGAGGCCCTCCTGACCAAGAACTTCATTGAAGAGGGCGCCCATGATGTCGAGAGTTTCAAGGGCCTGGAGAGGTCTTTCCGCTACCAGCATCGCGGCCAGCGTACCCACTCGCATTTCATGCGTCCGCTGTGTCAGAGCTCGCCGCGCGTGCCGCGGCCGATTCTGCGACAGGAAGAGAGCTACAGCGAGAAGACTGACGAGGAAAAGCCTCCGCAGATTGTCATCAACAACAATAACACCAGCAACAGCCACGCCTCCACCCGCGGAGGCGAGGACACCGCTAAGTCCAAAAAGCAAAAGAATCAGGGGACGAAGTTTGAGCGCGTGGACTCGAACTCCCAAGACGATGGCGGGAATGGCTCACAGGGAAAGAAAAGCAAGGCCCAAACCAAGAAAGGGAAGTCGGGCTCAACCCCTCCAAAGACCCGTCAGGATGACAAGCAGCGCGCGCCTCTGTCACTGTGTCGCGATCAGCCCAGCTGCAATGTGTGCATGTTCATGCCATACCTCCACTTTGAGACGGCAGAACGCCGCGAGAAAATGCAGGAGGCCATCCAGCGCGCCGAGACGCAGCATGCACCGCCTCAGGGCATCACGCGGTCCCCGACGCGCGACGAGATGCTGCTGCGGGCACATCTGGCGTCCTCGACGACATCGTTGCATGTCCGCCGCACGCTTGACCAATTCTTCTACCCCAACATCGATACGCAGACGCGCGACCGTGACCAGGTCGTGTACAGGTACCAGACGAAGGGGCAGGGCCGCGGGCGGTTTGCAACCGAGCCGAAGATCTTCATGGTCGACCAGCTGTGGATGTGGATCATGGGCACGAACTTGATCGTGACGAGTTTTCCACAGCGGTGGGAGCAACCGAAGAATGACCCGCTCAACGTCCTAGACGGCATCATCGAGGACATCAACTCGAAAACCCGCGAGCCTGTGCGCTCCGTGTACGACCTCGCGATCATCATCACCAACCGCTGCTCGGGCGTGTTTGACCGCCACCGTATGGGCGACGAGGAGTACCAGTTTCTCGACATGTTTGAGGCGTCCATCGGTATTGCGACGGACCGCGAGACTATGCTGTTCAACCGGTTCAACCGGGCGTCGGCGCAGGCGTCCGACTGGCTCAAAAACCATCGCAAGCTGAGTCGGTTTAAACAGGATTCGCCCGATGGCGACAAGCCGCATCTGCAGTTCATGATGCTCCAGGAAGACGGTGCTACCATCATCGCGGAGGACGATGAAGAGCCCCTCTTCGTCGACAACCTCCTCGATATCGGCCAGGAAATCGACCTCCTTTCCGAAGCAAAGGATATCCGAGACGAGCTCGGCATGATCCGCACGGTTTTGGAACACCAGCAGCACGTGCTGGACGACTTTTACGGGGCCATCTGTGAGATCTACCATGGACAGCAGCGGTCGCAGTACGAGGTCAAGAAACGGTTCAAGGAGCAGCAGCGTACGATCGACATGCATCTCAAGGACATCAGCCGCATGGACCACCAAGCTGAGCGCATCTACTCCTCCATCACGGATCTCCTCGATCTCAAACAGAAACACGCTAACGCTTTCGAGGCCCGCTTCGCGCGCGACCAGGCCGCCGGCACTACTCGCCAGGGCAAGATCATCATGGTCTTTACCATTGTCACCATCATCTTCCTCCCGCTGTCCTTCATCACCTCCATCTTCACCATCAACATTGCCGAATTCCCGCGCAATGCTGAGGGCAGCCAAAACCTGCACCTATCCTATGTTGCGAAGTATACCTTCGGCATTGGATTTGCCATTTCCATCCCGCTGATCCTGCTGGCGCTGTCGGTTGACGATATCGGCGATGTGTGTCTCGAGGGCGCGCGGCGCATGCGCCGTTGGTTGTCACGGCGGAGGAGTGCTTCAATGATACAGTCGGATACAGGGACTGTGGATCGGCCTGTTACGGCACGGGAAATGAAGAAGATACTCAGCGGACGACGGAGCTATGAGTCGGATCTTCCGAGTGTGTTGCCTGTCTCGACGCGAGACACGGGCCCGGTCGAGGCGGAAGAACATGTTTGTTCGTGATGACTTTTGACGATTTATGACGTATACGATAAATAGTTTGATATTAGCGCGTAGAGAAATGAAGACTTTATATGAATATAGTGGGTTAGCCATCTTGATATGCTCTTCTAGTCACATGATATGGTAGACACGTCCACCCCCTCGCGTCTCTGGTATTCTGTATAATCTTTCGCTTTAGCCAGTCTGAAATGCGCCGATTTGAAAGGATCTACGACGTGGTCGAGCCAGTGGAAGAGTATCGCCGTGGAGGATACCACCTGGTCCATCTGGACGATGTATTCCAACAGAGATACACGGTGATTGCGAAGCTCGCATACGGCCAATATTCGACTGTCTGGCTGGCCGAGGATGCAGGATCGTGAGTACTCCAGCAGATACGCAGACAATCACTAATGCCAGTTGAAGAAACCAGCGACAGGTTGCACTGAAGATACTAAAGGCAGAGATCTCCAAGAACAACACTGAACTCTCCATGCTTCTGCGAGTATCGGCTTGCCGCGGGAATCACCCCGGAAAGACAAATGTCATTGAATTGCTCGATCACTTCTATCATACAGGCCCAAATGGCACCCACTTGTGTCTTGTGTTTCCTGTGATGGTGTCGGACGGGCAGGCAATGACCACTGGTGGTGTACCACATTGCGCAGGCTACGTCCAGACTGTTTCGCGTCAGATTCTGCTCCGCCTTGACTTTCTCCATCAGTCAGGCATTGTTCATTGTGGTAGGTACTCTTCCACATACCTAATACCATGCGCTGACGGATGCAGACCTGCAACCCGCAAATATCATGGTTTCGATGGCTGGGCATGCATGCAAGGACTTTCTAGAACCTCCTGAGTTTAGCCCCGTGAAGTGGCTGGAAGGCGTGACACAAGATGACAGTGCACCCCGGTATCTGTTGCCCTCACAGAGACGCCGAGGTCAACTGGATCATGCAGATTTTACTAAACTTGTGGTCAAGATTGGGGACCTGGGAGGAGGTAAGATATCATGTGTTATTGTGCTCTTTTGCAGCTGACAGGTGCTCACAGCCCAATGGGCGCAAAAATGCGACCAGCCGCCCGTAACACCAATCTCCCTGCGCGCACCTGAGTTGATTCACAGAGAACACTGGGATGTTGGTATCGACATCTGGAGTTTAGGTTGTCTGGTAGGTGGATATTTCCTCTGAAAACAGTTCTATCCTCTGACTGACAAAAGATATTCGAACTCACGACAAACCAGCCACTATTCCCTCTGGATGTGTTCGGCCTTGCACGCGAGGAGATTGATGAACAGCATGATTCCATCATCACGCAGCGACTTTGTATTGATGGGCAGAGAGGTCAGGAGTTTGCTGCGTATGTGAAGGAGAGGCTTCCGGGTGACTTTGGTTCTGAAAATGCACACAGTCTTGCATCTTTCTTGTTGGATATGCTGCAGATCAGCCCGGAAAGACGACTGCCAGCGAAGGATCTACTCAGCGCCCCCTTTTTACTGGGGAGATCTGAAGGGTAGCGGAGTGAATGTAAAGCCATTCATCCTTCTAATACCTGGGTCCATTATCTGACCAGCCACTTGAGCTTCTAGGCTATTCTGGAACACGGCGTGGCTTCAATGGTCTAATAATCAATAAGCCACCATAGTACCCCGTGGCGGCTTTGACTCATTTTTGCGATTTTTGCCGTATTGTCAACACCTTTAGAGTGAAGTCCAGGGTCCTGCCGTGTTTCGGCCGGGATGTCAGAGATAGAGACTCTCATAATCTCAAATTTCCCGATGTTCCTTCATTACTGGATTTGTCTGAAGCCAGTCCAGCTTTTGAAATTGGCTCGAGATCACGGAATACGTACGGTCCACACCAAGTCCGTCGATGTGATCACGGAGGAGACACTATCCAAACCAATTCACTGACTGGCTTAGAAAGAAAGGAGAGACTCGGCGCCGACGAACCACAGCAGATATCAATAGGACTTGGATGCTCCAATCCAATCGATGCGCAACACATACGAAATGGGCATCGACATGCTGCATGACGAGTTCATATGATTCTAAATCCTCTGATCGAATCACGCTGCTGCCCAGCACGAGCTGAATTTTCGCATCCATGCACCGGTGTCACCCGTTAACTACTCCGTACGGGCCAAGCAGGCCAAAAGGCCCAGCTCGTGAGCCAGACTAATCAGCGGGCAGGTCGAGATTGCCTCGACAGGGACCCATGCTCGACGGGTAACTAGATCCTGCGGAATCCTCCGTCGCCCGTGCCTAGGCGAGCATTGGCGTCTCCACCGGCAGTAGTTCGAGGCAAGATGGGACGCTGTTCGGTCCACCGGCCAGCGCACGAACTGGGATGTGCGCCATTTCCTCGAATATACTTTGGCGGCGGTGATATCCCTGCAGGCGTCTTGCGTGAATGAACGTGCGAGGTACGACACTGGAGGAAGAATCATGTAACCCTGCGGTCCTTACCATTGGATTGGATGGCTGATTACACTTTGAGCTATTCGAATCTCATGAAGATTATCCGGTTGAGGGTGCCGAAAATTAATCTGATTTATTCAGACGCCCCTGTAGCCAGATGCGGTTTGTCGCCATGTCAGAGGTGGTGGTGACCAGAGGGTCTGACATGCAAGCCACAGCCACCTGTCGCAGTAACACGAGGGTCGGTCTCTCTTTAAACCAAAGCATCCTCTTCTGCATTTGAGCCTGGTTGTGCCCGTCGATGGAATGCAATGGGTCGCTTTGCGCCGGACAGTTGGACGCCCGCGGTCAATGTCACCACTTGGTTCCTACTGGTGACGGCCATCCTCAGCGTGCTGACCCGGCTGGGCACCAAGTATCGGATTTTTCGAAGATGGACGGTAGACGACTACCTCAGCATTGCGTCTTTGGTAGGTTCCTGCGGGAATATGAGCCTGTTCCACCCGTGTACTGATCGCAATAGGTGTTCTGCGCGGCACAGTCGATCGCCGTTTCGATGGCCACTGCGAATGGATACGGCGAGCATTACGGGAAGTTGAATGATGCTCAGATCGAGGGCGTCATGAAGGTGACTCGAGTCTTCTGCCTGCCAATGAACCAACTGACAGCGTGCAGTCGCAGTACTCGGCCAACCTCCTGTTCGTCGCCAGCATGTGCTTCTCCAAACTCGCCCTCACCAGATTCGTCCACGGACTCACCCCTTCGTCGTCGGATCGTCGGATCGCCGTCGGCCTGGAAGTGTTCATCGTCCTCTGGGCCGTGGCTGGCATCATCGCATCGGCATTCCAGTGCAGACCGCCCGACACATGGGACTATCTCCACGGGCAATGCTTCGACCTTGTGCGCAGATCCGTCAGACACACAACGGACCTCTAACATGCTAACAGCAGACAGGAGGCATGGCGGAAAGCCCTCGGAGCGACCAACATCTTATCAGAAGCCGGCATCGTCGCGCAGGCCGTCCTAGTCATCAGCCGAATCCAAACCAACATCCGCAAGAAGGCCGTTCTCGCCAGCGTCTTTGCCATGCGCATCTTGTGCGTACCATACCCTCCTTTCACACAGGAACACACAGCTGACCGTCCAGCGTAATCGCCGCCATCTTCTGCCAGCTCATCTACGCCCACAAAACCGCACACACACCAGACCCGACATCGGATACCTGGCCCGTGGCCGTCTCAACGCAGCTGGCCCAGTGTCTGAGCGTGGTCACCGCCTGCTCGCCGCAGTTCAAGCCGTTCCTCGACAGCCTGCGGTCGACGGGCATGCGCGTCGACGGCATGAGCCGCTACAACAAGTCCTACGGCTACGGGTCAAACTTGGGCTCGCGCGTGCGCACGGCGACGGCCAACACGCGCAGTCGTCGCCGCAGCGATGCCAACGAGCTGACGCCCATTCCGCTCAAGGAGACGCAGCAGACGCACACGCATCAGGCGACGGTGACGACGATGGGCGCGGCGCAGGACTGGGACGCCGAGAGCCAGTCGAGTCAGACGAGGATTATACGCGAGGTGCGCACGTTTACGGTGACGGAGGTGCGGGATTCGAAGGCGTTTTGTGGATGATGGATGGGTGTATAGATGGGGGGTTGGGTTCGTGTATATGCTCCATAAGTCTACCTTAGTTCCGGTTGTATGGAAGCGCATACTCCGTACGAATAATGACCACCGATAATCACAGTCGATTCAAACACCCCAGTCCTGTACTCCTACACTCCAAAGACATACGTGGAGATGACTAGGCTTGGCCGACCAGGATCTCCCTCTAGTTAATCCCCTAGTTGATCCTAGATCGAGCCTAGGATTTAGTGCTGCAACCTCAGCGCCGAGACGGATCGAGAGTCTCCGCCGACGAGCTGGAATTCTCCGGCCATTTCTGAGAGCAAAAACCCTTCGTTCAATTGGTGTCGTACTAGTCGTGCTAAGCAGGCTACTGTAGTCTGGACGGGGTGTGGATGCGACCATGGCGGCGGCCAGACCCGCGCCAACACGCCGTGATGCAGACTAATTATGTTTTCATTTCTAACAAATTGCTGGCCGTCTCGCCGCTGCTTTGCGCTGGGCGCGTTACGCTGTATGGCATGTGCTTTAGTCTTTCGCATTCCTGCATGGCATGGTGGCTGCAGTCGTGTAACCCTACCCCGGCCCCCTCGTTGACTTCAAACTTGTCGACTTTTTTCTTTTTCACTTCCTCAGCACTTTGTCTGTCTATTGTCTTGTATATTATTGTCTGTCTTTTCGTTTGTTAGGCATCATGGCCTCCCAGCATGAACTCAAGTATATGTCGCCGGACAGTCCGCACGAGGTGGAGGGCCGTCCCTCTAGCAAGGAGATGGACGACATCAACCTTGCGCGGATGGGGAAGCGGCCAGTGTTGAAGGTGATCTGAGTCCCGTCTATACTCGACGCCAGCTGACAGGGTAGCGCAATTTTGGATTGATGTCGATGCTCGGATTTAGCTGCACGATTCTCATCACCTGGGAGGGGATTACCGTGTACGTGTTGTGACCGCAATTGCGCACGCTGTGCTAACTCACGCAGACTGTTTTTGCAAGCTTTCCAAAAGTATGGACGCCGTTACGCTGGTGGATTTCTGCGATACTGACTGCTCCAGTGGCGGTCCGGCCGGCGCGGTCTACGGCTTCATCTTCGTCTGGGCTGGCGTGGCAGCAACATTCGTGGTTCTTTCGGAGCTAGCTTCGATGTGAGTATCTCTGGGACTTGAGGGAATGCAATTGACCGTTGTAGGGCTCCCACCAGCGGAGGCCAGTACCACTGGTGCTCGATGCTCGCCCCGGCGTCGTTAATGAAGCTCTTCAGCTACCTCACTGGTACGCACCCCGACTAACTCAGCCCAGCATCTACTGACGAAGCACAGGATGGTTGACGGTGATCGGCTGGCAGGCCACCTTTGCGACATCGTGCTTTCTCTCCGGCACGCTGATCCAGGGCCTCATCGTCCTCTGCAACGCCGACTACGTACCGCAATCATGGCACGGCACGCTGCTCTTCTGGGCCGTGGCCGTCTTCTCGATCGCCATCAACAGTGTGGGAGGCAAGCTGCTACCGCGCTTTGAGGGCCTGATCCTCGTCCTGCACATCCTGGGCTTCTTCGCCATCCTCATCCCGCTCGTGTACATGGCGGACCACGGCAACGCGCACGAGATCTTCACCACCTTCTACAACATGGGCGAGTGGCCAACACAGGGGCTGTCGTTTTTCATCGGGTTGGTAGGGTGTGTGTTTGCTTTTGCAGGTGGGGACGCCGCCGTTCATGTATGTTGTTTCCTTATACCCGCGCACGACAGTCCACGGCGAAACTGACAATGCAGATGTCGGAGGAAATCACCAACGCCCCCGTGGCCGTCCCCCGGTCCATCATGCTGAGCGTCCTCATCAACGGCAGTCTCGGCTTCGGCATGCTCATCGCCACGCTGTTCTGTCTCGGCGACATCGAAAAGGCCCTCGAGTCGCCCACCGGCTACCCCTTCATGCAGATCTACCTGCAGGCCACGGGCTCCGTCCCCGGCACGGCCGTCATGTGCTCCATCATCACGGTCATGGGCATGTGCACGTCTGTCGGCATGCTAGCGACCACCTCGCGCCAGCTGTGGTCGTTTGCGCGTGACCGCGGCGTGCCGCTGTGGCGGGTTTGGAGCAAGGTGCGTCTATCCCGTATCCCGCCGCATTCCGTATACTTACGAGACAGGTTACCTCCCGCACCGCAGTCCCCTTGTACTCGGTCATCCTGACGACCGTCATCGCCTGCCTCCTGGCGCTGATCAACATCGGCTCCGCGGTGGCCTTCAATGCCCTGGTCTCCATGTCCATCTCCGGGCTGTACCTGTCGTACGTGATGGTCGCCGGGCTGCTGCTCTACCGCCGCTGCACCGGCGGCATCAGCTCGTCCAAGAGCATCGCCGCTGCCGATGAGATTGTCAACACGGCCGGAGCGCGTCTCGTCTGGGGCCCGTTCCATCTGCCCGGCGTCTGGGGTATCCTCGTCAACAGCTTCGCTATCGTGTACATGCTCATCGCCGTGTTCTTCAGCTTCTGGCCGCCCATGCGGGCCGTCACCCCATCGACATTCAACTTTAGTGTTGCGGGGACGGTGACGGTGATTGTGTTCAGCCTTGTGTATTACTTTGTGCGCGCCAGGAGGGTGTATTCGGGGCCGATTGTGGAGATTCATTAGTCTGCGTGCTGCAGCTGGGACGGCTCCGAATTGCACATGCGAAGTGTAATATTTTAAAGGTCGTGCTGTACAGGTCATAGAGAAAATCAGACAAAGCATATCCCTATCGATCCTGTCGACTCCTGTCAACGTCGTATCACATGGGCCGAGTTACGTCTGTCGCGTCGAGTCTGCCCGATGAAGGAGCATCCGCAAACATCCGCAGCCATCACCGAGCAGACTTGAGACGATCTTCGTGATCCATATCTTGAACAACTCCTGTGTCCACATGTGCACCCGAGCCTCCGGGCGGATATGTTCGGGGAGTCTCGGAGTCGGGCTGGCTGGCTTCCGTTCCGTGAAATCCCAACATAGTGTCCGAGGTGGATCGTGAATGAACGTGAGTCAGAGTTCCGGTGAGACTTCGGGGGGAGTAGACCGAAGACAGGAGGATGGAAGCTGCTGGATGAGATTCCGATGCCCTGTGATAGCGAAGGACTCGGGTTCATCCACCGCCTGACGGTTTCGACAGATGAGGTCATGATGTGTTCAGCACCGCCTTTTATAGTCGATCTGCCCGGAGCCCAGCCATACATACAGACGGAATTCACATAGAACAATCTAACGTTTCCGGATCAATACTACTAGTAGCAATGCGACCGAGGTCAATTGGCTGCGCAGTCGCATACTTCCGTCGGCCAGCACCCATCCTCTTCTGTGGCAGCCATGTTTCCAAACGAAGACTAGCAACCCAAATCCAGCACTCGGCAGCCTTCGCAGAGCCAGACCATGGCAAAGAACGCGTGGTAATACTCGGCTCTGGCTGGGGCGGGTACACGCTCTCGCGAAAGCTGTCTCCGAAATCGTTCAAACCGCTCGTCATCTCACCGCGCTCCTACTTTGTCTTCACGCCGCTGCTGACCGAGGCCGCCAGCGGGTCGCTGGACTTTTCCAACATCGTGGAGCCGGTGCGCGATCCGCACGCGCGGGTGGACTTCATCCAGGCGGCGGCGCGGGCGGTCGATTTCGACAAGAAGACGGTCCTGTGCGAAGCGACCGTGGTCAAGAGCGGGGTGACGGAGTCGCCGCGGACGCCGGGCGAGGAGCGCGCGACGGAAGAGGGGCCTGAGACGACGCAGTCACCGCCTCTGGCGCGGACGCGGCGCTGGGAACAGGGCGAGATGTTCGAGGTGCCATACGACAAGCTCGTGATCGCCGTGGGCGCGGTGAGCAAGACGTTCAACACGCCGGGTGTCCGGCAGAACGCCATGTTCTTCAAAGACATCGGCGACGCACGGCGGGTGAAGAGGCGGGTGCGCGAATGCTTCGAGCTGGCGGTGCTGCCGACAACAACCCCGGCGATGCGGCGGTGGCTGCTGCACTTTGCGATCGTGGGCGCGGGTCCCACGGGCACGGAGCTTGCGGCGTCGCTGCGCGATTTCATCACGAAGGACCTGATCGCGCTGTATCCGGGGCTGGCCGGGGTGCCGCGCATCTCGCTGTACGACGTGGCGCCCAAGGTGCTGTCGATGTTTGACGAGTCGCTGTCGCGGTATGCGATGGAGACGATGCGCAAGGAAGGCATTGACATCAAGACCTCGCACCATGTCGAGGGTCTGCGCTGGGGCGCGCCCGACGCCGCGCCGCCGTACGAGATGGACCCGAAGCGGTGTCTGACGCTGACAACGGCCGAGGAAGGGCCGGTCGGGGTGGGCATGTGCGTGTGGGCAACGGGTAACGCGATGAACAAGTTTGTCGCCAACGCGTTGCAGCAGGTCGAGCCGTTCCCGGCGGCGTCGGCGGTGATGAAAGACGGTAGTGCGGCGTCAGACCATACGGTGGACGCTCAATGGCACGTCAAGAAGGCGCCCAAGGTGGGTGCACTGCTAGTGGACGGACACATGCGCGTGCAGCTGGAGAACGCGGATGGACAGACGGCGGTGCTGCAGGACGTGTATGCGCTGGGAGACAATGCGATGCTGGAGACGGGAGCACCGCCGGCGACGGCGCAGGCGACATCGCAGGAGGCCAAATGGCTGGCAACGCGGCTCAACCGCGGGGACCTGGCGACATCGCCGCCGTTCTCCTTTCACAACATGGGCACGATGGCGTACATTGGCGACGCGCGCGCGCTGATGCAGTTCCCGCAGGAGCAGGGGAGCGGACATCTGACGGGGCGCACGGCGTCGTTTGTGTGGAAATCAGCGTATCTGACGATGAGCATCAGCTGGCGGAACAAGCTGCGAGTGGGATTCCGGTGGTTGTTGAACAATCTGTTTGGGCGCGATGTGTCGCGATACTAAGTTCAGTTCTGTATAGCCCAGAAAGGAAGGTCTAGCCAGATACTCTATTAGGTAACGGCGGACTTTTGTCCGCTCGTCATTACATAACGAACATCCACGGATCTATATCTATCTGCCGTCGCTGCCTGGAGCCATTCTGCCATATCTTCACGGCTACAAGATCAATTATTCCAATTCTTTCCCAATTCTTGCATTACACCGACTGCCAGCGCCACAGAATGTACCCCCGCTACTTCTATCCCCCCGGCTTCGCCCGGCATCTCGCCACCATCCTGGGCTTCCCATCCAAGCCCTCCATCGCAGCCGAGTACTATGAAATGGCCTGCAAAGACATTGCCAACCTGGCTGCCGCCATCTCCGGCTTCGAGCCCGTCCGTTTGTATGCGCAACCCGGTGATGCGGCCAAAGCGCAAGCGACCGTCGACCAGGCTGTGAAAGAATCGGCGGGCAAGACATCCAACATCACCGTCATCCCGCTGCCCACCAACCATCTCTGGGTGCGGGATACAGGCCCCGTGTATGTGCGCGGGACTGACGAAGCCAACCGGAAGCGCCGGTTTGCGATCGATTTTGGTTTCATCGAATGGGGCCGGAAAGACGAGATCAGCGACCATCACAGTGCGGCCGACGGACTGCAATGGCCGATCATGGGCCGCGCGCAGCTGCAGGAGAATACCGACTTCGCTAAACGTGTGATTAAGTCGGATACATCGCCTGAGCCGGTGACGCGCGTGCAGCCGAAGATTTGCCTGGAAGGCGGTGCGCTTGTTGTCGACGGCGAGGGCACGCTCCTAGCCACGGAGAGTAGCATCCTCAACGACAACCGCAATCCCGGTCTCTCACGGGAGGAGATCGAAGCAGAGCTCCGTCGGTTGCTGGGCGTCGAGAAGATTGTTTGGTTCCCCGGTAACAAGGGTCTGGATGTGACGGATGTGCATGTCGACGCCGAGGTCAACTTCATCCGGCCGGGCGTGGTTGTGCTCTCACGCCCGCATCCAAGTGCGCCCCAGGCATGGTGGAAGGTTCACAACGAGATTCGACAGATTCTGGAGCAGTCGACCGACGCAAAGGGGCGGCGCTTTGAGGTGCACATCGTGGACGAGCCCGACCCGAAGTGCCTAGGTACGCTGTCTCACGACGATGTGGCAACGAACTATGTGAACTTCTATTTTGTCAACGGAGGCCTGATTCTTCCCCAGTTTGGAGATGCGCAGCGCGATCGCGAGGCCGTGGAACTGTGCCAGAGACTGTGTCCGGAGCGAGTCGTTCGACCGGTGCATGTGCGGGCGCTGGCTTTGGCGGGAGGAGTCATTCACTGCTCGACACAGCCTGTGATTGCGGTGGATTAGTTGCGTCTGTGTGTTTTATAGGAACTGTATGTACATAGTCTTGTATAGTATAGGGCTCCGTTGTATAGGAACATCTCCAATCTGCTCCAACTTCAATGCGGGGAAATAACCTCGGCTGTGGATGGCCGGCTACAAATGCTGAGAGTCTCCCTTCCGCTTTCTTTCTGTAGTTCATCCCATCCCACCATGTCCTACCAGTCGATTGCTCAGCGAAAGCAGGCGCAGTTGGATGCGCGCATCCCTGCTGAATGGAAGCTCCCAGCTTCTGCCATTCCCCCGGGGATGCTCTCTCCCGCCGAGTCCATCACCGAGACGAACCGCTACCAGCGGGTGAATGTCATGAACATCCCTCGCACCTGCGGCCTGCTCTCCGCCCGTGAATTGGACATTACAGAGCAATACGATGTCCACGGGCTGCTACAGTCTATTGCGGAGAAGAAGTTCTCCTCGGAAGAGGTGGTGCGGTCGTTTTGCAAGGTACCGCACTCCCTCGTGAATACCCTCAACAGCACGCTGACCCATCTAGCGAGCTGCGATCGCCCAGCAACTCACCCGCTGCTTGACGGAGCCACTCTTCGACCGCGCCATCCAGCGCGCAAAGTCCCTGGACCAACATCTCCAGCAGGCCGGAACCCCCGTCGGTCCTCTCCACGGCCTCCCCATCACCGTCAAGGATAGCTTCAACATCAAGGGCGTCGACTCGACGACCGGCATCGCCGCCCTGGCGTTCCAGCCCGCCACCGCCAACTCGCCCCTCGTCGACCTCCTCGAGTCCCTCGGCGCCGTCATCGTCGCCAAGACCAACATTCCGCAGACGATGGGCGCCCTGGACAGCTGCAACCACCTCTTCGGGCGCACGCTCAACCCGCTCAACCGCCAGCTGACCGCGGGCGGTAGCACCGGCGGCGAGGGCGCATTGCTCGCCCTGCGCGGGTCTATGGTGGGCTTCGGCACGGACATCGGTGGCAGCATCCGCATTCCCGCCATGTGCCAGGGCATCTACGGGTTCAAGCCCAGCGTCGGCCGCGTGCCGTTCGGCGGCCAGGACGCCGGCCACGCGCCGGGCAAGTCGCGCATCGCCCTGCAGGCCGTCGCGGGCCCGCTGGCCCGCTCTGTCGCAGACCTCGGCGCCGTCATGGCAGAGATTGTGCCCCGCGCCGAGCTCTTCGCTGAGGACTGCATTCCCGGCCGCTGGGAGGGCAGCTTCCCTGCCGAGCCGTCGCGCAGCGTCATCACCATCGGCGTGCTGCGCTCGGACGGTCTCGTCGAGCCGCTCCCGCCCATCGCCCGCGTGCTGGACGAGGTCGCCCAGATCCTGCGCCGGACCCCCGGCGTTGACGTCGTCGAGATCCCGGTGCCCGCTGGTCTGGCCAAGTGCCAGGCAGTCGCGGGCCGGTTGATGGGTGCTGATGGCGGGAACGCCATGATGGATCTGATCGAGTCCACGGGCGAGCCGTTGATCCCCTGGTTGCAGGGGCGCACGAAGCGCGGCCGCGAGCTGACTGTGTCGCAGCTGGGCCAGCTGCAAGCGCAGCGGTCGCAGCTCGAGCGCGAGATGCGGCAGATGTGGATGGCGGAGGGCGGGCGGCGTGTCGATGCCATCATCCACCCGCTAGCACCGCATCCGGTGCCCGAGCTCGATCGGTACAATGCCGTCGGGTATACATCGAGCTTTGTGCTGTTGGATTACCCGGCAGGCGCTGTACCCGTGCGGGCGTTTAAGGAGTCGGACTTGGAACTGGGCAAGGAGATGGCGACGCCGGTGCTTGGAAGCTGGGACAAAGCCAATCGGCAGTTGTGTATGTCCCCCTTCTGTGGTGTAGAAAACGAACCATGCGCTAATGTGACTAGGGGACGAGAAAACGGTCGATCGTCGGGTGTACCTGGACTCGCCGCTGAGTATCCAGGTGGTGACTCCCAGACAGCACGACTACGATCTGTTCCGGGCGATGGAGCTCATCGATCGGGCGATTCAAACTCACGAGAATGCGAAGCAGGCTAGCCCGAAGCTGTAGAGCCAAGCATAGCCGTAAATAGGTCCTTGTATGGAGCTTTATACCGGTGAATTTCATTGTATATACATCACAATGCCGAGTATGTACATGCTGGCCATGTATAAGCGCACCACGCGTTCCATGACTCCGTCAATCCATCACTCCAGGATTATGGCTTATAATCTCCCCTTCAAATGCGCCCCTCCATCAGTTGTAATAACCGCACCATTCAAATGGCTAGCAGCGCGGCTCGACAGGAACACCACCAGACCCGCGATATCCTCCGGACGCCCGAGTCGCTTATTCGGCGAGTGTTCCTCCAACTGCTTCAGACCCCCCTGCAGTCCGATGAGGCCGTTGGCCATCTTGGACGGGTAGAACCCAGGGGCGATCGCATTGCACAGAATATGGCGGGGACCCAGCTCGACAGCCAAGTTCTTGGTCAAATGGATGACGGCGGCCTTGCTCGCCGAGTACGAGAAGACCGCGTTGTTCCCCAGACTACCTAGGACAATACCCGCGACAGAGCCGGTTACCAGGACGCGCGAGGGATCCTCGACGGTGGCTTTCGCGGTGAGAAGCGGAGCGAACCTTTCACGTCAGTTATACACCCAATCCCAGTCAACTTCCGGAAGTGAGGACATACTTCTGCACGAGATAAAAAACACTCTTCACATTCAGATCCATCACCTTGGAGAACATTTTCTCCGGGTACGTGTCAAACTTCTCGCCCCAGGTGGCGCCGGCGTTGGCGAAGAGAATGTCGACGTGGTCTGTCGTTTTCTTCACCTCCTCGACGAGGCGGTCGAGGTCCTCCATGCGCGCGTTGTCGGCGGGCACCGAGATGGCCTTTGCGCCGGGGCGCTTGTTGGGGAGCGCATTGAGGGCGGCGACCGCCTCTTCGCAGGCATCGGCTTTGCGCGAGGTGATGTAGACCTTGGAGCAGCCGGCCTGGAGAAGACTGCTTCAATTAGAGGATTGGACTTTTTGTATAGATGGATGGTCGTGACGTACCCGCTGGCGGCGTGTAGACCGAGTCCGCGGGAACCACCGGTCACGACGGCGACTTTGCCGTCGAGAGAGAAGATGGAGTCGAAGTTGTTTAGGGTGACTTGTTCCTGGGCCGACATGGTAAATTGGGTATGTAGAAGAGGGGGGGAAATCGAGGGTGAAGAGAGGAGAAGTACGTGGGTGGTGATGATGTATACAAACTGGATGAGCCGAGGTTGTTGCAAACCCCGCCCGGTTATCCATCTGTTAGCCAGACGCAGTTATGCTATCAGTCCTCTAACATACATATCCAGACTACTATCCATGGCTAATGAATACGACTATGACTATGACTGAGCATGAGAATAGCATGGGCATGAACATGCTCCAAGTCAGTGGCAACGGCATGTCTGGAACATCCACCTACGATGCCTAGCGCTTATTCCCAGTGGCTTCAGCCAAAGGAACCACTGCAGCCATACGACCAGCTACGTGTATAGACACGCTGCATAACGACCAGGATCATCCACCGTTCGCCAATTCTCACCCGAAAGAACGGCAATGTCAGCTGGACGGTTCATGCATGTCCCATTTGCCCATGCTACATATTTCTCCTGCAGAGCCTGTAGCGTGCTTGCCTCGCAGATCCAGTTCATACCGAGCTGCCAACAATCTCCGCTAGTTCGCTCATGAGGCAGCGCTGTCCCGTCCACGACATTGGTTAAGTTCCCTGGAGCAATCCATGCGTCCAGCTCCTATCCCGGCCGACAATGACTGAGCGAAGGGGCTGGCTGAGCATCCTTGCTTTTTCCTGGCGCTGGCCCATCCACCCCAACCGAGTTTGTCACAAACACGACTGCAGGATGGGATGCAAAGGGAATAGTTGGGCACGGCGGCAGCTCTCCGCATCTTGGAGGTCGCTCGTCGTCGCATCCAGGCCCTCCCGCCAGCAGAGCCACCGTTCGCTGCCCCCGGTACGACCAATTTGCGACGCAAGCCACGCTGAGGGCTGTCCAGTCAAAGCCCGTCGGAGAGGCCGTCAGTGTTACCTGATTGCGGAGATATACTTGGCCAGCGGCAAGGTGTGTGTGAGTATGTGGTGTGTGTTAGGCATTCGACGAGACGGGCAGAGGGTTAAATACTGCCTGCGACCTGGCATGGACAGTTCCAACTCGAGTCGCTGCCGGTCCTGCTCTTTTATTTCTTTTTTTAATCACGTAATTTCTAGTCTTCTTTTCTTTCTTACTTGTATACGAACATTGCATTGCACACTTGAAACATGCAACCGGAGGTTGTGGAGAACGGCCACGAGGCCAATGGAAATGGGATTGTCGTCCAGAAGAGGCCTACAGTGGCCAGTACACCATCGACGGTGACTCGAACGCGGTCTAGCATGTCGACCATGGCGTCTTCTTTCTCGACCATCCGCTCGCTGGCTTTCCAAGACAACGGGGATCGGCTCTTCAAGTATGGCTCGCCGCTGGAAGTCTCCGATAGCGACGTACTCGACACATTTGACACGGTGGAAGAAGCGCTTGATGCCATTGCAGCAGAGCGTCTACGCCATATGCCTCATGATGGTAGTATGCTGGATAGGATCTTCAAGTGGGCGACACATGTCGTCGGTCATATCAATGAACTCTCCAAGGCGGTCGAGCCATTTGTCCCGAATGCCGCGGATACAGCGAGGATGTGCTGGAGCAATTGTCTGCTCCTTCTTCAGGTGTGTTCTCCTCTGGTCACTTACGTTAAAGGCTTCTCACATACCTCTAGATCGGCCCTGATCAATCGTCCGCCCTGTGGAAACCCTTCCGCGTGTTCCAAGAACTCGTCCTTGAGCTGGCCCGCTTCATCAATCAATCCGCTCTGATCACCTCGATCCCTGGCATCCAGGGCGAGATTGCTGGCGCTTACATGGACCTCGTGGAGCTGATCTCAGCTGCGGCCATGGACTACTACCGGAGTAGTAGGGGGTCCCTGATGATCAACGCTTCCGAATTCGATGTACGATTCAGCCATCACGTCAAGGCGTTTTATGCTCGAAAGACCAAGCTCACTGAGCTGATGTGGTCCACGACCTGCATTCTACAAAGCACCGATGTCAAGAGCATCAAGGACTTTCTCTCTTTCCAGGATGTCGCAGTTCCCACTACCATTGCGAGTCGCCGCCCAGTCTACGCGGAGTTCACCTGCGACTGGTTTGCAGGCCATTTGTCCCAGATGAGAGTGCGGAACAATGGGCTTTCCGTGATCACGGGGGGTCCAGGGTCTGGTAAAACAGTTCTGTCTCAATGGATCATTGATCACTTGCAGACCAACGTCGATGATGAGGTTGATGTCATTTCCTATCGCGTCTATGAAGATATTGCATCCACCGCGTCGGGAATCGCCGTGGTCAAAGGGCTCCTACTCCAGGTCCTGGATCGACAGATTGGAAACGAGCCTCTACTGCAAGCCATTGACAAAGCCAGGCAGCTCTCCTCGGGCAATGCCTCTGCCCTTGAGATCGAAGAGGCACTCTGGAGTGCGCTGCGCGTAGGCGTAAAGGACGCCAACCAGCTTGTGATAGTCATTGATGGCATCAGCGGTGTCATGGAAGATGCCGATATGGGGTCTAGGACCCTTCAACAGCTGAGTGGCCTGACTTTGCAGTCTCCACATGTCAAATCGATTGTCTTGTCACGGCCTCTGAAGAAGTCTCTGCCGCAACGCACTTTCCAGTTCTCTCTCGAGCCGGCGCATGTCAAGAACGATATCCGCACGGTGATTCTCGACACCATGAGCTCCACAGCACCTTTCAGCGGTCTCAAGCCTGATGAGCGTGTCTCTATCGCCGATGCCCTTATCAACCGATGTGATAGCTCTTTCCTCTGGCCACAATTGGTTCTCCACATTGCAAAGCAACAGCGCACTGTTGGCGATCTTCTGTCTGTGGTGCAAACCGCGCCCACCACATTGAGCGAGATCATCGAGCAGGTCGTGTCGCACCTCGACCTGAAAGACTCTACAGCCCGATCTACCTTGGCGTGGTTGCTAGCTGGACAGCGTCCCCTCTTCGTCCATGAAGTCCGCGCGCTTCTGGAAACCGACACGAAGAAGGTCGAACATGTGCATCGGGTTGGACCAGTGCAAGAGGATATCCTCCAATCTCTCGGGTCCCTTGTCACCATCAAAGATGGCATTGTCTCCTTCAAGCACTCCGTGTACCGTTACTACCTGCTCGGTATGGCGGGCGCCGTAGCCGACTTTTCGAATGCTGGAAAATTTCCTTTCCACATCAAGGAAGCGCATTATGACCTGGTCATTCGATCGCTTGCTTATGTCAAATGCAACGTTCAAGATGAGGTCGAGGTGTCTGTGACCCCCCTGTCCGCGTCGACAATGGCCTACTTCTTCAAGAAGTACGACTTGCTTGAATATGCCGCGCGCTACTGGACGTTCCATTTTCTGGCTTCCCCGATGGCGGAAGGAGAAGAGTACAAACTAAGCTCGACCTTCAAACAATGCATATCCGACTCTGTCCTCATGGCTCTTCTGGAGGGGTCCTGTCTCAGATCGCAGTACATCCCCCAGCAAGCAGAGCGACTGCAGGTGGCTGCATTCAGAGTGCGCAAGTTGGTCTTTGGCACAAGCAGTCCAGCGGTTATACAAGCTCTTATCTTTGAGAGTCTTTTGGCCTCCAGCCTTCGGCTCAAGGGAAGCCTGGAGTATGCTTACGAGGTCTGGGCGATGGGCTTGAAGACCTTCGGTCACAGCAATCTTGTGGTCAAAGCCTGCGCAGAGCTCTTTGTAGAAATCCTGGAGACCATCACTGAAGTTACTGAAACAGTGCTCGTCCACAAGGAACAGATCCTGCTTTACTTGGTTGAGATGGCCAAAGAAGACCGCGGGTCTTCCCACGAGGTCACTATCAGGTATTCCCGAATGCTAGTCCAGCTCTACATCGACATCAAGCAGACAGAAAAGGCGACCCGTATTTGCAAAGAGCTCTACGACGTCACTGTCTCGCGGTACGGACAGTCCTCTTCGGAAACTGCAGAGATCGGAACTCTTCTCTTCGAACAGTTGCATTACTTGTCAGAGTCAGAGACGGCGAAGAAAATCATCGAAACGAGCCACGAGTATACGATCAAGAACCTGGATATTACAGACCAGCGGCGTATCGACTACACTCTGTCGGTAGTGGAGATGTACGAGAAACGAGGAGACATCACCAAAGCCGAAGCTGCATTTTTTGAGTTGTGGCAAGAGCTGTCCCGGGTCGAGTCCATCTCTGAAGATATCGTCCTGAAACAGATCAATATTGCGCTAGCCTACTCCGAGTTCCTCGTTCGGCACTCGTCAAGAGACGAGGCCGAGAACATTGTCACGGCTTTGTGGACGTCGATCGAACGTCGTCAAGTGTTCAGGCTGGACCAGGTCGTGACATGGGCACAGAAGATCAGCGCGCATATGACCAAGATGCGGTGGTATTCGCTGGCTCAATCCACTCTGACTACGGTCCTGAAAAGATGCCAGATGTCCGAGGAGAGCTCGTCTGTGGAAAAGATTACAGAATCTCTGATAGACTCAGTCCAGGAGATTGTGGAGGAAACGACGGAGACCGAGACGGAGACGACCACCGTCGTTGCTAAACGTAAGAAGATTGAGTTTTCACGCGAGGCTTTCGAGATGGCCATGTCGTCCAAGAAAACATCCAAGGAGGTCTCTGTGGCCACCATCAAGACCGCCGAAACACTGGTAACCTCCTACGTGGAAGAAAAAGCGTGGGACGAGTCCATCCGTGTTAGCCGGCGTCTTCTTGAGCGGCAATGGAAGGGCATTGAAACCGGCAATACAGTGATCACGCTCACCAAGGGTGTCAAGGAGACCGTCACAGTCGCACTCAACCTTGCAACGTCTTACTTCGAAACGCTGCAGGTCGAAAAGGCCACGCTTATCTATGAGAATGTCTTCCACTCGCTGCTGCTCTCCGTAGATGTAGATCACGAACTGGTGACACATACCCTGAGAGCAGCGGTCGAGTTCTTCGAAAAGACCTACCAGTTTACTCGGGCGATCGCCCTCTACTGGGATTATATCTCTGCGATTGAGACTGTCCATGGACAGGACGACCATCTCGTCATCGAGATAAGCTACACGCTTGCCGATCTAGCGATGCGCTGTCACCAGAGCGAAGAAGCCGAAAAGGCCTTCCGGCACATTTATACCGTCTTCAACCACGAGGGCCACCTCCACCAGGATGGAATTGAGGCAGCTCACGGCCTTTGCAAGCTGTACATGGAGCAGCAACGCTGGGAGGAGGCGCTGGATGTGTATGCAGTTCTGTGGGATGCCGTCACCAAGCACGCCAAGGAGCTCCAGCTCGAGGCCGAATACATTGAGGAGATATACGAGAGCTATGTCTATCTCCTCGAGACGAAGTTGCATGTCGAAGCCACCATCATCCGCGACCTTGCTTACAACTATCGCGAGACGTGCATTGCGCTTTATGGCCATGAATCCATTATGACCTACAAGGCGACGGGTGCGGCTTGCAGAGGTGAGCCGGACAATCGAGCAGTATCATGACGAGTCGGTCGAGATGTATAAGTCGGCGCTGCGATACAGTGAAAAGTACTCTGAGGAGGTCGATACATATGAAAAGACTGTGACCCGGGAGAAGAAGACCAAGACGGTGACGACAATCAAGAAGCATCTTGCCGAGGTGTATTCCAAGGACGAGAAGACCATCTCCCAAGCCAGTGATCTCTACATGGAGGAGTTCCACCAAACGACGTCTCAGTACGGCTATGCGTCAGAGGAGACTCTGACCTCATTGGAGCAGCTCGTGCGATCCTACAAGAAGCAAAGTACGGTTGTCGAGGCCGTGAGCGTGCTGCAGACCGTTGTGACAAGCATCTTCGAGTCGGAGACAGACACTCAACGGTTGACCGAGTCTGCGCGTCGACTGGCGCGTATGTACCTCGATGTTGACCAGAGGGATGTAGCAACAACCATCATCCAAAGTCTCCGCCGTCGTTTGGTTTACGAATCCAAGACAATCTCCCGGAAAACGACGGTGTTTGTGGTTGCCTTCGAAGAAGTGATCTCCGGAGGGTCGTACGCCACAATCATGGCCGATCTCGTGGCTGAAATGCATCTGTACGATGCATTCTTCACGGTGTCCAAGACGGCCGGGTTTATACAGGCTTTCATAACCGGCGTCCGACTCCTCACGTTCCAGCAGAACAAGAATCAGGTGGAGGAGTCTCAGCGGACGGATGCAGAGCTCTTCAAGCTGTTCACGAGCCACTATTCGGTCTCGGACGAAGCGACCCTCCGCTTCTTCTATGAGCTCTGCATCGCGGAGGTTCTGCACGGCGACTACGAGACCAGCATTGCCAGTCACACTGTTTCATCTGTGCACAAGCATCTCGAAGAGGAGAACTTCCCTGCGGCGTATAGCCTGGCGACCTTGCTTCACCAATTTATCCACCACGTGGACGGCTTCCGCCATCAGGCGGTGGTCAAGCAGGGCTTCAAGCTGTGCCAGTACCTTCAGGGCCACGGAACGAAGCGCACACCGGACCTGAAACTGCAGGCGGCAATGCTCGCTCTGTCCAAGTCGATCCTGACCGACATCCTCCAGGCATACAGATCGATGGGGGTGCGGTTCGCAGAGCTAGACGTGACTGAGAGCAACGAACTGGCGGTTCTACTCGGAGAGCAACGGAATTTCGAAGATCTTGAGGTTCGTCCATACCCTGTACAGTATACCAACCCCTTTCATTCCATACTAACCATCTCAGCTCCTCCTCGCCAATCTGTGGACTTCGCGCATCGTACAAAAGACCTGGTCCTCCGACACCATTGTCGCCATTGGCCGTCGGCTGGTGGAAGCGCGGTTCTCCTGTGGTCAGACGGAACAGGCGATCCGACTCTGCAGCGACATCTGCTATAACCTGCGGCGCGTGTGGGGCCCGTTCGACCGGATTGCCCTCGAGCTGACTACCCTGCTGTCGGAGCTGTACACTGCCACAAACAACTACCGCGGCGCGATGGCAGTGCACGAGAAGACCCTGCGGCAGCTGCTGAGTGAGCCGGAAAGTGAGGGTAGTCTCTCGCTGGCGGAGCGGGCGACCATCGCCGCGCGCCATGTGGAGCTGTTGAAGCGCGCGGCACAGCGACTGGGTGGATGGGATAAGGAGGAGCATCTGTATAAGCAGTTGGTCAGTTCGCTGAATGAGCGGTTTGCGGGGGATGCCGCGTGGGTGGCTATTCCGGAGCAGCTGGAGGAGTGGGTAAAGGGTGAGGCGGATGATCTGGGGGTCTGGCGTGCACCAGCGTCGTACGGATTCCTCGGAGGTGGAGGGGGAGGGAAAGAGGGACAGGAGAAGAGACCGGCGCATCAGAACCAGTTGCGCAAGGTGAGTGAGACGCGGTTGTTGACGGTGCGTGCTATGTGAGGTTGTTGTTTGGGATTATTTCGTTGATACCAGATTGTACCCATAGTCATTAAATTCATTTGCATGCAAGTATTAACCGACATAACTATCGTCTATGACACCATAAGAGTGATTATAAATCCAGGAAGGAAATGTGCTCATATGCGCGCAACAAGGTCCTCTTAATCCGCTCAAACCCGCGCATGTACCTTGGGGACGTTCCTACATCAGGTATATCACTTCCTCCCCTTCTACCTACCTGGTGCTCATATACATCCATACTACTAACTCATACTCATACCACCAACACACACAATGGCTGCTAGATTCACCCTCCCCGCGCTCCCCTACGCCTACGATGTATGCCTCCCAATCCTCCCAGTCCTCCCTTCCTATCTAATAACATCCGACAGGCCCTCGAACCCAGCATCTCCAAACAAATCATGGAACTGCACCACACGAAACACCACCAAACCTACATCACCAACCTCAACGCCGCGCTAGACGCCCAATCGACCGCCCACCAAACCAACGACGTGCCGCAGCTCATCGCCCTGCAGCAAAAGATCAAATTCAACGGCGGCGGCCACATCAACCACTCCCTGTTCTGGACCAACCTGGCGCCCTACGGCTCCGCCCAAACCGACATCGCCCGCGCCGCGCCAAACCTCAAGGCCGCCATCGAGGCGCAGTGGGGGTCTGTCGAGCAGTTCCAGGCGGCGTTTACCGCTGTTCTACTGGGATTGCAGGGCAGCGGATGGGGCTGGCTGGTGCGGTATCCCGGGGCGCAGGGGAGGCTGGGCATCGTGAGCACCAAGGACCAGGATCCCGTCACGGAGCAGGTGCCCGTGCTGGGGGTGGATATGTGGGAGCATGCGTATTATCTGCAGGTAAGCTCCCTTTACTCCGAGGGGTGATCGCTGCTAACACGGCGGACAGTATACGAACAACAAGGCGTCGTATGCCAATGAGATCTGGAAGGTGATTAACTGGCAGACGGCCGAGGAGAGGTACCAGCAGGGTGTGGTGGGTTCTTCGCTGAAGCTGTAGAATATGTTTATGATCGATCGTTGAATAGTGTTATGCAATCAAACCAGTATCTACTCCGTAAATGCATCCCAACGCCATGCTAATCACATACAATCAGTCAAATCCCACAATCCCCCGGCCCATCATCCCCTCCACGGTCACCGTCACCTGTCGCCCGACGATCCCCGTCTCCGAGATCCCCAGGTCCAGTCGCTCCGGAAGGACGACCTCCATCGCGGACGGGTCGGCCGTCGGCAATAGACGCAGTCGGAAGTGGTGGAGAGGTGCAGTGGGCACCTTGGTGGTCAGGTCCCCGTGTCGTCTGTCCTGTTAGTCTTGATGTACTCCACATAGATAAGTCCTTAACATACTCTATCCGTAGATCGATCCCCGAACAGCCTTGAAAACAATTATAGGTAGATGCATCGGTAAGACGGAAGACCGCTTGCGTGACTCCTGACTCTATCTCTCGAAACGACAGAGAATACGGACCCATCGTGGTGGCGGAGGGGAACATGATGGCGATGCGGTTGCCGGTGCTGGGTCTCGAGGGGCCACACATGATGTCTGGGATCTAGGAGATGAGGATAGGAAGATAGGAGAAGTGCAACGACAGCACTCCTTGTATGTACCTCCTTATATGTAGGTAGGTGTTTGCCTCCAAGGTGTCTGCGCGGATATGAGGGGATAACGTGTCTGGATATACTTCAAGGTGCTCAAATCCGCTCAAATGCGCGATGGGAGAGCCAATGGAACTGTCCCTTCTGGTACGGGTGGATCTACCATGGTACCCGAATCTCTCATAGAACAAAAGCCGAAACTGTCTTTATTACCATACGAATACGTAACTATAAAAAAAGAATATTAATAAGAGCAATGTATATACGCCCCTTGTTGATGATCCATCTATCGCACCCGGAAGGGATGCGCCTCCGTGTTGAAGACAAACTTGTTGCCGTTCCCGCGCTGCACTTGCCACTCCGCATCTGTCCATGTCAGTATCAATCCGAGCCACCAAGGAGTCAAGAACAGCCACTTACCACCCGAGTGAGCCAGGTACACGTATTTCATCACCTCTGCAAACAGGAAGCTCTCCTGGTTGTCGTACCGGCCACCGCCATTCGCCGCGTTCACATCCTGCAGCCCAGCAAAGCCCGAGCTCGTCCGGCAGTACTTGTTGATCGCGACGAACGCGTTCCAGATCCATTCGCGGTACTGCTGGAGTTAGTATGTGGTTTGGATTCGGAGCACAAAACATACCTGTTCCTCGCCAGTAATCCGGTAGGCGTAGTAGAAGCTTTCGATCACCTCAGGCCGCAGAATGTAGGCCCCGCTTTGGATGTAAAAGCCGGCCTTCTCGTACAGTGCCTTCTGGTTGGATGGCACGGAATTGGGATCCCAAGCAAAAGACTCCGGTCCGATGCCGGTCAGGGTCGCATTGTAGGTTTCGTGACAGCCTTTGACCAGATCGAGTCCGAACTTGATGTAATCATCATTGTCCAGGACGGTTCCTCCGAGCAGGAAGCTGCCGCCGTCGAAGCAAGTCAGGTGTTGCGAGCTCAGGCCCAGTTTTCCGTCGTTGTACGAGGCCAGGAAGGTCAGATCCGGCCGGGTGGACGGGTGGGACGCCAGATGCTCCATCGAGGATTGCGCCGCAGCCTCCCAGCGGTCCTTGTATTCACCAAATGCCTCAGGATCGTATACGTACATTTTGATCAGGTATTCATAGAAGGAGTCGTCACCGCCGTTCCAGCTGACCTGAGCGTCGGTGAACTCTCCCGTCTCAATGCTGATATGGCTCCCCACCAGGCCTGGGAAGGGCTCCGAACTGGCCGGCTGAGGCTTGAGGAGGTACGACTGGGCCTTCTGGCTCAGCTTCGCATACTCATCATCGCCAGTCAAGTCGGACAGGCGGGTCCACTCCAAAACCAAGGTCCCGGTAACTGCCAGCCCGTTGCTGGTGGCACCATCATTTCCGTGAGTATTGATGTTGATGTTGTTGTAGGGGACGCCGGAGGGCGTATCGAAGGCGAACTTGAGCACATCGGCCAGTTTCTTCGACTGGGTCAGAAGCATGTCGACTTTCTTCGAGTCCCTGACCAAGCCCGACGCGGGACCCTTCAGCAGATCATACCCAGAGAGCATGCCTCCGAGGTAACGGATGGTCGTTTCGAACAAGCTGACGGTGTCGTTGGTCTTGGAATAGTCGACCTGGGCGATATGGTCGAGGATTTGGTTCACAATCGTGGCATTGCGCATGATGATGGCGGTGGACAGGGCGTCGACTGCGGAGGCACCCCAACCATTGCGAGAGTCCCCGTATCCGTTGGAGACGGGATGGAGTTCATCATGTGGATAGGCGTATTTCTTGTAGCCGTCCCACGCGTGCGAGAAGGCTTCTTTGATGGTGTTGGCGCGGGACTGGGCGAGGTTATTCTGGAGAGGCTGCTCCGTGCGGTAGTAAGGATAGGCCAGGGAAGGGGTGGCCAGGGTGAGTGCTGCCAATGGCAGCGAGAGAGACGGGAGATGCATAGTGGTGGTCTCTAGAAGTACAAGAGTCAAACGAGATGTTGATGTAAAAGATAGGATAAAAAGACGGAATCCCCTGGTCAAAAGGGTGTTGGTGAACGAAGGGAGGATCTGATCGATCAACAATAAATAAAAATAAAACAAAGGAAGGACAGCCTAGCGGAGCAGGCGACTGATTAGTCTAATTTATAAAGGAGCGAAGAGGAGACGGAGAGAAGACCGTCTACCTTGGCAAAGGAGTGTGGAGAAGGGGAGAAGGGGAGGAAAGGAGGAGGAGAGCAGAAGAGGGTGTCGCGTGAAGCCTCGCTCGGCACTAGGTAGCCCAGGTACAGGTACATCAGGAGTACCGCTGGTTTCGCCCATGCGCCTAGGGACGCGGAGGTACCAGCCGGGAACCCAAACTATGGGCGCCAGTCCCGTCGCCGCTAAGCCCGATCGATCGATCGGCGGTCGATCTACCGCCCGCAATTGGACGCCTGGACGATGAGTCAGCTCCACGAGTCAACTATGCAGGGGAATGCAAGGGCAGAAGTGTTTGTTCACATAATGCTCTATGAGGAAGTGCTCCATACACTCTACTCTACAAAGATATTGTGGTGATGGCCAACATTCACTGCCTACTCCCTCAGTCTACCTAGGTATACAGTGCAAATGAATATCCCCAGAAAGACATCATCGGACATGGTCACCTCGACTCCCCACATGATCGCCTGAAGGATCAGGCCGCCCCTCCCTATTGGGCACTATTGCTATTAGTCTCCTTTTCCTCCGCAGGGACCCTTCTTGGTCGCCTTATGGAGTACTATCTACACTAACTAGTTAGTTGTTAGCATTGTTGTTGTTATTAATGTGCATCAACCCCAGTCAAGCTCAGATCTCCCACTGATCAACCGAGCAGTCCCAGGAGATCATCTCCATCCGTCATGCACGCCATCCACAACTCCCAACCCAGTATTTCAGTTCAATGCAACATGGATCTTGCAGACGGGACTGAATGACCGGTCTGCTTCGACAGTGTACAGCACCCTCAACGCGGTCCAATCGTCCAAATGCCGATTCCCCACGATCACCAGATGTGCGAGAGACAAGATTTTTTGTCAACTGACGGTCCACAATGATCATCTCGATAGTCCTGTCGTCTCAGGTCGGTCGCTTCTCCAGACCCCCAGATTGGAGCCACGTTCATGTTCTGCATCCAGATGCATTTGTTCAACCATATTTTCGCCTGAGTTGGTTCCGACATGAGAAATACAAGGGTCAATGTCGCCTAAGGACCTTGTAAAGCATAAAGGTCAGTCCTCGTGGACTGACATCACTCTACGTCCCGTTGGGAATCTATACATCGATGTCTGTCTCCTCTCCGCAATGTGTCTTAGGACGAAAGTATCATACAATCCGGGATACTTGTGGTCAGTCGCAGGCTAGACCCAATGGCTCCGGAAAAGACACCCATGCATTGGATTCCGTCCAGGGCGACGTTGTACAGAGTCGGATGTCGAGTCATGGTGATACGGGATCGCCATTGATCCTGATCACAGAGGAACAACAATGCAAATATGCTCTGCAGCTCTGCATATTCTGATACGCGCGCATTTTGAATACTCCGAAATACCCCATCGATCATATGATTGTGGTCGCGAATTTCATGGTGGCGGAAGGATTGACAGGCGGAAAAAACGCAAAGGAAAAAACGACTGCGGGGCGGCAAAGAATTTCCACCTCCGCGATGATTCATCCTCGTCTTCCTCTCCCTCTCTCCCTTTGTCAACCCACTATCCCTCCCTTCCCACTGCCAATTTGTCCTGGGAACCTCGGGGATCTTCGTCAATTCTCACTCCCGTCAATCCCATCACTTCCAGGGGCTGAAAATACCCCGTGTTAGCCCACCATGGCCACGCCATTCCTCGTCTCATACGACCCCTCGTCCCCCACCTCCGGACTCGACCTCAAGCAGATCGCCTACTTCGGCCGCGTCCTAATCAAGGTCGCCAATCTTGCAGAGGCCGAAGATTTCCTGCGTCGTAATTTCCGTCTTCTCGATGTCTACGTCGACGCGACCGCCGTCGCTTCCACCGGTGACCTCGTCGATATCCTCAATGCCGGCGCCGCCAAAATCTTCATCTCGTTCGATCAGCTGGCCGCATTGTCCCAAGAGCAGTCCGTTCCTTCATCGCGAATTGTGGTCTACGCGTCCGAGAGCCAAGTGGATGCCTTCCAGACCTGGGTGAGCGAGGATGCAGAGCGGAAAGAAGCCGGTCTCTGCACCGACTCCCCCGCCGTCAAGACAATCTCCGAGAGATTGTCCATGAACCCGGAAGCCCAGACCCTCTACCGTTCATACTCGACGGATGTCACGGAGCAAACTTTGAAGGACACTTTCACTCAGGGTGCCGTCGGTATCGTCTCGTCCGCGGCTCTGACCCTCGAACACACTCAGCCCAATGGCAAGATTCCTGCGGCTTCCATCATCGCGGCCCGCGCCGTAGCGGATCAAAGCAACGGCCTCTACGCAACCTCCGTGACTGACGAGAGAGGAACCTGTCTCGGCCTCGTCTGGAGCTCCGACGAGAGTATCGCCGAAGCTCTGCGCACGGGTACCGGTGTCTACCAGAGCCGCAAGCGTGGCCTCTGGTACAAGGGCCAGTCTAGCGGAGATGTGCAGGAACTGATCCGGATCGGTTTTGATTGTGACAGCGATTGCTTGGTGTTTACTGTCAACCAGGTCGGCCGAGGTGAGTCCCAGACCTTATATTCAAATATCTCATCCCAATTGCATATTAACTTGGATCTCTCCTACAGGCTTCTGCCACCTCGGTACCGCCAGCTGCTTCGGTCCCTACAACGGCCTTTCCCGTCTGCAAAAGACTCTTCAAGCGCGCAAGGCCGATGCCCCCGCCGGTTCTTATACCGCCCGCCTGTTCAACGATCCCAAGCTCGCCCAGGCCAAGATCATGGAGGAAGCCGACGAGCTGTGCCGTGCCAATACCAAGGAGGAGATCGCCTTCGAGGCTGCTGACCTCCTCTACTTTGCTCTCACCCGTTGTGTTGCCGCGGGTGTGACTTTGGAAGACGTGGAACGCAACCTCGATCTCAAGAGTCTGAAGGTGAAGAGAAGAAAGGGGGATGCCAAGGGTCCGTGGGCCGAGAAGGCTGGCATTGCTCCTCCCGCACCTGCGGCTGACAGTCAGAAACCCGCGAAGCCCGAAGATGACTCGATGAAGATGACTCGTGTGGTCACTGCCTCGACGTCCGTTGACGTTGTCAAGGACCACCTCAAGCGTCCGTCTCAGAAGTCGAATGAGGCGATTGTTGGATTGGTTCGCCCTATTATCCAAGATGTCCGCGACAATGGCGACGCTGCTGTTCTGAAGTATACCCACAAGTTTGAGAAGGCCACCTCCCTTACGTCTCCCGTCCTTCGCGCTCCGTTCCCCGCCGAACTGATGACGCTGAGCCCCGAAACGCAAAAGGCCCTCGACGTTAGCATTTCCAACATTGCCAAATTCCACAGCGCTCAGAAGGGAAGTAACGAAGCCCTTAAGATGGAGACCATGCCTGGTGTGGTCTGCTCTCGCTTCTCGCGACCCATCGAACGGGTCGGTCTGTACATTCCGGGTGGTACCGCGGTGCTGCCCTCCACTGCCATGATGTTGGGTGTGCCCGCTATGGTGGCGGGCTGCAAGAAGATCGTCTTTGCTTCTCCCCCGCGTTCGGATGGCAGTATCTCGCCGGAGATCGTGTACGTTGCGCACAAGGTCGGAGCTGAAAGCATCGTCCTGGCTGGTGGTGCGCAGGCGGTGGCGGCTATGGCGTACGGTACGGAGAGTGTCACCAAGGTCGACAAGATCCTGGGTCCTGGCAACCAGTTCGTGACTGCCGCTAAGATGCTCGTCGCCAACGACACCTCCGCCGGCGTCAGCATCGACATGCCGGCCGGACCCAGTGAAGTTCTGGTGGTCGCAGACAAGTTCGCCAACCCCGCCTTCGTGGCGTCGGATCTGTTGAGTCAGGCCGAGCATGGTGTTGACTCCCAGGTCATCCTCATCGCCATTGACTTGAATGAGGCCGAGCTTCAGGCGATCGAAGCCGAAGTCGAGAAGCAGGCCAAGGCCCTTCCGCGGATGGACATCGTCAAGGGATCCCTTGCCCACTCGGTCACATTTGTGGTGCGGGATCTCGCCGAGGCCATGGCTCTCAGCAACGAATATGCCCCCGAGCATCTGATCCTGCAGATCCAGAATGCAGAGGCGGCCGTTGAGCAGGTGGAGAACGCCGGTAGTGTGTTTATCGGCGAGTGGACTCCTGAGAGTGTCGGCGACTATTCCGCCGGTGTCAACCATTCTTTGCGTAAGTTTCCGAAAGTCCACTATTGAATGTTCCTTGCGACTAACTCTTTGCAGCGACTTATGGCTATGCCAAGCAGTACTCCGGAGTGAACTTGGGCTCCTTCCTCAAGCACATCACCAGCTCCAATCTCACGGCTGAAGGTCTGCTTGGACTGTCGCAGACGGTGGAACAGCTGGCCGCCGTCGAGGGACTGGAAGCTCACAAGCGGGCCGTGAGCATTCGCGTGGCGCACATGAAGAACAAGCAATGATCGATCGATATGTGGATAGTTACGACTTGGATGGGAAATGTGAAGTCTACGATATTGATAGAGCAGTTTACATGTTACATTTACGTTTATCTTAGAGCAAAAAGGAGAATAGCGGCATTGGTATCCTGTAACCGTCTATAAAGCAACCGAGCATGTAAACTTTTCCAAACCGTTCGCCAGATGCAAGAATATCAAACCATCGTGTCATATGTGCAGAGCATGGAGAGACAAAAAGAAGCCCATAATCACTTCTTCCGCTCCCTGATCTTCCACTTGATGCCGTTCTTATTCGTCCCTCCCACCGAGTTGTCCATTCTCCCACGCTGCCAATCCAACTGCCGCTCGGCGGCAGTGATATCAGCGTACTGTTTCTGCAGCGCCTTGAGCTTGTTCGCCCTCGCCTCAGCCGCCCGCTTTCTCATCTTGCGCGCCCGACGCGCCTCCACCAGAGCCTGGCGCTCCGCCTCGAGCTGCTTGTGCGATTTCTTCTGCTGCTGTTGCCGCTGGCGCTGTCCAAACGAATCATCATCCTCGTCCTCATCCTCGTCCATCTCATCATCGCTCTGTTGCGCCCGCAGCCGGCTCTGCTTCAGCTCAGTCTGTTCCCGCCGATCATCCGCAAACACGACCTTCTGCGGCTTCACGACCGCTGGCCCATCCTCCTCGTCGTCGAAATCGAAATCGAAATCGTCGTCATCGTCCACCACCGCTTTCTTCTTCTCCTTCGCCGCCCCCGACTCATCCCCCTCGCCCAGGAACTGCCCCATCCCATCCTGCAGCCGCACCTCCTCCTCCAGCTTCTCCATCTGCCGGCGCACGCGCTCGCCCACCGTGCGCAGGTACCCGGCGTCCTGGGTCTTGAGCAGCTTGATCGCCTCGTGGCTGAGGCCGCGCGCGGCGGCGGAGTCGCGGGCAGCCGCGCCGTGGCGCCCCGCGCGCTGCGAGTGCGCGGACATCATCCCAAAGGCGAATTCATCCGGGTTGCGGTCCTTGGCTTTTTCTTGCAGGCGCTTCAGTTTGGCTTTTTTCTGGTTGTAGTCTTTCGCTCGGAGGGAGTAGTCCTATCGTATACTCTGTTAGCGATGGGTTCGTGTCGCAGTGAGCTGGGGACGATTGTACTTTGTGCTTTTCGAGGATTCCCCATTTTTCGCGGCCTTCGAGCTGGCCTCGCTCGCGGTGCTGCCGTCTGTGGACGGCGTTGCGCATGGAGGACATTTTGATTGAGATTTTATTCAGATAGACAGATGTAAAGAATATAGAGAGCCACGGTGTAAATCTTGGAGAAGAGGGTTGTGGTGGTGGTGGTAGTGGTCAGAGAGTTGATGAAGAAAAAAAGTTCGGGGTCGGACAAGGCGGAGACCAAAAGGAAAACCACTTCGCTCCCGCGCCAACTTCATCAACACCACCGCCGTCGCTCTGCAGCAACAACCTGCCCCCATTCCACAGACCGATCCTTCTGTCGACCCTCTAGTGTTTCAATTGATGCTGGATCGAGTCCTACGCCGCAAACTTCCCACCCTCTAGCCAGTCTTCCCACGCACTACCACAACACCACCACCCCGATAGGACACCAAGCACCGAGCTAGCAGCAGACCAGACACCATGACCGCAACATCAGATACCCCATCAAACGCCTCGACGACATCTACTCCTCGCAAATACAACCTCCGCAACCCGCTCCCCCTTTCCGCCACGCAGGAAGCCGAGGTGAAGCAAATATACTACAAGCGCGTGCGCAGCCACTGCGCCGCCGAGATCAAGGGTACGTGCCAGCCCCTCTTGCACATTGTCGGAGGTGTGAGGTCTAAGCAGCTACTAACTGGTCCTTCGCAGCCTTCGCCGAATGCGCCGTCAACCGCACCGTCACCGCGACGTGGGTGTGTCGATCGCAACGCCTCGCTATGAACTCGTGCATGGTGGCCCATGCGAAGCCGGAGGAGGAGGACCGCGCGCGGGAGGAATGGTTCGCGACGCATGAGGAGCGGCGACGGCAGCGCGAGGAGGAGCTCGCTCGCGTGGAGCAGCGGCGGGCGGAGGTGATTCGATTGATGAGGGAGGATGAGGCGCGGCGGGCGAGGCAGGGGTGATTATTCCGTGGTATGATACTGTTGACCCTGTGTATGGGTGTTTGTCGGTTTGACCTTCGGCTTTAGTCGAGGGTCTGCATTGTATATTGGATGTGGTCGAGGCGTTCATTTTGCCCTTTTGGTTTGGTCTTGCATTATCCGGATGGTCCCGTCGTATATCATTATGTACAGTAGATCGAAAGTCTCACGAACGAAGCCAATCTCACTCTTATAACTCCTGACTCTTGTAACCCCCAACGCCATTGCCCATCGTCGCCAGCCAGTTACACATCCGTCATGGGCTTGTCCCCATCGCCGTCCCCGTCCCCGCCGTCTCCCTCGCCCATCGCCGTGTCCTCGCCGAAAATATCCTCCATCTTGCCGTCCTCAGCCTCATCCTCGTCCTCACCACCCTCCTCGCCCTCATTCTTCCCCTCCGCAGCGGCAGCCGCATTCTCCTTGCCCGCATCCTCCGCAACAACCTCCTCCTCACCCTCACTGTCCCAATCCTCGCGCATGTTCCACCCGGTACCAGTCAAACAGAACCGTTCCGGCGGCAACCGCATGCCACCCATCATAACACTCTGATGCGCAGGCGGCTTACTTGCCTGGGCCTGGTCATATCCACGCGTCGCCCCCGGAAGCGCGACACGGTTCCGCTCCGCCGCGACATCCATAAGGAACTCCTTCGGCAAGCCCGTCTGGAACTGGTAGTGCAGACGGGACGCGATGCTGAGCCGCAGCGCCGGCAGCGAGACGCTGTTCACCTCGGGCGGACCGCGGGACGAGACGCCGCCCGCGCCGTCGGTCACACCGGCGTAGCCCTCCGTCGCGAGATACACGGCGTCCTGCAGCACGCCGGAGGTGTAGCGGTAGGCGAAGTCGAGGAGCTGCAGCGGCACGCGCTCCTGGTATGCGGTGACGCCGAGCGAGGCGAGCAGCATGTGCACGAGGCGGACGTCGCGTGGCCGGCGCGACTTGCCGTTGTCTTTGAGGGAGGTCGAGGGGATTTGGGTGGGTTGGGAGAGTGGTGCTGCGGCGCTGGGGGTTGTGGTGTTCATTGTGGGAGCGGAGGGAGGTGCGGGCTGTGGTTGGGAGGTGGTGTTGGCGGTGGTGGAGGATTCGGCGGGAGGGGTGAGCGGTTGTGTCGAGCCCGCGGCGTTCTGCGACTGGCTTGGTGAGGCCATTGTGAGGTTGGCAGTGTGATGCGTCGAGGGTGGTTCTCTTCTGGGGATGGAGGTGACGGATCAGGGTTTGATCAAGTGAGCTCTCGACATGGGCGAACGGAAATGGTAGTGATGTCGAAGATGGGAGCTTGCTAGCCGTAGAGGCTGAATGTAGGGAGGAGCAGGAAAGGATGTTGACGGGAAGAAGCCGAATGGCTGTAAGGTACTTAATGGAAGGATGAAGTTGATGCGTTGAAATGCGGTCGACCAGCCGCAAAGGGCGGTCGCGCTATGCCTATTCGGGACTTGTACAAAAGAACTATTGTACATCAGATGCCTCTATTGTATACGAAGAGAATGGCACACGATACAACATTGATTTTCCAGAGCCAGTAACCGTTCATTCAACGAATACCATTCAGTGTGATCATTTCGAGTAATATACACCGGCTGCGACAATGCCCTCAGACTCTCGTCAATACAATCCAACTTCGGGACGCCGGGCAAGGTTTCATGTCTCTAGCTACCGGTAGGTCAGAAATAGGCAAATGTCGGTTAATGATCCAGGCGTGGAGCCTCTCACCCGTTGACATCTTCATACTGTAGTAACATGTCACACAAGACACCAGAGGACCTCGTAGGCATCAGCGAAGAAGCTCATTAGCCTCAAAGCATAGCCCAGGTTCCAGAACCTCAAAAAATTAACACCTTGGGTATTGTGAAAGTTATAAAATCGTCCTCGGTCGCTGTGCAGCTCCAGCACATGTTGTTGGGACAGATCAAGATGCGCTCTCCAGGGAAAATCTGCGCTGCGATCGCCACAGCGGCCAGCCTTGCGATCCAGTTTCCATTTGCCCTGAACACAAGAGCCTCATCCGGCGGGTCAAGCAGGTCGACCCACGTTTCTGCAGATACAAGCGGAGTCGGGCGATCCTCTATGTCATGGGCTCTGGAGCAGGGCACATAGGTTAAACGGAAGATCCTTTCATCCTCGACTGCTTGGAGGATGTCGATGTCACCGACCCACGTCCCAGAATCATGGACGGAGGCTACCGACTCCAGGAAATATACCTGATGCTCTCTGGAGTGGGAGCTGTGCTCATGCAATGGAACGTAATAATCCGTAAAGGCGAGGTGCACCGAGGTGTTGGAAAAGTGGTCCTCGGCACGCCCATTGAAGATATTGGTGCTGAGCACTTTCCATGACGATGGGTCTGGCCTACGTACCATTGGAGCATGGGGAGGAATCATCATTGTAATGCCTGGCTTACCAATGGTCCCAAGAAGTCGACGAAGCTCGTACGGCTCGCGGTACTCTGAGGGATCGCAGGTGCACTGAAATCTGGTGAGAAGGAGCCATTCGGGGTTGGAAGCTAGGTGATGTGGATAGGGTGAAAGTACCTTCATCGTGATATATATGCACTCCTTGTAGGCCATGGCAAAAACCCTTCCCAGCTGACGAGGATCTGAGTCCACCTCTTCTTCCATATAGGCCACGCATGACAAAGCTGTCTCACGAGTAATTATCGGCTCACGCTTCTCTTCAATTGCCGAAAAGATCGAATCAGCCCACATCGCGCGATATAATGGTCTGTCAAGAATTGCAAGGGACACACTGGCATCGGGTATTGATCTATAAATCGTACTGGCCCAGGATAAACATGCCAACGTTGGGTGAATCCCATCAGCCTTCACACTCTTAAGAATGTGGTCTAAAAGTCGGTCAGCCCGAAAAAGATCCAATTCAATCATTTGAATATAGTCTTCAAGCGTAGTCGGCTTTATCGTCAATTTGGGTACTGAGACAGGCTGGCATATGGTTGCCAGGGTTGGAAGGCCAAACGTTGGGAGCAGGTAGCACCCATTCCGAGAATCCAAAAATTCGTACGATACTATACTCCCATTCTCAATCACATTGCGGAAACGAGGAACATCTCGGAGAGATACAACCCGTTCCGATGGGTCGTCGGATTTCGGTCTAGATTTGGCATCAACCCATCGACAATGCATGAGCTGGGGGGCACTCTGTCCATCAGAGCGTTTCCGTTTGCAAGAAGCAACAGGAACAGTCCATACTGTTGCAAAGCACGGTGTGTCGTGTAAATCCTCGAAATATTTAATGACGGCAGAGTCCCGCTTCGCATCGGTGGGCAAAATGGCAATAGATCGCAAGTATGACACCCTCTCATCCGACCCTTTCAGACAGCGCAGAATGGAATCTGGAGATAGACAACCAAAAAAAGGCGAAATACGATTGCCCTCGTCCACAGGGATAAACAGGTGTGCGCGTCGCATTCCTAGTTTCACCAATCTCTCTGCCGTCTCCTGGTCTTCGCACTTGGTGTCAAGATAGGCTGACGCCGCGCGAACCATGATATTCCACCATTGGCATGGGTCGCGGAGATACCTGGAAATTTCCGTTTTCTTAGGGGATGCCATGTCGCTGCCAATAAAGCTTTCCAGCGTCTTTTGGATGGAAACGAAGAACCGCGCAGCCAGCTGTACTTCATCCCACTTGACTGCCCAATGGCCGAGAAGACAACCAAAGGCTGCGAAACAGAATTGACCGAAAGTCACGCGGGCTCCATCTGGATGAAATAACGCCTCCTTTTGGGCCGCTCCTCCATAGTGATGCAAGTGCTTCAAGGACAAGGACCAATACACCCCCTGCGGACAGTTGCCATGGGCCTGGTCAAGTCCGATGGTGACTACCCCCCCTGGCTTGATAAGGGAGTCCTTGAAATGGACTTCGGCGGGATTTTTTCCCAAGACGATCAAGTCGGGGTAGATATGCCATGACCCTAGCGCGATGAGGACGGAGCCGTCATTGACGGCCTGTGGCATGCCATTGATCAGGTTTTCCATTGACTCAAGTGCCGTTTTCCAGGCGCCCAGCACACCGGAGAAGACAGACTTGTCCGCCGTCACTGCCTTTCGGAGGTTCGAGATTATCAACATAAGCTGCTTCTGTTGAAATAACTTTTCTCTGTCGGCAATGCGAAGCCAGGCGCGAGCACTGTCATCCCACTCTGCGAGACTGGTCCTGGATATGTTGTCCGCCTGACGGGCTGCACTCAACGTTCCGATATGCATCTGTTCTCCCCTCTCGCACCGTTGGATGATTTCCATCCTTCTCTCTTGAACCAGCTCAACCCACGCGGCAGTGGCTTCTTGATGGCCCCATATCCGCGCCAGCATGCAGGCCAAAAGCTGCAGCTGAAGTGCAGAAGTGGAGCTGGTAGCAGCGGCCCAGATTGATGTCCCATTCACCCCTGTGTGTTCGGAAAAGAAGCCCCCTGCCGCCGGTACGGATGTTTTCGTTGCTTCAGCTATTTCTGAGACTCGGGTCCCATAAGCTTTGATGAGCTTCGGAGTTGAGGGACAGATCTCCTCAAAGAGAGCACCTAATCTTCGGGCGGTAATATGAGCGGACCCAAACTCTGCCTGTTCTTTGCTTGTTTTTGATAGCGCACTTCCCAGGCTATGATATTCCTTCGGGGCCTCAATCTTCACCAATGTAAAATCAAAATTGAGACTGGCCGCTGCCAGTGTGATATCGCTTGTCGCTGCCGCAAGTGCTGCCTGCAGTCTGCCGAAAGACATGGTGGATTGTAGCCTCGGTGGTAGAAATTGGGCGGAATGGATACAGGCAGTGGGCTGTGCGGGACCTGTAGATAGGCACTCCCAAGACTGAGGGCATCAGAATAGAAGGATGAGAAGGAAAGCACAGGCTGAAGGCGCCATTACACTACGAGCAGCCAAGGGCCTATTTATCTCGTTGGTGACAACAGAGTTTCCCTCTGCCCCTTTCCCTTCGCCCCCTAATCCTCCATGACTTGCTCAGGTACTTTTGATCCCAGTCGTTGTGCGCCGGCACATTCTTCTACTGGTCAGCCTCATGCCCAAGCCACCTGGAAAGCCTTGAATTCGACAGGTCATATCTCGACCTCGGCTTCGCGGTTCCGGAACCTCAATGAATCACCGTTTTTTTGGGCGAATAGGAAGCATCCCGTACACCGAAATTCCAACAGGTACGTGGGTGTGATGGAATGATATCAATATGCCACGCATTGCTTGGTCACACGCCCCCTGAGGCTCAAATCAGCGGACTGGCGTAGCGTTTCAGCGTATGTACTTCGCCGCCGCCATAGGTGCTACGTCTTGGAAGGGCACCGGAGCTAACGGACCCTACCGTGATGATGATCGGCTCCTGCGAAGCAGAAGCGAACTGCTCTGCAAGCATGGTTCACACCACAGGCCAAGATAGTACTTAAGTGGGTGACCACGAGCGCATCCCACATGGTGTACGCATTCCTATACCTGTAGGTACCAGTATTTTGATCTTTCTTGATTCGTTCGGGATCATTTCCGCCCCGTAACGCCCGAAGCCATCTCTAGTCAGTTGCATGAGGAGCCCAGGGTGCTTTGGCGTGGAAATGTTGCTCTCTAGAGTAAGGAGGATCAGACAAAACTAATGCATGTGTCTCCCAAATCCTGATATTTCTAGGCACAGGCCTTACTAAAAAAGTATATGAGACTCTAATATCATTCTAATTACTCCGGATGCCTATTAAATTTAATGAAAGAACGAGGTATTCATCATTTTTTGAGAGTGTTCTGAAATGAAAACGTGAACTTCAGCGATAAACACCAACATAACCACTATAATTCAGAAGAGTTGATCAGGCTGTGAAGGCTTTTCTGGACATGAAGAGAAATCCCTGCGGATTGGAAATCGGTGACGCGATACTTCGTGGATTTAGGGGATACACACTGCTCCATTCTTCATTTTCGGCCGAAACCGTTCGACGAGCAAATCCCATGGGGCTTTGTAATCCCAGGAAAGGTCGTTCTCGTAGTCTGGCTCCGATTTAGGATCAGTTTCATGCTTCTCCATATCAGCTCGTTGGGTATCGACCGCTGTCCATTGGCCGTGAGATCGAAGAAAAGTAGCTATGGTCGAATATCCATTCCATTCAGCGAGCTTGACTGCCCTGATATACTGCCTCCGACCACGTCCATCTATCAACGCCCCATTGGCCAGAAGGAATTGGAGCATATCAAGACGGCCATGCTCTGCAGCACCCTCCAAGGCCGTTCTTCCATACTCAGCTGCTCTACCGGCGTTAACATCTGCACCCAGTTCCAGCAGCCTGCGAGCAAGTCCAATGAACCCCTGGATGGCAGCAAATTGCAAAGCCGTGGCTCCAGATTCCCAGCCAGGCGCGCTGTTGACATCAGCCCCGGCATCTAGTAATCTTTCCACAAGCTCCATATGCCCCCGTCGTACTGCTGACTGTAATGCAGTTGTATCACGACGAATAAGAACCCCGTCGACGCGATAAATTGGAACCGCATCGGGATCTGCGCCGGCTCCAAGAAGAAGGCTGACAGCTTCGATATTGCCATCCTCTGCCGTTCTTTGCAAAGGTGTGCGCTCCTCACTGGACTTGATTGATTCGTCGGGATCACAGCCGTATTCAATGAGAGCCTTAATAACCGAGATATCCTTGTTTTTAACAGCGATCTGGAGGGGAAACCAATGACCTCGGCCAAGTTCGCCCGAAATACCCTTGTTAAGATCCGCTCCAGCATCGTACAAGTATTGCATCCTTGCCCTCTTTCCATGCCATATGCTCGCCGTGAAACCAGACCCCAAGGCTTCTTTGGACCACTGAGCAGCGTCGAATACCTCTTGGAAAAGATCGTCATCGTTGACCATTGCCGCTGTCTCCAAGACCTTCGAATATCCGGGCCCTGTCAGGTCAAGGCCGGAGCAGAGTAGAATCTGAACCAACACACGATCGTCGGATTTGAGGGCTTTCGCAAGAGCCATGGGTGCTTTGCATCTCAAAGGTGATCTCAGACTCACAATGCGTCTGAGAAGCAGCTCATCACCATGCCGCAGGTATCTATCCACCGCCGTTGTCAACTCGGCATCGGCAATGCGAGCTCCACGGGCTAAAAGAGCCTCCATTGTTGCTAATTTCCCTTTCCTGATTGCGGCCTCCAATGGAGTACCCGTCCTCTGCTTATACCTTCTCCAAGTGCGGCTTTGGCTCAATTTCTCGGTTGGCAAATGAGGAATCAGGTATTCGACCAAAGTATCATCATCAGCGTCAATTGCAGCAACCAAGATATTCTGCCCACTTGAGTTCAATATAATTGGTAGCAGCCCAGCACAGTTCAAATACTGTGCCGTTTCCACACCCCCAATCTTATGCAAGGGACTCACTATGTCTGTTGCTCCAGCCTTCAGGAGTATTGAGATTATCTGTATACACCCCGTTTCTAGAGCAATCCCAAGGGCCGTACCGTCGATTTTCCTGTTGTCTCCGTGGCTGTTCGTGATGGATTGATCGACCAACCAATAATTAAGATCAATTTGCTGAAGTGGCAGCTGCAAAATCCGATCGACATCGCTTTCCGCGACAAGGGAGCAGAGCCTCTCGAAATAGAAACGCTGTAGGGTGTCTTCATCTACTGCCGCTCCCATTTGTAGCAAGTATTCGCAAATTTCCAACATTCCTTTCTCCAGTGCGCGATCAAACAGTGTTTTCTTAGTTCCACTGCAGTGATCTACGGTGTTAATATCACCGCCACAGTTGATCAGTAACAATGTGGCATCAGCATGTCCACGATCAACGGCAAGTGTGAGAGGTTGGATAATGTTAGGGTCGGCGGTGCTTTGCGGGTCTGATGCAAGATTGGCTGTGAGAAGCACCCGAAGTATTTCCGTATTCCCAGTCCCCGTTGCTAGACCAACAGCCGTCGTATGGAAAAAGCGATTTTCAAATTTCACCTCGTGCAACGAATTGACATCTGCATCACGTGCGAGTAGCAATTCTACCCAGTTGGCACTCTGCTTTTTAACAGATATTGCAAGCATTGTTGCTAGCCGTTTTCTGTCTGTCGTATTGTTGATATCGTGGACAAGAAGGCGGTCTAAGAATGGTCTGAGAGGATCAAGAATATCTCTGGAATGCACACCGCCATAGTATGACTTTGACTGAAGCTCCTCCAGACAAACATCAATATTTGCTCCGTGGGATATGAGTAGGTCGACCAAGTCCGAGTCCCGGTTTGATAAAGCCGAAGCAAGGCACGGAGCACGTTGGTACGCGTTGACATCGGCATTGTGTGATAGGAATAACTTCGCCATGCGTACAGATGGCTCGATGTCACAAATGTATTCCAAAGGAGTACATCCGTCTCCACAGGCAGAATCGATAACAAGTGTCTGCGGGTCCATTCCGGCCTCGAGCATAACTGTTATTGTTTCCAAGTCAAGCGACCTCACTGCGCTCCCAAAGACCTTCTCTGCAACAGCTCTCGGGGTCAATCCAGGCATTGCAAACAAATGTTTCATATTTTCCAAAGTGTTAAGTCCCGATATGCGGAGAACGCTAAGGACCAGATCGTCTTGTTCTTCCATGTCTGGCTCACTGAAATCGGAACGCTGGAGTCCGTTCATTGAATGCAATGAGAAATTGTTGGACAGGAGGTAGAAGAGCAGCTTGAAGCGCTCCTGCAGGCCCACACTATTGGTGTGACTGCATAGTACTTCGGATGTCATACGATGTTCTTCGTCTTGTGCCTCGGGCATGAGCACTTGTAGAACCCCTGCCAGTCTGGCAGCTTCATCCATATTGGAGCTTGTTTTCAGGTCCCTGTTTGGCAGAAAAGACTGGAAAGCTTGTACCATGGCGTGAGCAGCAACAGTTTGCCCATGGCTGTGCACAGGAAGTGCTGCCGATGATGTAGGAAAGGGAATCCTGTGTTCTAATTGGCTTAGCATGACCACAGACAATCAATGGAGCAATGCATCTTTACCTTGACCGTTCATCCATTGAAGGAACTGAAGCCAAGGAAGCTCGTGGGGCCATTCTAACATGGTTCTCGGTGCAGGAGAGCATACAACAATGCCTTCCGGTGTCCGGGGAGAAGGGACTAGACGTAGTTAGTACGCCATCATTATTTCGCATGTCCAAATATTACCAGAATACATCTCTGCTGCCGAGATGAGCCTTTGTCTGATGCCACGCTGCACCTTGTCTGGCGGATACCGGATGCCATCCACGTATACTTCACTATCCCGCCCAAGCCGCTTTCGTTTGCTGATTTTCCGGTTGATGATTTTCCACTTATCCAAGGATAGTTTGTTCTTTCGCCAACGCCATTTCTTGAATGCATTTTCATACTGTTTTTTTTCTGCTCCGCGTCAGCATGGGGCTATCCGAAGGGAGGCAGGAAGACAGTACGTTTTGTGAAAGTTCCGCCTTTTTCGGAGTATCTCCATCACCTCTTTGAGGGTCTTATCCTGCCGGACATAGAGACGCTCGATTTCGGCCTTGCGGTCTTCCCAGTCGGTATAATCCATGGCTGTTAAGGGCAACCGATGTCAGCCTGAGAGAAGTCAGAGTTGGGTTGAGCCCCGGCCACTACGTTCTTTTTTGTATTTGCCTGGCGAGGGCGAGGCTGAGATGCCAAGATAATCACCGCCTCTTCCCATGAGGACGATGGTCGGAGACCCCCAGTAGATCCTGTACTGAAACCGGGCTAATACAGGGTCTATAACTCGTCTAATTCGTTCATTGTACTGAAGTTCGTTGCCCGCAGTTGAAGGGTCGTCCGCTGCTGGAAGGTCGTCCGCTGCTGACAGGTCGTCCACTGTTGACAGGTCGTCAACTGTTGACAGGTCGTCCGCTGCTGAAGGGTCGTCCGCAGTTGAAGGGGTGTCTGTGAGTGGCCTCACTCCGTAGCCTGCTCTCTAAGTATAAAGTAGAAGCTGCCAGCTTGTTTCTCTTTTTCCCGTAACGATGTCTGCTCCTCGATATTAAACGACTTCTTATAAAGCCCCTCTTTCACTTTTCTGTTTATCTGCAATCTTGTATTTCAGCCTCCTAAATTCTTACAATGGACGGTCGTTCGGGAAACTTTGCTTGGGGGAGCCCCGAGTGCTGGTATGGAGAGGACAACTCAATGCCTCCCGATACGGTTGATCCTTCGTCCATTTTTGACCCATTTCTGTTTGACATTTCATTATTCGATCAATGCCCGACTGGATTATTTGAATTGGATACTTCAGCTGCCACTGCTCTTGCTCCTGCTCCTGCTAGTACGGAACCCAACGGGGACGCCCCACAGAGCTTAATGCCTCCCGCTTCAACCGAGGGCGCAACAGCGAATCATCACCCTCCGACCGGTGGAAATGTAGACAACACCCCAAACCATCTTATACCGGCACACAGAGGGAGGACTGGAGCAAGAGCCCGCAGATCGCGTCGAAACAGCGCTTCCAAGTCTAGGTAGGTCATGTACACGCCTCATTGCTCGTCTAGTGCAGTGTATATTGACGGTCTTTCGTGTAGATCCAGCACCCAGCGCTTCCGATGCGATCGAAATGGCTGCGATTACACTGGCACTTTTGGACGCAAAGCAGAGCTGATGCGACACATTGAAAGCAAGCATGTCAACCCTGGCGCGCACAAGTGTCCGGCGCCTGGCTGTGGAAGGGTATTCAACCGCAAGGATAACCTGGAGGAGCATATGCGTGTTCATCTGCCGAAATGAGGATTCATAGGACCTTCCACCAATTCATGGAGCAGAGTTCAGCAAGGTAATTTGTAGTGATGTGATAGTGTTCCTGTTATGGTATCTGCTTATGGCGTTTTGCTTTCTGTCATGTTCTTCCTCCGCAGTTGTCGTTCCATGTCAGTTTATATAGATACATTAGATTCTAACTACGTCCCTCTGACATGTATAAGCAATCTTGAAAGAGAGATACTCGATTAGGCAAGGTAAGATGGAAGAAAATCCCCTCATTTCAGAGTTAGGTAGATGTCCTTGCCCCCGTATACTCTTTGTGTCCTGCAGTGGCGGTGATCTACTGGAAGCGGCGTAGTGGTAAATCCTCTAGATATCGAGAACAATATCGGGAATTTCTGTCGAACTGAGGTAATCCTCAAAATCCATGAGATACCTAATTACCTATCCAAAGGGGGTAAGTATTTGAAGATAGTAGCACATCTGCGGCGCCAACCCGCATTGAGTGGCGTGCTTTGTCCTGCGGTTTGCGCGCGTCGTGCTGGGAGATCCCCGATTCAGACTTGTTATCCATCTCATTCTTCCCTCTGCCCATCCTCACCACACGCGCTACACAGCTCCGTAACCCTCCAACGCCGTGATCCTCACCGGGCTTGAAGTCGTCACCCGCCAATTAGTGCGGAATCTCCACGGTGTCACCCAGCAACAACCATGCGGCATCGATCTTACTCTTCGTCAGATCTCCCAATGGACCTCCGCAGCGACCATCGACTTCGATAATACGAGACGCCAGGCGGCAAAAACATCCAGCTTGTCGTTTGACAGCACCAGCCACGCCATCACACTGCGCCCAGGCGCTTACCTGGTCGACTTCAATGAAACCATTCAAGTGCCACGGAATTGCATGGAAAGCATTTTCCCGAGGTCATCGCTCTGGCGGCCCGGGGTCGGAGTCACTGCGGGTGTCGTCGACGCCGGGTATGAAGGTGCTCTCGGTGCCTTGATCGAAGTCAAGAATCCCCACGGCGTCGTTCTGCATCGAAACGCCAAGCTCGCCCAGATTGTATTTGAGGAATTGGGCGAAGCTGTAGAAGGGTACAATGGCATCTACCAGTCTTCGACGAGCAGTGTCGGGCGCGGTGGGACTGGTCAGCCTGCAAAGGCTTGAGGAAGGGAGTTTGCACCATCACCTACAAATTACTTTGTAGCGAATGGCCCCTAAGCCCGATCTAGTTACTGTCAGACACCCTACCCTAACCGGACATGCCGAACTCGTGACAGCCCCAACAAAACCGTTCTCCTTATCTGCTTCACTTTGGCTAGTAGTTCTAAGTCCCATATTCGGAGGGTCTCCTCCATCATGAAAATGACATCAATGTCGTCCTATGATTCTGCTGCGGTCCCTGGCACCAGCACATCATCCAGCAACACGCCCTTCTACACTGGCTCTCAAGAATACCCTGTCTTCCCAAATGCCGTGTATCTCTCCAAGTTCTACCTGGTGTCCTCTCAGTATTCTGGCCTCACAGACCTCGACATTGACCTCTACAATGAGTGTTACCTGCCCTTTAGAGCGCTATCGCACCACAATCATGACAAGAGAGATGAGGCGACAGCAACCCTCACTCCCAAGCCCACCTACTTGATCAACGATCCCCCGTGCAAGCGACAGGCCGCTATCAATTCCAATTGCTATTTTCAAAACACGAACGGAACATTCCAAGGTCTCCTGCCGTATTCGGGCGACTGGGACATTCAGCAGCAATGCTTTTGTGACATTTATCCATTCTTCGACTCATCCATCGGTTGTCAGGAGTGTTTTCGGAAACACGGTGGGATTGAGGGTACGTTTTCTCGACTGCACCTGCTGGCAAGGCTACATAGCTGAACTCCCGCAGGCTATCACTGGTTCCCCGAGAGTTATGTGAGCACCGTATCCAGTTCTTACTGTGGCGCCAACCCCCAGACAACGGGATTCTACCCATTCGCACAGGAATGGGCCAAGACTGACTCCGCGGCAAAAGTGCCGAGTACCACCGCTTCCGATCTGCTAGGTACACAGACGGCTGCTAGTCTGTACTATACGTACGCTGCGGAGACAGCCGTCAGTGATAGTAAGGCAGGAGCTGCTGCTGGCACGATGCATTCGAGTCTGCGGAGAGTACTTCTTGTCGCTCTGCTGCTGAGTTTAATGCTGTGTCTGTAGGTCTGCCGATGCCGGCACATCTCACAGGGGGGATAAATATGAACCGTTCAAGCTCAGCCCTAATCCAAAGATCTTGTTGGCCCAAAAGAACAAAAAACTCATCAAGTAAAGCAGCCCCAAGGGCTCTTCCAGACGTTACTGAGATGCGAATCAGACAGTTGTCCTTCCGTCTTCCCAGACTATCTTCCCCTCGAACCAAGTTTTGAGCACTTTCGCATTGGCAAATTCCCCTCGGCTCAAATCTCGATCAACCACAATGAAGTTCGCCTTCTTGCCAACTTCAATACTGCCCATCTCTTTCTCTTTACCTACAGCCTCTGCTCCAGCCAACGTGATCATCCGACAGACTTTCTCGCCGCCGACCTCTTTGGCCGTTTTGCCTGTTTCTGGGCCAAACCGTTCCACAATGGCTGACAGAGCGGGAAAGAGGTCTGGCGTCGGGGGCAGGAACCAGTCAGAACCGATGGTTACATGAACTCCAGCATCCTTGAGCTCCTTGAACGGCCATCTGAAAATATGAGGGAAGTTGGATGTGAGCTCTGTCTCGTGAAAAATTGCAGGTGACATCTCGGCAGTGATTCGGAGCTTTGCCATCCGGAAGATATCATCTGCAATGAATGACTCCACGTTAGCGGATGTTTTGCTTCGAGCTGGACTTGTCTCACCTTGGTGGACTGCATTGCAATGAGCCAATTCATGCCGTGGGCCTGTAGGGTTTGATTGCCGGACGATTTCTAGGACGTCTAGTGCACGTCTGACAGAACCCTCGCCGGCACAGTGAATTTTACAGGTCATCCCCATGGCGTCATGCTGTGTGACGGCACCTAACAAGGCATCAAAATCTATTAGCAACCGATTTTCATCAGGGGTACCATCCGGCCCCAGGTCGCAATGTGTGAAATGAGGTGGTAACGGTGCGCCGTCCATCCAGAATTTGACAAAACGAGTGTGCACATGTTCACTGCGAAACGAATCGGCGATACTGATCAGATGCTGCAAGGACTCCGGGCTTTCAGCAGCGAACATGGTCGGGGCATCGACAATGTGGGGGAAAACATCCATATCGAGTCGACCTTCTTGTTCCAATTCGCGAAGAGCCCGCAGATAGATGGTGTTTGCGGATGCCTCTTGAACCGAAGTAATTCCAAATCGCTGAGACATGCGTATCCCATACAGAATAGCTTCCTTCACATACGAGACAGGCGGTTGGGGGAGCCTGGTCAAAGCCTGTGCGGCGGCAGCTTCCACCAGCTCTCCCGTCAAGCTCCCGTCCGGTCGACGCATATATTTCCCACCGTCAGGATCCGTCTCTTCTGTGAGATCATACCCAGCATGCTTGAGGCCGGCGCTATTCATGGCGACATTGTGACAGGAAACATCTCGAACGAGCAATGGTCGATCTGGGAAGGCGTCATCCAGGTATTTCCGGTCAATCTTCCCGTCCGGGAAGTTCTGCCCAGCGTAGAAGTTGGCAATGAGCCAGTCTCCGCGGACATGAGCGTGGGCACAGACACAGGCACTCTGTCCTTTCTTGATCTTCTCTGCAATTGTCGCCGCCGTACTGTCTGACCCAATATCGATCTCGTTCAGCTTTTGCATCGAGGCCAGCAGCAGGTGGGTGTGTGCGTCGTGGATTCCGGGCATCACAAAGGCATTCTCTAGGTCGTACGTGGTTAGGTTCCGGCTTTTGGCCAGGTTCAGGATCTCGTCGTTTGCTCCAATGGCTTCAAAGCGCCCTGATGCGGACACAATGAAAGCTTCTACCCACGGTCTCCTCTCATCCACGGTATACACATGGCCGTGCAAGTAGGCTGTCGCTTCGGGGCCCATATTCAAGTAGAGGGCTATCGTTGGTCGAACAAGTAGAGGGTGAGGACGAATGCACTTAACCACGGTGAGAAATGCGTAAAGGGAGGAGGGATGGTATATACCGTACTGAGCATGCTTTCTGTCAGAGGTATACAGGAGAGTGGTATAGAATGTGGACCGCCAATGCCATCAGGCCAAGTCCTCGCATTGAACGATAATTCGTCCGTCCTCCGCAACGCCCTGGAGGACGCTAAACCCGATCATGCCTAAAAGTGCGAAGTCAGTTCCTGGTAGTGTCTATGACGGCACATCGATAAAACTACACAATAGAGCTGACATCGATCCAATATAGCCTGAATGACCAGTCCGGCGAAAGCGGCAACTCGGCCGTGAGTAGAGAAAATCATACTAAGCGTTTATAGGAGATCGAATGCGATGGGGCTTTTGGTCTCTCGCATCCGCGGTACAGACATGACCACACGTAGGTATATTTGCGGACGCTGTAAGCAGACCAGCTTTGTCAGAACAGAGGCGTCTATAAAATCAAGTACATATGCATCCTCATCTACAGGGCACAGAACACATAATGATCATATAGGGTGTTGGAGTGCGTATACTCATAATACCGGCACAGCCGAACAGATAGATGGCTGGGGGCATCAACAACCTCCATTATTATGTCATAAGTCAAATGCTCTAGTCTATCGGACAGCTTCGTATACACACAACGCTCCAACCCACCAAAATAGCCACAAAACACAAAGGCAAACTCCTATGATGCAAGATGAAAGCGAGAACACCCGGAATGCAAATGCATCTCGACGCCAATGAGACGTTCAAGCAACGAAGGCACACGCGCTATGCGATCCCAGTCGAGATTATGCTGTGCGGTCGGCCGCAGTTGATGCAGAAGCCAAGTCAACAGCCTTCAACTTCGCCTCCAGTTGGTCAACCTCGTCAACCGGCGACGCCTCTTCGTCCTCTTCCACGTACAGGCTCTGGCCATCAACGGCGCTGGACTGGTCTACCGAGCCCTGTGAAAGGAAACTGGCTCCAAGGTCTTCCTCGGCAGCTTCGTCAACGTCGCTGCCCTCCTCTTCACTCAATTCTCCCTCCTCGTACTCCTCGTCTTCATCTTCTTCTTCCTGCTCCTCGTAATCTTCGTCCTCCTCTTCACTGTCCGTGCTGGAGAAATCTTCGATATCCGGGGGAGGCTCGCGCCAGTAAGTGAAGTCAGTATATTCCTCCCCACCGGCCTGGACAAGCAGGCTCGTGGGGGGGAAAAAATGATCCAAAAGTTCACCCATTGTCACATAGCTGCTCTTGTATTTGTTCAAGCTCAAGAGGTCCAGGGACACTTCGGCATTCGAGTTGATCGTGAAGATCCTAGTGGACGGGATGTTCACTGATCGATAGCTGAGAGCGTCCGTAAGACGGTTCCCGAATCCGGCATAGAACGGGTTCTCCTTTCCATTGAATAGGTTCAGGATGTCCCGTAGGCATGCCATCTTGAAAACTTCGGGCTTCCGCAAGTAGATCTCCCGTCTCAGGGCTGCGATCGTCCGGTCAGGGCTCATGATGACAGGTCCCTTGGGTAGTCGGAAGCCATCTTGGCATACGCCATACAGATAAGCTCGTGTCGTGTCGGCTTGGCCAACAGAACGACTGGTAAGGTACATGATGTTGTACCCATTATTGACGATGTCAGTATACAACTTGGCCACACCGGCGTGCGTCCAGTCCCGTCCAATCATGTTCAGCACATGACCAAGCGCATCCGACCTGTTGCAAAGTCAGTACAGGTACCATGAAATGACATTTCAGAGAACTCACTTAGTGATAGTTCCATCAATATCGGAGATCACAATCGGTGTGTTGCCATTCCACAGATACATCGTCGCAGTACACGTAGCCCTGTTGACACTAAACGACATCTCATTCGCACCTGGCTTGAGATTCAAGGCCTTGAGCTGGTCACTGGTCAAGCGCAATGTCTTCGCATAGTTGCGCGTTGTCTCTCCCGGTGTTGGGGATTGCGGTGGTGTAGGGAACCCCGGCTGAACATCGGATTGGGTGCGATAATGCCTGGGCTGCATGGATGCGTTCCCGACGGACTGGTCGCTGTCACTGTGGTAACCCGGGTCAGACACAGCATTTTCGCTCATTGCCGAGCTCGGTCTCAATGCATTAAACGTGGCGCGACGGTTGGCGGCCTCTTTCGCATCCTCACTACTATAGATCCACAGATTCCCGTGCTCATCCGCTCCGATGAGAGCTCCAATATCATAGGGGCCTTCCAGCTCTTCCGCGAGAATTTTCCGCGCGACCACTTCGGCTCGCAGGGCATCCTCTTCATTACTTTTGTAGCCAGTCATGTCGAGCATTAGGTCGCCCGTTTCGGTGACATGCGTGGGAATATTCGATCCGGACAATTTCTTGGACAAGGAGATCGCACGCGAGACCGCCTCCTGGGGCGAGAGCGGTGGTGGGCTCCGAGAACGACCGCCAGCAGTAGATTCCTCGGTCGAGGACGATGGTTGCGCTCCATATGTTTGATCCGCGGCGCTGGGAAGATGGGACTTGGCCAGCAGAACATTGTCGGACATTGTCCTGTCAAACTTAGGCTCATCACTGAACGAGCCTAAGCGAGACCGGCTCAGGTCTGAGCTCTCCGGGGATCGCGATAAGGGTGTGATAGCACCTATTTAAGTATGAGTATAGTGACATATATAGATCGGCGTGGATATCCCGTCATACCTAGATCACTCGACGCTCGAGTCGGCCTCGACATTATCGGAACGTTGGAGTCAGACTTGGTATCTAGGGTCCCGCCACCAGGAGACGACCGATCCAAGTCTAAATATTCTGGTTCTTGGAGCGACGATGGGAGACTCTCCTCACTGCGCATTTTCGGACTGGCCGTCGGCGACACCAGGGGTGACGTCTGCAATGAGGCGGGGATCTCATCTGTCGTCTCAAAGACAAAGAACGCCTCCCCGCCTTCTCCGAGCTTCATCGAGTAGTTCTGTTTAACGCCATTCACCTTAAACTCCACCTGGGCACAAGTTAGTAAGTCCCCTACCCGAATCAAACCGCAGGTGAATGTACCTTCTTTTCGTAAGGTCGGAGCAATGAGAACTTGCCGAAACGAACGTGGAAAGGGGGAGCAGGCGAGGGTCCCTGTCAACGCAACCAGTTAGAATCGCACATTCTAGTCTGCAGAAGGGGATCTCCGTGAAGTCTACACTATCTTTCGTGATCGATCACGATAACATCTATTGGCAACGCTCAAGGTGTCTGGACTGATCGAGTTCTACGTCTTGGCAGAACGGAACCACTGATAGCTGCAGACGTATTGCATCGCGCAGAGATCGACGGGGCAGTTCCGCGAGGGAGAAATCACTGACTCCGAAGATGAAAGGACCACTGACACAAGATAGGCAACTAACGGGCGACTCGGGGGAAAGAGTGGGAAGGGAAGAATTCCGAACGTTGGTCGGAGCAGCAGACAAGCCTTGCCGCCTACGTACGGCCCATGTGACAGAGGCCGAGAGACATCAGTCGCACCAGCCAGCCACTGCGGGAGGGTGAACGAACGAGAGACCAGGGATGGCGACAACAAGACAAAATCGGCGAAGGATACCACGCTGAGAGAGGAAGCTGATGCGAACAACACCGACGACGGGAGGGGAGGAGATTGAGACTGATCTATAAGTGTTGGGAGAGACTCAACAGCCCAACAACGACGCCGTTCGTTTGATTCCTCGGTCGAAGCCGGTGGCCCCGACGCCGCTAATCCCTTTCGGGCCCGGCGTGCGGGGAGCTTCTTTTTTGGGCCATCGGCGCTGACTCAGCTTCTGCAGCTGACTTAGCTAGTCTTTCGAGTCACATGACCTCCCCACTGCCGACCGCTCCAGCGGAATAGAGAGTCAAGTGCGATGGGAGTTGAATTCTCTCATTCCTCTCTTTTCTGTCCCTTGCCCTGTTTTTATTTCCTCGCACCCGTCTCCATGGGTCTCCGACGCGGGGATGTATGAGCCGTTATATTTTTCGTTTGACGCCTACCCTAGCGTGGTCCCCCGAGTGAGGGTACGAGGCGTCATGGCTCTCTTCCTGGCGGTTACCATTCTTTGGGCTCTGATCTGGTAAGCCTGTCGTCGTCCCCTTGTCATCTTTCTCCTGAACATCGCTGACCGGTCCGTCAGGCTACTCTACCGGGCGTGGCAGGTCTGCCAAACGCCAAACGAGGTCTTGGTCGAAAAACTCGGCCTGGACATCCCTCCGCCACCAGAGTTGACCCTTGAAGAGATTACTGCGCGGGAAATTCGCATCGCTTGGAAACAACCAGAATTTCATAATTCCATTCACAAGCACATCATTCAAGTGAATGGAGCGAAAGGTACTTTCTCATCTGCCCCTTCCTTCCGTCAGCCGGCGCATCAAGGGCTAACTCAGGACTCCTTAGTGGGCGAATCGAAACGAGCCGAGACTGCCGTGGAAATTCTGAATCTCGTTCCCGGAAATATATACCACATATGTGTGTGCTCGGTGAGCGCGGCGAATTTTCAAACCCCTAGCGCCGTTGTCCACGTGCGAACCAAGTCCCTTCCTCTCTCGCAATCCCAGCAGAATGCTTCCAACAGCAATATCACCATCCGCGCTTCCATCCCTCGCTCTACGGCCGGACTGGCTGCCCCTTCCGCACCCATCATGTCTCGGGAACACAGCGGAGGTCAATTACAAAGCAAGCGTGCTCCAGCTGGGAGGAAGCAGTCTCCAGCTGCGAGCGGGGCGGAAACTTTGCACGGTAATGTAGACGATTTGCAGAGAGTCTCCGGGTCTGACGACCGAGACGAAAGCTTGGAGGAACTAGCCGAACGATTGAAACTCTTGCAGCATGAGAACGAGACCGTGGAGAAACAAGCCGCCGATGAAGAGGAGGAACATATCGCCCTTCTTAAAGAACTCGAGAAGCAGCGGGATGAGCTGAAAAAGCGCGTGAAGGAAAAGGACGAGGCCAGCGGCGATTTGAAGAAGCAGGTCTATAAACTGGAGAGCGTCAATCGCTCGGTTCAAAGCGAGAAGGCGAAGCGTGAGCGGTTGCTGCAACAGAAGGAATCCGAACGTCAGAAGCGAAAGGACGACATCGTTCGATGGCAAGAAAAGGTGGTCCGGATGGCCACCGATGCTACTCATGCAAAGGAGGAGAAAGCTCGTGTGGAAGAGGAAGGCAAGAAACGAGCGAATGCGGTCCGCGAGAAGATTGCCAAGGAGCAGGCTGAGATGAAAGTCATCGACGACGAGATCCAAGACAAAGGCGGCCGTGTCAAGAAGCTTGAGGAGGAAAGGAAGAACAACCAGGGCCCAGATGGCGAGGATGGCAAGGAGCTGGACCGCATTGACAACGAACGCGCTCGGCAGTGGGAGTTGAAACTGAGCAATCTACATACGCAATATGCATCCCTTGTCAGCCTCCACGCCCAGGTTCAGCAGCAGTATCAGGAGGCGCAGGAACACTTCAAGTGGCTGACGACTCAACGACCGGGAAGCTCAGGGCCATTCTCCCTGCCGGCCTTGGATCTCGACTTGTCGAACACAGCGACTATTCGTCCCCGTCGTCATCGCAGCTCACTCACGAGCAATGTCTCTTCTCCAATGAACTTTCCCGCCATGGAGCCTTCATTCTCCAACAGTATCAATTACAAAGCTCCTTCGACGAACTCCCCGACTTTCCCGCCGAGTTCGACATTCTTTAACATCAACAACGGGATGACCATACCCGGTCTGTCAGGTCAGCCCGACCTTTCTCGTGCCGAACTGGAAATGTCCTTCAACAATCCCCAAATGAGTCCACGCGCCGATGCATTACTGCCGTCCGATCTTCTTGGGGATGAAGAGTCGCCTGAACTTCCCCGTCCGATCATTCGTCCCCGATTTTCAAATGCGGATCAATCCAATCCACTCGAGTCTTTTGCTCATGGTCCACCCTCTCCAGACTCATCAAGCAGTCGACCTGAAAGCATGTTTGGCAGCCCCCATGAAATTCCAGCCCAGGAACCGGAGTCGCAGCCAGCTACTTTGGGTGATGCGAACGAGGCTCCGAAGAGTGCGTCGCGCCGCCTATCCGGTCTGTTCGGCTTCCATCGGGCCCGTGGGAAGACTCTGGCAGATGAACCGCCCTTACTGGGTACTTTGAAACCAGGTCAAAGCCAGTCATTCCCTCGAAATCTGGAGGAAATGGACCCTATTGGTGCTAGGCGCCGTCGCCTGAGTTATACGGGTAACTGGGCAAACCCTATAACGTTGCTTCCAAGGAGCAACACGGCGAGCGTCACAGCAGACAGCTCGTCTGATCACCTCCCATCCCGTCGTGCTGCCATCTCTAGTATCTTCTCCCCTAGCCGATTTGGTTTCGGCAGTGGGAGCAATTTGGCAAAATCTAGTGACAACCCTGACCTCAACACTGGATACAATCAATTTAGCCCCAGACATGACCCTATTGATCCGTCCTCGATCTTGGGTACTGTTCGGCGTGGCTCGTTATCACCGAGACCATCCTCGACCTTCTCCTTTGACAATCAACTTCCTCACCCGTCTACGGACAATAGGCACTTTGGCTGGCCTTCGGCTGAAAAGCCGGGCCATCGAAGTCCCTTGGGGTTTGACTGGGCTTCCCCATCGACGTGGTCGAGGGTACACTCCCGCCGACCGTCTACACAATATGGTTCATCCGGCCATTTACCTCTAAGCCTTACTGGGGAACCTGATTTTCTCCAGGACTCGTCCTTTGAAAGACAGGGTCGACCGTTACAAGCCCCTATTGGTACCCGTCCATCTTCTTCGCATCGTCCTGTGACCCCGAAGTTGAACCCAGCCGCACCTACGTTCAAGACAATTTTTGGTAGTAGGAAATCGGACAAGGATAAGGAGAAGGACAAGGGAAAGGATAGGGACTTGGATGCGCCGTTCGACTTCCTAATGGACGACGGATCTCCATCTGAATCCCGTGCCTCGAAGGATTCACGTTCTTTGTCTATCTTTACGCGGGATTCCTACGAGTCCCTGGAGCGCATGCCATCTGCCGCATCTGCCGACAACAACAGCTCGAAAGAGTCATTCATTCGAAAGATTACGCGGAAAGGCAGCTCGGGCAAATTCAGCTCATGGAAGGACCGTTCGGGGTTGTTCTCGAAGAAGAGTGACGCGTCCCAGGGTGATATTGATGAAGACAGCGTCGCCGAGGCTCAACTTGCCAAGAGCGTGGACAGCGCAGGGTCTAGTATTCCATCGGCCGATAAGTCCAGCCGAACTAGCCTGGGATTTTTCAGCCGCAAATCGAGAAAATCGGACAAGGCAGCCAGCGAGACAAGTGAGCGACCCAGTGAACGGGCTAGTGAAATTGCCAGTGAACTTGGTGACGATGAGATCCCTGAAGAAGAGGAGATCAAGTCATGATCCTCACTTTCATATTAGCATCCGCATTCTTTTACATTTCTTTCTATGTCTATCCCGATAGATTCCATGTGTGGTTTGTCTACCACTACCAGTCTATACCATCTCTGCGCAATTTCTTATATACATCCCCAGACTAAACATATCACTAAATATGTTGGTTTCGGATAGCCAATTGGATTATCTTGCATAGCCTTTGTATACGCGATTCACGACGATAGCAGGTATGGCACGCCTGGTAAATGTGACCTTGAACGGAGAATGCATTTGGATAAGCTTAAGGATCAGTCTCTCCACCAAGACAAAATCTGACTTTTTTAAGAGAAAAACTTTCCGTATTCAATGCCACCAATGGTTAGAGAAAAAATTTCTATTTCATAACGAGGTCGTATATATAGTATCATGCAATGTATACTCCGTTCGCCCTTCTAAGCCATTACCTTTAACCCGTCCATCCCACAGGCGCATTGCTGGGTATCGTGAAACTGGACTCGGCACCTTGGATTAAACCAGCTTGTTGCTTGATATATGTCAACCATCGAGCATCATCGGCGTACGTCTGATTCCACCGGTCGTTCTCACCGTAAGCGATCTGACGTGCTGTATCCTGGATGGTCAAGTCTGAAGGGTACACCCCTGATTCCATCTCTGCTCTGAGATAGGCGATCAGCTCGCGGTGGAGATTAGTGTATCTTGTCAGTCCGTTGGGGACGTGCGTCTCAGGAAACCGAGACTCCTCTTCGTTCCCGGTGGTCCCAAACGCATCCGACGTCTTCCATGGGTCCATGGTTAGACGCTCATATCCAAGAAGATACGGCGGGATGGCGTTTTCCACCAGGCTCTGCACATCGGGCTCGAATCCCCACCCGCCCTTCCATTGATCCATGTCGACGCCGTTTTTGAAATGATCCGCGAGGTGTTCCACGCGCTCGTCCCAGGTTGACAGGCGCGCATCACAAAACCCACACCGGGACACGATGTCTGTTCTCGAAGAGCGCCAGGCGTCCATGGATGCATGGTAATCCACGTTGTGTGTCAGTTTGAGGTGCTGTTTGAGATGGTCCTTGCGCAGGAACGCGCGTTGTTCCGGTCCCTTCTCCCGACAGAGAAGATAGTTATGGGCAGCTTCGAGGTGGGCGTAGTCTGCGTCCGTCGCCTGGCAGAACGCACAGACCTTGCTGCCGTCAACCTCGACGATGCCACCATGCGGTGCGCAGCACCACGTGTCCACGGGGATATGGAGCGCCTTCTCGTGCCGCTGCCAGTCGTACTTTGTGCGGAACGTATCCGAGCAAAAGGTGCACTGGTAGGCGCGTTTGCCGTGCGCGGCCGACCGCCTGTTCCAGGTCGTTGCCGACTTCCGCGGGCGCCGGCGCCGGCGAGAGCCCATACTAATTGGGATAGGGGTTGGTGGTCTACGCAGGGCGCGGCGAGACTGGCTGAACGAGATCTCGGAATTGGACGACTGGCTGTGTTGGCTGTGCTCGAAGCTGCTGACGGAGGGGGCGCCCACGACGAACGAGTTGCTCGAGCCGTTGCTGGACCACGCATCTGGGGCGTTGTTCGTATAGGCCGTGCTGCAGTCGGATCCGGAGTAGGGCGTGCTGTCCGCCAGTGCGCGCACGATGTCCGAGGTCGCGGCGGCTTCGCTTTCGGGCGGGGAGTTCCGCCATCGTTCTAGTGGCGAGAGCAGGGAGACATCCACGGGAGGGTCGTCCATGCTGGGGAGACGGGTGAGCTTCCGTCTCCGCGTGTTGCTGAACCAGTTGGAGATTTGCGTTTTATCTAATCCCGTTTGTTCGGCTAGCTCCTCCTTCTCCCGATCTGTCGGGTAGGGATATTCCCGATGCTGGTAGAGCCATGCCCGTAGGACCTTCACGGCTTGGGGCGGGAGGCGTTGGTAAGTCTTGGTCTTTACGACCGCCTCGTCTGGACGGCGCGTGTCGGATTGGAATGATGCGTTGGAAACGAGATCCTGGGTGGAGTCTAGTCCTTCGGCGAAGTCGATCTGACAGGAAGACCAAGGGTCCCAATTGAAATCCCCCAGAGGTAGGTTGACGAAATTGCCATGTATCTGTGATGAGGCTGTATCAAAGTCGACGGCACTGTGCGACTGTTCTTCCACGATCTGATTCAGGAGAGAGTCGATATCGTCGTGATTCTGGTAAGTGCCTGTGGCTTCCAGGTGCGGCAATGACAGCACATCGCAGATTTGGGGGACATGGTGATGCACGTCCTCCATCGACGTGTTCCCCCTGGCGTGTCGGAGGGTTTTCAGAATGATATGGTCGTCAGGGAGCAGCTGGGTAGATCGACAGGAATACGGAAAAGGTGAGAGTTGGATGTTGAATCATCCACGTGGGTCTAGGGCCCGCACGCCCTGTGGATGACACTTTGGGGTTAGCTTATCCGTGTTAAGCTCAACTACCTCGCAGCAAGTTGGAGAGCCTCTCCTCGTCGTCTTTCGTCTTCGGCGATCTAGTTTCTTAGGAATCTTTTCTCTCGGGCTTTTGTCTCGTCTTATCTGGTTCATCAGTCATCTTGAACGAGAGTCGTCTGGGGCTCATAGAACGAAAATAATTCTGAAAGGTCGTGTAGAGTGAGAACGGTACTATCAAGAGAAAGAGATAGGGATGAGAGAGCTGGTAAATTTAGCAAAGAAACAGGACATCCTTGGTGTCACATGAGAAAGGTGGCAGGTCTCTAACGCGTGGGTAATTTATAAATTGCTAAGAATTGACTGTTCATTACAAACTGTGGACTTTTTATGATCCTTGAGTACGGTATGCTATGAGGTATAGAATAAAAAGGTGTGATTCAATATTGAAACTCTTGATGCTGGTAAGGAATGTCATAGTCATCTCATGACTAGAAAGCTCCAAATCGACAAACATGATATGTATCGACAGTAGGGCGATATGACCCAACGAATGGAAAGCATGGGAGATATATCTCGATTGAATGGTCGACTTCATCCCCAACCAAGTACGATATGCTCATTGCGGGGCTCACTAGCTCCCGACTTAGCATGACCTGCATCTGGAGAACGAGCCATCCCAGGAGTATGTTGTTTTCTTCTGACAACTGCCCAGGGTACCAGGATGAATCACGAGACGTCTGCTGTCTCCTTTCTTACATTGATGGTGCGGCCACATCTCCACTTTCAAGTATTCATGCCGAGCGGAGATTTCGAACTGGATGCTCTTATATGCCGAGGCGGAATTATGACAGTGGTGGGCGTAGGACGCTATGAGGTCACTGTTTTCACAGCCCGTGTCGCTTGCTGGATAGGCCCAGTATACCAAGGACTGCCTTGGTATGATCGATCTCGCATCTGCTGTGAATGAAGCACCCATCGTTTTCGGGGGCCGCGAGCCAACTGGTTTTTTGCCGAGGCCACCATGTTCACTCAGCCACTCATATGTGACAAGGCTGCTGGGCCTCACAGTTTGAGATTCACCTTGGTCGTATAATGTCGATTCGGCAGCCACTTCCATCTGAAGGTTCACCTTGACGATGCACTCAAAAAGTCCCTGATCTTCGCCCTCGAAGTCAATGGTTCGGTTGGTTGGTGGTAAGGCAATAGTTGTTCCGAAATCTTCGACATAGAGTCGATAGTCGGTGCCGGTGCTGTTCAAACAGGACAGAAAGTAATTTGCGACTTGACTGTTTAGCTCCTCAGGCCCATATATGGTGACGTTGCCCATATTCGGGGAAGTGCCGATGCTACCATAGACATGCAAGACCACGCCAGCAGTGTCGGTGTGAAGTATGGCTTCATGATGAGGTTCTGATAAAGAATTGTGACGGGGTATTGAAGTAGCTAGAAGAGATAGAAATGTAGTTTGATGAACAAGAATCAGTTTCTTCGTTCTACCGATGCGCTTAAATATCCTGGCGTTCTGAAGCAGGCTGCCTATCTACGATTCGATTCAGGTATTACCGAAGCCCATGTTGGTTCCTACTTGAGGTGCGCGATTTTTGTAATTCGTAGGATCTTGCCATGAAGAGTGGCTATGTCTGGGGGTATCACAGTGTTGGAGACCAGAGTTGCCCGTGCTATATGCCATACGTTGCTTGCATAGCCGGTTGGGTCATGTATCACGCACTCTTGGTTTTAGGCTAGAGGAAAGTGGATTTGTTTTATTAGATGGTCCGCACAGCTATGGATTCGAGCCTTTAGCTGATATCACCATGCTGCTGTCTAGGGAATTGATGGTGGAGACTAACTGTATAGGTACAGATATCCTGCGTTTCTACAGCTGATAACGTTATCGTTCTGACTGGCAAGGCTTGCCTAAGTCCTTATCTTTAGGTACTAGGTTCGTTCTTGACAAGGGGATAGATAGTATCAGGAACTGAAGTCGCTTTTCCAAAGTCTTATACTAGTCGCATGGCCTGTTGGCTATGTATTATAGGTACCTTTGGCGTGCTAGTCTAGGAAGAAGGGGACCATTCCCCTCTATGAGAGGTCTGACACACAGTTGGGCTGGATCTAAACTGTGATCAATTACTTATCGGAATGATTGTCAATAAGATGGTGCCACACTCTAGAGTTGCATGCACTACATAGGATCACATATGGCCCGTTTTTCCTACTATATTCTGGCAAATTTGTCCGAAATCAGACTGCAACTGGTACGCGGAGGGCATAGCCAGTGAAGAGCAGAAGAGTGCACCTTGAGTTGAATAACAAGCACAGAGAGGAAATTAATCAAAGATCAAGATCAGTCGACACCGTGGTCGCCCCCACGTAGTATAGGCTAGCCAAGGGGGCCCCTAACAGTGCACTATCTATAATGATTCCAAATACTTCCGAGCTGTAAGCGAAGCGACTGCTGTTGTAATGATTCTGTTGATCCATCCCACGCCGAACTGGTATCCAGGCCATATTCTAGGTAGCTATAAATTGGTATTCTGTCGTGACATAATTGGTATACCTATAATAGTGTGATCCACACCGGCGAAGCAGATAATGCTTGTTCCTATAAGCTTTTTGGCTTCCATTAGCTAAAAGCTTGTTGGTTGATTCTCCATATCCGTTTGGGTAATATCGGACTTAATACACCTTCCGTGTTGCTTGTCTAGGCTCCAGACAGGGCAATAAGCCTCTCGAAGGATGCCTTACCCTAATCTTCTATTACAGATTATCCTTGGGCAACATTCCTTAGCAAGGCTACATATTATTTGAGTCGATGTTGCGACAGGGATGCAATCTCATGGAAGAGTCATACTGGGGCTGTGCTGGATAAATGCCTCAAAAGTCTGTTTTGACAGGGTTGGCCAGCCAATTGACTACTTAACATCCCCAACGGCTTTTCATGGAGCATCTACCTAGGTGAACACTACTAAGCCATGGCTGAGACATTGCCCCTGTGAACAAAGATACCCCTACTGTATGGCCTTTTCCGGTCTCTTGTATAAGTGGAATCATTTCTCGAGTGTTACGTCACTGCTGGCATTGCTCTGTCATACGTGTCGGTCCCTGGCAAGCTTAAAGCGCCCGAACATATCGCTGTCGGCTTTCCATGCTGGCTCCCCCAACTTGAATCTCACAAAGTGATGCATCAAACCAGATACAGTACAAGCCATACAGAATGTCCATGTCAATGAACGGAAGAAAATTCGTGGAGAATTTCACCTACGCCCTTGAGCATGATTTTACTTCTCCCTCTGGGGTGCCTGCAGCCTGGGCTCCAGGCCATCCGAAACGATGGGGTCAAGAGAGAGCGAAGATTCGCCTGGACGGAGCAGCAACAACGCCCACTCTTAGTCCCGATGATAGATTTGTTGCAGTTGGGGTTGACGAAGAAGTACACGTCTTCGATGTTGCTACGAAAGAGCGTCTCGAAGTGTTGGCAGTTGGCGAGCTGATCGAGACGGTCAAGTTTGCACCAGATTTTGTTAAGAACGAAGATGGCAAGTCTACCTGCTATGTTCTGGCATCACAAGCTGGTGAGGATGGGAATCCCATGGTCATTCTGTGGGAGCTGGATCAGAAGGGAAAACTCGCAGCCATGACAAGCCACGAGCAAGAACACAGACTATGCTTTGAGGGCGAGCTGGGCTCATTCAGTCCTGACGGCAAGATGATGGTCTTTTTCAGTCAGAACGAAACAACCCAAGAAGATACACAGGAGGCTGCCTCTATTCCCTGTGTCAATCTATGGGATATCGAAACTAGATCCTTTCGACACAAACTGCTGGGCCACACGGACAGGGTAATGTGGGCTGCCATGGCCCCCGATAACAAGCTGGTTGCATCTGTCGCATGGGATGGCACAGCACGGGTCTGGGATGCTAGTTCTGGATCCTGTCTTTACGTCTTAGGCCCTTTTGGCGGCCAGCTCTGGAGCGGAGCCATCTCTCCGGATCAAAAGTACCTTGCCATCATCCAGGGAAACCCGAAGTCCTATGTGCACGTCTACGACATCGCTACGGAGCAGCCAGTGTCTTGCTTTGATGGGTTTCATCTTCCACCACGTTCTATATCCTGGAGCCATGATGGGGCCATGCTAGCTGGCGGGGCTAATGAAGGAAAGCTTTGTATCTGGGATCCATACACAGGGGAGGAGCGGATGCGATGGTGCCTAGCATTTGATAATCCCCTAATGCGTCGATTTGCTACCACTAGAGCCGTGCAGTTTATAGAAGGTGGCCGGAAGTTGGTGTTCCAGATCAGAGAGGGAACCGTGGAGTTGTATGATTTCGAAAGCAATCTCAAGCAGCAGTTCACACGGGGGGTGGGGGATAGAATAGACAGGTGTCCTGTCTCGGAGATGGTTTGTTCAAGGGATTCCAAATTTATCGTTGTACCAGATGTGGATGGATACTTGAGAATTTGGGATCTCTAGGCTTCCTGTCCATGCATAGCTTCGTCCATTGATTATTACATGCTTTAGTGCGCTGCGTGCCACTAGTCTCTTATGAGGTGATGGCTATTGCGGCTAAATATTTGGAGCTCTGGAGGTTGGTAGAGACCTTAGAATTAGGATTGCACTCTAGTTGATGGTTGACTATAGACGAGCAATCTATATCTCGTGTTTCCTAAAACGGCAACCTTGGTACACCTCAGCCGACTAGACCGCTCTAGGCAATCCGCAGCCTCAGGCACGCCGGAAATAGTCGATGTCATCGATAGGGCGTACGACCACAATGACAGTTAACTACTCCATCCTGATTAATCGTTGACCCACAAGAGTTGGAGTTCTCGCTTACACTCGGTTCCTCTGGCGTCTTTTAAATTCAGGGTTGCCAGGGCTTGTGTCCTAGCAATCAACCAGGCGAGCCCCCATTGGCTACGGAGTACACAGTCTGCAACGGAGCGCCATGGCATCAAATGCTCAGTCCACTGGTATTGAGCTGCAAGAAAGCAGCGCGGCGGGGGAGAGATTTCCGCGGCCGGCTGGAGATTCCACCCCCGAGCTCAATCCGGATGATTTGATGCAAGCTTCCCTCATTGCTGACGCCGAGGTGCCTGATGGAGGCTATGCCTGGGTCGTCATATTAGGCTGTGCAGTCATCACCTGGTGGTTCATCGGGACATCCTACTGCTGGGGTGTTCTGCAAGCGGCGCTGGTGAAAGAAGGCGTGTCCTCGTCTTCTACCCTAGCATTTGTCGGTTCCCTTGCCACGGCCTGCATCTCGTTCTTGGGCATTCTCAATGCGCGCATCATTCGAAAGGTTGGGACCAGGATTGCGGCGATGGTGGGAATTTTCTTCGTCGGCCTGGGTGAAGTCCTGAGTAGCGTGGCCATCAAGAACATTGGCAGCTTGTTCGTAACATCTGGGGTGGTCATGGGAATTGGTATCAGGTACGGTAATCTTAGTTGGATATCTTTTGAGTGGTATGCGCTAATGATGCCCATTAGTCTCTGTTTCATGGTGGTCTCGGTGACCCCCGCGCAGTATTTCAAAGCCAAGCGCGGGATTGCGAACGGGATCGTCTACGCTGCAGGCGGTCTGGGGGGAGCAGTCATCAGTTTTATTCTGAATGCTCTCCTGAGCAGCGTTGGCACCGCATGGACGTTCAGAATCCTTGGGTTTATTACCTGGGGAACTGGTATTCCTGCAGCGTACCTGATCAAACAACGGGTACCCATACCTCGCACTGCGTTTGTTGAATGGTATGCCGTGTCAAATCCCACGTTGCGATCCCTTACTTATCTGCATTCCAGGCGACTCTTCCGAGACATCCGCTTCGTCATCCTTTTTGCGACAGGAGCCATAGCCACGTTTCCTCTGCTGGTCCCTCCATTCTTCTTGCCTTTGTACACGGATTCCCTCGGAATGTCCTCCAGCGCAGGAGCAGGAGTGGTCGCTGCATTCAACTTCTCCTCCGCAGTGGGACGGCTGATCTGCGGGTTCTGCAGTGATCTTGCCGGTCCATTGAACACTCTGTTCTTATCCCTCCTGCTCAGTGCCCTGAGCATGCTAGTATTGTGGCCGGCCTCGACGTCCATTGGGCCGCTTATCGTCTTCGTCATTATCAACGGGATGTCCAACGGCGGCTTTTTCTCGACAATGCCAACTGTTGTTGGGAATGTATTTGGCTCCGCGAGGGTGCCGGTTGCAATGGGGATGGTGGTGACAGGCTGGGCGGGTGGATATCTTCTTGTACGTGTTTCATGTGTTTTCTTCATTTACGTCAGTCTTGCTTTTATCGGTTTCTGGAATACTGACTACTTCTCAGGGTGCCCCGATTGCGGGATACATACTCGACGCGTCCGGCGGAGAAGGAAATGGCGTCGGTGCCTACCGGCCTGCGATTTTCTATGCTGGCGGTATGGCTCTGAGCTCGGCGGCAATGGCTCTTTTTATTCGTCTGAAGACGGATGTGAAACCGTTCAAAAAGCTATAGATGATATTATTGGTGTATCGAAAGTTTTACATCGAAGGTGGGAGAGATACACTATATCCGAGTTAGATGAGCCATCCATTCATAGAGTATGGAGAGTATATACAATCCTGCTGCTCTGCAGGACAAGAGAACAATTTTACAGGTTATTAACGTGGACTGTTGAAGATCGCATTCGAGCATCCCTCATGGTATGAATAATCGATAGTTTAAATGTGTTTTAGTTTACATCTGGTCTATCTTGTTTAGTAGGTATGACAGGGAGAACAATAGTAGGCAGCTGCTCATTCCATCTAACCATGACTTCCACATCTATTCCAGAATCTCGTAGAAGGCTTCTACTCCTGGTCCTGTTACTGTCCCAGCAAGCCTGTTTGGAGCATGAATTGGCCTTCGGGTCGGACATGAGCGCGTCATAGTCCGATAGTTTTCCGTGCAGCCCCTCTACATCGCATAGTGAGTACATAGTAGTCGGTTTTGTCTTGTCTGTAGGTTGCATCCAAACCATGCGTCCTTCATCTGTATACTAGCGTACGCACTTACATCCAAAACGAAATACTGCACGGTAGCCCTGGTATGTTCTAGTGGCTTAGTTCGCCTCTATCCTCGGGATTCGGATGTCAGAGCTAACATGCGGGGAATCCTACAGGACCTTAGATTTTTCCCATATCTCACGGCGTTCGAAAACCCAGTGAAGTACGGTGAAGTGATATAGTTGTTATAACCTACATTCAAGTTCCTCGTCGACAGATGTCCGGCAAATTCGCTCTTCTTCACCGACCCCGGATTACCTCCACACGGAGATGCCCTGCGGGTGGAATCTTCCATTACTCCAGCAGCAAGTCGCTTAGATATGAGGAACAGTCAAACTTCCTTGGTAATTTCTTCGAGAGAAACAGCCCGCCTGAGAGGACAGCCGATTATTTTTCCTCCATTGAGTGGACCCGCAAGGTCATCGAGAACAAAGATTACGATATAGTCCCATTCTTCCCTCGGCACTTCAACAAACACACCGGAGAAAATCGCTTCTTCGGCCAGACTGTCAACACCGATTCTACAATCCCTCACGTCTTGTCACTCCGACTGAGAGACATCCAAGCACCGCGCTCCGGCCGTCTACATGGGCTGAATCCTCGGCATAAGCTCAGAACCCAGCCAGATGCGATCTGCCTGATGTCTTTGGGTCATGCTCTTGAAGAGCACCCTACCATTACTCACGGCGGCTTCCAGGCGGTCCTCTTTGATGAGATCATGCGGTTCGTGGTCTTGTTGCATCATCATCAGACATGTCAGCCGGGACCGAGGGATAAGCACTACACGGCGAACATGTCGCTGTGCTATCACGCACCGGTGTTTGCACCAAGCGATATCCTTCTTCGATCACGGCTGATCCGGCGAGAGAGACGGAAATGGTTCACCGAGGCAGAGATTGTCGATGGTGCCGGCACGGTCTTGACCACGGCGGAGAGTATGTGGGTGACGGCAAAGCAGCCTATCGTACGGTGATGATGCGAATTTGATGCTCGTTATTGTATGGTTTAACCCCATGATAAGCATCTCAAGGGATCCATAGAGTCCTAGATCTATCGGGGTTTCACTGGTCTGGGATAGTACATCGATCCTGGGTCCATGCAACTGCTGTTAATTATCCACAGTCAATTAAAGACCAAGACATAAATAGAATTGACCTAGAACATTGAAAATTTTCATGTACTTCGTAGATGTTGACTGTGGGCGACTGGCATCTCGGGACGCTTCGCACCGCCTAAATAATGAGGGCGAATTTGACGTTCCCGCACAACTCTCTTCTCCAGCCCAACTATCGCAAAGATTCTCCCCGCTGAACCCCTCCGTCTAACAAATCGAAATAGATCAGGGGAACTCATAAAATGGCAAACTCAAAGTATGCTTGTACACAGCGTTAAATGGAACTTCGCTGACCGGGGTTAGATACGAATATGTCAAAGCATTCGAACAGCCGGATATCCTGCTACCCAACACTTGGATCGTGGTGCGGATAGACGGCAGAGGCTTTCACAAGTGAGTTCCTTGGTCATAGATCTCGTCCCTCCAGACCGACTTGGTCTGCCAAGTCACTCGCATTATACTAACGCAGTCTAGACTCACCGATCGTTATGGCTTTAAGAAACCCAACGACCGTCGGGCGTTGGATCTGATGAATGCTGCTGCTGTGAAGGTCATGAAGGACCTGCCAGATATATGCATTGCATACGGCATAAGCGATGAATATAGGTCTGTCAACGCTTCATCATCGAGTCACTCTGCCGAAGCATATTGACACATCGCAGCTTTGTGTTCCATCCTAATTGCCAGTTATTTGAACGTCGGAGCGCGTAAGTGACCCTATTTTCTGGAAAAGGTTAAGGCGACTAACCCCTTGGTCAGGAAACTGGTCACCACCATCGTATCCACATTCACGGCACATTATGTCTACCAGTGGGGGACGTATTTCCCTGATACTCCCCTCCAACCACCGCATCTGCCTTCGTTCGATGGAAGGGCAGTTGTCTATCCCAATACGCGAATCTTCCGCGATTATATGAGTTGGAGACAGGTTGATTGTAAGTATCTTACCCTGTTGTCTGATCAGGTTACTCATGCGAGAAAGGCCACATCAACAATCTCTACAACACCACCTTCTGGACCATGGTCCAACAAGGAGGCATGAGTAATACCGATGCAGAGCAAGAGCTGAAGGTGAGATTCCAGCTCCAGAGTTTGCGCTTGGTGATTTCTAATGCTGGATACATCAGGGCACGGTATCATCAGACAAGAATGAAATCCTGTTCAAGCGATTCGGAATCAACTACAACAATGAAGAGGAGATCTACAAGAAAGGCAGCGTCTTATATCGTCAGGTACGTCCTCTTCCTGCGTCTCCCAATTTACATGCTGAACGCGGGACAGTATCAACTCGAAGAAGCAAAGCCCGCTGCAGAAAAAGCAGTAGAACAGGAGGAGTTCACAACACAGGATGCCCAGGTGTCACGCTCACAGCAGGAAAAACTGAAGAAACTGCGCCGGAAAGCACAGGTGGTGGTCGAGCATGTGGACATCATCAAGGACGAGTTCTGGGAACGACGGCCCTGGATCCTCTCGGGCAAGCCCGGGAAGCTCCCAACGGACGTTTAGACATGATAACCTGAATCGAATGATAATGCTTTTATGCCGAGTCTAAATGGGTATCTCTAGATCTATATACGCCCACCCGCGTTCCGTAAATCAACGACGAACAAACAGCATATGTAGATGTCTCAGTTAGGCGGCCTTCTTCCCATCCTTGGACTTTTTCGATTTCGATCTGGAGCTGTCGTCCGCCGTAGACACCTCCTCTTTCTTCCTCTTCTTGCTCTCCTTGTCCTTCTTCTCCGCCTTCTTCTTTTCCTTCTTCTCCTTCCGTTTCTCCTTCAAGTCAGAGGCAGACGAGGCAGACGACTCATCGCGCCCCGTAGAATCGGACTGATCCTGCTCCGTCGACGACGGCGGCGTCGGATAGTCATCCTCAGGACGACGCTCTTCCTTTTTCTGCTTCTTCATCTCCTTGCGCAGCGCCTTCTCAGCCCTCTTCTTCTCCTTCTCCTCCCTCCGCCGTTTCTTCTCTTCCTTCCGCGCCCGTCGCTCCTCCTTAGTCTCCTTCTCCTTCTTCACCTTCTTCACCGAGCCACCCTCCTCCCCCTCCTCACCAGCCTTCCTCTTCTTCGACACCGCCCCATCATTCCCAGACCCAGCGGCAACCGCAGCGGCCGAATGCCCCCCAATCGTGCCAGGCACAACCTCCCCCCGCACAAAAAACCGGTACAGCTCGCTCGTCAGCGCATTCGGCGTCGCCGTCGCGGGCGCGCGGTCCGCCTGCCCGACGTCCTTGAGCGCATCCTCGAACCCGCGCAGCCACCATTGATTCGTCGGGTCTTTCGTTGTCTTCTTGCCCACGCCGTGGTTGCCTTGTCGGCGCGCCACGAGGATCGGTTTCGTGAGGCCCAGCCCGCCGTGGGTGCCGGGTCGGCGGTTGGGGTTGAGCGGGTTGCCCGGTCCGGACCAGCCGTGACGGAGGAGGTAAGCTTGGGCGTCCATTTTGGATCGCAGTATTTGTGTGACGGATTGGTGGTTGGAGGTGTGGTGCGTAGGAGGATTGTGGTGTGCGTAGGTGGTGAGGTTGTTCAGGTGCGGCGCATGCAGGGTTTGTCGCTGGTGATGTGGAGGATAATGATCGAGTCAGGCGGACATATATGATAGTAGTGCTAATCGCTGAAGGTAGGAGTTTATGCAATTAAACAGGAAGAAACACGGTATACTGCAAATTTTGAGGAACGCATCCACGGCGTCGGAGGAAGGGCAGAAAAATTATGGAAGAAAAGATAGCGATAAAAGTCCAGGCGGTGGGACTGCTGCATGGAGAGTTAACTAAGAGACTAAGAGCATTAGTTTCCGGCGCGGCGGGTCCCCTCTGGCGTTTGGCCTAATGGTTTTTTTGTCCGCACGCAAGCCGAGACAAGGGGTTCGATCCCCAGTGCGACTTTCTTTTTTCCTTTCGTTCTAATCTTCTTCTTTTCCTCTTTTTTCAAGATAAAATTCTGAAGGGAAGACGTCTTGGTCATTGTTTTTTGATTTATCTATATATCCTGCTGTTTTTATTACTAATGTTAGATACATTCAAGACTGATGCGTTGCAATATATATTTCTCATCCTTCGGTACCATCAACACTTGTACATGAACAATATAATTAGATTTCCAGCAGATCACTCTTATCTATCCAACTAATACGGTCTAAACCTCCCCTTCTCCTTATTCTTCTTCTCTGGTCGCGATGCCTTCACTGGTGACTCTGTCTCCATCTCCTCTCCACCAGCCTTCCACACCCGCACGAACCCATCCTCACCACCGGTAAAGACCGACTGAGACTGCTACATATTAGTACCGCCCGTCCACAAACAAAAGCGCATCAAACATACCTGCTCGTCCAGATACACAGACCGCACAACCTCCTCGCCATGGCCGCCCGGCAAACGCCAGAGATTCTCCTGGTCGAATCGCCAAGTCGGGTCCGCGACGAGCGGAATCAGGTCCAATCGTTTGTCCCTGCACGAGTTAGCCTACAGCACAACAAGAGCCAGTGGAGCGGCATACATCTTATTCCCGGCGGCAATGTACGGCCCCTGACTGCCGATGCAGAGCTGCGCGATGTACTCGCAGTCCAGAGGCTGTCTTAGGTCGCCGAACTGCACGGGATCGGGCTCCTGTGTTTGTTCGTCCGGGTCGGTGGCCGGGTGGATCGAGAACACCTCGTCGTGGCTGAGCGCGTAGATGGTCTTCTCGGTAAGGAAGCCGGCATGATGCACGGAGCCGTGGTTGATGACCTGCACTAGGGCATCGTCCTCGTCGGCGATGGTTGTGTTGTAAATGTTGACAAGGCCGTCCGTGCTCCCCGAGAGAAAGATATCAGGCCGGGTCGGGTGGTATTGAAGCTGGAGGGCGATTAGCACCTTGGGACCTGCAGGGCCTAAAGCGTAGGATACACACCTCGGTCACGTCGTCGTTGTGACTCTCGACATACTGGAGTCTGGGCTGGCCGGGGGATCTGACATCCCTTTGGCGTCAGTTAGCAGCCCTGAAAGTCAGAATCTCACGGATCGCGGCGATGCACTCACCAGAACTGAACGATGGCCTGGGAGGAGACCAGCTCGGTTCCCGCAACGAGGCTGTTGGTCTGGGGGCAACAAGCTACCGACAATACGGGGGCTTCCTTCGCTGGCGCAGATTTGACGTCAGCAGGCAATCACCCGCAGATGCAGGAATAGAGGGAGTAGATCATTGGGATTCGGCCCATGCAGGCACTGTTCCCCGCGACAAGAAAAGGCACAGACGCAACTTACATGTTTCGACCTCCATCACCGCCGAGTTCTTCTTTCCACTCCGGAGATCCCACAGCTTCACCTTCCCATCCCTGCCGCCCGTCGCCAGCAATTGCTGGTCCACGCTATACGACCGCAGCGACGTGACTCCCGTGTGGGTGTCGGCTGCAACGACCGACACACGAGCGAGACCCGCGGCATCAAACACGCGGAGAGAGTCATCCGAGGAGATAGCGGCAAACGATCCCGGAGATGCCGGTGCAATCGAGTAGATGTAGTTTCCCTCCGCTAGGGAGAGGGACGAAGAAGCCGTGGCCTGGAGCGTATGCATAGCCGTCTACTTTGATCAAGCGGCAGAAAGCGCTAGTGATATTTCCCGATGAAGGTCAATTCCCGTGCCGAGAACAAAGAAGGTTGCGATCCCTGAGCCGATAATCAAAGAACAGGACGTGATGGGTTGCTCTATCCCGTCGGTCGGATGGGTGTGTTGTTGCTGGTTTCCTTCTCCAGGATGATGCAGGTCTGGTGGCTGACGCTGGGTTGGCTACTAACTTCTCTCTCCCTCACTTCCCGTCTTGACGTGGCTATCTCTGATAGGAATTCGAGGAAGAATGGATGCTCAATGCAAGATCTCTTGGATTCTGAGAGGCGTGCAAACTTCGTTTGCTTCCTGCGAGGCGATGCCCTGTGATGATACTTTTCATGTTTTGGCGCGGCGGGAAGCCAAGATTTTGTCTTTTTTTTTTTTTCTTTCTTTTTTTTTTTCCCCCTTCTCCCTTCGATTGCTGCCTGACGATTCTGGCTTCCACGGAACAACACCTCACAGAGGTATCGAGTGCTGTGGTACAGAAATAGTCACATCAATTCGATGCAGTTCAGTGTGGCTGTACATAATTTACGATGGATAACCTCCTGTGAACCTCCTCTTGTGGACCTTGCTTTTTCTGTTTGCTTGTACGGAGTAAGTACACCTAATGTGTCAGCAAGGACACCACAGAATGCACTCTGTATGTCAAACCGAGTCTGGAGTCGTGCCTCCACAGCTCTTTCACCCTTTCAGGATTGACTTGCACCAGTGGATCATCTTCTGAGGACCCCGCCGTCGAGGCTACGAGGCGGCCCAGGCCGTTGCAGAAAGAGTACGGAGCGGGTAGTTAGTGATACCGAGAACGTGTGTGGACTACCTATGCTGCGCAAACGATGGTCATTCTTACCAAAAAGGGAAATTCCAGGTGAGCGCGACAGCCAATGGACGCATGCACGACCGGCACTAATATCTGCCGCATCTGCTCCGCTAGGCGCATGTCTTCGTGCAGCAACCACCACGCGATCACTTGGATGCGACCCCACCAAGGAGTAGGCCAGCGTCCACGGAAATTGCCACTGGAATGCACCGATGGCGCAGGACGAGACGACCCTTCGCCTCTTTATTGGCTGGTTGCTGGCTGCCGAAGAGTGAAAGTTAGGTAGTCTCAGGATTAGGGGACCTATCGTGGCGGTCCTCCGTAGAATTTGCACGGATAGAACCAGGTCGCAGGGGAATTGGCAATCCTGAAGGGAGGATATTTGCGAGAATTATAGGTGTGTGGAGCCTTAGGTGGGCACGAAAAGCAGGCAAATTGACAGGCTGTGATGACAGCCCCGACCAGTGCCTAAATGGAACCTAATTAGGCACATATGCACTGCCGCAAAAAGAACCCGGTGGTTCTGTCGTCCCCAAGAATGAGCAGTATGCCCTGCCGGGTAAGCCGATTGATAGGCAAGGCCCTGCCTATCCCAGCATGAAATGATCTGGCGATGAAGGGATCCGCCATCTCCCATCTCGGGCCACCAACAATTAGTTATTGTCGAATAAGGAGAGGAGTCCAAAGGTGTGTTGGCCGACTGGGCACTCTTATGCAACTAGGACAGTAGTATGTCTGTACCTAGTCCCACAAAGTTAGTAGCTGGTAGTAGCTGCATGGAAGTCTTGCAATGGGTCGAGGAATGCACTCCAAAAGAGAGCTTGGGAAATGTCACAGCCCAATCGAGTCCTTCCTAAAGGGGTTCGTCCTCCCTTCGCTCCCCTTTCCCATCTGGAGGAGTAATAAGGGCGCGGAAGATACTTCGTACCACGACGTGTATAGATGACCAGGGCGCGACAAGAGGGTAGCTATTACGCGCCTTCAAGCTCCAGATCGACGGAACGGAAGGCCGGGGCTGGCAGGATACGCGGAGGGCGAGGCGCGTGGCTCTGCATTGCGATTGGAAGGGAGCGTCGATCTTCTAGTCGGAGTGATGCTACTGTTCCTCTGAGACTGGAATCACACGGTCGATCGTAGCGATGCCAGCCAAGTTTGGCGTGGCTGAAGCACATGAGCTGGAGGGGTTCGCTTCGGGTTCCAGTCAGGCGCTTATGCGCAAACGATGATATGGTACCAACCTCTGCTAGAGAGGGGGAGTTGGAGCTGGGCAGGTAGTTTCCACGGATCAGTGGCTCTGGTCGAAAGTTTCCAAGAGGTAAGATCAGGAGAAGCTGAATGTACATAGTCACTTCGAGGCGAATAAAAAAAGAGCGGTAGATATATCCGATCGAGGTGGGGTACATCGGAGAGAAAACAGAAAACAGACGGGGAGATGGTGCTTACAGTACCGTTCAGTCTGGCTAGCCTCCTGCAAGGCGATAGATGGTGTGAGTTTAGTTCCCTGGGTGGATGCATGCGGTGTTCCATCATGATAATCCCGCAACTGCAACGGGGGACGGGTTAGCTCCCCTTATTTACTAGTGGTGGAGAAGCGCCCGGAAGAGGGTCAAACAGTGTTCGGTTTCGAAAGGAGAGACTAACAGAGGAACGATTGGATACGGTCTTCGCTGAGTTCTGTAGCGTCTGTGCTAGTACCTGTAAGTAGTACTACTGGTACCACGCCGTAGGTAAAGTAACGGATTGTTACCTGGCGTACCTGGTGCCCTGATGATGATGGTGAGGGAGATGGTTTTCTTACGTAAGACGTTGTTGAGTGAAATCGTAGGTAGGTAGCTACCTAAGGTATTGGAGACTTTCAGTTCAAATCGAACAATGATACCATCAGGTACCGGGCGAGTCTCGGTCGGATGTGGTAGTGCTGATTGTATTCTGCACATGATCCTCGTCATGAACTCAACCTCGGTCTCACGGAGCGGGATTTCAGGTGGACATTTGCCGACAGAGGGAAGGATTGAGGCTCCCTGAGCTAGGTACGTATGTAGATGGATCGCCCATCGCGAACAAACGAACCCTCCGCCACCGCATCACTGTCCAAAGGGCAGATGGCTGCGGTGTGTCCTACATAGGACGCGGTGAACGACAACCATGCAGAGACGCAGATTACTTGGCCTCCATGCATTGCTCGGACCCGAGGGTTTGGTAAGCGGTGAAATGATCAACATGGGGATCAGACCTTGCCGGACAAGTTACTGGGCAATTCGTGAAAGAAGCCGGGAGACATCAAAGAACCGAGACGGATGCAAGTCATTCCGATGGGAAGGATGTTGGGGTAATATCCGTGGGATGGTCCCTAGATAACTACCTAGAAAGCCATAGAGGCACCTGACCTCATACAAAGTACCAAGTAGGTATCACCAATGAAAGGCCAGCTAATGGGGCGCTTCCACCACGGTAGGTGGCTGCAGGATTGCCCCCCTCCTGCGCGAGCAATACACAGTCAGGACGTGTTTCTGAATCAGGGATTGTCCTCGATGAGCTGAGGCGGTATGTCCGATCTATCATGATATCCCGGGAATAGAGGGCAGATCGTAGAGGACTGGGTTTTTTAGTCCGCTAAGGATAGTGGGTCTTTCTAATGAGAGTGAGGAAAATAAAATCAAATAAATGAAATAAAAGAATCCTAAAGAGCTTCATACCTACCTAGTCTAGTCGGCAAGGACAATTGTTATCATCGTCTGCGACCCCTTTGTAAGAACCAAGGGGTGATCCACTTGAGCGGCGGTACAATTCGTGGGAGGATTTTGGGAAGAAAAGGATGGAGAATAGGAGAAATTTGACTTTGGGGCCGAATTCCAACCAATACCTTCCGGATTCGCCTTTTTCTCGGGCGCTACGGAGGGACCGCTCGAAGAGGAGCCACGTCCGAAGCTTCACATCCTGCAACCACTGTGTTGGTACCGGAACAATTGTACCTAGCTAGCTACTAGTAGGGAGTGGGGAGTGGGGGTTGCCTTGGACGGTGGGCAACAACGGGCGTGCCACGGGGGGTAATCCCAATAAATCGTGACCGCCCGATCGACTTCGATCAGCTTGTTACCTGGAAGTTACCTCGCTACCTACCAAAGGTACTCCGTAGGTACTCCGTAGGTTAGGTGAGTTCGGTACTGGTAACTAGGTACCTCCACGTACCTCCCAGGTACCGACTAACTAGATCTAGTAGCACCTGTACTACCTTACTAAGGTTCCTAGAATGTGCTCCGTAACATTCGTCCCAAACTAAGGTACGTGTGGGAGGCGGGCCGTCACCACCCGGAAGTCACTTTCATCGTCAGCAACAGTGGATCATTTCCTAGAAAGCGTTTGGCATGTTTTTCTTTTTCCTTTCCATTTTTTTTTACCAACAAAACCCTCCTACTGGCCGGAGTCCCGTCGTGCCGAGAATGAGCGGCAGTTACCGAGAAGAGTAATCGCACGGAGTCCTATCAGCAACGAGGAGATTGTTGGACCCATCTGATTGAACGTTAACTTCTATGGAGTACAGGTACTGTTGGCTTAGGAGTCTCCCCTACGCTCCCGAATCTCTTCTGACTCCAGAGTGCTTGTTAACATGATATGTTCTCCTGTTCACTCTCCCATTCTGCAGGACGGAATGATTTTCCGCATGCGGGCGCGCTATTCACACGAGTTGATTAGTTTTAATCTATCGGACGAAAGGTTATCGTTCATGTTGGTCTGGGTTAAGTTCCGTCAAATAGTTTCCCGCCACTTGGTTCTGGGCGACAGTGATTGACGCCAGGCCCGAGCACTTGGGTAGTCCGTTAGGGAAAAAAGGGGGGAGAAATAAATATAGAAAAAGAAAAGAGAAAAAGAAATTAAAAAAAAAAGGGCCGGTGACAGATAGATAAATGTCACCGAAGGAGCGGATGTACGGACGACGTACAGGTACCCGACATGCATACCCTTTATACATGAATGGAATGTACTCCGTACATATACCTAGCGATATCTCGCCTACCGATTACTCCGTAATCTATATAGGAATGGTGAGACACAAGAATAGAACAACTTCGTCCACCAAGATCCATCCATGGCTGGGATCGCCCCCGCAACCAATGACTCTGGCTCCGAAGCGCCCTACCTTGTCGGGGAGATGGCGGTTCTCCAGGGACCTTTCGGTTTCGGACGAACCCACCCAAACATGATCATGGATGATTGCTAAGAATAACGAAATTAATCAATTTCCTGTACCGTAGCCTGCCTAGTTAGGTGCTCCATACCTCCTCCGTACTATACTACCTACTTACTACTTACTATTCCGTATGTACTGCTAATAGGCACAGAGTAACAGGTAGGTAGACAGTCGATTGATTGTAAATATCGTTATTCTACAGTTCTCAGAAATCGCCCCGCTGCTTTCTGGGCTTCTATTCTCTCTCTCTCTCTCTTTTTTTTTTTTTTTTTTTTCCCTGTTTTTCTAATTTTTTTTTTCTGGTCCAATTTCTCCCACCCCATTTGTTTCCCGGCCCGTGGAACCCAACGGGGAGCAAGAAAGACTAGACTACTAGACTAGGTAACTACCTGTAGCTGGGTGCTAATAATAATATTCACGGCGGCAAGACAGCCATGGCCTTATAAACTTTCCTGTCATCCCTACCGTTGACCTAGTATTATTATTATTATATGTGGTGAGGTCGTACCTAGGTACCTGGGAGCTTAAAGAGATACTACAGGTACTTCCATCTTGTACTGGTAAGTCCCGTCCGTACTTTAAATACAGGGGACCTCCCGTACGTCAGGTACCTATGTCATGATTCTTCCACGCATAACTAGCTCTTCTTCTCCCCGGCATTAAGATTTGTTTCTTCTTATTAATTATCATCACTATTATTCCTGCAGCAGGAACGCCCCCTATCCTCTCCTCCAACGTCCGATCTATCGTGTGTTTCGAGTCGTGCTGTTCACACACACGCACGCACACACACACTCTCAAACATATCTGCCCCCTCTTGCCCCTCCATCCCTCCAGAACCCGAGTTCACGGTGCCAACTCTCTTTTCCTTGTGTCTCCTATCCCGTTTAAAAAAAAAGAGGTACGCAGAACCGAACCCAATCGACCTCCGCCGACTAATTAAGTGGGATTCTCTGGCCCCCAGGGATCGGCTTCTTCCTTCCATCCTGCGGCTCGAAACCAGACGTCCCAATCACCGGAGCTGACCCTGGATCGGCCTCTGATCCATGGCTAGTTTGCCCTGACATTTGTCGCCCGTTAAAGCCGTGGGACCTGCGCCCAGTACATAAACCGCCTGCGTCGTGACACCGCCTCTTTGGCCGCGCTTCCCGTCTACTTTCTTCGACGCCTCCGTTATTTTCATCGCGGCGCTCATCGCGGCGCCCATCCCATTGCGCCGCAGTTGCTTTCGTGCGTGGGATTTTGGTTTCCGTTTCTTGTCTTTTTCTCTTGGGCGTTCGTCTCATCCCGACCTGCTCCACGGCTTGATTGATTTATTTGATTTTCAATTTTGTCTAAAGTCGCCTGCATCAGACCGTCCTCCAACTCCGAATTCGTCTTGTCGGAACACCTCCAGCTGCCTCGCCCGTCCCCCGCCTCACCATCCGAGCAATTTCGCATGAGGCGCAGTCAGCCTGATATTTGATTGAACGCCTTGCTTTCGTCCATTGCCAGGCCCTCAGACTTGTCTGTGGCCGCCTGTTATCCAGGACGGCCCTTCGGTCTCTGATCTATATCCTGATCTCCTGGTGTTCTTCATTATCGACAGCTCTCCCCGGTTCGGTCTCGGCTTGTCTCCGGCATTCGAACTGCTTTCGTCTTTACCTCTGTTCGGCTTGTTGCCTGGGAGGGCTCCGCATTGACTCGGAGGCCTCATGTTTGGGAACGGACACGGCCCGGGACAACCTATCACCATGACCCCTCCGTCTTACAATAAGTTTGGCTCCCAGTCGTCGGCTTCTGGCCGCTCGAGAACCAATTCCGATGCTATGGACATCCACGTCATAACGGATCGGGACTTGGATGCACGAGAACATAATCCTGGCTACAGCAATTGGACGAACAATGGTTCCCCATCGATATACACCAAGTAATTCACCCCCGCCCCCTTTTTTTCCCATTCTATGTGGATTGTTCTACCCAGTTCACTTTTCCTGTTGGGTGATTAATCTTGTATCCCAGGAGTCCAGAAAAGCAGTACTATGAAGAAAATGGACGGCTGTACCATGCGTATCGAAAAGGAGTCTATATGCTACCATGCGATGACGAGGAGCAGGATCGCCTCGATCTTTTCCACAAGTTGTTCACCGAGGCGAGGGTATCTGATGGTCTGATTTACGCACCTCACCCGAGAAACGGTCGATTCTTGGATTTGGGATGTGGGACAGGGATCTGGGCAATTGACGTGGCCAACAAATACCCCGATGCTTTCGTTGTCGGGGTAGATCTTGCTCCGATCCAGCCCCCAAACCACCCCAAGAACTGCGAATTTTACGCTCCTTTCGATTACGAAAGCCCCTGGGCGATGGGTGAAGACTCCTGGGACTTGATCCACCTCCAAATGGGCTGCGGAAGCGTGTTAGGATGGCCAAACCTCTACCGAAGGATCTTCGCCCACCTTCGACCGGGTGCTTGGTTTGAGCAAGTGGAGATCGATTTCGAACCCCGTTGTGACGACCGATCCTTGGGACGGACTGGCGCTTCGCGAATGGTACCAATACTTGAAACGAGCAACCCAGGAGACCATGCGACCAATCGCCCACAACTCCCGGGAAACCATCAAAGATTTGCAGGACGCCGGCTTCACTGAGATCGATCATCAGATGGTTGGATTGCCCTTGAATCCTTGGCACCAGGACGAGCACGAGAAAATGGTCGCACGTTGGTACCATCTCGCCATTACGGAGAGTATCGAAACCCTCAGTCTGGCCCCGTTTAGCCGGGTTTTCGGTTGGGATAGGGAAAAAATCCGGCGTATCGCGTCTGAGGTCAGGTCGGAGGCTTTCAACAAGGACATCCATGCCTATAACATTTTACATATCTACCAAGCTCGGAAGCCTCCTGTCAACTGACAACCAGCGATCAACTAGCGCGAGACCGAGAACATCAAAGTCGCGCTAGGATTTCTTGTCCAAGAGTGGATAATGGAGTCCCTGTTTCGCTCCTCTCTTCCCTTGGCTCCACGAGCGACTGCGATCGAGGGTAACTCTCCGTAGTACCTGTGCTATCGCGGCCTCATACTGGCCTTGGACCCCAGCAATGCTGATGCATTCTGGTAGCCGAACCGTGCAACGCACTGGCTGCGACGTCCAGATATTCACGACGTCTCGCGGGAGCTTCTCACTTTGCGTATATGGGTCTAAAGTGAGTGTCTGCCCGCTGTGTTCAATCACGCTGCAATGTCAGCTGCCAGGATGAAAGACTATACAAACAAGCTCTGCTCAACTTATACCAATTCTTTCGCTTTCACGAAAGGATTAAGAGCGAGCCCGCGGAATTTCCCATGGGTGGTTGACCCTGCGTCAGAGAGCGGTTAATTGAGATTGACCTGTCTTGAATCTCTCCGCTCTCGTACCTTCAAAACATGTCCCTCAACTTCCCTTGCACATGCGGCTGTAGTTGAGACGCATCTGCCTCTCCACCCGACGGCTCTGGGCTTATTTTGATTGCCCATATTTAACGGACCCGTTGAAACACTCGTACTGTGTCGCCACGAGTTTGGAACCCGAGATACCCTAGACACTACATCTACTGATGAAGGAAAAATAAATCGAATCAACTAAAACAAGCTGAATCTCCCTTGTCCTATTCCTTCTATTGGGCCGACGGAGACTATTCCGGCTATACAATTGATACTTCATAAGATGCGTGTCTACATACGCGAGTAAGATACAGAAACACAAACACCAACCACCCCCAAAGCCCACCGAAACGCCGACAAAGACCCAGGAAAGAGACGCTTTCGAACATCGCATAATAATAGCGGGATGCACCGGGGTCCCCAAAACTCATCGCCGGCGACCCTTCTGACGAGACGTGTTATTCTTGCCACTCGCCGTATCTTCATAATCCCGACCAGCGCCGGGACTGCGCCTTCGCATGGTCCCCGGGCCTACCGCGACAATATCCTCTTCACTCTCACTATCAGAGATGTCCAACAGAACTGGCATTCGGAAGGATTCCATGTCGTCGTCCCCGCCACTTTTATGCGGCTCGATAGTGAGAACATCGGGGACTTCGTCCTCCTGATCTAGCCGGCGCTGGTGAATTTCTTCGGCCGGATGGATGTCGAATTCGTCTTCGCGCTCAACGTATTCGACGTTCTCTTCTACCTCGCCGAAATCCGGCGCCAAAGCTGACCATTTCTGGGGCGTCACAATCGACCAGGTGTAGATGCAGCCCGTTTCGAGGCCACATGCTACCACGAACGGTCGTGAAGGGTGCCACTCCACCACCCCCAGTTCCTCGCGTGGACCCTCGAGAATCTTCACTAGGGAGCCGTGGCTACGCTCCCAGACGTATATGTCGGGGTTCATGAAAGTCGACGCTGTGACAAATTCACTGGTTGAGGAGAATGTCACGTGGTTCCAGCTCAGGCGATTCACCACATCTTGGAATTTGTGTTCGACCTGGAGTTTGATGTGGGCGGGTTCGAGGTCAATACCCAGCTGCGAGAGGTCGGGCATCAGGATGGTGCGAATGACGCGGTCAGAGCTGTTCACCAGCAGGTCGCGGCCATTGCTGGCGAGGCGAAGTAATATAACTACTCCGTTGCAGAGGCGGGTCGAGTGAATAGTGGTGCAGGTTTGCGTCTCGATGATGTTGATCCAGCCCTTGGATGTCCCGGCGATGATGTGATTTCCCAGGGCAGTGAATATGGTCACGCAGGTGGAATGTTTCGCGTCTTGCGCTGCTTGTTTGGCGGCGACAGCCGGATCGACTTCTTCGTCCTCGGGTGGTGGAGGGCGAAACGGGGCGGAGGGGAGGATTCGTTTGATCGGTTTGGGTGACGAGACATCGACGAGGACAGGCTGATCTTCGAATAGAGACGCGACGAAGAGTAGACTATACACAAAAGGTTAAATGAGCACATTGGTTGATGTCGAATCGGCAGCTGTTGGACGTACTGGTTATAGGGGTGGAGTTCGGCGATATATACAGGAGCTTCGAATCGAACAGTGCGAACCCGGGAGCCATCTTTCAAATCCCAGAGGATGCACTTCCAATCTTGGGAGGAAGTGAGAAGATATCGACCGTCTCTAGACCAACTGTGGACACAGGCGTAGGGTTAGTCTTCGTTCCGATTGATCAGATGCGTATGTAGTACCTGAGGGATTGGATCTGTCTCGTATGGCCTCGTAGCTTGCGCGCAACCCCGTTCGTTTCGATATCAAAGATCACCACCGTGCCATCTGCCTGTAATTCTGTGTCAGTGTACATTGGAAACGGAGACGGCGCGCAGAAGGAACGAACCCGGCCGGACGCTAGATAGTCGCCTTTACGGTTGAAACGGAGGCATGTCGCGTGGCCGCTTCCTGGGACTGTCAGTGGGAAACGAATCCAGAACCAAAACACTAGAGCATCTCACTAAGTTTCTCGGACAACGTATCTGGGTAGTCCTGAGCCAGGACAAAGGGATCAATGAGAGATAAATTCATTGCGTGTAATAATCACGGGGAAGCGCCTGAGAACAGGGTAAAGGGGGCGTGACGGTAGGGTAAAGTGGAAACGGGCAGAAGCCCAGCCCGAAAAGGAGGCCCGAAAAGACGACTGAGAACAATCATCCAGCGCTCTTTGAGGCGACTGACTGATTGCCTGGAGACTGTGATGGTCATCCCAAGGGCCTTTGTGAAGCAACACGGAGACTGCCGGGCGGTGAGAGGGGCATTTAAAAGTGAGCGACGGCAACCCCACATGCCGACTGATACTGCCCATTCTGCCAATCACGCCGCTGAGACTCGACTTTCCCACCGGAGCTTTAGTCAGCCATCGGCCTTCCTGCCAACCAGGCTGCGCGGCTCAGAAAACTCGTGCCCCATCGGCGACTGACCTGACGTCCAACCATCTCCCTTTCATCACCTCAACACGCTTCCTTCCATCGCCCATCCCCCAACACCATCGCGTCTTGCATCGCGAATATCGCTTCGCGAGCTGGAGAACTTGCTCTGATCGACGGCATCGTCTTTTTCTTCCGCCCTTTTTCGCGCTTCACGAAGTCGGAGGATCGGGTCGCGGGCGCCCTCGTGGCAAGGGCTGCCAAAGGCCTCCAGCCGGCCAGCAGCTTGCAAATTCTTCGTTCGTCGCTTCTCAACCCCTGTATTTGGGCCCAGTCGACCGGTCTAAATCGGTTTCTCGCTGTCACCTCGCTTCTCACCACTCCGATTCGCGACACAACCCTCCTCCCCGAGTTGCCTCCCGCGAACCGTCACCATGTCGAACGTCTACTTCCCCTACTCCAAGGCGCCTTTGCGCACCATCAAGGAGATCCAGTTTGGTCTATTCTCCCCAGAGGAGATTAAGCGGATGAGCGTGGTCCATGTGGAATATCCTGAGACGATGGTTTGTCCTTCTTTCCCGATAATCGGGCTCTGGTGGTTGCTAACGGGATCGCAACACAACAGGATGAACAAAGACAGCGGCCGCGCACAAAGGGTTTGAATGACCCTCGCCTTGGGACGATCGATCGGCAGTGGAATTGTGAGACTTGTGAGGAAGGCCAGAAAGAGTGTCCCGGTCATTTCGGACATATCGAGCTTGCCACTCCGGTTTTCCACATCGGTATGGGATACAATCTGATGGAATTATATCTTTGTATTTGTTGCTGATCGCGCATGACAGGTTTCTTGACCAAAATCAAGAAACTTCTTGAGACGGTCTGCCACAACTGTGGCAAGATCAAAGCCGACTCGGTTAGTCATCCCTATTGGGATGGCAAATCTCATGGCATATTTTGCTGACCTAGATTCAGTCTGATCCCAAGTTCCTGGAAGCCCTGCGTATGAGGGACCCTAAGCGACGTTTCGATCACATCTGGCGGATTTCGAAGGATATCTTGATCTGCCAGGCCGACCCTCCTCCGGACGATGACGACCCGTTTTCGAAAGAGAGCTCTAAGCCCGTGAGACACCACGGCGGGTGCGGTAACTCTCAGCCTACGATCCGCAAGGAGGGAATTACGTTAGTCGGAACATGGAAGCCGAACAAGATGCTGGATGAAGATGACATGCAGCAGCCAGAGAAAAAGACCATCACCCCTCAGATGGCTTTGAATGTCTTCCGCAACATCTCTCATGAAGATGTTCGCATCATGGGCCTGAGCAATGACTATGCTCGTCCTGAGTGGATGGTCATCACGGTTCTTCCCGTCCCTCCCCCGCCAGTGCGGCCCAGTGTCCTCGTTGGTGGCAGCACCAGCGGACAGCGTGGTGAGGATGACTTGACGTATAAGTTGGCTGAAATTGTCCGCGCGAACCAGAATGTCCAGAGATGTGAACAGGAAGGCGCCCCCGAACACGTCGTACGCGAATTTGAATCCTTACTCCAGTACCATGTCGCCACGTACATGGACAACGATATTGCTGGTCAACCGAAGGCTATGCAAAAGTCTAACCGACCGGTCAAGGCCATCCGCAGTCGTCTGAAGGGTAAGGAGGGTCGTCTGCGACAGAACCTGATGGGTAAGCGTGTGGATTTCTCTGCACGTACCGTCATTACCGGTGACCCCAACTTGTCTCTTGATGAGGTCGGTGTCCCCAAGAGTATTGCGCGAACCTTGACCTATCCCGAGGTTGTTACGCCGTACAACATCGAAAAATTACAACAGCTTGTCATGAACGGCCCGAACGAACACCCCGGAGCCCGATACATCGTCCGAGACAACGGCGAACGCATTGACTTGCGTCACGCCAAGAGAGCTGGAGGTCAACAGTTGTTGTATGGATGGAAGGTCGAACGACACATCATGGATGGCGATGTGATTCTTTTCAATCGTCAGCCCTCTCTGCACAAAGAGTCCATGATGGGTCATCGTGTCCGTGTGATGCCATATTCTACCTTTCGACTGAACTTGTCCGTCACCACGCCCTACAACGCCGATTTCGATGGTGATGAAATGAACTTGCATGTTCCTCAGAGCGAAGAGTCGCGAGCAGAACTCAGTCAGCTCGCCTTGGTTCCGATGAACATTGTTTCTCCCCAGCGAAACGGCCCGCTCATGGGTATTGTGCAAGATACTCTTTGTGGTATCTACAAGATCTGCCGGCGTGACATCTTCCTGACCAAGGACCAAGTCATGAACATGATGATGTGGGTTCCTGATTGGGATGGTGTTATCCCGCCACCAGCGATCTTGAAGCCTAGACCCAGATGGACTGGAAAGCAGATGATCAGCATGGCTCTGCCTTCAGGACTGAATCTCTTGCGCGTTGACAAGGATAACTCTGCCTTGTCGGAGAAGTTCTCACCTTTGAACGATGGTGGTCTCCTTATCCATGGTGGACAGTTGATGTATGGAATGTTTTCCAAGAAGACTGTCGGTGCCAGCGGTGGAGGTGTTATCCATACCATCTTCAACGAGTACGGACCCGGTACTGCGGTGGCATTCTTCAACGGCGCCCAGTCTATCGTGAATTATTGGCTGCTCCATAATGGCTTCAGTATCGGAATTGGTGATACTATTCCAGATGCTCTCACAATCCAGAGAATCGAGAACTGTGTGCGTGTCAGGAAGAAGGAGGTCGAAGCTATCACTGCCAGTGCTACTGAGAATACTCTTGAGCCTTTGCCTGGTATGAATGTTCGAGAGACCTTTGAGAGTAAGGTCTCTCGTGCTTTGAACAACGCTCGTGATGAAGCTGGTAGCGAGACGGAGAAGAGTTTGAAGGATCTTAACAACGCCATCCAGATGGCTCGGTCCGGTTCCAAGGGATCCACCATCAACATCTCACAGATGACGGCGGTGGTGGGTCAACAATCCGTCGAGGGTAAGCGTATTCCTTTTGGCTTCAAGTACCGTACTTTGCCGCACTTCACGAAGGACGATTATTCGCCCGAGTCCCGTGGCTTCGTCGAGAACTCCTACCTCCGTGGTCTTACTCCTACCGAGTTCTTCTTCCACGCGATGGCTGGTCGTGAGGGTCTTATCGATACCGCCGTCAAAACGGCCGAGACTGGTTACATTCAGCGTAAGCTGGTCAAGGCCCTGGAAGAAGTTATGGTCAAGTATGATGGTACCGTTCGTAACTCTCTGGGCGATGTCATTCAGTTCGTCTACGGAGAGGATGGTCTTGACGGCGCTCACATCGAGAACCAACGGGTTGATATTATCAAGTGTTCTGATGACAAGTTCCGGGACCGCTTCCGCGTCGATCTCATGGATCCTGAGCGCAGCCTGGGACCGGAGATCTTGGAGCAGGCTAATGAAATTGCGGGTGACGTGGAGGTCCAAAGATATCTGGACGAAGAGTGGGAGCAACTTCTCAAGGACCGAGCGTTCCTTCGGACTGTCGCCAAGGAGGACGAAGAGATGATGCAGCTTCCGATCAATGTGCAGCGCATTCTCGAAACTGCCCGGAGTACGTTCCGTATCCGTGAAGGAACCATCAGTGATTTGCATCCTGCGGAAGTCATTCCTCAGGTCCAGTCTCTACTTGATCGCCTGAAGATTGTGCGTGGCGACGATATTATTTCGGTTGAAGCCCAGGAGAATGCGACACTGCTCTTCAAGGCGCAACTGCGCAGCCGCCTTGCGTTCCGAAGACTCGTTACCGAGTATTCCATGAACAAGCTGGCCTTCCAACACGTTCTTGGAGCCATCGAAACTCGGTTTGCCAAGGCTGCTGCCAGTCCGGGAGAGATGGTTGGTGTACTTGCGGCGCAGTCTATTGGTGAGCCGGCTACACAGATGACGCTGAACACCTTCCACTTTGCTGGTGTGTCGTCTAAGAACGTTACTCTTGGTGTTCCTCGTCTCAAGGAAATTCTAAACGTCGCCACCAACATCAAGACACCCTCCATGACTGTTTACCAAGAGCCATACACATGCCATGACAAGGAAAGTGCCAAGCAACTGCGAAGCGCTGTCGAACACACGAGCTTGCGTTCCGTGACCGAGGCTACTGAGATCTACTATGATCCGGATATTCAGACTACGGTCATTGAAAACGATCGGGATATGGTCGAATCGTACTTCATCATTCCCGAAGATGTCACGGATGATTCGACTCGCCAGTCTAAGTGGCTGCTCCGTATCATTCTTAGTCGTCCCAAGCTTCTCGATAAGGGACTCACTGTCCAGGACGTTGCTACGAGGATCAAGCAGGCCTATCCCAAAGATATTGCTGTCATTTTCAGTGACAACAACGCCGACGAGCAGGTTATCCGTATCCGTCAGATTCAGGATTACAAGGATGATGAAGATGACGATGATATTGAGTATGACGTTACACTCAAGAAGCTGGAGCAGCATCTCTTGGATACCCTCACTCTTCGTGGTGTGCCCGGTGTGGAGCGTGCGTTCATCAACGAGAAGAGCAAGGTACGCGTTCTTGAAGATGGGTCATTGTTCGTCAGCAAGACCGATCCTCTCTGCAAGGAATGGGTGTTGGAGACAAGTGGTTCGTCTCTTGGTGAGGTTCTGGCGATTCCCGGGGTGGATGCTACTCGCACATACTCCAACCAGTTTATCGAGGTGTTCGAGGTGTTCGGTATCGAAGCAGCCCGGACAGCTGTTCTTCGCGAGTTGACACAGGTGCTGGCTTTCGATGGTTCCTACGTCAACCATCGTCATTTGGCCCTTCTGGTTGACGTGATGACTGTGCGGGGTTACCTGACTCCCGTCACTCGGCACGGTATCAATCGTGCTGACAACGGTGCTCTTATGCGGTGTTCTTTCGAAGAGACCGTGGAGATTCTTTTGGAGGCAGCTGCTTTCGGAGAATTGGATGACTGCCGTGGTGTGTCAGAGAACTTGATTCTGGGACAAATGGCACCTGCTGGTACTGGAGAGTTCGACATCTATCTTGACCAGAACCTTCTCAACACTGTCGTTTCGAACAACGCCCGCTACGGTGTGATGGGTGCGATCGGCGCCAAGGACGCAATCATCTCGGACGGTGCTGCGACGCAGTACGACACTGGTTCGCCAATGCAGGAGAGCGCGTATATTGGTACCCCCGACCCGGATTCGAACTTCTCTCCTATCCGGCAGGCAGGCGCGGAATCACCTGGTGGCTTTACGGAGTATCAACCTACTGCAGGATTTGGGGGCGGGTTTAGCCCCGCGCCCACTAGCCCGTTGGGCTACTCCCCTGGCAGTCCTTTCAGCGGCGGCGCCACGTCCCCCAGCTACTCTCCGTCGTCCAGCTACTCCCCTACGTCCCCCGGCATGGGTATCACCAGCCCTCGGATGACCTCGCCGGGATTCTCACCCGCAAGCCCGGCGTTCGGACCGACGTCGCCTGCTTACTCCCCTACGTCACCTGCGTATGGACAGGCCTCTCCGACTTCACCGTCGTACTCCCCAACGTCACCGGGCTTCTCACCGACATCGCCGAACTACAGCCCCACGTCGCCAAACCTCAGTCCTGCTTCGCCAGTGTTCAGCCCGACATCCCCGAGCTACAGTCCTACTAGCCCTGCGCTCGGTGCTGGTCGAAACATGTCTCCTACATCGCCAACGTCTCCCAAGTACACCCCGACCTCGCCTGGGTGGTCTCCGACAAGTCCCCAGTCTTACTCGCCAACTTCACCAAACATTGGTGGCTCACCGACGTCGCCTGGAGGGGCCTACAGTCCGACGTCGCCTACGTACAGCCCTACGTAAGTTTAACTCATGGCACGAATCAGAGTGACATTTTGCTGACTTCACCTGTAGCTCGCCGCGTCAGTGAAACCAAGCTTGTCAAACTTTCACTGTATCATTGTACTATCACCCACGCATCGGACCGCCTATTAAAAAAAAGACATGTTGCATTTTACGTTACGGAATTGGTTGGTTATTTCTTCAGAATTTGGGCGTGTGAAGCCTTTCCCCATTACTTTCTCCATAAATGTATGTTCTTCGACGTCTTAACCCCTCGCATGGGCTTTATCCCGTTTATTCGACTGTTCGTCTCCGAGCCAACCTGCTGAAATTGCGTGTGTGGTTGTTGCTGCTGTTTCCTCCTACCCCTTCACATTGAAATACCAAGCGTTTGTTTGTCCTTTTTCTTTTAGATTTGAAGAGCTCCGCGAATCAGGCCTTTAGAGCTGGAGGAGAGGAAGGGAAAATGGACGTGATTCCCCCTTGGGCTTACATGATGATGGTCATTTCTTTGGAGAGTATTTAATGATGCGGTCACTGTTCTTTCGTGTACACAGCTTAGTACAGCTGGGGTTATGGACAAAAGAGAGAAAAGTTGTAAAAAAAACATAAAATAATAAAACAGATTTGATATCTTGAAAATTGGACGTGCTTCTTGAATCACCACGTAGAATTGAGAGGAATTTACTTGCCTTCACCAAGACGTGTTCGGCAAAATGAAGCTCCGCATGGACAGGTGGCCCGTTCCGCTTTGGGGCGGCTCGTGGTCGGTAAACTACTCGAACTCAACCTAAGCTCGACTTTCCCATCTACTTCACCTCCTCTTGGTGATGTTCTAATCCGAGTCGCCATGTGCTTCTCACTTCTATCTCTCCCGACTAAGTTCTTTCCATCAACATGAAGAACTTGTGGTTGTGGCGCCTCTTGCCCTGGGCGCTTCGTAAGTAGTCCATTGCGGAGCTTCCCTCTCAACATGTCCAAAGCTGACACCTCTTGACAACCATACAGTGCTTGTTCAGGCAATCCTCATTCAAGCCAGTGACTCATTTGATACGCCGCCAGTAGGCGTCACGCCAGAGCAACAGCAGCCTCTAGGCGCATCCTCCGAGCATCCGGATACTCGACCTCGAAATGGTGAGACTCTTCCGCCGAAACATCGACTGGTAGAGTCTAACATATCTTTTCTTGATACCAGAACATGTCGAAAATGCCCTTAAAATCCTCAATGACCCCAAGATCGCTGTCGCCATTCCTGAGAAGCCATCGGGCCTTACGGGAAACGCCTTATATTACGCCAAAGAGTTATTCCGCATTTTGTTCATGAATGGGCCGTCTTCAGATAGTATACAGAGACAGAAGATCCACCCCAAGGTCGCGAAGGCCGTCCAAGAATTGAGAATCGCCGCGCAGGATGACCACGACCCCGACGCAATGTTCCTCCTCGCGGAGATGAACTTCCACGGCAACTTCACACACCCTCGCGATTTCCGGGAAGCGTTCCACTGGTACCAGCACCTTGCCTCCTTGACTGGCAACAGCACGGCTCAGTATATGATCGGGTTCATGTACGCGACGGGGATTGGCGGCGGAGTGGAGCGCGACCAGGCGAAGGCTATGTTGTACCATACCTTTGCGGCCGAGGCAGGAAACACGAGATCGGAAATGACGCTGGCGTACCGTAACCACGCTGGCATCGGGACACCGAAAAACTGTGATGAGGCTACGTACTACTACAAGAAGGTCGCAGACAAGGCCATCGAGTACTTCCGATCTGGTCCGCCGGGCGGCCGCAACATGATGCGGGAGTCGTACCGGTGGGCGGATGAAGAGGGTGGCGTTTATGGAGAGGGGGCCAGCGTGTCTAGCTCCGGACCCAATGCGCTCCGCGACTCCGCGCAATCCAGCACTGATGCTAGCTTGGAGGATGTTCTGGAGTACTTGGATCTGATGTCCCGCAAGGGTGAACTGAAGGCGACGTTTAGTCTCGGAAAGATGCATTACGAAGGCACCCGAGGTCTGCCGAGGAACTTTCGAAAGGCGATGAAGTACTTCAAGTTGATCACGAAACGGTACTGGAACAAGGATGGATCGGTCAACCCCAACCACCCTCTCGGCGTGGAGAAGTTGGCCTCAAAAGCTGCCGGTCATATCGGCTTGATGTACCTTCGCGGAGAGGGCGTGGAGCAGAACTTTGCAACTGCGTTGGTCTGGTTTAAGCGGGGAGTCGCCAACGGCGACGCTCTCTGTCAGCATGAGATGGGTCTCATGTATCTTCACGGTTACGGTGTTCCGCAGGATGCGTTCCGGGCTGCCTCATACTTCAAGTCTGCGGCAGATCAGGACTTACCCGCGGCGGAGACGCGCTTGGGTGCGCTGTTCCTGGACCAAGGCGATGTCCCAACAGCCACGCGGTATTTCGAGCTGGCTGCGCGCTGGGGATGGATGGAGGCCTTCTACTACCTTGCTGAGATGTCGAACAATGGGGTTGGCCGGCAACGACACTGCGGCATGGCGGCTTCGTATTACAAGATGGTTGCGGAGCGAGCCGAGGCGATCCACTCTGCGTTTGGTGAAGCGAACACTGCTTATGAAACCGGTGACAAGGAACGGGCTCTCGTTGCGGCTATGATGGCCGCAGAACAGGGATACGAGAATGCCCAAGCCAACGTAGCATTCCTGCTTGATGAGCAGCGCTCGTTGCTGTCTCTTGATTCGATCGTGCCTGGGCTGAAGAAGCCGCGATCGCCTCTCTTACGGAATGCTGCATTGGCTCTAATTTATTGGACGCGTTCTTCCAAACAGGCCAATATTGACTCGTTGATCAAGATGGGCGACTATTACCTGAGTGGGACCGGCATCGCGGCTGATGCTGAGAAGGCTTCGACTTGCTACCATACGGCAGCTGAGGCTCACTACAGTGCACAAGCATATTGGAACCTTGGGTGGATGCACGAAAATGGTATTGCGGTGCATCAGGACTTCCATATGGCCAAGCGATATTATGATCTGGCCTTGGAGACGAGCCCGGAGGCCTATCTTCCGGTGAAATTGAGTTTGCTGAAACTGCGGCTGCGCAGTTACTGGAACCGGATAACCAACGGCAACATCAACCCCATCCAAGACGACGAAGGTAGGACCTGATACTCAGTTCTTCTGGAATATGTACTCACTCGATTCCCAGAGACCAAACCACGCCGGTCCTTCAAGGAATGGGTTGCCGCGTTCCTTGAGAATGACGAAGAGGAGGAGGCCAATTATCGTGCACAGATGTACAAACGAGCCCAGGAGGAGGAGGACGATATCTTATCGTCTTCGGATTCGCGCCACGAGGATGGCTACTATGACGATCTGGAGCTCGAGATCGACGAGAGTGTCTTGGAGGGTCTGATCATTGTGGCTTTGGCGGCGACGCTACTCGTCCTGGTGTACATGCGACAGCAACGCAACCGGCCACAGCAAAATGACAACAACGCGGGCAATGCCGGACAGAACGAGAACGACCGCGGGTTCTTCCCTCGTCCTGGAGAGCCCGAGTTTGCGCAGTGGTTGGCGGGAGGTGTAGGGCATTGATGGCTGATGCATGATTCCCCATATTGCTTTTGTGCTTTGTGTAGGATAGAATCTACGAATAAACTGATGTTTCGAACGATACTAAAGTTGTTTTACCTACCTAGGCAGTGTGATGTAGTACTTGTAGATGAGCGCAGTTGTTGGTGCGTAGGGCTTATCTTATCAACCCAGGGCAGCTTTATCGATAATGTTCCTCCGCATGAAGAATCAACATTCCCACCATCCTCTTCGACCATCTCGTCACTCCAACGCATTCCTCCACGGAATTGATCTCAGCAATGTGACAGTTTGATTCTGAGACCACAGAGGCAAGACCATGACTTCAATGAATCTCAACGGGAAACGCCGTCGCGTTGAACACTCTGCGTCGGGGCTCTCCAAGCCGTTCAAGTCTCCGCTTCGCCGCCCACCTCAGACCCCCGAGAACGAGTCAGAGGCCGAAAAGAAGGAAAACGAAGACTATTCACCGAGACACGCATCGCTATCTAGCTCAACACGTGCCGAACCTACACCAGGGCAACCTCTCGAACCGACGACTCCCCTCTCGACGTCTTCCACCCGCCCCTCCTTCCATCCTCGTACCCAACCTCCCTCCAAACGAAAGCTCCCCAGCAGCCACCTTACGCCTCCGAAGAAACCCATCCTCTCTGATCCAGCCGTTCTCGACCTCCAGAAACAGCAACGCGCTTTGCAGACCCGGCTGGCGGCCCTCCGCTCAGAACTGGACACCGCGCAGCAGGCTCTGCGCATCGAGTCGTCGAACAAAGCCGCCGATCTCGAGGCGCTCATTGCGAAGTGGAGGTCCGTCAGCCAGAGCGCCGCGGAGGAGGTCTTCACTGGGGCGCAGGAACGGGTGTCGCGCATGGGGGGCATGAAGGCCTGGAAGGAGCGCATGCGGACCGAGACGGCGCAGTGGGAGCGCGAGGAGATAGAGGCATGGTATGGAGACGGAGAGGCTGAGGAATTTGGGGTGGATCGGGAGGAATTGGAGATGCGCAAGGCGGAGATGAGCGATCGGGTTGAGGTGAGCGAGGGGAAGAAGGAGGATCTGAAGGAGTTGGAGGATGAGGTATGTCCTTATGTTCTTGTGCTTACGACGATGTGTGGAGAGTCTTTTTACTAATTGTTTGGTCAACAGGAGTTCACGATGGAGGTGATGTTGAAGACATTGAACGTGGACTTGAAGGTCATCGGGTATGATCCGACGGAGCAGAAGTGGGTGAAGGGGTGATATGGTTCATGATGGACGTGCCGACGGCGCAGGCGCTATGAGTCTCTAGATACCTACAGTTGCGTGAACGGATTGTATGATATGGTTATGGACGATGTATGAGCTCGGCAATGATAAAGGCGTTTCCCCGCCGAACCCCCAGAACCAAATCATAGAAGCCGAAGTGGATCCGGGCCTTATCTTCTTCCATCCCTCTTCATTCCCATCCTTCGCTCTTCCTCCTCTCTTTCCATTCCCGGTGCTATTCCTGCATATGAGATGCCTGTGGCGTCTGTCGGCCTTGTCCGTCCCAACCCATGCCTCGGAGTCCCAAACCGCCCAGATTGTTAGCCTGTGCGCGATGCTTCCGGTTGAAGCGCAAATGTGACCATGTGAAGCCCACATGTGGAGAATGTAGGCGTCGCGGCACTGAATGTCTGCCCGTCAAATCCAACAAAGATGGAGAAGACATCACCGTTCCGCTCAAATACCTGAAATATCTGGAGTCGCGCGTGGCCGAGCTTGAAGATGGGCAGAATGTCCCCCAAACGTCGCCACCGGTCCGTGATATGGGCGTCCAAACCGATCCCGTGGATGAACCTCACCATGTTGAGGACATGTCACTCGACAAGCTCCCTCTCAACCGCAGCCCCGGGGGATGGCGTGTGATCCTTCACCAGTTGCTTTTGCATCCGGGGAGTTATCCGGTCTCTGGGGCAGATCAATACCCGGGGCATGCTTCGGGCACAGGGCACGAGCTCGTGCTGCTACCTGATCCCCGAACCCAGCCGCAACGGTTAGAGGAACCGTTGATTTCAAGGCTTGCGTATGAAATTTACCAAGATGATATGAGCATCGATCAGCACACTGGCTCGCCGCATACGCTCGCCTTCACGGGGGAGTTCTCCTCATGGCTGGAGGAAATCTACACAAATGTCTACTTCTCCATCAACCACTGGGTGTGGCCATTCCTTGACTGGGAGACGTGGAGATCCTGGCGCCAGGAATGGAGTGTCGAGGCGGAGACGGATCAGTGGAAGGGTTTCTTCGTGCAGATGGTATATGCCGTAGGAGCTCTGTCATGTAACGCCTTCCAACCGGATCATGGCCATTCGATGCGCGCATCGGAGTTTTACACTTCCGCCTTGGTCTACTACCCCTTTGTCATGGAACATCCGTCCACCATTCTCCAGATACAGGCGTCTATATTCATGATTCTATACGCCCTACAGTGTCCTTCGTCCGAGGAGATGGCGACGACGGTTTCTTCCATCGTGCCGTTCTGCATTGCGTCCATGGCGGAGATTAGAAAACACGCATCCTCGAATATAGGCGATGCACCAAGTCCTACAATAGGCACCGATGGGGTCATCACCGAGTCGTTGTTCATTACGTGTTACATGTTGAACGAGATTGTTGTGTCTGGATGGGAGCGACCGGTTTCTGCTGCTTACAAGGCTATTGATGACGATGTAAGAAAGGCCATTCCACAACTACAAAGCTTCGAGCGACTGCTAACCGAGACAGATCTATAACCTCGGCAATGAGATGCCCTCCTCATCCGGCACGAGCAAGGCATTGAGACACTTGTTCAAGTTGCGCAAGATCCAATCCAACATCCGCCGACATTGGGATGAATCTCGACCGCAGCAGGAATCGAGCGACTCCCTTCTCAAATCGGAGTTGACTGCGTGGAGAGATGAGATACCTCGATATAGCATCGGCGGATCACCGAGCACATACCTTCATCCTCTGTGGATGGCGAATCTCTACGACTACAGTATCATAATACTAATGCAAGAAAAGCGCCGTCGATTGAAAGACGAAGACATCGAGGATATTCTATCCGCCAGCGTCGAAGTCTGTTTGAGTTTTCGCCGTCTCCAGGAAGAAGGTCAAGTGATGTGCTATACTTGGTCTGCGGTAAGCTACCTCCGGGAAAGTCTGAAATGGCCGGGATAGTGTACTGACAATCCGTCAGCTCGTCTTCCAGTTTCGGTCGGGCATCATGCTCCTATATATGTTCTGGGTCGCTCCTCGCGGACGTGAGTTTACCCAGCAAGCGACCCAAGCCTTGTACAGCTGTGCCATTACACTGTCACACTTCGCGGATCGTTGGCCCGATGCTGCTCCTTATGCCAGGGTCTTTGAATACCTTCTTCAGCGTGGATCCTGGCTCAAGGAATATCCTTCGTATATTCCAACCGATTCCTGCACTGCCGACCAATTGGAGAATTATTTGTCTCAGTTGAAGAAACAGTATATACATAAGGCCGTCCTGGAGATGATTGAGGATATGATATACCATCCTTCTGGATAGACTGGGATAGGGATGTATATTGACGGCGTTCATTTGGTGTATGGTCATTTCGCGTACATAATATTTGATACACAATGATGCACTTCAAAGCAGCAGCAATCTCCCAGCGACGACGTCCGTAGTGGTATGAGCCTCGAGGATCACGATCGTCTGCGCCAACGCAGGGCTAGACCATCGTGACCATGGTCTATCGCGCGATGACTCTAGATAAGTCGTTGTCACTAGCCACGAGTTGCCATCAATCTGCACTGCAACGACATCCCCATTGACGTAACAAGAAAGGCTTTTCAGCTCTCCGTTTCCTCTACTTTCCAACGTTCCCTGGATTTCAAGTTTCACTGTCGAGTCCGCCACATCTTCGATCTGGGATTTAATCTCAATATAAGGTCTGTCCTTCTGCGCGCTCTCCGGAGAAGCACCCGTCTTCGAAACAACATCGGAATCCAGCGCAGGCACAAGGGGCGGCAGTCGACGATACTTGGTTGCCTGTTCAAAGGCATAAGCATATCGCAGCAGCTCCATATCATCGTACGCCTTTCCGGCAAAAGTCAAGTTCACCGGCATTCCGGTGTCCTCCATGAGGCCCATCGGGACGGAGATAGTCGGGATGCCCAGATGACGGATTTCGCGGTTTCCATTCGAGTACTTCACCCCGTTGCGCCAGGCGTACAGCGACGAATCCGGGTCCACATCCGCGTTCGCGCGTCCGATGTCGCCGTTGGCCGGGAAGACGACGGCGTCGAGGCCCAGACCGTCCATCCACTTCTCAAAGGTCTCCTTTCGAGCGGCCTCGAGGGCTTTCAGCGCCTGGTCCAAGTCGGTGATTTCGAAAATGGACTCCGGTTTGGTCTTGGGGTATTCGACCATCTCGTGCCATCGCAGCTGGTTCGCGGCGTCGGGCGTGCCTCTCAGCGACCCGGGTGCCAGTGGGAAGATCATGTCTGGATCCACGCAGGACAGCGACTCCAGGCCCGGCTGGCCGTTCGCGACGAGGAAATCGTCCCACGCATGAGCGACCACCTGGCATCGCTCCTTCGAATGCCAGCCCTCGGGGAGATCCTTGACGTTCACGATCTCGCCGGTGTGGGCTTTCGCTTCATATACCGTCACGACGGGGAAGTCCACCTCCACCACTGTGGCGCCGCACGCCTCGAGCGCACGTCTGGTCGCCTCCCAGAGCTTCAGGATGGAGGGCCGGGTGCAGACCTTGTCGGGGAGGGGGTTTGCGCCGCCGATGAACATGGTGGGGACGCCCAGGCGCTTGCCGCGCAGCGACGATCCGCTTTCGAGCTCTTGGAACGTCTTCGGGCGGAGAGTGTCGATGGATGGCAGGGGGATGATTTTCTGCTCGTTCCAGAAGTCACCGGTGGGCGTCTGGTCCACCACGGCGAGGACATCGAGAACGCGGAACAGGTCGGACATGGTGCGCGTATGCGGCACTAGCACGTCGCAGGTCGGATACAGAGGCCATACCCCGCGGAGGGGGAGCAGGCCTTTCGACGGGGTGTAGGCGATGATGGAGTTATTCGAGGCCGGCGACCGGCCCGAGGACACGGTCTCGCTGCCCAAGCTGAAGGCGCAGAAGTTGGCCGTGGTCGCCGTCGCAGACCCGTTCGATGAGCCGGACGCATACGCGGCTGTCAAGTACTCCGGATTGTATGGGCTTTCGGCGCGACCGTAGCAACCCCGCTGCATGCCGCCGTACGCCATGGCGGGCATGTTGGTTCTCCCCAGCAGCACGGCGCCGGCGTCGCGTAGGACCTGCACGCATGCGGCGTCTTCGGTGGCGACGAGATTCTCAAAGGCGGGCGATCCGCAGGCGACGGTCATTCCCTTCACCTTGATGCTGTCTTTGACGAGATACGGAATGCCCTCGAGGGGCCGCGCGGGCAGCCCGGCTGCGCGTCGTGCATCAGATGCGGCTGCTTCGTCGAATACCGCTGGGTTGATGACGGGGATGGCGCTTAGCTTGAGCGTCGAGGCATCATACACGCTGATGCGGCGGAGATAGCGCGCTACCAGTTCCGTGCTGCTGATCAATCCCGAGTCGAGCGCGGCCTGGATCTCGGAAATGCTGGCATCGATCAGGTTGAATTGTCTGGGCTGTTACAGGGTGAGCGTGTGCTTAAGGTCGGGACTAGTAGACGCTTACAGGCTCCATGGCAGCTTATGTGGCGGTTGCAGGCGGATTGAATACTGAGGCAGTTTGACAGCACAAGCGGGAGATGACCACTATATAGAGTGACAACGGTCACCAGCCGGTGGACACGGTTCTACTCGCATGGCCTTTCCCATTCTATGTCATTCCTGCTGCTTGGAGATGAGGAGATCTCGAGCGGACAAAAGTCCGCTGCGGATGGCTAACCCTAACTTCTTCTAGACCGTCTCGCGCCTGGTGGATCAACCCGTCCCATAGCACTCGCCCTGCACAACGGACAGAAGTCCGCCAGCCCTGCTTCGTATTCCCTCGGACAATGAGCGAGCTCATCATGTCGATAGGCACAGGACGACGAGCCAAGAGATAACATCCTTGGTCCTTATCTCCTCGCTGATAGCAACGCGGGGTGTCGTGTTATCAGGAATGCACAGCATCAGTATAAAAGCAAACCGACATAAGCTACAAGGGTGGCCTCCACTGTCTTCTAATAGTATCCTCCCGACTATTCAAGTGGAGAAGTTATCCACTTGCACCCCATCGCCATGTCGGACATTAAAGAACCCAAGGAAGACCCGCTCACCAGCAACACGAAGGAGGTCGCAGCCGGGGAGATCACCGGGGAAATCCGAGATATCGGAGCTGAGCTCTATGCCGAAGTTGATCAATTGACGCCCGAGGAGCTGGAGCGCGAGGGCGCCGAAGTGCGCAAATTGCTGGATTGGCGGATCCTGCCCATTGTGAGTGTGCTGCGTGGATACTCTCCGCAGGGCCTTTATTAACGGTGGAGAATCAGCTCTATGTGACGTACGTGATTCAGTTTCTGGGTGAGTCCCTGCGTTTCGTCGGGTTCGAGAAGACACTCGGCTGACAGGATTGCTTTCCAGACAAGTTGTCTCTCAATTATGCCTCGGCGTACTCGCTCATTCCAGATCTCGGTCTGGAGGGCCAGAGGTACTCCTGGGTCGCGGCCATTTTCAACTTTGGATATCTCTTCTGGGCAGTGGTACGTGATGTAGATAGAGGAAGACGAGCTCACCATCTAACATCCGGTCCAGCCGTCAAATCTCCTGATTCAGCGCCTGCCATTGGCCAAATACATGGGCACAGTCATCATCCTCTGGGCGGGTCTTGTCATTGCGCACATCGGGGCTAAGAACTATGCCGGCATTCTAGTCCTGCGCTTTCTCTTGGGAATGGCGGAGGCAAGCGTCAGCCCATGCAGTAAGCCCGCGCGCATCGCAACCGCCAAATCTCACAGCAGCTAACAAAACCGCCAGTGATGAACTTCACCTCTATGTTCTACAAGCGATCTGAGCAGCCGCTGCGAATGAGCCTGTGGCTTTCTGGCAACGGAATGGCCACCATGGTAGGAGCCCTACTGGGCTTCGGCCTCGGTCATTCGCACAACACCAGTCTCAAGAGCTGGCAATTGATCTTCCTCACCATCGGCCTGATGAATCTGGTGACCGGGATGCTCTTCCTCTGGATCATGCCCGACTCCCCGGCGACGGCGAAATTCCTCACGCACCGGCAGCGCATTGTCGCCGTGCAGCGCGTCTCGGAGAACATGATCGGCGTCAAGACGAAGCAGATCAAGCCGCGCCAGGCGCTGGAAATCGCCTACGACATCAAGGTGCTCTGCTGTCTTGGGATCGGCATCGGCTGCGGCGTCATCAACGGCGGCGTCTCCAACTTCGCCTCGTCGCTTATCAAAGGCTACGGCTTCAGCGGGCTCTACGCCACCCTCCTGCAGCTGCCGACCGGCGCCATCGAAGCCGTCGTCGTACCCATCTGCGGCCTTGTCTCGACATACGTCAAGGACTCCCGCTGCATTGTGCTCGCCGTCGTCTGTCTGATCCCCTTCGGCGGCCTCCTCGGCATCCGCTTCACCAGCCTCGAACACCGCTGGACCCTCGTCGGCTGCACCTGGCTCCAGTACATCATCGGCGCCCCCGTCATCATCTCCTGGAATCTTCTCTCCACCAACGTAGCCGGCCACACGAAGCGCTCCTTCGCCAACGGCTTCTGGTTCACCCTGTATGCGGGCGGGAACGTGGCGGGCGCGAATATCTTCTTCGCCCGCGAAGCGCCGCGGTACTACTCGGCGCTGGCGGGTCTGCTCGTCTGCTATGCGGGAATGATCGTTCTGGCTTTCGTGGCGTATGTGGCGATGAAGGTGGATAATGTTCGGAGAGAGCGTGCAGCGGTGGCAGGGACAACGCCGGAACAGCGTGAGGAAGCGGCTGTTTTGGATGGGTTCAAGGATCTGACAGATATGGAGTCGAAGAACTTTCGATACGCGCTTTAGATTAGATGTATTTGCTGTTGAAGTGCTCTACGAATGATGATCTGGAATTTCTAATGCGGTCCTCAGAGTCTACTCAGCTAGCTGTCTGTGTGTAAGGAGCTGTAAATCCGGGCTTGGAGGCTGGGAAATAAAGCCCGACTTCAGAAGGCTGATTCTGCCTTGAGACATTGCTGACGCCTCTGCCAAGGCTCTGTTGCTTAGATGTCAAACCCCAGGTGAGATTTTCAATGGGTCTATCTATAGTTCTATAGAAATACAGCAACCGCTGGCTGTGGCTATCAAGAGGAGTCTGGCGGTCTGGCGATAAGTAGTCCAACGGACTGTCCATGTGAAGGCTACTTGCGCGCCAAACAGCCCATGTAAGACGATTGATCGCCTGTGATTGTAGCCGCATGTTGTCAATTGACTGCGCCTTCAAAGGAAAAGCATCCCTCCGCTCCTACTCTCTCGTATTAATCGAGCTCTTGTGTGAGAGGACTTTTCAACTACATACGACTCGTCCACTGACTATTCCCCGCGACTGACACTTTCCTCAAACAATCATCTTTTCGTGGTTTTCGAAACGACTGCTTTACTGTCTATGTTTTGACTCGTTACATCTAGCTTACCCCGCGCCACCAGAGCAACCACCTGCACATCGTGGAGGATTCAAGATCTTATTCCTATTTTCTCTACTTGAAGACAGGGAAGCAAAATGGTGAGTCCTCGTTTCAAGCTGAGTGTTTCTCCGCTAATAAGAGATAGGAGAACAGTCTCGAAATACAAGCGATGGCGGTACTGGCCGCACGTAACGAGCTAAACGGTTCGGAAGTATTGAGCTCAATGTTGGACGATTACGGAGAGGCACTTCGTATCACTGAAGATGTGGTCTGCGCTGCCGCTGGAAACTACTGGGAAGGGGCAATGCTTATCTCGACTTTGCTTGAGAGGCGAGCAGGCGAGATTATAGTCACTGAGAATGTGGTTAGAGCTGCATCAAAGAATTCACACGGAGAAAAGGTGATGACTCTCCTTCTGAAAGGACATTGGAAGGAATTCATCGTGTCAGAAACTTCGACCTGTTTGATCGTGGAAAGATTCAGCGAAGCGATAATCGCGCTTCTTTTCGAGAACTATGGTCGTCAAATTCGAATCACGGAGCAAGTTCTCAAAGCCGCTGCAAAGAATAAATCAGGACAAGAAACCATGGCCTTTCTTTGTGACGTCTTCGGTGGTCACATCCAAGTTACTGAAGTTGTTCTCCGAGCTGCAGCAGAAAACAGCTCCAGAGGATATGAGATATGGTGTCTCCTCACGGATAGATACAGTAACCAAATCCGGATTACGGATGAACTGCTTCAAACTGTTGCAAGAAACCAACCAGTGGGGACAATGGAACTTCTGTGTTGCAAATTCAGTGACCAGGTCCGGATTACTGAAACTGTTCTCCGAGCTGCAGCAGAAAACAGCCCCGGGGGATATGCGATTATCTGTTTCCTCACGGAGAGATACAGTAACCAAATCCGGATTACGGAGGAACTGCTTCAAACTGTTGCAAGAAACCAACAAGTGGGGACAATGGAACTTCTGTGTCGCAAATTCAGTGACCAGGTCCAGATTACCGAAGGAACTCTCAAAGCTGCAGCAAAAAACCTCAGAAGTGGAGATCATGTGATGGGATCTCTCTTGAGCAGAAATGATGACAAGATCCAGATTACAGAAGGAGTACTCCTATCTGCAGCAAGGAATCCTGTTAGCGGCCATCGTATTATGCGTGTCATTTATGACAAGTATGGTGGTTCCATTCAGATTACCGAGGAGGTGCTTAAAGCTGCTGCAAGCAACAGATGGCCATACGTCGTGCAAGCCCTTCATGATCTATTCTACAATCAGATGGATATTACTGAAGGAATCCTCCGAACTGCAGCAGAAAACCCCAATTGCGGAGCCATGGTTATGGAGATTCTTTTGAACCATCTTCATTGGGACCACGATAGAGATCAGCTTCAGATTCCAGAGCAAGTGCTCCAAGCTGCAGCAAAGAATACCTCTAGCGGTGCTGAGATCATGGATCTTCTGTTTTGGGACAGATATAATGTTAGGATCAGCGATATCACTGAGAAGGTGATCAAGGCAGCCGCAGAGAATCCTGAGGGGGGAAAGGAAATGCTGATGCTCCTTCTCCAGAAAGCCGGAGAAAGGGGAGACTCAAAAACCTGGAAAGAGTATCCTTGGATTCACCAACTTAGCAACATAGGGTACAACCTCCAAGAATTGGCCGAGCTCCTACTTGTTCACCATCGTGATTCCCCTTGGCTGTATTTTGAGCCAAGGGACTGGCCTGAGACCAAGATTGACCTTGAGAAACACATTCCTAACTGTCCGCATAGCTTTTGTCACAGCCCCACAGATAAGACGTCCCCTCGGAATTTACTGCTGGATGATGGGACGAGCACAGCTGAAATAGTCGAACAGCTCTGTGGTCTAGCTGGAATATGCCCTACCGATCGAGACGTGCAAAACTGGGCCGGTTCGGTCGACTTCTGTGAAGAAGGTCAAGCTGCTAAGGTGTCCTATACATTACCAACGGACGAAGACGAATTCCGCCCTTTCAGAATTACCAAAACTCGCATCTTTTCTGTGCTAACATGTTTGTGCACTGCTATCGGTCTGGTACAGGAAGCCGGTCTATGCTGCAGCTCCTTTACAACTCTGAAATTTACAAGTCTTGATCACCAGTCGCCAAATGCGTATACAGCTGAGCTGATACCTGTGCCCTTTGGCACTGTGGTTCGCCTGACCAAAGCTATACAATCTTCGGAAGAGAGTGTTCCAGTGAACTTCTGCTCGCAGCAAAGGCAGTCCTGCAGCTTGTGTCTCCAGAAATAGCGGATCTGGGTTCACAGCAGGACCTGGACTGTTTGCACCTCTGCGCACTTGCGGCACAGTATCTATGTCTTGGCTTTGTGTCGTACATGCAAGCCCATACTGGTCCTATCCAGCTCTTTTTCCTCGACTTAGCCCTTCGGCGGATAAGACTTCTCGGTCTCAAGGGTGACTCCGACTGCCCACACATATCGGCAGAGCTCAAGGATCTCAGTTGTATGGGCAACATGACTGACGCGCCAGTTTTGGTCTTCCGGACCGATTGTGGATCGCCAGACAGGAAAGATTTAAAACAAGAGAATGTCTCCCGAAAGTACGACGTTTTAGCTTATCTGGAAGATATTTTGGATACATGGGGCCCAGGAAACTTCATTTACCGAAAAGATGCGGGACAGTCTCCTGTCGCGGTCAGAATTAGGGACGGGTTCCTTTTTGCGTGCGACAACGGCAAATACCACTGGTCCAAGTCCATCAATAGTCTAGAGCAGTTGGGCCCTATAGATCTTCAGCAGCAACTTGAGATTGGGGATCTGCTCTTAGTGAACAACCAGTGCACCCATGTGGAAGGTGATTGCTGGACGAGACTAGCGAATGCTATGGATACCCTCGGGACGTCTCGATCCTGGTGGGACACACTACAACTTCAGGCTGGCCTACAAGGAGGACAGTTCGTTGTCGGTCAACTTATGCAAACGTTAACGAAACGGAAAGGTGGCACAGTGAAAGAAGTTGTCCTATCATGGCCAGACGCGGATCTTATCCAGTTGATGGATCGACTCTGGGGTGTCCAAATAAGCTACTGTACCAGGGTGGCTAAGAGAGTTCGATTGCGGACGCTTGTAGCTGACCTACTACCAGCATTTTCCCTTGGACGCGTATCCGAGTCCACGCTTAAGGCTATTTCCCTCTTGCGGGACGAGGCTTTAACACCCATAGAGCTTGCTGAGAGCTTGAAGACGATTTGTGACAACAGCATTTACACGATGGTGGGAAGGATACTACGCACTCTTGAACACACTGGTGTGGATCGGACGGGAAGATTCTTTTGCATTGCCTGGCCATACATGGGCCAAACAGCTTCTTGTTTGAACATTGCACTGGAAGGCCCAAGCTCCTGGGCCAAATGTTTGGCTGACTCACATTGTTCTGCCACCTTTGCGTACATGACGATGAAATGCCTGGAAACAGACAGTGTGCGGTGTAGCGGGTGTCAAAAGCCTATCAAAGACTACGTTCGCCTCCTTGAGACTACCGTCAGCTGCCACTCCAAGACCGACTCGAAGCAATGGACCCTGGGGCACAAAGAAGTCTACTTTTTCGACAAGTTGGACACTATGTTTTGGGTTGAGGTCCGAAGAGAAGATAGAAGCCGTTCTGCACGTCTTGTCGAATTAGTGAGATTGCAGGCGATTCCACGGATCATGAAAAAGCGACTGGAGCTGAGAGAAGAGAAAAGACAACGTAACTGCCTGCGTGAGGATACAATGTTCCTCCAAGGAGAGCCTGTTTTCATATCTGCACTATGATAAGGCTAAACACATGACGTTCCCTGAGCCTGTTAACGAGTGTCTTTCTGGGCCGGAGAGAATTGTGGGCTTTTGGATGATTTCTTCAAGTCATCGTGTCAATCGAGAGTGACCGCTAGACCATCGAAAGCGTGAACACACTCATGGGGCCCTGTAAGATTCATATCTGGTTTGACACATCGTTTCCTTTATCGAGAGGCCGGATCTGCCCATCTTCCACCTGAGTCACTTTATAAGCGCACAATACAAGGATTAAAACAAAGACGAGACTGGGCCGAAAGCATTTATAAAGTAGAACAATTTATCATCATCACACCCGCCGTACTGCTTACATAGATGAGAGCTAGTACACGAGATCCTCAGCATATTCCTCATACTCTTGCATGAAGTCTTCCATGCTAAACTTGTCGCTGAGCCGCTTGTCCCTTAGGATGACAGTACCAGCTTCAATGTACCCCTTCTTAAACGCGGCGAACAATTCCGGGCTAGTCGAAGAATGAGGGATAAAAGACTGGTTATCACCCGTTACCATAGCCCCTTTAAAGGCCTGGTAGACAATATCACAATCCTGGGACAAGTCAACAAACTCGCATTGGCCGAAATCCAAAAGATAGAGTCCAACGGCGCGGTGCTGCAAATCCGGCGGTTCAACAAGAGCTCTCGGTACTTCAGAGGTTGATGTACCAAGCACAAACTCCACATCATCGCCGTTGATGGCGGCGCCCCAGTGCATGGTTGCATATGCTTTGCCCATTTCTGTAGCAAGCATGAGGCTCTCGATGCCAAGTTCCTTCATGAAACCGAGGTGCAGACTGAAATTCCTCAACGGGGCTGGGTTGTCCCGATTGATTGAACCATTAGTCTTGCCCAAGTAGACTCGGGCGAGGCAGTGCTTGTTGCTGGGGTTATTGAGAAGGGTCTCGATGTCATCCATTTCAAGATCCCATTCGCGACGACAGAAATAAGTGAGGAGCGCTTTTCGTACGACCTTCGGCAGTGGAAGAATCCGGTCCATGGTGATGACGTTCCCGCGCGTGCGGTAAGCCTGGGGGATCTTCGGAAAGACTTCGTCCCAGAAGTCGTCGTTATCTGCTGTGGAAATAAATTTGTGGGGTTTAGGAACATGGACTAGGTTGTGAGTTGCGCTCTGGTAGCGTTCGAATGCGGCCGAAACAGCGCAGTGACTTCTGTACTCGCGCCGGAGATTTGAGTGTCGGGTTTCATTGCCTGGTCGTTCTTTCTTGATAACGGCCAGCTGCCCAACCACTTCGAAGACGGCTCCTTGTAGGCCACTGCCGATTTCGTTGATTTCTTGGAGGTCGGGTCGAGAACGAGCATTTTCGAAAAGGCGGCTGAAGGAGGAGGTGGTCGATATGGTAGAATTTAAGCTGAGTGATCGCTGGAGAATGGTTGAGTCTCTTTGCTGTTCAAGCTCCGCGGCATCCAGACAGAGACGAGGCGAAGCCATGTCGAGCTAACGACAGGTGGAGCACACGTCAAACGAGAGGACGAAGCTCAAAGCCAGAGACGAACAGGGCCCGTAGCGGATCCGAAAATGCATGACACAACCTTGATGAAAATGGTTGATTATGACGGATCGATGACTGAGTGCTCGAAAGACGTAAGAAGATCGATGCAAAGCCAAGAGCGTAATCCACAAGCGACCCAGGCACCCATCTACCATCATAATTTCGATTTGGAGTTTTTAGCCGAATATTGATCATCAAAAGGCATTTATCTTGTTGCCTTGAAGCCACTTTTCTTGGAATGCCTGTAGACGGGCCTCAGGATATGCCGCAAGGAAGCTTGTTGACATGGTCGATGCCGTTCTGAGGTAGGCTCTTGACAAGCCCACCATATGCACGCTCCAAGAGGGCAAAATAGGTCACGTCAAGCAGACTGCAGATTTGCGGACGGTATGACATCGCTGCATTTATGTCAAAGACCAGGAATGACGGTTCGACCTTCTCTCTCATGACCAGAGCACTCCGTGTGAAAGGGAAAGATTTTCGACCAAAGTACCCCGACTATTTACCTAAGTGGTTTAGTAGTTATTGCCCTTGCACCGATCTGTGGCGCAAGTAAAGCCGGGGTTTTCCCGGAGGAAGCGCTCCGTACTAAGAATGGAATGCTGCCACCGTGAGGCTAAACATATTTATCCGCGGCTTACCTCGTTTGACACGGAGAGGCCTCCGTCTCGATGAAATTTGCCGGTCCGTAGCACTGTACTCTGACCTACAGTCTACTCCATCAGGTGGGATGCAGTGGAATAATCAATTGCTGGGCCAATGGCTGGGGAAAGGTACAATATTCATGTCTCATAAGAATCCAATCACTTCTTTTCGATGTACTGGGCGAAGATATCCCCAATGGCCTTTGCGCTCTGCTTGGGGATTCTCTTCTGGTTGTTCTCGTAGTCGACGTAGGTGACTCCGAAGCGCGTTTCATAGCCCTCCGCCCATTCGAAGTTACTGCAGACAGACGTTAACGTCTTCTCCTCCATACGGGCGCATGTCAAGATAACTTACTCCATCAAACTCCAAGCCATGTAGGCCCGCACGTTGACTCCATCCAGGGTGTACGCATCCGCCATGGCGTCAATGTAATCGCGGAAATACTGCGTCCGGAACTCATCCTCCAGGAGCTGGTCCAGCGGCAGATCGTTCTCGCCCTTCAGACTGGTGCCGTTCTCGGTGACGTAGATCTTGGGGTAATTGTAGCGCTCACTGAGCCACTTCAGCAGCTTGCGGAAGCCAATGGCCGACGGCCGCAGCCAGGGCGACTGCGTCTCGGGGCCAACCCATTCGCCGGCTTTGTTCTGCAGCAGGATCTCGAGGTTGCCCGCCACGTCCGTAGGATCCGGCTCGCCAGTTTTGGCCCGGATGTAGTTGGCGCAGTAGTGGTTCATGCCGTAGAAGTCGTTGCTACCGTGAACGAGCGCGAGGTCCTCTGGCGTCCACTGCGGCAGCCGCTTGCCCAGTTGCTTGACCATGCTGTCGGGGTACTTGCCGTGGTAGATGGGGTCGGCGAACCAGGAGATCGCAAACTCGATCTTGCGATCGCAGGCTTCGACGTCCGCGGGGTTCTCGGGGTCCCAGGGCTCAGCCCAGTCACCTGTACAGGGCTGATTAGAGGGGATGTAGAGCTTCGTCCGGGAACGGGGAACGCTTACCGTTCAGGGTGATGCCGATCTCCCCGCCGTCTTGCGCTTTGAACTCCTCGCGGTAGATCTTCACGGCCGCTCCGTGGGCAACCAGCAGGTTGTGGCCGACAATCCACGGCTCGGTTGATCCATCGCCCACGGGGCTCTTATTCCGGTCACTGGTTCTGCCGGGGGCGAACTGGCCGACGTTGTAGCCCAGGACACTGCTGCACCACGGCTCGTTAAATGTGATCCAGTACTTCACCTTGGATCCGAGGGCCTTGAACATGACGCGCGCATAGTGGGCGTAGTCTGCGACGAACTCCTCCTTGTTGAGCAAACCGCCGTAACGCTTGTCCAGCTCATCGGGGAGATCCCAGTGGAAGAGAGTGACGAGGGGCACGATGCCAGCATCGAGCAGGTCGTCGACGAATTTCACATAATGCTGCAGACCCTTCTCATTGATGGGATCGTTTCGACCGCCGAGGGGGATCACGCGGGACCTAGATGTTGCGACAGTCAGGACACGGAGCTCCGCTCCGGCCACGGGAGAGCGGACTTACCAGGAGATGGAGAAGCGGTACGCCTGAGCGCCGCATTGCTTTAACAAGGCAATGTCTTCGTGTGTGCGGTGGTAGGAGTCGCAGGCGACAACCCCACTGGCTCCTCCGGCAATTTTACCCGGGATCTTGCAAAAGGTGTCCCAGATGGAGGGACCACGGCCGTCCTCATCGACCGCACCTTCGATTTGGTAGCTAGACGGGCATTGTCAGTGCGATCTGACAGGAGTCCAGTCTGATTGGCGCGTACCTGGCCGTTGCGAAACCCCAGAGGAAGTCGGACGGAAGCTTAGACCCAGAACCCATGTCTGTTGACGATAATTGAAAATTCAAAAGCAATTGATCCTTAGGAATCGGGAGTGAAGAAACAACAAAGGCAAAAAGACGACGACTGGACTATGGGAAGGCCATTCTGGGGGAGATGTCAGGACCTTTAAATGAATGAATGCGACGCGGAGGACGCGGAGCGGAGGATGCGGCGACGGAAGAGAAGCGGGGATGAAACCGTTTCGATGGCTTCACTAGACCGTCCAACCACGGACCAGGCGACCCCAAGCGACCATCCATGGTGAAGGAGGCGATAAGACGAAGAATTGGAGTGGACACGACGACCAACAAAGACAACCAGAAACACGGCGGTTCGACGGGCCGTTTGCCGACATGCTCGTTTGGGCTTAGGGCAGGTTGTATACTTCTTCCTTCGCTCCTGTAAGGCTGTGCACAGCTGCGCCATCATGCAATGGATTCCATATCCTAGATTCTAATCTCATAAATAATGTTTGATGGAAAGAAATCACATGAGTAGAAGAAAAGAAGAAAAAGAAAAAAAGGCAGAGAAACTAGAATGCAACAACCAACGCCCCATCCTCATCTCGTAAAAGCCCAAGAATCAGCCGGACATGCGATATCGTAGCTCATGACATCTCCATCCCCTCCATTTCATCCCCTTCGACTTCTTCCGCCTCGTCTGCCAAGGGCCCGCCAAGCGCCAGCTGCGACCGTTTCGCGTCTCGGCCGCCCAGGGCCTCGGTTCCGAAGGCGCCCACCAGCTCCAGCTCCGGGCCAGCAACGATCCGGCCTTCCATGTCCACCACCTCGCAGAGTTCAATTAAGCTCTGGCGACTGAGCGTTTTGAACCCATCGGTCCGCACCACCCGGCCCCAGTGGCTGAGGCAGAACTGCGCCGCCCTACGCATCAGCCACTCTTCATTTGTCCGTCCCGCCCGCTCCCAGATGATGGCGGCATTCTCCACATCCAGCTCGCGACTCAGCCGGTTGACGCACAGCAGTCGGAGTTTCGGCATGTCGTAGAGGTTGGCCATCACAAGCATCCCCGCCACATCGATGATGCTCGAACAGTATTCCGGATGACCGGCAATACTGTCCGTGTACAGGTAATAGAGAAACGCACGGACAACGGAGTAAGGTTCCGGGATGTGCATCCTTTTGGAGTGGTATTCTGCCATTTGTGCAGCATATAGCCGTTTGAAATGCGGCCAACGAAGCTGGAGAATGATACGATGCACGTGGATCGGGGGAGAGGTGGTCGCATCCGTCGGCAGGAAGCCTGATTGGGGTGAAGCACCAGCCCCATCATCGTAGTCGGCCTCGCCCAGGTCATCAGGGTTGGCAGTAATGATGAAATCAGCCTCACTGCCGGACTCAGGAGGCTGATCGAAGACCGAGGATAGATCGGCACCAAGGCCAGACAGAAAAGAAAGTCCAGACTGTTCGGACACCGAGGCTCGGGTCGAATTAGGGGAAAGCGACGTCATGTCATTTCCGAGCAAACCATACTTTTCGAGGTCGATGCAAAGGACTTCGCTCATGTGGTTCTCATCGCCGCTGCCTGGTGTAGCCCCAGCATCCAGGCTACATCCTAAAAGCCAGGCTTTGGTACCGCTCTCATTGACTGTGCAATAATGCCATCGGAACCCTGGTTTGAAGATCTCCTGCCCATCTGCCAGCCGCTGCCAACGTAACGTATCCAGTTCCAAGGACGAAAGGTTGCATTCGTAGGTACGCACTGTCTCCGACGGAGTGATCAGATCAAGCAAGACCCCCGACGCATAGGCATGGAAATGCGTTCCTGAGAACAGTGCAGGGACGTGCGGGCCGGATGTGAAGCGTAGACAAGAGATGGCTCCGGGGGCTAGCGGCTTCCGACGGCTGGAGTTGCGAACCTGTACACTTCCGGAATTGGCCGCGTAGCTACCGGACCGGCCGGAGAGCGGTTGTGCTGGGCTACTAAACAATCCATCTGGACTATGAGTAATGGTGCTGGTTGTCGCAGGGGAGTCCACGGTACCTTGCGAAGCTGTCGTCCCAAGAGCGGGGAGCCCTTTGAGGTCTAACCACCAGATGTCTGTCGTCCGTTCCATATCGGGATCCAAACCACCAAAAATCCATAGACGACCACCCCAAACCCAAGCGGTATGGTCAAACCGAGCGGTGAATCTCCAGGTTCGGGACCACGTCCAGGTCTTCAAATCCAGGTAGGACAGGTCGTCGAGGATGATATTGTTTTCTCCGGTGACACCGCCCATGATGAAAAGCTTTTCATCATAGATCACGGCGGCATGACGGGCTCTACCTCGTGGAATGGGTCCTCGGATCTCGGGCTGTGTCCATGTCGAAGTCTGAATATCCAGGATGACGACGTCAGAGAGATATTCCCGATGTTCATTTTCTCCTCCGAATACGATGAGCTTGTTTCCTTGGTATAGGGTCGCAGTGTGGCCTATTGACTCGAACAGAGAATATTAGCTGGTGAATCATCCTACTAGTAGGGGAAATTCGGGGTGGAGAGACGAACCCATGCGTACACCGGGAATATCGCCATAATTATCGACCAATTCCCAGCGCAGAGTGCTGAGATTCAACCGCAGGACATGGTTGTACACTAGAACCCGAGAAGGGTGATGATCAGAGCCGGAACAACGGACACAAAGGGGAAGGAATGGCATACCTTCGTCTGTATACTGGTCGAACCCACCAAAGGCGTAGATTTGATCGTCGTTGCAATACGTCACCGAGGCATTGACCAAGCATGCAGGTACATGGCCCAACGCCTTTCGGATACTGGGACGGTAGTCCGTACTGCTACGGCGACCCCTGGATGGACTGGGAGGCATGAGGAAGGACTGCTGCGATTGCTGTAGACCAGCAGGGAGGGGAGTCATGGGGGTTGAGACTCTTGCGGTCCCGGCCCAAAAAGGTGGGTCTCCGTGGAACTGCGACAGGTTACTATTCCGGGCAGTAGTGGCGGTCGGAGTGGAGGGTGGCCGCGCCATCAGGGTTCAGGAGATCAGGATATGGAGTGACAATGACGGAATGTGATTTAAGAGCTGATTGAAGAAGCGATTACGTCGCCAACTCGGTCTGAATGAGAACAGAAAGAAAGAGAATGAAACGAGGCAAAAAAAAAAAGGAACCCAAAATGGATGACCGATCGGCGCCTTACCCAAAAAGGAATGGGCGTCTGTCAGGTGGCAACTAGTCCGAATGGGGTTAGTGCGGGCGTACCTCCAGTAACGGTTGCCATGGGAGAAGGAACTATACGCAGTATTTATCCCTCCAGTTCTTCGTCTTCTCTCACTCCTTTCTCCTTTTCTCTCCTGCATCTCTCTCATCCACCTCCATTAGCTCTTTATATACTTTTTTTCGTGCATTCTATACTGCGGCTGCTGTCTTCCCTCCGCCGTCCACAGCTTCTCTACATCCTTGGTCTGGTTTACCGGATGATAAGATCGGCTTGCCCGGTTGCGATCTAAAAGTCTCCTTTCGCCTCGTTTTGCCGTTGATTTTTCATCATTCGCAAAGCATAGTCACATAAAGAAACATGGCTACTCCCACAGTATCAACGCCCGTCAAGACCCATACGGGGATCTTCTCGACCAAGACCGCCGGAGGTCGGTTGCCTCTGACTCCCTCTCCCCGCGGACGGACAGGGAGCATGGCGTCCAACAACTCCTCTCCGTTTACTCCTCCTCGTCAGCCAGAAGGTTCCAAGGAATCTCACCGCTCGGTGTACGGTGGAAACCTTTCGTCACACTTCGCTAAGTCCATGGCCCGATCGTCCCGCGCCTACCGCGAGTCTCCCAAGTCCAATATTGCTCGGACCCGCAAGTCTCCTAAGCATCTCGAGCTCGGTGTTTCAGACTGGTCGTTGACCGGTACTGGGCCCTCGTCTACACAGTCTCCGCCCAAAGAACGAGTCCGCAAAGAAGTGACCACTCGTACCAGATCGGGCAAGACGACTGTTCGTATTTCACACAACGCTGCGGACCGCTTCATTCCCAACCGTGCAGCCAGCGAAGGTTTGAACACTGCGGGTGCCGCAAAGCCAGAGGAGAACCAGCGTCCCAAGACCAGTGGCAACGAGGGATCGTCTGTCCTTGCGAATGCAGCGAGCGCTTTTGACATTGGTAGCCGGGGATCCGACGAAGACCTCACCGCTGCCCTTGAGAACCTCGGTCTGGATGACAATGAACCTTCGACTTCCTACACCAAGCCTGCACCGGATGCAGTCGCTTATGAGTCTTCGTTGGCTGATGCCTGTGGTGTTAATTTGAAGACTCGCATTCTTGCGTTCAAGCCTCCGCCTCCGGAGTCGTCCAAGCCAATTGACCTGCGGGCTCAATACAACCGTCCGCTGAAGCCGTCAAAAGCACCTGGTTCTCAGTTCCGTCGTCGCGTGCAAACCTCGCCGGAACGTGTGCTAGATGCCCCGGATCTCGTCGACGATTACTATCTGAATCTACTCGACTGGAGCTCCGGAAATCAGGTGGCTATTGGTCTGGAACGCAGTGTTTTCGTCTGGTCGGCAGACACGGGATCAGTCAACCGACTCTTGGAGACTTCCCCCGATACCTACATCAGCAGCGTGAAATGGAGCGGCGACGGGGCCTACGTTGGCGTTGGCCTGGGAACTGGTGAAGTTCAGATTTGGGATGTGGAAGAAGGCACCAAGCTTCGAAGCATGTTTGGACATGACTCTCGGGTGGGTGTTATGGGCTGGTCCAAGCATATCTTGTCTACCGGCGCTCGCAGTGGTCTTGTATTCAACCACGATGTCCGTGTTGCGCAGCACAAGGTTGCGGAGCTCGTCTCCCACACGTCTGAAGTCTGTGGGCTGGAGTGGAGACCGGATGGAGCCCAGCTGGCTACTGGTGGCAACGACAACTTGGTCAACATCTGGGATGCTCGGTCTCTGAGTGCGCCCAAGTTCACCAAGACCAACCACCGTGCTGCCGTTAAGGCCCTCAGCTGGTGTCCCTGGCAGCTGAACCTGCTGGCTACGGGTGGAGGATCGTACGATCGCCACATTCACTTCTGGAACACGACTACGGGCGCGCGGACGAACAGCATTGATACAGGATCCCAAGTGACGAGTCTGCGGTGGAGCAACCACTACCGTGAGATTGTCAGCTCTAGTGGTTTCCCCGACAACTCTCTGAGCATTTGGAGTTACCCGACCCTAGTTCGCAACGTGGAGATTCCCGCACACGAGACTCGTGTGTTGCACAGCTGCCTGAGCCCGGATGGTCAGATTCTGGCCACCGCTGCCGCTGATGAGAGCTTGAAGTTCTGGAAGATCTTTGAGCGCAAGCCCGGCACCACCGCGTCCGCATCCCGCGAGGGAGGCGTGGGAAGCAAAGGCCAGATGTCCAAGTCCATGACGATTCGGTGAATTTGAGCTCTGGGATCTGTCCTGACGGAGAGTTTTGGCTTCAGTCGCATTTATTGGATACCTATGGCATTGCAGGTTATTCTGGCGTCTACCTGAGTTTTCTACATGGAGTTTGAGCACGGATGGCGTTGTCGTTTGGGTGATTTGAGTAATACAATAGTTTTGAGATTGATGTATAGAGTATGAGATTGGTATTGAGTATCCTGCGCTGCGGTAATGGCTTAATGGGTGGAATGATCGAAGATCGTACTCCAGAGTAAATCGACGAAGATAAACTCAAAAGGGCGAGATGGCGCTAGTGAGGATGCGGGAAGCGGGTGACTAAGCAAGGCGGGAAGGGAAACGGATTTCGCCCAGAGAGAGCGACTTTCACCTCAACCAACTCCCTCGGCCAACGCCTTTCCATCCACCCCAGCCTCATCTCGCCGTCCGCTCTTTCGTTTCCTCTCAATCTCCCGATTTGACGACTAACGGTCCCGCGGAGATTCCCTCTACACGAATCCAGTGGATATCAGCAGTGACGGGAAAGTGACCATCAAAGGTTGAAGGTCGCATGAGCCCGTGGCAACCGACTGCTGCGACGGATAAGCTGGAGACGCTCAACTGCCTGTCTTGTTAGACTGGTCAGGTTTTCAGATCAGCTCCTTCGTTAGCAAGAACTCAGTTCTTCCATCCTCTGTGACGCCATCACACGCCTTTACGAGTCCGGAACTCCGCAAGCATGTCGAATCAGCAAGTGGTGAGTGATTTCAAAGCAATAACAGCCAGCCCTCCCTTGCCTGGACAAGAAGATGAGAGGCATCTGAGTGATGCGGAAGTTCACTGGTCGTCATATTCCGAATTAACTCTGTCTTGACCATCGCTTGTCGGAATGAAGGCTGACACCAAATGCAATGACAGGGCGCAGTGTTTGAACGGGTGATCCAGGAAGTCTGCGATGCATCGCAGGTGGATTTCGAAGAGAGTGGAGTAGACCAACAGACGCTGCTTGATCTGCGCAAGGTAAGAGACAAGAGACCTCCCTTCAAGAGAACCCAAGGGGGGGAGGCTTGGAAGGGGACGAAGGGCGATACCGGCCATAAAGCGGGGGTGAGTTGCGGGAGGCGGCACTGCCTCTGGGGGACCGCCTGCTTTTGAGTGACCTTTATAGCCGCTGGCCGCCCGTACCCGCTCTAGTCACCTGCCAAGCCCTCACCACCTCCTCCTCTTCACATCCATCCATTATACATCACACATCATACATCATACATACATCTACCTATGTACTAACTAAATCCCCCATCAGAGCTGGCAGAAAAAACTCTCCTCCCTGGGCGTCGCCCATTTCCCCTGGGATCCTCCACCTCCCCAACCTACTCCTCAGCAGAACCAACCCCAACCTCAGATCCTCCCGCCTTCTGCGACCGTTCCCTCTAATGCGCCTCGACCAACTCCCTCCCCTCACACTCAACAGCCTCCTCAGCAACAACACCATCAACAGCCTCCCCTCCATCAACAGCAACAACATCATCATCAACATAATGCTCCTCCCCATCAGCCGATCCCGCAGTCAATGGCCTCCACCGTCCCGCCTTTGCAAGCCCCGACGGCCGTTGGCGCCCCCAACCCCATGGGACAGGCCCCTCACATCAAAACCGAGCCGGGCATCAATGGCCAGTCGCTGCCTCCAAATCACATGATGCCTGGAAACGCGCCCAATCCTCAGTCCGCACGCGAGCGCGCTGCCAACATGCTTCATCAGCGATACGGTGCGGCAGCCGCCAACTCGGTCAGTCAGCTTCAGGCCCAGTCGCAAGCGGCGATGACCATGCCCGGTCAGCAGCGTCCGCAGAACGCTCTGCCTCCCATGGCGAACGGTCAGCACCCGCAGATCAAGCAGGAACACGGCTATGCTTCCGTCCCCCAGCCTCACATGAACAACACGCAAACGGACGGCGCTGCCGATGATGCCTTGTCCGAATGGAAGGCGGAAGTGACACGCAGACGTGAAGCCGCCGAACGTCAGGGCGGAGAAGCCGACCGAACTCTTCGGGAGCATCTGACACAGCGCATGCTCCAATACGAAGGAGGCGGCCTTCTTGTCCCTCTCGAAGAACGCCAGAGCTCGTCGCGAGTGTCGTCTTCGGTATCCCGCATGCCCAAGGCTCAGGTCGATGGTCCCGGCGGGGATGATGACAAGGACGAAGATGATGAAGACGCCATCAATTCCGATCTCGATGACCCCGATGATCTGGTTGCAGAAGACCACGACGCCGAAGACGCCGTCGGCCAAGTCATGCTTTGCACATATGACAAGGTCGCGCGGGTGAAGAACAAGTGGAAGTGCACTTTGAAGGATGGAATTCTCACGACGGGAGGTAAAGAGTAAGTCATCTCTCATTACAACTCGGTTTAGGAACGTGCACTAACGGCAACAGATATGTCTTCCACAAGGGCCAGGGCGAGTTCGAGTGGTAGATACTCCAGCGTCTTTCGGAGACGCCTGCCATGCGGTTCTTGTTTACATTCTACCCCTCCAACCAGACCTTTGACCCCCTGTAAAAAGTCTAGTTCCATATGCGAGAACACCCCATCGGGGCTCTGAATTCCCGGCTGCAAAGCGGAACCCCTTATCGACGACTTGTTTCACGAATCCCCCGCACGCACGTCTATGACGAAGGACTTTGACTTGGTTTTTTATCTTCAATGCGGTCTCCGATTTCCCAGTTTGGATGCACATGGCGCTTACGCAGGGGACGGCATTATCTTTTGTGGTGTACTAGAATAATTATGAATGAAATGGGGTTTTGAACGATAGTACTTTCTAGATGAGTACCTAGTCTGGTATTCGAATGGTGCATCTATTTACGAGAAATTGAACGTAGGTCCCTCAAGTGATAGAAATGTAACAGTCAAACTTTTCTTTGTGCCATAAAACCTAAGAGAAAAGAAACGAGACAACTCTGGGAATCAAAACAAGAAAACATGTTCTATAAGCAGACAAGACCCAACGCATGAAACCAAAAAGAACTTGACTCCCAGGTTCACCAAAACACCAAGGGCAGAAAAACACAGCAGTAAGCAAGCAAGCAAGCAAGAATCAAAAACAAAAGCCGGTCTCTCACGTATCTACAGATTGACGCCAATGAACCACCGATGGGCCTCTCTTCCTTTTCTTTTTGTAGTCTCAACCAATGGGAAGAAATCCAACAATCGCCGTTCAGAGCAAGAAAGGGACATACCAACATCATCCGAACAGATGCCTAGAAGGTGAGCGTCTGGTTCGTTGACCCGTTGCCACCATGGAAGGCGACAAGACTCGGACAATATGTATTAAGGAGAAGGGGAAAGAAAAAAGGGACAAACGCAAACCAGATCTGCCTTCCCAAAGACACACCAAAATAACGCACGGAACGACGAAAAAGATAGCAAGGGCCGAAGCAATTCATACCAATAAGCGTACCAGGTCTTGGATGACAAGTCACTTGTGAGGACTTCCCAAAGGACATATCTATTGCCAGGTCGAATCACGGTCGTCCAAGCACCGCGATTGACCGGATGATCATACCCAATTCAACTCCAAACCTCCAAACCCGTCATTAAATCGTAGGTCGATGAGGGTAGTGTAACAAACAGGTCATCGAGTAAATTATGTGGATAACGAAAGATAACGTGTTGTGTATCCTCGGGGGCGGCGCTCTTATAAGAGGCCTTCTTCGCCGATGCCAGGGAGGCCAGCCCCAGCAACGTTGATGTTCTGACCCTGCATGACACCCCCGCCGAACTGGAGGTTGCGACCGGCAGCCAGTTGGAACTCGGGATTGCAGGGTGGAGAATGCGACTTGTGGTACTTCAGACCGTTAAGGTTCTTGTAACGCTTACCACAGACTTCGCAGCGGTAAGGCTTCTCCTTCTCCATGCCGAGGGTACCAGGATACGGGGTCGACGTTTCCGGGTTAACAATCGAGAAGGTACCGTCGGCGTTGTCATGCAGCTGTTGATTGTTGTGGCCGTGCTAGGAGATAGTTAGGCGTGGACAAACAATAAAACAAAAGTAGACGACACTTACAGCTTTGTGGTACTTCAGACCATTCTGGTTCTTGTACGCCTTTTCGCAGCCGATGACTGGACAACGGAACGGTTTCGGTTCTTCGTTGGGCAGCAAGGCGGTGGTATCAGGAACGCCGGCCAACAGCTGCTGCTCCCGTATGCGCCGAGCGATCTCACTGTTAGGGCCGTACTGCGCGCCACTGAGCTTGAAGTGCGCATTGGGGGTATTGATGCCGCCAGTTGGGCTAAACAGGCGTTTGGCTGGTTCATCAATGCAAAGATCCACCATGTCATTATTGGTGGGGAATCGATTGAACTGCGACTGGGGTTGCATCATAGGGTTCTGCATCGACAGGTCCCCGAACCCAAGCATACTTTCGTCGAGTTCGGCCGGGGTTCCAGGGGCGGAGGAATCGGGAGTGCTGCGGAACTGAGAGGTCTGTAGAGGGTTGGCCATCAAAGTAGGCGTGTTCACGGAGGAGACAGTAGGGTTATTGTGCAGGGAGAGAGGGCGGCCGGAACCCACGGGTGTACCCGGCTGAGAACCCTTGAAGCCTTGATTGCTTGACAGCATCGAAAGATTCAAGTGCGGCGTCCGCTGATTAGAGTTACCAAACGGAGCCTGGCTTCCTTCGCGAGACTGAGGAGAGAACAGCTGCGAAGAGGCATCATTATCTCCCATTGGCTCGTCCAGCTCCATATCGTCCATCGTGTCAATGTCAACGTGTTGAGGGGTTTGAACGCTCTGGTTCAGCTTGCGCTGCATATCGATCGCCCGGTCAGGCTGCATTCCACGGGCTTGGTTGTTGTTCTGCTGGCTTTGCTGTTGCGCCATAGCGGCCGCCATCGCTGCGCGAGCATCAGCTTGGCTGGGACGATGGCCCTGATGGGGAGACTTGGTGGCGTGGGCTTCTTCGTAGTGTTGCAGGAGATCGTGGAGCGTCGGCAGAGTGACCCCACAGCAGGAGAAGTCACGCATGAAATTCGCTTCCAGCTTAGGTAGATACGAGGATGAGTGGAAAGAAGGCGATTGAAATGTGGTGAAGGGAGATGTGCCGGCCATGATGATGCTAGCAGGCACAGTTAGTGTCCATTCGCGATGGTCGGAAGGATCGCCCCGCGCAATCGGGAACAACAGCAGCGCTTAAGGATTTGAAAAACAACTTACTCGTCTCGTATCCAGCTGCCGACAGAAATACCGCCCCAACTCATCCCACCAACTAAACTTCCCGCGAGGGATTCTCGCCGTTGCTTATCGCGGTTGGACCCGGACACGGAGATGGGTTTTGTCCCGCTTCCCCATTGTGCGGTAGCTGCGCCGATGGAATCCTTTCGGGGAGGGGGAGCTTTGAACATATTGATAGCCGCGCCGTTGGCATGAGAAACACTCCCTGACCGTTCGCCTGCTTTTTGTAGGGCCGAGGTCAGGTTGGAAGCCTGCTGGCCCGGGGGCGAGACAGAGCTCTGACGAGTGGCGATGTCGATCGGTGCCGCGGTGCCGTTCATGGTGTCAGCGGCGAAGTATAATATAGACAGAGAGTATGTGCGAAAGTCGGTCACTCGTCCCCAAACAGAGGGCGAAGAGTGTCGAGATCAGGTAGAGCAAAGGAGCGTCGCGGAAGTCTGATGAAGTTCGAGGTCACGAAGACAGAGACCTTTTCCTGATCCGGGGCGACAATACCGCCAAACCCGAGGGTATGGTAACGGGGGTGGTTGTGTCCCGGGCGAATGCGCGATGAGGGGGGGACACCAGAGAAGGAGAGCTGGTGAAGAAGAGGAGAGGAGAGAGTCGGATCTAAGGGCTATAGCATGAAGGAGAGGACGCCTCGACAGTGAGGTGTAGTTGTGGGCGGGATCGCACAGCGTGCACCCTCGGATGTTGTCCCGCTTTGGCTGCGGAACCGTGACGGATTCGGGAAAAGTGGCGGGAGATAATACAGTGGAGGATGGCAGTCAAGCAAGGATCACCAGGTGGTAACAGATGCAGGAAAAGAGCGAGAGAGATGCGATAATAGGGGATGATGATGGATCCAGTGGGATGGATACCCGGGGGGTGAGGGGGATAAGAAGAGGAAGAGGAAGAAGTTTAGGGACACGAGAGGAGAACGATGGATGATGAGGCAACTGGCAGCTCCCGCCGTAATTACGCGGCTTGGTGTAAGATTACGATGTAATTCACGGTAATGGCGGTCCGCGGGCGGGAACCGCGTAAGGACGATGTAATGGTCTGAAACGACATGACTAATGGGAACTCCTGGATCCATCATGATGACATGACTTTCTCCGTCAACGACATGCTGAAATAATACTATAGTCCGTCACGAAAGATGGAGATGATGGTTATCTTTCTTTCTACTGTACTCTCCCGGAGTACAACCGGCTGTTTCTCCGTCGAATGGTGGACTCGGCTTTCACGGATCGGGAGCGCTGGAAGCGGTGGGATGGATGGAGACCGGTTGCAGTCTGCCTGGTCGGTTTACCAGAATAGGTAGCTGACCCTATGGAGCCCCAACTTACGTTAGTCCCAAGTCGTTAGGGCGTGGCTGTCACTGTACAGTACTACTAAGTTCAGTTAGGTACTGTGACATGCTTGCATCCTGTATGCGTAACGATGGTCGTCTCAGTAGAATGGATGTACAGAGTACATTAGACGTTCTCATTCTTTGATGAATATTGTCGAGAACCATTCACTCTTCCTGGACTCGATCGGATATGGTCTCTCCCGGTCGAACAGATGCGCAAATATCCACCCGTCCACATGTTTCTGAGACAAAACCGACACTCTAGAAACAAAACAATCCTTCCATCGGGAGAGATTAGCATGTGAACGCGTCTCCGACCATCTCTCAAAACCCAAGAAGGACTATATCAGACTTCAAGATCTCCACTAAACCATAGATGCAATGTACTCCCGTGGCTTTGATCTTCAGGAACTCCCTCGGCTTGACCATGCTTGAGCGGATGTCTGCAGGACTGTAAACCCAAATATCCACGCCGGTTAAATCTATCCTTCTTCCAAGACAAAATCTATACCCAGCGGATATGCCCTTGAGAACAGAACGGAGGCTAATCAAGGCGATAAGCTACATTCCGTACGCTTATCAATCATGAGTCTACCCCGCAGTGATCACATCGCCAACTGCATTGTCGTGGCGCCATCCGTATGGTAGGCCGAATTGGCGGTCTGCAGGAATCAGCCGAGATTGTCTATCCGTTGGCATTGAGTATCTACTCCATGCTTCTTCCATGACGATTCGAACTGTCTGGCGAGACCTTCATCTCCCCGTAGGGGTCTGGGATTAAATTACGACTGATTCCGCTACAAAGTTGGCGCCGTGTCTAACTTTAAAACCGACCACACGAGGCCCAAGCCCATCTCCAGATTGATGTCATCGATCATCAATCGTCGCAATTTCCACGATGTTTTGCCGATGATGACTGTCCACAGCAATGACCATCAGGAACATCGTCGGACAATACGGGCGTGACAAGTGTTTTCTTTTTCTGTTGTTTCCCGGGTGGCAACCCCCTGAAGACTCCCGACCAGGAAAGCCCAGCCATTGCGACAACATGTGCGTTTCAGGGGGCTGGGCAAATGACACTTGTGCATCTCTCGAGTAAGGAGATGTGGAGAGGCGCCACTTTGGCGTCGCCTATGGAGTAAACACAGACTACAATGCGGTCTTCTGATACTGCTCGGCACGTAGATGGCTACTACGGAGTATCCCCATAGATTGCTGGGTTCTACTAGTAGTACGTGTACTCCGTACTATTGCTCCAACAATACAGCCAATGAGATGGCGGAACACAGATCTGAGCTGTGATATGTTCGTCCAACCAACCATGCAGGGGCCAAAAGATGTCAATCTGCATTGTGATACCCCAGTTTCTTTGAACAACAATGAGAAGTGTTAGATATGTGATAGATGTGCATTTCCAGCAGCAACGCCTGTGCGTGCATGAAGGAGCTGTGGATATATCAGATCATGCGGTGGCAGACGATCTGTCTACTAATACTCTGTAGTATCCCTCTCTCCAAAGACCCCCAAAACAAAGCAAGCGCCGGAGGAGCTATCCGGGAGTCTTGTGATCGGACGCCAAGATTCCCATACCGTGAATTGACGATCGCCATTGGCTTTGTCTAGCCGCAGATCGGCAAGGGCCGTCGACATCTGTACGGTCGTTGAGGGATCACGGGGTGTCCAAAATCAATAGACGTTCGTTCGGGCATCAGAAAAAGGGGGCGTGGTTGTAAGTAGTTACGGAGGACATGGCTGGCACCCAGAAATTGAGGCCGTGGAGTGGGTGGAGACGGCGACAATAATGGGTCGGTCTTGGCAAGGCGCCCTTTCCATTCGTTGAGTTCTTCTAGAAAAGCGCGAGAGCCGAATCGAAGCCCGCCGAGTGGGGTCGCTCCACCGCTGTACGGTAATGGTATCCGTACGGTACGCGCTGTATCCCGTTTCCCCGTATGATACCGATTCCGGGAAGATTACCGCGTCGAACGAAAGCAGCTGACGTTCGTAGACATCATCGCATCTGAGCATGCCGATCTAAACCTTAGATCCTACTACATGCCGCCGCCACCGTCGGTAGTCCGCCTGGCGCATGAACTCATAGGAGAATCTACTATGTAGCCTTAGTTCATAACATGTCAGTTATATTGAACTCATTTGGACTTCATTCGAGCCTGACGAGTCTAATATGGAGTCCTCGTCCCATCAAGTTGTATCAATTGGGAGGTGGAAGTATGACCAAAGTGGCAAAACCAGAGAACAGAAGTGTGGATCTTCATATCTTTCTAGACTCCTAAGATCCTCTGTTCTTACAAATATCCCAGTTGGGTCTACTTGAGAAGGCTAATCGGTACTAGGTAGTGTCCGGTTATGAAAGAATATGTTGTTGCTTCTCACAGAAGTATAGTATGGATTCCGGACCTGAGCTAGTTTAACCTCGAGTGACGTCTTAGCCTTTACTATACATATTAATGTCAGGGAATACACTCCCACGTCAAAAGCCTCCATAGATCGCCCCAGACACCCGAATTTACGACAAATATATCGGCATGAATAGCACCTTCACACACAATCCCATCATCCATCTACGAAGCAGAAACGGATAGAAAATAGGCAAGTCACATATAATCTTAGTACAATTGTTTCAATTCAGTCGAACTCTCCCAACAGGGGATGGTGACAAGCGGAGAAGATATAGATACCCACTAGACTCTATTCAAAGCACGCATCCTGGTATAGAACAGTCCCTTAACCCGTAATCAGGGTCACTAGCAGACTCGGTAGAGGTTTCCCTCCTGTAGAAAAAGACAAGAACTCCAAGAGTCCCAGTTATATATCTGGCCTCTGCCATCATGGACATGCTTGTACTATCATCAGTGGGTAGAGGCGTCCAACACTCGGTGAACACATGATGACAACTTCATCAATGGGTGACGCGATGGAGTCTGACTCAGGACCAAAGCAGAGTACTATGAAGAGCACAGAGGCAGAAAGATGACAATTTGGGAGCTGCCTACAATTTTCCACGAGAAAACGATGTAAGGAGAATGTAAATTCGAGTACAATAACTCATCCCACCTGGAAGGTAGGTGATGTGTGGTTGATATACCCGGACTGCTCGTGTGCCTGGCCTGACGCTCTCCAGCTGCATCTCTGGGCGTGGATCTTTATGCCACCCCATGACAAACTCCACGAGGACACTGTTGAAAGGTTTGGCCCGGATAGAGCTGAATTCGGGCTGACCCACTGGTGAAGGTGCTAGCGATGGTCCGCACAATCCCTAAGCTAAGCTGTGGGCCGAACTTCCTCGTACAATCGACTTTACTAGAACCTGTACAAGCCGATATTAATGCAACTGGAGGATGTGCAACATGCTCAATATACAAAACTGAGATATATTTGATGTTATTGTTGGACGGTGAGTAGCATGTCATACTGGCGGTGACAGAGTTTGAGGATCGACACGAGGTAGATTGCAATCGCCTTGGAGATGGAGCATATCCACCGCTGCTATTCTGATCTAGGGTCTATTAAGGTTGCCATCATCCACTCATCTAGATCGGCAGATAACCCTTCACCCTAATTTCGAACAGACAAACCTTCACCATCATGTTTACCCAGACCGGAGGTGATCTAGAGTTAGGGTTCGCGTGGACAGCGCGCATATCTATACCCGACGGTTCACCACATCTTCTACTCGGTACTTGCTGATGGACACACGAGGGACCCTGACGATCGTCTTCTTTCGAGTATGCAGGTTCCACTTGCGCGGTAATAGCTCGCCATGATTCGGTCAATACAGGGCAAACTGTTGATCGATCAAGATTGACTCTTTCCCCACCCGCATATAGCGCGATGAAGATGATTTCAAATTTGCATCTCAACCCCAACAAAAGGATGAGTCTTGGTGACTACGAGTCATGTCTGGATAGTCATGGCAGCGTGTCAATAGCACAAATCTATCTGTTTTGGCGCAGAGAAAGATACATCTGTTGTAGAAAGCCTCCATGTAGGATAGTACTGCATGCTGACTATTGCTGAGGCCTGACGAGAGCAAGCAGACGATGGGGAAGAGGACAGTATCAAAGTCAGGAGACAGTGGAGCAATGGAGTCTGTACGCTGTCGATTCTCCTTGTTTAGTCACTCCTATCGTGATAATGGAGTGCGCTTGACTAAGGGTCCACCACATCCAGATATAAAAGGCTGCCTCCTCCGGGTCAAGTCGATTCTCAACCAAATCATTCCTTCATTCATTCCTTACTGCTGCTACTCTCCGGTTCATTGAACCCAGTCACTCTTTCAGTCACCTATCCAACCTATTCCAACCCATTACGTTCCTTTCTTCCGCTTAATCTCCAACCTTTGAGTACGTCCTCTCAGATGGATATTGAATGAAGCTAACAACAACAGCCACCATCAAAATGCGTTTCGACATTGCTGCCACTGCCACCACCCTCCTCGCGGCCGTTGCCTCCGCCTCCCCGGCCGCTGTCCACCAGACCCGCGACACCGACCTCAGCCAGGTCCCCGTCATGAGCCTCGTCAAGGCCCTGGTGCACAAGCTGCCCGTCGCTGCCGACGTGTCCCAGCTAAACCCCCAGTCCGGCAATGTGGGCGTGGGCGTCAGCGCTGATCTGAGCAAGATCCCTATGCTCGGCTCTCTGCCTCCGTTTGACCGTACCATCACTGTGAACGTCAGTGTTGGTGGTCTGTCTGGTCTGCTGCCTTCTAGCTATTGATTTGAGGATGGCTTGCAGAGATAATGTAATATAATATGTACTTCATATGGGTGTAATGCCTAGGCCCGCAGATATTTACTTGATAATCTAGAAGTTGTGAAAGGCTTTGAAGTGATAATATGATAGGAAGCATTGTTAGGATATATTTTGTTGTCTACTTCGGTCAAGAATCTTCTATGACAATACTACAACATTCCAAGTTGTCATACTAAATACTGACATGGAACCATGAAATAAGCAGAAACTCTCTGTCGTGTAGAAGCATGGAGTAATACCTAGGTAGTACTGATACTATCCCAATGTAGAAAACAAACCTTGGCATGTTTGTCCGCCCTGACCACCCAAAAGCTTCACTCTCACCACCACTACAACCACAACCACAACCGCAAATCCAACCCAACCTCACCATGTTAAAACCCACAATACGCCCGCGGAGCCTCGCACTCCCACTCAATCTCAATCTCCCTCTCCGAACCTCCCCCCCAACCCGCCTCCATTCCACCTCCTCCGTCTCCCCCAATGAACTCTCCCACTTTAGCGCCCTCGCCAGCAGCTGGTGGGATCCCATGGGCCCCTCGCGCGTCCTGCACCTGATGAACCCGCTCCGCCACGACTTCATCGCAACCTGTCTGGCCGAAGGCCCTCCCCGTCCTCTCCCGCCGGACCCGGCCAGCAACAAAAACAACCTCCGCTACCTCGACGTCGGCTGCGGCGGCGGCATCTTCGCCGAGTCGCTCGCCCGCACCATCCCCTCCGCCAACACGCCCAACACACCCGCCACCGCGACGCGCGCCGCACACATCACCGCCATCGATCCCACGCCGACGCTCATCCGCATCGCCAAGGACCACGCGCGCGCAGACCCGAAGGTCGCGGCGCACCTGCGCGCCGGGCGCTTCGAGTACCGCAACTGCACGCTCGAGACGCTCGTTGCCGAAGCGGAGGCCTCTGAAAGCGGAGCCGGCGCCGGCGCCGCGTACGACGTCGTCACGCTGTTCGAAGTCCTAGAGCATATAGATAGCAACGCCAGCTCGTCGCCGCTGCGCTTCCTGACGGATTGTCTACGGCTGGTGCGCCCCGGCGGCTGGCTGGTCGGATCGACCATCGCGCGCAGCGTGCCCTCGTTCCTGGTGAACCAGGTGATTGCCGAGGCGCCGTGGCCGGTCGGCGTGGTGCCGCGCGGCACGCACGAGTGGAGCAAGTTTGTGAACCCGGCGGAGCTGGAGGGGTGGGTGCAGGAGGGGTTGATGCGGGTTGCGGATGGGAAGGCGGCGCGGGCGGGGGGTGAGGCGCTGCGGGGGATGCGCTGGAAGTGCGCGGGCGTGATGTATTTTCCTGGGTTGGGGTGGAGGATTGTGTCTGGGAGTGAGGAGTGGGGGAATTATTTCTGGGCTGTGCGGAGGGGCGAGTAGTAGATTGATGTACTGTACTGTATACTAGGGACTGGACTGGATAGATGTATATTAGAATAGACTTAGTTCGTGATAACTACCGCCGCTTCTTCTTCCCCTTCTTGGTCGACGGCTCCGGCACGCTGACCGTCCCCTGGACGATGTCCTCGCTCTGTCCCTTCAGCCGCTCTGACCCGCTGATGAAGAAGGTCAGATCGCGGTTCTGCTCCGTCAGGTCGGCGTTGGCGACGCGCAGCGTCTCGACCTCGCTGGATAGATGCTCAATGCGCTTCATCAGGCTCTCGTTCATGGTTTTTTCCTCGCGCCACTCCTTCTCCAGCTTGCGCGCCATGCTCTCAGCTTTGTCTGCGCGCTTCTCCGCGCGGAGCTTGTCGCGCTCGAGACCCGGCACGGTCTCGCCGACGAGCCGGTCGTACTGCGTCTGCAGCGCGCGCAGAGACTCGTCCGCCCGCTCGGCCGCCTCTTGCGCCGCCGCCGCCGCGGCGCTCGCCTGCGACGCCTTGTCGACGGCGCGCTCGACCACCTCCTCAAAGTACGCGCGCTGGCTCTCCAACTGGCTGGTCAGCAGGTGCGTGTACTCGACGCTGATATTCTCGAGCTTCTCGCGGGGCACGGCGTCGGACCAGTCGGGCGGGTCGAGCGCGCTGTGGTCGGCGGCCGGCAGCTCGACCAGCTTGCCGTCGGATTTGCTCTGGATGATGCGGTGCACGTAGGCATCGCCGACGTAGTCCCACACGCGCTGCGAGGCGAGGTCCATCGCGAACGCGTGCGCCGTGTCCTTGTAGTGCGCGAATGCGTGCGCCCCATCGTACCGCCCGCAGCCGACGTGCCCGCAGATCAGACACACCCACAGGTTGACGTCCGAGTGGCACACGTTGCATTCGGCGGGCGGCTGCTCCGCGTCGTCACCGGACGGCCCCGCGCTCTGGCTCGTCTTGCGCAGGTCGTCCTGCGTGTACCGGCACACCGGACACCCGCTGCCTTTCCACTTCTGCAGACACGTGCAGTGGAAGACGTGCTGGCAGATGATCGTCAGCAGCCCTGTCGTCTCGTCCATGCGCTCCAGGCACACGGGACACGTGGGCAGCTCGATGAGCGCCGGGGTGCGTGGCGCCAGCGGCCGGGTGGAAAGCGTCGCGGACGGTATGGGTTGGCCAGAAGTGGTGGCCGTTGTCGCGGGAGGCTGCGACTCGGGATCGACGGCTTGTATTTCGACTGTCTTCACAAAGACGACGTGACACGTTTCAGGCTGTACCAGTTAGCATCGATCACACCCGATCCATACGAAAGGTAACAAACCTCCATGCTGTTAAACACCTTCCCATTCCACTCCTTCTGCCACTCGCGCGCCTTCTTTCCGCTGCGAAACTTCATCAAAACCATGTATCGATTGGCGCGCGCGGTCCGGATCATGCGAAAATGGCTCACGTCATCTCTGGTCCCCTCGCCGACAAACCCCAAAAAGTCGCTCGGCGACATATACGACGGCACAGCCAGAATACATAGCGTTGTGCAGTCATCGTCTGGATGGACCACCTCCCGTGGCGGCGTCGACGACGCACTCCCCAAATCATCGTAGGACTGACGCGCCGCGGCGGCCGCGGAGCCCTTCAACTCCGGGGGATAGTCCTCCTTGACTAAGTAAGGAGTCTCGTGGACATCGCGATACAGATGGACGATGCCCCAGACGCTGTCGGAGGACTGCTCGTCGAGCGGGATGTAATGGCCCTTGGTGCGGAGGCCGCCGAGAATGTCGGTGCCGATGCCGGTGGCGATGGGGTTGTCGGGGAGATCTCTGCGGTCGGGGCGCTTCGTCGTGGGAATTTCCTGTGCCGTGGGGATCATATCAATGCACCCGATGGAGACTTTGTCCAGCCGGAGGTCGCTCTCGAGGTCGGATGCGGGGGTGGAGGATGTAGTGTAGAGAGGGCACGGGCTGGTGTTGTCGGTGTTGCGAGAATGGGACGACGCAGAAGAGCATCGAGAGGGTTCGTTGGAATGACGAGGACCGCGACCAGACGGTGCTGAAGCCCGCGGTCGCTTCTGGAAAGGAAGAAGAGCTTCGCAGGCCGAGTCAAACGCCAGAGAAGTTGCCGACTGATCATCCGCGCCGTGGGCGTAGCTGCTGAGGAGATTGGGCTGGGGACGGGCAAAGAGTTCGATCGCGAGATGATAGAAATAAGAGGGCATCCCGACTCACATTGCGGAGATGGTGATGTCTAGGTCTAGGTGGTGGAGAGTGGGATACGACTACATGATAAGATATTCACGTGACACTCCGCAGTGGCCACCGTCCGTCGCCACGTTGGGTCGCCACGTTGCTTGTCTCATCCTACGCATGACTTGCGGACTACGAATTTGGGCATGATGATAGACAGTAGAATATGTCCGTAGACTTTCAATTCAAGTGGTTATAATAAGGAAAGAAAAGCACCAAACTCGGGTGCCACAGATGCTTGTAACAGTATCAAACCATAGTCCTCAAGCCAACCGAACGCCATGCGAGCCGTCCAACCCAAGGATCGTAACAGCAAAGGGAATCAAGATCGTAATCAGTTTCCGCCACGGAGACGGAGGACGAGGTGCAGGGTGCTCTCCTTCTGGATGTTGTAGTCCGAGAGCGTGCGACCATCTTCCAGCTGCTTACCAGCGAAGATGAGACGCTGCTGGTCTGGGGGAATGCCCTCCTTGTCCTGGATCTTGGACTTGACGTTGTCGATCGTGTCCGAGCTTTCTACTTCCAATGTGATGGTCTTTCCGGTGAGGGTTTTGACGAAAATCTGCATACCACCACGCAGACGAAGGACCAGGTGCAGGGTAGACTCTTTCTGGATGTTGTAATCGGAGAGGGTGCGGCCATCTTCAAGCTGCTTGCCGGCGAAGATCAGACGCTGCTGGTCGGGCGGGATGCCCTCCTTGTCTTGAATCTTAGACTTGACGTTGTCGATCGTGTCGGAGGATTCCACCTCCAGGGTGATGGTCTTTCCGGTCAGGGTCTTGACGAAGATCTGCATACCACCGCGCAGGCGCAGGACCAAGTGAAGGGTGGATTCCTTCTGGATGTTGTAGTCGGACAGGGTACGACCGTCCTCCAGCTGCTTACCAGCGAAGATCAGGCGCTGCTGATCGGGAGGGATACCTTCCTTATCCTGGATCTTCGACTTGACGTTATCGATGGTGTCGCTGGACTCGACCTCCAGGGTGATGGTCTTGCCAGTCAGGGTCTTGACGACTGAGGCGAGTTAGTAATGTTTATCTTTGGGTCGCCACTGGGTGGCGAAAAGAGTCAACGGAACTTACAGATTTGCATGCCACCACGGAGACGGAGGACGAGATGGAGAGTCGACTCCTTCTGAATGTTGTAGTCGGACAGAGTGCGGCCATCCTCGAGCTGTTTACCCGCGAAAATCAGGCGCTGCTGGTCAGGAGGAATACCCTCCTTGTCCTGAATCTTGGACTTGACATTGTCGATGGTGTCGCTGGACTCGACCTCTAGAGTGATGGTCTTGCCGGTGAGAGTCTTGACGAAGATCTGCATGGTGACGAGATGCGCGGAAGGAAATAGATGATAGGAATCGAGAGAGATGGAGAGATGGGGAGATGGAGAAGTGGTGATGGAAGACACAGGTAGGAGTCAACCAAGGTGAGGTGAGGAAGAAGAGAGAGAAGAGAAGTAGGGAAGAGGAGAGAATGAAAGAAGGAAGGCTTAAGTAGGCGGGCGACAGAAGAGGGGAGGCAAAGCGTCTTAGTCAGGGTGAGAGAGGGTGATAGGTCGATAACGTGATCCAGGGCGGTTGTTTGGCTGCGTTTTCCGGCCACTCACCAGCCGATCCTTTCTAGTAACTTCCAGTTGGCACTGCCCGCTTATGGCGTATCTCTGGTGACTCAGGCCGGTCTTTGGGAGTCCTGGCGACTCCGGCCGTTCCCGCCACTGACGCCACCAGTCGGCATCTCAGCCCCTGTATGATTCATCCGGGGGGGGTTCTTATCAGTTGGTAGTACCTAGTACTGTAGGTAGTTGTCTTTATTCACTGTCAGTAAGTGATGTCTAGTGATCTCTACCCAGCGCCTTCACTATCAGATTACCAAGGTACCTAGTAACTAGTTAGATAGGAGAGATGGAGTCCGATGACGTTGATCGAAAAGAGGGGAAAGCGGATCTTCAAAGGGGGAAAATGGGTCAGGTGATCGTCGCATCCGTCATGCCCCCACTCACTACGATACTTACTCCGAGGTACTATCAACAGAACAGAATCGTATGAAGAAATAAAAGTTGTTCATTCAGTACACCACGCCCATACCACTCCACCCATGATTCTCTGTCACTCCGATATTGAAACACAATTCCACTCCACAAAGATCCAAAAACAACAACAGCAAAAGGAAATCCAAATTCAACAACAGATCCGCGTCCCAGCGAGAACTAGCCTCAGCAGCAGACAGCACAGCGCGCTTCATCGCGGACATTTCGTGACCATACAGTATCATAACATTCGTGATCCTCATCATCGCGGGGCTAAATACGTGCGACAAAGGCTATACGACGGAGAAGGGAAAGAGTGTCATGTAGGAAATCAAAACGCATAGCACAATCACAGGGAAGGGAGAAAAAGAGAAGAGAAAGACCGAGATAGTAAACACGAACAAACGAGTCGCTCAGGACGGTATGTATGCGAGGGTCATCATCGTCAGTGTCGTGTCGTGAATCCATTGCCGTCATCCAAGGCAAAAAACACAAGTCGTTTAGTTGGCGCGAATTACCAGTCGCGAAAGGAACTTGTTCGAGAGACAGTCAAAGTCGTTGCGGTTGAACTTCGAGGCCGAGCGACCGCGCAGATAGCTCTCTGTATGCATATTAGGAACGAAATCACGAAGCATCTTAAAATTAAACCTACCATATTGAGTGACATGCTGACGGACTTCCGTCATCGTGGTGCACACGTCCGGGTTCGAGTGCAGCAGGTGGTGGTGCTTCTGCGTCTCCCAATCGGTGAACGCGGGGAGCTTCTGCGAGATCGCCTGGAACAGGCCCACAATCACCCCCACGGGTGTCGTCTCCATGTCGCTGCAGAACTTGTCGACCGCCGCCGCATCCTTCGGGGGTTAGTCTCTGGACCTGATACACAATAGGGCAAGGAACTCACCGGAGTACGGTAGTGGCTGTCAAACTGCATCTCCTCCCACACCGCCAACAGAATCGACGCCAGGATAAAGATGGTCGGCCAGTTCTTCAGCTTGTCGCCGCTGTACACGCTGGAGTAGAGAGCCGAAAGCTCCTCCAACACATCCTTCTGCAGCTCACGCCACATGTTGGCCATGGCACATTTGATCTGGAAGTTAATCATCACCGGGGCCATGGTCTTGCCCCGGAACTTGGACGACTCGTCCTCGATCTTGCCGAGGAGGCCTTCTTCCTCCCCAAGGCCCTCGACCAGGGTGACATGGAGCGTCAGGTTGTAGGCAATGATGAGCTTCAGCGCCTTGCGGATGACCGGCAGCTTCGTGCGGAAGTAGTAGCGGAACGCCGTCTTGAGCATCTGCGTCAGGAACGGGGTCCCCTCGAAGTAGTCGTCCACGAACTTCTCAAAGGTGCCGTTGCCATCGATGTGGCGGTCGAGGTAATCCGACAACATGGGTTGCGAGATTCCCTCCATACCGGCAGACAGCTTGGCGGTTTCCACCTCGTGCTCTGTGGGCTCCCGCCGCATGGTCTCCACCCAGTCCACGCTGAAGCACTGCTCGTTGTGGACGTAGACCTCCCGTGCATTGATGGGGAGGACCTGGCCGTAACCATGGGTGATGAAGAGGAGTCGCTCGTGCTCGGAAAAGCCCTTGATATTGCCCACAGAGAATCCCATGCTGATATGACGTTCGTAGTCGGCCTTCCAGTCCTTCATGAAGTAGCCGATCTCCTTGATGTCGATGCGCGTGCAGGGCACCTGCCACAACCGCGCATGGGACGGTTGACAACCCGCACAGGGCTCACCTTTGTCGCACTACAATCGAAAGTCAGCTGCCGAAATTCACACCAGAGCTCTGAGGATTACGCTTACCGTTTTCTTGAGGAACTTGCAACGCAGACACGCGCGCAGCTTGCGGATTTCGCTCGCCTGCTTCCGCTGATCGGGCTTCAACGGACCCTTCCGCTTTCCAATGCGCTTCTCGGTCTCGGGCTTGCCGTTCTGGGACTGCTTGCGCACCTTGGTTTCGGCAGTCTTGGCCGCAATGGGGCTCTTCCGCGAGGGCCTCCGGCTCGGCGGGGACGCTGACGACGCCTGTGACCCGGACGACCGCGTGGGCGAGGACGACTTCTTCACAGGGACGGGGATGGGGCGCACGATGGCAACGGGACTGACCGCGGTGGGCGATTGGGAGCCATGCGAGGTGTGGTCGTAAGAAACGCGGCGGGTCATGGGGTTGGTGAAGGCAACATCAAAGTTGGTATCCGAGCCCGGAGAGTTGATTGGGTTGGCAATATCCACGAAGCTGCTGTAGGAGGTCGAATAGGACGACTCGGAGAGACTACGGTCATGCAGCGTCTGAGTGGGGTTGATGAAGATGCCCTGATCCGGGAAGGAGTAGTCGGCCGAGCGACGCTCGATGGTGGCCCAGCCATTGTCGCTGCTCGTGCTCGTCAACGAGCGGACTTCAAGGTAGGTGTCGGTGGGAGAGCTGCTGTCGAGGACGTTCTGGGGCCCCGCCGTATACGGGGGCATGTGGGACAGACCGTCCGGAAAGGACATCAGGTCGGCGTGCAGGTCCTGGTAGGAGAAGGGGACCATGTCCACGGGCCCCGCGAGAGGCAGATAGGGGCCGTCCAGCAGGCTCGCACTCATCTGGCCCTGCGGGGCGGCCATCAGATCGACGGGGGACGACTGGATGGGCATGCCATAGCTGGAGGTGGTGAACTGGGCGGCGGCGGCTGCGGCCGCGGAGGCCTCCTCGGGGGAATACTGAAGATGGGGTTGCAGATGGTGAAATTGCCAGTCAACCATGAGGTTGGGATCTGAAGGTTCAAAGGAGTGACCGGTGGTCTGCAACGGGGAGATGTCGCGGGCATCTTCAGGCCGGTGGGCTGACTGCTGGTCGACGGCTACCGGCCAGGACTGCGAAGCGATGTAATTCCTCGAGTCATAGTCCAGGCCGATGAAGCCGTCGCTAGATAAATCGACATTTGACATGGTGGAATGGGCGAGGGTTTGTTGATGAAGAGGGTTGGATGCTACCACCTGGGTATGGAGAAGTAGATAGAAAGGAAAATCAATCAAATGGCGGGAGGGGGGAAAGCAAGGGAACAAATGACCGGAAAAAAGGAAAAAGCAAAATTCATGGAAACGAAACGATACGGTGGAGGCAGCAGTAGCAGTAGTAGCAACAAGAACAGACGGGGGCAGGGGAGGGGAATGGCAGAGTGGGTGGTACAAAAGACAAATAAGAGGAAGAAGAGAGGCAGAAGATGGAGGATTGGAAGAGGAGAAGGTATTCGGAAAAGAGAAAGCCCAGAATCCGGGGCGGCCGAGGAAAATCGTGAGAAATGGGAAAAAAGAGGGAAAAAAAGAGGGAAAAGGCAAAGCAGCGGTGAGGAAGTGGGGAGAAGAACGAAGAGGGGTTGGTTAGTGTTAGTCTCTTAGTATCAGGGCGTATCGCATGATCTTGGAGTATGCCAATCTGCCGGAGGTCTATAGAGTATTAAGTAGGTATCTACCTAGTAGTACCTAGGTAGTTTATAGTATTATATAGATTATAGAATAAAGGTACTCTTCTACAGTGTTGTATACCTAGTATATTTTCCCCATACTGTATCTATCTAGATCGATGGATGATGATACCACGGTTGAGTCTAGTCGGGAAAGAAGATCAGTGGATCGACCCGAACCTGGGCTAGTTAATGCCACGCCAACAACTACTAGTCGCGCCTAGTACTACTAGATACGGTAGTAAAGAAACTGTTGAGAGGATGTGGCATTACCCTCATACACGGAAACCCCCCGGCGATCCGTATTATTACCACGGCACAGGATCTACTGTACTAGCTGATGGCTCAATCACTGCCGCACACATGTTGGCTTCATTGCCAACAAGACGGCTGACGATGCAGTAGCGCCATTCCTCGTCCACTTCTGTACACCATTTCGTCCCGTACTCCGTAGGTGGATGATGATGATGACGATGATGATCATGATCCTGATGAGATAACGAGATCTCTCTTCATCATTCCATTCTAGGTAATTCCTCTCCATCTCTACCATTTAAACTATAGAGTATCCATTATAGTCGTCTCATCCATCCTCCATCCAAGGTCCCCAAAGCCACCTCCAACTGCCATCTCCACTGCCACCCACTGCAAACCCTATTCGCCTCCCCCATCTCCAATTCCAGATTACAGTAAATTCAGTGCCATCTCACGACCGTGCGAATCCCTCCCAGCGTTCCTTACCCCGTTGGGAGATCGAAGAATGATACATCCAAAACGCTCTCTCAACAATCGGAGACCAAAGCATGCCGATGGCCCGCAGCCTCCACGGGCCTCCTCCCAAAGCGGCAATCCTCCTCGTCTGGCGGGTGCGCAGGCCGTGACTGCTGGCCGAGCGTTACACACGGCAGGGAAGACGCCGTAAGGGGTCGCATCATGCATATGAGATCAAGGCCCGTGGCCTCCACTCGGAGCAAACGCCTCCTCTCGTTGATTCGCCTGCCGCCGTCACGCCCGCCTGACTCGCAGCCGGCCACGCCAGCGCCCAGCACGTAAGAATAGCACCGCGCGGTGGAAACGAACCCGAACCGTTCTCGTCTTGCACGCGCAAACTTCGGTAGTGCGGTAGTGTAGTTAGTTAGTCAAAGACTGGTCGATCGGGTAGGCGCTTAGTGGCAAATCATCGAGCCTCCTCGCACGTCCACTCTTGCAGCAGCCGGTGGTCTGAGCGAGCTCGTGGTTCAGATGGTGGCGGAAGAGGGTGCCATAGGCAGGTTGTCGACCGCAGATGCAAGGCAGGAGTGACTACTGACTCGGTTACTATTCTTGTGCTCGCTTGACGGATGGAACCTGTCATAGTGGATCTGAGGTATCGGGTATTGCAGCAGAATATATCTTCACCCTCCTGTACGTGAAATGGCTCCAGATGAGACTGTCATCCACAACGACTTGGCTTGATCTAATCCACGTATCATTATTAATATTATGTATTCCATGCGATCAAAGAATGGGAGGCATATATGGAGATAGAACGTCAAATGGTGCCGTGCTGACTAAGCACAGAGGCAGAGACTCGTGTTGATCCATTTGATGTAGACAATCACCCGGACTATCACGTGTATGGACATCCAATGTCAATTATGAACGACCTAGGATGGTTCATTGTCTGGAGGACTTTGTTTCTTCATGATTGATCCCATCACCAAGTGTACATTACTCCGAGTACTCTGTCAGGCGGATGCAGACCGCCTACCCCACTCGACCGAGAACAATGACCATGGCCGCGGGGAACGTTCGTATCGCATCATTGTTGTTCGGCTCCGAACAATACCAACGGCCTCTCCACGACCCCATTCTTCTCCCTGGCACTCCTCGTGGCGAGGACTGATATAGACTGCACCTCCCTTCTCCTCCGCCAAAGAAGTGCCGTTCATGCCCGTCATCGCGGCGACAGGCAAAACTCGTCGCCAAGTCCGTTTCTCATCAGCCAGCCAAGCATCGGGACCAGCAAGGCCGAGTTGCAGAAGCTCCAACTCTAGTCTGCGGCCCAACCGTGCTCCTTCTGCAGCCAAATCCCGTGATCTTCAATTGCTGAGCAAGTCGACCACCATGGAGGAACCGCAGTCCCACTCGGGCGTCGTCCCGGCGCTCTTCACCCAGCCCCCGGTCCTCCAGGACGCGCTCATCACCGAGACGACAGAGCTCCAGAATGAGACCGTTGACAAATGTCTTCCATTCCTCAAGGGGATCCACAAGACCCAAAACGGCCCCTTTAACCAACATGGCGTGCAGGCACTCAAACGCGACGAGCACATCGGCTATCTTTATGACTCCCTCGAAGACTATCCCGCCGGCTTCGTGGCCATGGATGCGAGTCGGCCCTGGATGGCCTACTGGGCGCTAGCGGGGTTGAGTCTGCTGGGGGAGGATGTCACCAAGTTTCGTCAACGGTAAGCCCATGATCACCCGCGGGACGGGAATGCTGACTGCCGCCGGTGGCTTTGGGGCCAAATTTGCTGATTACCCTGTTCTTAGGATCATTTCTACATTCGGAGCCATGCAGAACCCTACCGGTGGCTTCGGTGGCGGACATGGTCAAATGTCCCACTGCGCGTCCAGCTATGCGGCCGTGTTATCGCTCGCCATGGTCGGGGGTGGAGAAGTCTTCCAGTTGATTGATCGAAAAGCAATGTGAGTTGTCGAGGTCGATTCCATGCATTCCAGGCTAACTTCCCTCCAGGTGGGAATGGCTGGGCCGGTTGAAGCAGCCAGACGGTGGGTTCAGGGTGTGTGAGGGCGGGGAAGAAGATGTCCGGTAACGACGCCTTCATCCATGGTGGTCTCGTTCCCTCTGCTAACGCTGGGCAGCGGCGCATATTGTGCAATGGTGATCATATCACTACTCGACCTCCCACTCACTCTACCCCCGGGATCGGAAGCGCGCCAGTCCGGACTCGAAACGTTCACCTCTGGTCTTTCTGAATATCTCGCCAGATGTAAGACCGCCCGTCCTACTGTCGAACGCCACTGATGACACCCTGCAGGTCAGACGTTTGAAGGTGGTATCTCCGGGAGTCCCGGGTCAGAAGCCCACGGGGCTTACGCATTCTGTGCTTTGGCATGCCTCAGCATTCTCGGCAAACCAGAGGTCTCCATGGCCAGGTAAGATGCCACACCCCTCACACATTCATTTGCTGACGGTGCGGATAGATGCATGGATGTTCCACTATTGCTCTCGTGGCTTTCGTCGCGCCAGTACGCTCCCGAGGGAGGCTTCTCCGGAAGGACCAACAAGCTAGTCGATGGCTGTTACAGTCACTGGGTCGGGAGTTGCTGGCCTTTGCTCCAGGCGGCTCTGGACGGCACCCAGCCAGAGTCAGGCCCTCAAGCGACCTCTGTGGGCGATCTGTACAGCCGCGAGGGCTTGACCCGGTATATTCTGGGATGCTGCCAAGGGAAGGATGGAGGTCTTCGCGACAAGCCTGGGAAGTGAGTTCAATCTACTGGGGCTTGCCATGGTTGATAGCATGCTGACGTTGGATCTAGACATGTGGACTCGTATCATACCTGCTACACGCTTACGGGGTTGAGTATGGCTCAATACCGCCACTACTACACGGATGTCAGCGTGAGCGCAAAGGGCGAGTTCCATTCAGCGTTCTCGTGGAAATCGCTACCTATCAAGACGGCACCGGTGGAGAATGCCTCGGACGTGAATGTGTTTGACGAGAGCGATCGACTTACGGCGTTCCATCCCATCTATGTGATTCCTCATCGAGCTGCCGAGGAGATGCGTCGTTGGTTTGAGAATCAACCGTTGGTGGTTGAGGGGGAAAAGCAGGAGTAACTCGAGCCAGTGTCTATTCTATGTACAACTATAATCCCTGTAACTTACTCATACATATCTAAAGACCATTGACGGGCCAGACATATCACACCAGCTACTGTGATTACATGCATCGCGGGCGGCGATTAAATCTTCATCCTCTTACCTGCATGCGGACGAGTTGCACGAATCTGATTCGATCGTATTCGATGGGAGATTGATTGTGCAACATGTCTTTACTTGCATCGCAACGCTTTCCTCTGAGTAACACCCCGCCACCCTTCAGGGGAATAACATGCGGATCCACACCCTCGCCTGGCTTGATCCAGTGGACATGGGTTTGGAAAACTAGAGATCAAATCAACATAGCCTGCATGCAGAGCCATATTGATATCGACTGAAGCCGTTCTGCCATCTCTCAGTCCACAAGCTGACCGATACACAGCGCATGCTGCAGTCCGTCCGAACGAGCAGGTCGAAGGTTGGCCATCCTACAAAATTTCCCGAGCGATCAATCGGAGCCTAGCTGATGGAATGCACAAGGTTATCGTCTCATCTCGTCCGCAGCCTGAAAACCCTTCCATGGACAGCAACGAGCGTGGTGACATGGATTCCCCGCCGCACGAAGCGCAACTGCCAACTCATCATTGCATCCGACGCCTGTGTCAACCCCCGAAAACGGCTGGCCAATATGATTAAGGTGCACCGGCGCGAATTCAAAGTCTCAGGATTCGATTATTGATTTCACGAGGCAAACGGACATTGTCCGTCCATACCGTCCGTTTCTAGAAGCGCTTCCGCCGTCCCGTTTCGAACGCGTTGCAATCGTCCATTCTACTGCCTAGCTAGGTCCCTACTGTTTGGAAAGATCCCGAGGAAGCGGTCAAAGGGTGTCCGTCGGATTGCTTGCCGAGTCAGGGATCATCGTGATCGTCGCTAGCCTGGCTGGACTGGACACATAACCCGGACGAGGGGCACGGGTCGATGAGTTACGGTTCCCGTTATGTCGATTATTTGGACCGCCTAGCGGGCTACGGTCAGTGCTTTTAAGAGTCACCATAATCACCATCCATTATTGATCCTAGGAGGCGGACAACCTATCTGCGCGACATGGGCGCCTCCTCTGAATCACTATGGTGTGCATTAGCCCAGCGTCACCACGTCTTTCTCACCCGCATCTCGAGTGGCCACTGACACCCATCATTCTTTGCTTTTCTTCCAGTTCATCACTGCGGGGTACCCCTCCTTGGTCCTGAGCAAACACGACAACATCAACTCCCACTGTCTGAGCCTGGCTTCCTTCTGCAGGATCACCGCGGTCCAGAGAGCGAGGGCGCACCTGCGCAACCTGTCAGTGTTAGCCGCCTCGATCGGCGGCGAATTACACCGTGGCAGAGGGGACCCGGTCGAGATGGATCTCCGGCGGCGGATCACTGGCGAGGAGCATGCCAGCGCATCATGGTTCCGTTCGGTGCCCCGTCGCGGACTCTGGACTCCTGGACTCCTTGGCTCGCAATTGAGTCAAGTCCGGGTGGAATTGGAGCTCTCAGCCAGTCGGGGGGCCTCAATTGCAGGGGACTGGAGTCTTAATAGAATCCATAGAATAAAAAAAAAATTTTTATATCATTTCCGAATTTTTTCTTCATACTCAACGCTAATATTGATAGAGCCCCACCCGTTGCTTCGAGCGCATTATACATGGGCCAGCATGTCAACACGTCTGTCCGGTTGTTTCTTTTTTCTGCTCTCCTATCTCTCTATCCTCCGCCATCTGGCCTGTCGTCCATCAGCGCTAGTCCACTTCTCCCAGGTTGTTTGTTTCAGTCCTCGCCCTGTCCTCGCCTAGTCCCTCCCCGAGGCATTGGGCATCACAGCCGTTGCCGTTGCCGTTGAACGGCGGTTGCATGTCTCTGGCGTGATTGCTTGCCAGGGTGTTGAGTGCAGTATCACCGACACACGTATCAATTGGAGGGGACCCAGCCACACGATGTACTATATCCTCTACCTTGCGAGTACGTAGTCCGTCCCCATCTCATGCTATACCCTTTAATCCACTCCCGACCCAGCCGCCAGAGCAAGTAATCTAACAGCGACAGGCCTCTGCCGCCGCCGCCGCTGGCCCGAACCGCGGTACGAGATCTCCGCCCTGAGCACCGGGTACTCCTGCACGGTGCGGGTCAACAACCGCGAGTACACGACGGACGAGGAGTGCGGCAGCGAGACGCTGGCCCGCGAGAACGCCGCCATGCGCGCGTACCTGATCTGCCGCAACTTCTCCGTCAACGACGGCATGTACCCGGCCGGCCACGACCACGGCGCCGTGCTCCAGGGCCTGCCGGTGGCCATTGGCACCGGGCGCAAGGGGCGCTACAGCGGGAGCGAGGAGGGGGAGCTCTCGACGAGTGCGAGTAGCGGTGCGAGTCGGAGTGGAGGGAGTAGTCCGGAGAGTTATGAGGGGGGGTTGGCGAGGGCGTCGAGGGTTGTTGCGATGTCGCGTTAGGTTGGGGGCGCTTGCGGGTTTGATTGGAGAGTTGGAAGGCTGGAAGGCAATGGGGTTATGATGATACGACTTATGACATGACTGAATATCCTATAGATCGATGTTGTTTTGACGGTGAGGCCGACAGATTGATTGGTGATTGCATGGTGGCCAGCGGTCTTTTATGTACGAGAATGAATGCTTGCAGTATGTGATTAGATATGCCAATGTGGAGATCAATGGATGTAGCATAGTAGTCGGATATTATACCTATATACCTATGAGTATCCATCCATATGTGGCTATACCTTCGGCTCCCGGTATTCTTGTCTGTAGACTATCTATCCCCAGATTACTAGAGGAACAGACCTTCATCGCTGCTAATCTCGTGCCTGCACCATACGAAGTAAGAATTTGCGTATAGCAACTGATAAGCACCTCATTGGTATGAACCTCAGATACTTGATCCCAGAACATGCATACAACTTCAACAATATATGTACACAACAACTAAGGGACAAGCAGGAGTATAGCTGAGTCATCATGACGTCACCCAGCCATGCCGTCATCGGGGTCCGGGGCTTGACATCAAGCATACCTCAACAACGAGCATATATACACAATCCCCCTGACTTTGCACTACATGACTCAATACCTCCCAATCCATCTAACCGCTCATGATGCGGTCTGTTCTAGGTAGGGTTCCGGCCGTGATGGCCTGTTTGACGCCCGCGCGAGGGAGCGTCCGGTCGACTGTTACTGTCTGGAAGTCGGCGCAGGCGTCGCCATACCCTAGCAATGTTCGATGCGTTCCGAACTGGTCGACAAATTTAACTAGAATAACATGCACGAGACACTACTCTCCTGCTCATAAACGCCGTGCACAGGACGAGCTGGAACGACTCGAGATCAGGGAGAAGACGGAAGCAAACGACGAGGCGAGCTCGCGGACGCACCAGCAGCTCGAAGACGCCATGACAAAGGGTAAGCCTGGAACGGGGTCCAACCGGGCCAAATGCTAACAGCCACAGGCAAGCTCCTGACGACCCCGTCGCGGCTGTTCAAACTGCTCATCCCCCTGCCCACGGCCCATCACAACCGCAAACACATGGGTAGAGCTCCAATAATGCCCTCTTCATTTTCCATGCATCCTAACTCCTTTGGTGTAGACGTCGAGCCAATCGCCATCCTCATCCACCCGCAACAACCCCTCTCCTACCTGGAACGCCTCATCCAGAACGAAGTCCCGCCCATCACGATCAACCAGGGCGAACCGCGCCCGCCGACGGTATCGTTTATCGCACTGCAAATCGAAGACAAACCGGTCAAGCCGCACAAGACCGTCTACGAGGAGACGGACGCGGAGGTGCGGCGGCTGGGGGGCATGGGGGCGGGCGACGAGGCGCGGCGGGCGCGGCGGTGCCCCGACGAAGGCGACGACACGTACAGCTACCTCCGGCGCCCCACACCACCCGACTCGTCGTCGTCGTCGTCGTCGGCGCCAAGCAGCCGGGAGCAGCGGTTCGTGCGGTGGTCGACATCGACGGAAATCGGCGACTTCGTGCGGGACGCGTCGCGGGCGCGCGAGTTCATCGTGAACATCGAGGGTGCGGCGGCGGGCGTGCGACAGGTGCACGTGGCGGTGCCGTCGTTCGACGAGCGGACGTATTTCCTGCGGATGCGGCTGCGGCGCATCTCGGAGAAGATCCGGCGGATCGCGGAGATCAAGAACGAGTGCGATGAGCTGGCGCAGCGCGGCGCGCAACGCGTGGCGCTCGGCGGGTTCGGCGTGCTCGCGCTGTGGTGGTACCTGGTGTACAAGCTGACGTTTGAGACGGACCTGGGCTGGGACACGATGGAGCCGGTGACGTACCTGGTCAGTCTGTCGACGCTGATGGGCGGCTACTTGTGGTTCCTGTACCACAACCGCGAGATCTCGTACCGGTCGGCGCTGGACTTTACGATCAACGCGCGGCAGAAGAAGCTGTACCAGACCAAGGGGGTGGATCTGCCGCTGTGGGAGTCGCTGATCGACGAGGGCAATACGCTGCGCAAGGAGATCAAGAGCATTGCGGCCGAGTACGAGGTCTACTGGGACGAGAAGCGCGACGAGCGCGACGAGCGCGTCACCGAGGCGCTGAAGAAGGAACGAAACCAGAAGAATGGATCCCATCGCGCCAACGACAAGGATGATGATGATGAATAATGCTGATGCTGTTCCTAACATGCTATGACCTGTCCCTTCATTATCCCGCCTACAGCTCTCTACCCATTCCGCACCGGATCATAGTACTCTTTCTTGGGCGTGTCGGTGGCTTTTGGCGACTTGGCCGCTTGACCTGCTACCTCCCGTCAGTCTGTCCCGCAGCCCTCGACTCCACGCCACGTACCGGGGTCATCGGCCTTCCGCCGATTGCGGTTGTTCCGCACGTCTCTCGATCGGAACACACTATACAGGAGCCAGCCGGCCACCCAGTTGGGGCCGTATTCGCCGGTGGTGGAGCCCTTGGCGAAGAGCGGTCGCGTGAGGGGGCCGGCGTTGTTGGAGATCTCGGCGATGCCCCAGTGTTGGCGCTCGGGGCGGATGTGATGCCAGAAGAAGGGCGGGCGCGTGGACGGGTCGGTTGCGACGCTATCGAGGAGGTTGGCGGTGTCTTCGTTGAGACGGTTGTATACGGCGATAGCTTCGTCCTGTTTCATAGGTAGGTTTAGACCATAGACATAGAATGGCATGTGTGCAGTTGCAGAGAACCGGCGTACCCGCATGGCTCGGTAGATCTGTTCGTGCTGGGGGTTGTGGGAGCTGAGCCCGAGGGCGTGCATAAATTCCTCTTTGGAGGCGCGGGGGCCTACGGACGGCATGCTGTAGGAAAGAAACGAAGGTATAGTTGGACACGAGAAAGCTACCAGCACCGTGAAAACGAAGGCAGCTCGCGCAAGATCAAATACCTCCGCGGTCCGACAGGGTGCGTGGTACAGCAGCCGACACGACGAACGTCCGGGCTCGACGGGGGGCGCATCGTATCTGGGCATGGAGTCCACGACGACGCGGAGGCGGGTGATTTGCAGATTGCGAATCGACCTGTCTGCGGCGCCGTTGGGGGCTTGTTTCTGTCTGGATGTGATTCTTCAGCTAGGTGTAGGGAGCTGTACGTATCCGGTGTGGCCTGCAATGGTGGGAGATAGGTTGAGCGGATGAGGGATATGTCCCGACGGAGGCGTCGCAGGGTCAAACGGTAGGGCCGGCTGATTGTTTCGATGCGCCGCCCCCCTGACCTGTTGATCAGGACATTATACGTGTATGCCAGTGCCGAGAGATCGAGTCGAAAACAGACTCCCCGCAGCAAAGCACGACGGATGGCCCGGACAACCAGGAAGCCAGCCGATAGGAAGACATACATCAACGACTTTCGTCATCCTCCTGCAGGTGCGCGAGACGCCAACGGCCGGCGTGTAACCTGCGCACTCCCGGCGAAAAAGCAGGCGTAGGGCCGGACGCTCAAACGTATATCCCACGGTTACGAGGCGAGCAGCAAACGGAGGCTTCGAGCGGCGATTGCAGCGGGAGCGGGGTGCTGGAGATTCGATATATCGACTCGGATGAAACCAGATCAAACAGCGTCGGGTTGCACTGACGGACTCCGGAGTTCGGTCCGTCGCTACAGGAGACAAGCGTCCGCCAGGATCGTCGATGCGAGGTGGAGGTGGGACAGAGGGGTGCTGTCCATTCGAGGAGGGTGGGACGGCGGACTCGAGGTCAGTCGGGGCGTGTGATCTTACTATATAGTATCCATGGATGGTTATAGGAGGGTGTAGGATCTCGATGGTGAACTTTTGATATTGACTCGGGACCGACGTCCTCCCACACGGGTATACATCCAAAGGCTGGAATCGCAGCACATGAGAAAAAAAGACAGAAAATAGGATAAAAAAAAAGACATCGTCTACCTCGTCAATCATGATGGTCGGATCATACGTCTTGAACAGGAGACTGGGCTCCCAGCGACAACGGCCCTCTGGTATAGCGGATGCAGGCGTGCAGAAACCCTCAGGTATATTCAGACTGGAACAAAACAGATTCATATCGCTCTAATCATTTCCCAATTATGTGCAACACTAGGCAGTTAAAAGACGAACAATCACGCAGCGGATCAAACCCTTAGTCGGAGGCGGGTGAGTCTTCGTATAGTTTGCGCAGGAACGCCTCCACCTCGGTATAGTCCTTCTTGGCCTGGGCGAGGGTGTTCTTGATGTGTTTGAGGGAGACGGCGTCGTCGGGCTCGTCGGTGGTGCCGGTTTCGTCCTTGCGGGCGCCAAAGTGCTGGATCTTCTCGCAGGCATCCTTGACCTTGGTGAGGCCGAGGGTGGCGGAGGAGCCTTTGAGGAAGTGCCCGAGCTGGGAGAGTTCGAGAAGGTCTTTGTCGGCGCTACGGGAGGTTAGTAGGACGCCGGTGGACGGCTGGACGGCTGGACGGTGGAGTTGGACTTACAGGGCCGCCTCCATCTTGTCAAAGGTGCTCTTGGCCTGATCGAAGAAGCCAAAGACGATTCCGCGGCTGAATTCCTTGTCGTCATCGTCGTCCATTTCGAGGATCTGTTCAAAGGTGTTTTTGTCGATGCAGTCTTCCATGTCGGCAAAGGTGAGTTCCCTTTCCTGGAGGGAGTCAGTACGATGGGACATGGGTGTCGATATTGATGGATACGGACGTACCGGTTCCTCTGAGGGGTTGGTGGAGGGCGCCATGGTGAGGATGTGTGGGAGGGAGATAGAGGGAGGGGTGGTGGTGGAGGACAAGAGCGGTGAATGCCAAGGCGAGCGGCTATTTTAGAGGAGAGAGGAATACGAATTACGATCTGGAGGATCAGTATTCAGTAAGTAGGTAGAGGAGAGGATAGGGAGTAGAGTAGAGGGAGTAGAGGATAGAGATAGGATAGGGATAGAAGTAGAGTCGAGATAGGATATGACTACAGAAGAGGAGTAGGTGGAGTAGGGGAGGAGAGGAGGGGTAAGAGATACCTGTGAGGGGCAGGAGGCCCTAGGGCATGAGGGTATCACAACAAACAATCTATGGAGAAGAGAAAGAGAAAGGAGGCGAAGAGGAAAGACGAAAGAGACGAGAATTATGTGGGCGACCCGATATTAGCCCCTCTGGATGGATCCACCGAGAACCGAGCATAGGGTTCTTACCTATAGAAGTGTAGAGCAGACGGAGAGAGCAGAGAAAAGAAGAGGAGAGGCGAGGAGAAGAGAAAGGGGAGAAGAAAGATGACAGAGAATTAGGATGGAAGAGGATTCTGCGGGACTAGACTAGGGCTGCTGATCGAGGGTATGTCGTCATGCTCCACACAACGTATACTTATAGTTACAGAGTACATACTGTCGAGTGACAAGGATAAGTATCGTACATAGATATACATATAGCATCTATATCTATATCTATATCTATGTTCATACATATCCTAATACTATTCACTCATACATTATATATTATATATTCAACATTCTCAACATTCACAGGAATTAAGACTAAGACTCCACACAGATACTGTACTCTTAGATACTCTTACACTTCACACCACTCACACCCCTTAATACTCTACACAATCGACTACAATATATCTACCGACTTTAGAGACAGACTCCATCGTACTCCTGCATTCACCTATACTCCCGAGGTCCTATCCTAACAAAGAAGGCGAACGACAAAAATTAAAATCATCAATTTCGGGACGAACGCGAGGGTCACCCTCTCGCCAATCGGCATCATCCATGTGGACCCATCCCACAATATGACATCAGGATGGGTCTACCGCCACCAATCGCAACGCCCTGTCAGGCGGGGCATGCCAAGCCTGTCCGTGTATTTTTAAACACCTTCCTGCGTGTGACTGGGTGCAGTATAGACGTCATTTTCCCCTTCACCACCAAGATACTTACTCCGTACTCTCTCTCTCCTTCCTCTCTTCTTCCTCTCACAACACGCACTCTCTCTACACCCCTCGCTCCCTCAACACCGTCCGCAGTGTCTTGGCGAAGTTCGCCACATACTCCGGCTTCAGCATCGTGTAATGCGCCCCCTCCACATGGTGGTATCGCACTCCCTCCCGCACAAAGTCCTTCCACGCCGCCAACAGCCCGTTCACCCACTCCTCGCGCGTCCGGGCCACATGCGTCAACGGATCCGCCACAAACACATCCAGATGCTTCACATTCCCTGACGGCTCGTACTCGGTCGCCATGCCCTGCATGTTGGAGGCCAGGTTCACCCACAGCAGGTAGTACTCCTCCGAGAGCCCCAGCTCATCCCACCGCGCCGGGTTGCTGTGTTGCCGCAGGTACCGCACCGCCTCCAGCCGCCGCCCCTGCCGCTCCAACTCGCACAGCTTGGGCTTGTGCGTGTACGCCGTCTCCTCGTCCATCAGGTCGACAAAGTAGAACAGGTGGATGATGCACTCGTCCCACAGCAGCTGTTTCATGCGCCACTTGATGTGCGGCGGCAGGTTCCAGCTTCCGCAGTACCGCACCTCGTCTCCCTCCGCCTCCAGCCGCTTCGCAATCTCAAAGGCCACCATCCCGCCAAACGAATAGCCCGCGATCGCGTACGGCCCCTGGGGCTGCCGCGCCTTCATCGCCGCCTTGTACGTCTCAAACACCTCCTCCAGCGACGTGAATGGCGTCTCGCCCTCGGCCGCGTTGAACCCCTTGGCCCGGAACGCGTACACCGGCCGATCCGTGATGTGGTGCGCCAGGTTCACAAACACCAGCACCTCGCCTACCCCCGGGTGCACCAGCCACAGCGGCGTCTTGCGTCCGTGCGGCTGCAACACCACCACCGGGTCATACACATGCTTCCGTCCCGTGCCGCTGGTCGCCGCGATGCGCTGGCACAATCCGCGCGCCGTCGCATAGTTGAGCATGTCCGTCAGCGCCAGCGTCTTGCGCAGTTGCAGCTGCCGGTTGACCCGCTGCATAATGGCCACCAGGTCCATGGACGTGGCGCCCATCGACAGGATCGAGTCGGTCACGCCAAAGTCGTCCGCCTCCGGGATTTCCAGCTGCTCGCGGATGATGGACAGGATGGTCGCCTCCTCCGCCGACGCCGGCTCGCCGCGCATCGTGTCGCGGTGCCGCCGGATGGCCGCCTCGTTAGCCGCTTCGTAGGCTGCAAACTGGCCCGCCTCCAGCGCCGCCTGCAGCTTGGCCCGCGACAGCTTGCCCAGCGTCGTCTTGGGCATGTCCTCGCGCCGCAGCGGCACCACCCGCGGCCGCGAGTGCGTGTACATGCTGATCAGCCGGATGATGCTGCTCTGCGCGTCGAACCGCGCCGCGTCGTCCGCCTCGTCGTACGCCGGCAGGTACAGCACCGCCACCACCTCCGTGTCCATCGCCGCCGTGCGCGTACCGAAGCAGCAAAAGTACGTCGGCGTGGCGCCGGGAATCTCCGCCTGCTCCAGCGCCGCGTCCAGCTCGTGCGGGAGGTACTTGACCCCGTTGATGTTGACCATCTCCTTGGTGCGGCCGTCGAGGTGCAAGTGGCCACCCGCGTCGATGTACGCCAAATCCCCCGTGCGAAACCAGCCGTCCGCCGTGAAGGCGTCCGCCGTGGCGGTCGGGTTGTTGTAGTAGCCGTGGAAGATGGCCTCGCCGGTGATTTCGAGGTGACCGCGCTCGCCGGGGGCGGCCTCGCCCGACCCGTCCAGTCGGCTGATGCGCATCCGCACGCCCGGCATCGGAGTGCCCAGCGACGCGAACTCGTGCAGCCGGGCCTGGTCGTAGCTGGGACAGTGGCTGTTGAAGATGCAGCCGGCGCAGGTCTCGGTCATGCCGAAGGAGGGCTTGAAGACGTCGGCCGGGGCGCCGTAGCGGGCGAGGATGGGCTGCAGACCGGCACAGACGTCGATCACATTCGCCTCGCCGCCGGTGTCGAGGTACAGGGCCGCGAGGTTGAGGTCAGCGTCGAGCGAGTCGGTGCGGCCGGCGTCGAATTGGCGGCGCAGCTTGGCGAAGAGGAAGTTGGGTGCAAAGGTGCGCGAGACGCGGTGCCGGCTGAGCAGGTTGAGCAGCTGCATCGGATCGACGAGTACGTTGGCCGCGGGGACCTGCACCTGCGACACGCCCGCCACGATGGCAAAGAGGTGGCAGTGCACGAGGTTGGCGACGTGGTCCATGTGCACCCACGAGAGGAACGGGCTGGTCGGATGCGACAGCTGGGCCACCGCCGTCTTGCCGCGGAGCGCTGCCAGCACCTGCTGGTGCGTGATGGGCACCGCTTTGGCCGTGCCGCTGCTGCCGGAAGTGAGCATCAGGGCGGCCACGTCCATGGGGGAGGGGTTGATGGACGGCGGCAAGGAGGCGTTGCTTCCGTCAGGGCTAGGGCTGAGGTCTTCAAACGCCAGACATTGCAGCAGACCGGCGTTCTCATTGAACGGCCCCATGAGGGCGCGCCGCGTGAGACACAGCGGGGCATCTAACGTGCGGTGCAGATGGAGGAGATGTTTCTTCCGCTCGACGGCGTCCTGGCTGAACATGCCGGGCCCCGTCATGGTGGGAATGGCCCCGGTCAGGAGCACAGACCAGTACCAGATCATGCTGTCGACGGCATTGTCGGAGTGGACGACGACCGGCTGCTTGGGCGTGGTCAAGTGTTTGCTCTGGAGCAGGGCGGCGTTGGCCTCGGCGGTCCGCAGCAGTTCCTTGTAGGAGATGTGCTGCGCCGGAGTGGTCTCGCTGCCACTGTTGTTGGTCTGGTAGGCGATGATGCCTTCGGTGGTGTTGGCCGCTGCGCGCAGGGCATCGACGACATTGTCAAAGGGGTATTGGACCATGCCGTTCGACGCCGGCTCGGCATGGCCGTTAGAGAGGATCTCCGTGCGAGTCATATCGACGCGGATGAGTGTGGACAAGGTTTAGGGAACTGGCATGAAATGAAATGCGTAACAACAACGAACGAGGGATAGTGCGCCAATGTCCGCTCAATCGAGACGCCGTTCAGCTCGTGGGCATCGAAGTTCCTAAATAGGATTCCACTCTGCCCAGCATCGGCACATGGGCGACGGCGCACGAGTGCATCGGCAGCAGGTTGTCTGCCTACATTCCTGTCTCGCTTGATGCTGCCGGGTGGTGCTCCGTGTGGCAGCACTGCATGCGCCTGTGTCCCCTTGATTCAGGTTGGATGCACGGAGGAAACCTTCGGAAGCTGTTACTCGATTGTCTTTGGATCTTCAGCTGGATGGCGAACAGGTCTGGCACCGCCTCGCCCTGCATTCCTGGACGTCACTGGCTTAATGCTGCCAAGTCTTCCATCTACATCGGCAAGGGATGTTACTTCTGTAGTACTTGTAGACTAGATTGCAATCTGGAGCAAGCCACGACAACAGCAGAAAGACATTGCGAACTCGAGACATGGACCTATACCTCCAGACTGCTTCTAGATCCAGGCTGGGCTGGCCGGCTACCTTGATACGGGCTGTCAGACACCGCTGACAGAACAACCTCAGCATCCGTTGGCCAGTTACATACGAGCAGCAAGGGGCAATGCTACGCCATATGATACGAGAATCTGACTCTTCACGGCATGCAATTGCTGATCGGATCGATCGATCGTTCCCCGGGCTGCGTTGTCTTGAACGTTGTTGCCCGAGCCTGCCGCTCCCAGCATCATCCTTTGTTTGGTGGCTTTGTTTGTGACCTGTATCCAACTTTCTTACTCCCCGCAGACCGAGCGATCCCTGGTTGTGGCTCGCTCTTCATAAGCTCATCTCCGAACTCTGCCCTCGTGTCCTTGTTTTGGCTGCTCACCATGACCGCTCCCATGCGCCGCGCACTGCTCTCCCTGACGCAAGGCCGCCCCCAGACTCTCGCCAAAGCATTCTTCCATTCCTCACCATCCCTTGCCATGAAGGTCGCTCGTGTTACTGCCTGGGACTCACCCCCTGAATACGTCTCGGCGCCTGACCCGCCTGCCCCGTCCCCGACGCAGCTCCAGCTGAGCGTGGTGGCCGCCGGCGTACCCCGAGTGGTGCGCGCCCGCGCGGCGGGCAAGCACCCCAGCGCCATGCGGGCGTCGCTGCCATACGATCCGAGCATTGACGGGGTCGGACGCGACGCCACGGGCGAGCTGTACTTCATCAATAGCCTGGCGGCGCCCGTATTCGCAGAGCGCGCAAACGTCGAGCGCAGCCAGCTCATAAAGCTGCCGGCGGGCGTCGACCCGGCTACTATCGCCGGCCTAGCCAATCCGACCGCTAGTAGTTGGCTAGCGCTGCGCTGTCGCGCCATCGGCGGCTGCGCTGGCCGTACAGTAGCCATCCTGGGCGCGACCAGCGCCAGTGGCCGGATCGCGGCCAACGTCGCCCGCCAGCTGGGCGCCGCGCGGGTGATCGGACTTGCACGCAACGAGGCCGCCCTCGCTGCCGTCGACGGCCTAGACGCCCGCGTCCGCCTGCAGGACCCTCTCGTTCTTCCGGCCGACCTGGGCCCCGTCCACATCGTGCTCGACTACGTCGGCGGGCCGGCCGCCGTGCAGCTGTTGCAGGCGTTGCATCCGCCGCCACCCGGTGAGAACATCCAGTACATTCTGGTCGGCGGGTTAGCCGGATACGAGCATATGGACCTGCCTATGCGGCTGGTCAACGTGAAGCCAATCATCATCATGGGGTCTGGCGTGGGCAGTCTGACCCGGGAGGACTTGGACCGTGAAATGCCGGGGGTAGTCAACGCCCTGGCGAAGATGGGGCCGATTGGAGTAGATGTGTTTGCGGTCCCGATGGCGGAGATACAGACTGCATGGGACTCGGAAGAAGCGCAGACCAAGCGGATGGTCATTATGCCTTGATGGGGGCTAGTACGACATTGATTTACATAAGTGTTTTACACAGACCGGTAGTTATCGAAATCCGTATGACTGAAAGCAATTGAGAATGAACTATATTGCAACTCGAC